ACTCGCCCATAGGGATTTCTTTAGGGTTTAGAACTGTTGGATAGTATTGTGTTCTTACAAAGGGAAAGATTCGATTTTTTTTTATTTTTCCCTGTTGGAGGAGGGCCCGTTGATGTCCTTCAAATAGGGTATATTTCTGTATAAGCTCATAACGGCCATTGAGACGAGTATCACTCATTTTGGAAGCTTTGTTTTTTCTATGAAGTTGATGAAGTCTGTTGTATCTTTGAGATATGACCTCTGTTAATTGGTGGGCGATCGGCAGAATAATTTTATCAACTATTGTAACAATAGAGCTTTTCTGTTGGCCCTTCCGTAGGTGGAGTGTTTTCTTTGTTTGTTTGTTTGTTTTTGTTTTTTTGTCTCAATTAAAAATGACCGTAAACACACCGAGAAACAACTACTTTTCAAGTCGGCTAAACATGCGTTGAGCAAGTATTTGCCTTTTTTCCGTAATGAGAGTACATTATCAATATTGGCTACAATTTGTCCATCAGTTGGCGGTGAAATGGAGCAACTTGGGTTTAATCCGGCCGGGTGACCTCTAAAAGTGTTTTAAGTTTTAAAAAGAGAACCTCAATGCACAAGTATATCAGCTCGCTCTACAAACGCTCTCTCCCGATGAAATGTCTGTTTCGCATTTCTAGAGCGCGGAGAGATTGCTTCAACAAACTGATCATAATGATTATATAATGCATATATAAGCGTGCTGTGTTGTATATTTCCAATTCCCTTTCCAGGTTACGGCAGTTATTTTGGTTTTAAAATTTTAAAGGGAAGCTTTGAAAGCAAGAACAAGCAGGTTTGTGCATAAGCCTTTAAGAGAGTCACGTTTGATCACATGATTATCAGTTTACGCAAATTACTACTCGCCGGTAGAGGCGTTAATTACGTTATTCGTACCTTTAAATAACAGAACTAACGTAGCGATACCAAGTACTGCAATGTCAGTTTCTTATATCGTTTGCAGCGTGCTGCTGGAGTGATAACTAAGAGGTGCAAGACTTGAAATTAAGCGCGCTTGGATTGACACTTCAATTAGTTTTTATTCTCAAAGAAGAAGAAGAGAAAAAGTAAAGACTGACGTCCTCCGATTTCGCACATTATGTGATTTTTTTTTTTTTTTGCATCTCAATTGAACTTTTTTGTTTTGGCATTTCAGCGATCAACATGACTTGCATTGAGAAGATTCTCCTGGCTATTGTCATTGTCCAAGTAGCTTGTGTTATGGCCAAACATATACACAGGGAAGATGAATTTTCCCTAGATGACGGCACATACAGCAGTTTACGCAAACGAGCAAGTAAGTAGCTCTGCACTCCCAAACTTCGTTAATTTTAAAACACAATGATGTGCATGTTACCAGTTTTTGTATACACATGGATTCTTTCTTTCTTTCATTACACAGCATGCATGAATACTCTCGTCCTATCAAAAGGAGCCAACAGCTGCATGATGTGTTCAATCAAATTTTTCCGTACAAGTTAACAGAACGATATCTTTAAACGATATATTTAATAATAACAAACATTCCCCAAGTTTGTCCCAATCGAACTTGTAGACAAGAAGGTCTTCAAACTGCAGTTCAAACCAGTGTCTTTTTAGATCTTTTCTTTTGTAGTTGGTAAGTACAACGTACTACATTGTGGAGTTTATCGCTGATAAGTATTCTGAAACTTGTTTTGTAATCTTCTTTCTCAAGCCGACTGCGGCAGCGGCGCTGAAACAGAAGGCACCTACTCCAGAAAATGTCGATCTACCTGTAAGACAGGAGAGTTGTCCATCACTATTCCAGCAAACCTGGCGATGTGTAATGGCCTGAAGTGCTGTATGTGTCACACGCGCTACGGCTCTTGGTAAGAAAAAAATACTGAAAACGATGACCGCGCAATCGATATTATTCAATTTAAGCCAAACTGCATACAACAAGACCTGATTGAAAATGTGACTATCAGGAAGATGTTTTGTATCTCGTCAAAATACATCATTAACCAACCCACTGATGTTACTACGTTTTACTTGCAATTTTTTTCTTGCGAAATCCAAACCATGAAACTTTTACGAAGTTTCAAGCCTCACTTTCCTCACTATACTTCTCAGTGGTTTTATCATCTCACAGTATCACAGCATTACGTATGAATAGCACAACTTCTTTAAATTAAGGATAAAGGGGGTACGTTTCAAAAGAAACTGTGGTGCTACGTCGGTGGGAGAGTATAAAACTTTTCGCTCTGACGAAGGGCTAACGCTCGAAACGTCAGCCTTTGAACTCTTTACATTGGCCAATTTAAGTTTTCAACTCAGTTGTTAACTCTAAATCACCCCTTGGATGAAGAACAAGGAAGTTAAACTTATATATATATAAGTATATCTATTGAACGACCAGCCTATAAAGGGAATCTTAGTTGATCAGTTGGTCAGTGATCCGTGATCAAAAAGTGTCTCTCTTTGATGAGAAAACAAAAGACATGCATTTCATGTATATTTTCAAATTGCAACGTTTTTGAAAACGTGTATATACATATTATTCATTATACTCTTTTTGCGTGATATTAAACATCGTAGATCCGTGAAAGGATGTTACAAACATTGACATATTGATAACGGGGTAAGGAGTCGAGATCTTTCGCAAAAATACGAGTATAGCAAATAACGCAAGTGGATGTTTTTCTTTTTCTCTACAGCACCGTTGAAAAGTGAAAGTTTCTCAAAGTGTGGCCTCCATCAAGACCTGCAGTAGTTTTAGTGTCACAGTGAAGTTAGACTTTTAAGGACAAGTTTGTGTGAACCAGAACAATAAACTGAGCAATAAAAGCAATCGGTGGAGATTGGTGTGTCAGTCTGGAGTTTATAAGCAGACCTCAAAGATTCTACTCAATAAAAAATAATAACTGTATATATAGCCTAGGATTGTTTTTTTTTTCGGTCTTAGCATTACCAAAATCGAGGGAAAAGGGTCTATAGAAAATTGAGTGGCAATAAGAATCATTAACGGTGAGGGGTCATTCAAATCTTATTGTGACACATCCAAAAAAAAGGAAAAAGGAATTGAAAGTAGACAATAGAAATCCACTCGGACAAAGGCTAGAAAAAGGAGTCCAAATATATAATCACACATGCACTGGCTGAAAAAAATTATTTGTGTGGCTGAATAAAAATACAGCAAGTTTACCAACTAAACAAGCAACGATCACCTTCGCTTATTCTGTTTGCCAGTCTCTCGGGTCCATCCTCCGTACACCTAAACTTCATTTCATGATTGAACTTGAACAAAACAGCCACTGACCAATAAAAAGTGGCCTTTATTACAATTGCAGTAGCTCTGTCGCCATACTAGGATGTTGAGGACGGCTATACGTCAATCAATTAAAATAAGAAAAAAAAGAAAATTGAAAAGGTAAGTGTGGCAGTCTAGAGTTAATTAATAGACAACAAAGATTCTACCTAACAATAGAAAAATAAATTTAATTATGATATTATCAATAATAATAACAATATTAACAATAGAAAATAATGATCGTCGTTATCACTTTAACTACTTTATCCTCGTAAAAATCTCCTTAATGCTGTGGTAAATAATAATTTTAAAAAAATTCAAGAAAGGCGAAGGCGTAAGAGACAACTGTATAAAATATAGATCCAAAAGTTCCAAAATTTAGTGATAAACATAGAGGTTCTGCACGAGCAATACTCTGAGAAATCTGACAACAGTTGAAATGACCCTGTTTAATCTTGGTATTCTCAGTGAAAGCTCAACTTTTATCAGAAAAAGAGGCTACCGCCATGGGGAGTCCGGTTTCCGCTGTTATTGCTAACCTATACGAGAAGAGTTTCCAAGAACAGGCGATAACTGTATCATCCTACGAGCCTAGGATCTGGAAGCGCTACGTGGACGATACCTTTACCATCCTAGATCGCGAAACGTGGATGGCTTCTTACAGCATCTAAACAACCAGCAGCCTTCCATCCGCTTCACCATGGAGACAGAGAAAGACAACAAACTCGCCTTCCTAGACAACGCAGATTTAAGAGAACCTGACGGCCGACTCGCCATCAGCGTATACAGGAAGCCCACGCACACCAATCAATACTTAGCGTTTGATTCACACCACCCTCATTCAGTAAAACGCGGTATTGTAAAGTGCCTTTACGAGCGCGCCAAACGTCTCGTACCAAAACCCTCCGTCATCTCCGAGGAGAAAAAACACTTCATCTGCTCAGGTTTCTAATGGCTATCCTTTTTCTTTCTTGCAGAAACTTACCAAGACTGGAAAACCAAACAACAGTACCGAACCCGCCAACGAGTTCAAAGCTACTACGGTTTTACCCTATGTCAAAGGTCTGTCCGAACAGCTTCGCCGTTGCCTACAACAACAAGGCGTATGCGCTGTTTTCAAGTCAGAAACTACGCTAAGATTTCAGTTAGTACGACCAAAAGTGCTGTCGACCCAGCTAAACAAGATGGCGTAGTTTACAGGATTCCCTGTGAATGCGGCAAGATGTACATTGGAGAGACTGGAAGACCTATGCAAGACAGAATCAAGGGGCACGATCGACACATCCGACTCGCCCGTATCGAGACCTCCGCCGTTTCAGAGCATGCCCACAACATCGGACACAAGCCACTCTAGAGCGAAGTAAAGTTTATTGATCGTGACCCTTATTACTACATGCGCAGAGTCAAAGAGGCAATTCATATAAGACTTCACCCTAACAACATCAACAGGGATAGTGGAATAGAAATCCAGGAAGCGTGGATGCCCACGATCAAAAAACACAAAAACAGGAGAACCGTGCGACAGCGGACCGCCGAGGGAGCAAATCACTGAATGAGACAGCAAGGATTGAAATACACCAATCAGAGCTGTTGAAAAGCAACTAATCACAGCAGAGCATCATGCTTTAGAAGATCACGCATGACCAGGCGACTTCATCGCCAGAAGATGACTAGCAGTATGGAAGCGAAACGTCGCGATCTACATCACACGTAACAACATCGTGAGACAAACGAAAAAACTGACCTTTTATTGTTATTCACCACGATGAATAACCGCCTTTTTTACGAAGCTAATAGTTGTCTATCTAGCGATTCAAGTTTTTTACGTTCCTTTCAAAACGTTGTTCTTTACTTAAACATAACACTTATCAATACCATAGTACGTTTTTATACAATATTTGACAAAAAAAACAAGGAAATTAACGACAATAAACAAACGATTAAGGCTATGATTTCAGTTCCCCATAAATTTTAAAATCATCTGAAATTTTTTTCCATAATCAATCATCTATTTTCAGTGGTAACAAGAAACTAGTGAACAACAAAGTTTGAAGTACTTTACAAATTATTCCAGCTATTAAAAGTGAACATTATAATGAGAACTATATATCTTAACCACAACATAAATTTAACAAATAGATTCCAAGTTGCCCTGCGTCTGTTCAGTAATACATCACAGAGGACGTCAAAATGCAGTAAGAACCAAAAAGGGGGAAACGAGGCGCAGCCGAGTGTGTCACTGATGTTCTTACTGCATTTTGACGTCTTCTGTGATCTAATACTGAACAGACGCACGGCAACTTGGAATCTATTTGTTTTATATAATAAAGAATTAGAAAAGGTTTTAATGATGACGTCATCTATACGTCTATCCTCCAATAGATCATTAGTGAGAACCAATCAGAATGCGTGCATAACTGAGCTTATTATATAATAAGAAATAGAGGATATTACATGGCCGCGCGGGGATACGTGCGAACCGGCCACGTGCCTGAGCGGGAAGCTCTCTTGTAATTGGCTAATCATGTTAGTTACCACGGCAACACCAATATCCTCACACGTGAAAGATAAAAATAGTATCTTCACTGCGCGCGATGAAGATATGACTTTTCAGTAAAAGGGAATATCCTGGTATTTCATCAGTATCTATATAATGACATAAATTAAATTATAGCTGTTAGAAATAATCTTAAAAAAGGATTTTGTATTTCCCATTTGTTGCATTGCTAATGTACCTGAAAAAAATTACGCGCTTCTGATTGGCTGAAAACGAGTGTACTTTTATGTAACACGTGAGCAAAGTTGTAGCACAGCTGTAAACGTGTGTAACTTAGAATTGGGCAATTTGTCCTGTCGTGGTTATTACTAAACAGACACACGGCAATAAGGAATCTATTTTTACTACATAAGTAAGAAGTAAAACTGTTGTTCATGGTGTCGTCATCTACTAGATCGTTTTTGAGAACCCATCAAAATGCAGGTGGAATTCAGTTTATTATACGAAAAAAGATAGTGCGTTAGGCTTAGAACTATGTGGTTCAAAAATAAGGGATGGCGATTTCTTAAAGATCAAAATTATAGGTAATATATTTCGTAGAAAGGCGTCATAGACTGATTTCTCTTTTTCAGCAGAGCTTTCAGGATTTAAGCATACTGATCACATGAAGGAAAATTTCATAACTCTGTTGAAAGAGTACGCCTTGCAAAGAGACATGGTGAAATTTACACATTTCTGAAGAAAGTGTCAGTCATCCAGGGAAAGGGAACTCATCTGTGATGCTACACCACCCCCTGGTCGCCAGGCTGGTTGTTGCCAAGCTGGTTGTTGCCAGGCTGTTGGCGGCATTGGTGCCTGAGCGGCAGCTGGTGGATTCAATGCCCCAGCATAGGCCCGTGGTTGATTGTTCAATGGTCGTGATGCACCTCGGCCAACTGGGTGTGGCGGAAAATCTGTTCCGGCCCATGCTGTCGTATTACCTTCAAGGGGTGGCGCTTTATTCGTGATAGCAATACTGCTCCAAGATGTTTCTACAGCAAGACGAGAACAAAAAGAAATATAACAACATCACACCGCTAATGTTACTTAGCGAGATTATATACAAACTGAAATTTACACATTTAAATGGTGCGAAATAAATTTTCTTTCACAAGCTAGTTGAAGAAGCCGAGAGCCAATCAAAGGGCACGTATCGCAAACCTTAAGGTCCCACGAATATAGGAAATGATTATTAACTAAACAAGCTCTTGATTGTTACAAAAACTATTCTAATAAGCACCATAGACAACTTTACGGATAATATGCATACTGATGTTAGAGTGTTACGGTTATAATTTCATTAGAGTAAAAATTATGATTGCCCTTATACATGTAATTTGAGGTCAAATAACCCTTAAGTCACGCCCAACTCAACTTCTTCAAGGGGTAGAGGAAAAATTGAAAATAGCCTAGAATCATCCAAAGTTGTGTCCGGCAAAAACGAACACTTGGCTTCTTAAAGTGGAAGGAGAGCTCAAAGTCTGGAACCACACATGGAGCATCATCACCAAGCTGGCCCAAAACAGACAGGAGTGGAGAGCCTTCGTTGCTGCCCTATGTACCAATTGGATGGAAGTTGCCCAGTTAGCCAATGGGTAGTAACAAACACTGGCAAATAAATTATCTATTCAAGACCTACCTTGATGAGCTAAGACTCCTCTTGCTGCCATGCCGGGAATGTTTGGTCGTCGAAGAGGCTGTGACAGTTGGATACCACGTCCCCTTCCCCTTCCTCTACCCACTCCAAAGGTAGATGTTGGTTGCTGGGCTTGGGCCTGACGACTTTGTGGAAACTGCCAAGCTGTAGACTGTGGTGGTGCTTGAGCTCTCCTCGTGTATACAGTGTCATCATCACTGTCATCATGCAGACTTTGTTGGTCATAGGTGGGTCCTGAGCGAGTATACACACCTTGATTACTGGAAAGACCTATAAGAAAATTAAGAGGAACAAAACAGCTCTATTGACTTCAACAATAATTTAAACTGTAAAGAGCGGGGAAAAGTATCATTTTCACCTCCAACTTCATAGAAGTGAACATAGATGGGGCTGTACTCAAACTTTTTTTTAATCAGTGGTGTTCATCTCACCATACTTGAGTGAGTTTTAACTTGAAACTTCTCATTTTGAAACAAGAATCAATGCAAATTCGGAATTATTTCTGTCTTCATACTTCCCTTGGGTAATGCTCATCACCTTTTATATCATCAAATGTCTTCAAATCTACATCACTCACCGATACAAGAAATTTGACCAGAGAGCTTAACATAAAATGTAGGTAGGGTAAGAAAAGGTTTAAAAAGAACTAGTATGTGTGTATATTATGCCTGTTGGACATAAAGTTAAAGAGCCTCAGTGGATATTCTGTATAGTGAGGCAGATGAAAACGAAAACTACCTTACCTTTACTTCTGGCTCCACCATTAGAATAGCAATAATCTCTTGAGGCAAAAGGCCTATTATCTTCCACAGGTCTATTTGAATATCTGGGCTGTGTTTCTTCTCGAGAGGATGATCCTTTGCTATCTGCAGGCTTAATCACAGTACAGAAGACTCCATCTGGTCTTTCTGGTACATGGTTTGGAGTCAGTGGGATTCCATAAACTGAGCACAAGAAATCTGATATGCAGTAGCTTGGGAAAAAAAAATGAAAACAAAAGGTCCTCAGCTTATGAGTCGCACAGCCCATACTACTAGTTGAAAGCTTGGCCCAGTTTCAGTAGCATGAAGCAACTACCAGTAAGGCTATTCCTCCTTAGATAAAAAGCCAGTCCATCATGTGGTTACCTTACCCATCTACACCATTTTTTTTACCCAATTAGATAACTGGATGGGTCAAGTGTTAAGTGTCTGCCCAAGTATCCAACAAAAGTGATCTTGCCAGGGCTTAAACCTGGCTTGTCCCACATGCTAACCAGGAGGCTCTCACTTATCCATACAGAACAGGATAAACTTTGTAAAACAATAGTTACAAAGGCAACAAGTGCAACCCATCTTAATTCTTCAATTTTTATTTACCAGTATCGCAAGACTGTTCCCAAAGCACAGAACTTTACTTCCTGTTTTTCATGCCAGTCACACCTGGAAAATTAAAAAAAATAGTCAGTTTTCCTTTTATGCATTGAGAAAAAAGAGATTTAATAAAAAACAACAACAACAATCGTACAACAATGTATTGTATTGCAGGCTTCGATGAGGACTGTCTGAGGGCATAATAATTTAAATTTCCAAGACACATGGGAAAGGCATTAGTTTGCCCAGTTCAGCTCTTCTAGCTTGGGTTTGTTTCTTCATAGTCCTGAGAAGAACCATTTCATGCTGAAAATAGCCAACTGCTTTCACTTCCTGCTGGGTAGCAAGAGCTTTAAACCAAGTTTTGTTTGATTTGAACAATTTAGTTCTAAATGATTTAGCAAAGGCCTCTGGCTTATACATCATTTTGTACACAACAACTGGATCAGCCAGTTATAACTGTAGCATAAAGATTTACATTTTTCTTTCCCTTTTCTTTGGGTCTGGGCAAAGGATAAAAGAATTTTAAAAAAAGGGAAGGAAAAAAGGAAGATGGGGCATGGGAAATAGGATACTGTATGTGCCAAAATATATTTTGAAATTAGCTTCATAATCCAAAATTTTTGAAGAGGAGTCTGAAGGAAGTATGATGGAATTAGAAAAAAAATGGAAAGGAAAAGAAACATTTGCAAGACAAAGTGACAAACAAATACCTTGAATTTGGTTCATAATCAAAAATAGTACTGGAGATAAGCTCTGTTGCCTTTGACTTGGAAATCCCCATGGTACTACCAGATTCAGCCGTGAAATGTGAGTGTAAGTCACATATTACTCCTTCTAACTCGTACACTTTCTTCAATTTGTTTGGCATTTCTGAAATAAAGACAGCAAATCCCACAGTCACATGATCAGTAAGTTCTTCACCTGGTTGGTAGATGGGGTTGGTAAACACTCTGCAAAGAAGGAGGCTATGGAAAATTTACCTGTACTTTCATCTCAGTGAAACTGGGTCAAGCAGATCCTGGCCTTTTGATTCCAGAGATGGGTTTAAGAAAATTTTCAGCAATTACAATTGACTCTTTTACTTTACTGGTAACCCATGAGTGACTAAGACAGAATTTCTCCTTACAATGTCAATACAATATCAAGCAGACAAGTGATGAGAAAAGATAATAATAAGGGGATTATTAGTTGATCCAATATCAAATTCTCCAAACTAACATTATAAGAACTTTTGAACTCTTCAAGGGTACAACATTGTATTATTCAACAACTACATTATATAACTACTGATTCTATAATAATTAATTCAAATTTTGTCTGATTAATTCTGATTAACTGGCAACAAATTGATATTATTGTTGCAATTAACATGATGTTCCCTTTAAGAATCTTAAAATATACATTTATTTTTTTTCTTCTAAGATCCTAGAGATTGCATGTAATGCACAGTGTCAAGAAAACATATGTTGTGGTTCAATTTTTCTTTGTTTTAAAATTATCAAAATGCTTTGATTGTTTTATTCCCTATTATCCTTCTCCAACAGTAAAAATTAGGTCTGCACTATGCATGTGTGCTAAACTAGTGCAAAATGAGATAAATTATTTATAATCAAATAATGACATGCTTACAGCTGTACTGCACTTTACGTTTATTTGGAAAGAATGCTGAAGTACGCTAACATTAATATTTTTTTACTGATTTTTTTCGACAGACTTTGCCAAAAAAAATAAGGGACAACTCATAGTCTAGGGAGAAGTTGGAAATTGCAGGTCTATCACTATCGGGAGATAAAAGGATAAGGTGAAACTACCCTGCTGAGTAAATAAGGAATTTTCCTAACAAATCTATTCTGTTTCTTGTTGTCTTACCTGCTTTTCTAGCCAACCACTGAAGGCAATACTCAGTTTGTTTTGTTTCTGATATCTGAAAAGTGAGAGATAAAAATCAAGTAAGTTCTTTTTACTCCTCACTAAAAATCATAAATATCAACCATTATTCTGTTGTATACTTTAAACATCACTTTTGTTTTGCAAGGGTCACCAATATTCACCTTATGCTTAGAAGAAATTTAATAGCGCTCACGGGGAAGGCCATTACAAGTGGTCAGAGCTAAACCAGCTTAATTAGTCAATTTTTAAAAGTGGCAAATGTTACAGTATATTAAGTGTATGCCACCATTGGCAAGCTGATCGTTCTAGTTGGTCCAGTGTAGCTTCAGCATATTTAACCTTTTGACCCTAGGGCCAGGGTGTGAAATTGCGGTTTTTACTTTGTTGACCAAATCCTAAAAATTAGTTGCCAAATTGGCGACTAGAATGTTTCATCATAACCTTACTTAGAGATATGGTGAATTAAAAAGATTTGCAAAAGATAAATCCGCAGCAAACTTCCTCATTAGGTTTGTTTACAAAACATAGCACATGCATCTTGATCAATAGCTAAACGCCATCTTGGATTTAGGATGTAAGTGAGCTTGAACGTTGTATATCCTCCATCCTAGTGTCCACTTTGTGGCAGGTTAAAGATCTTTTTCCTACCTTAATTTTAGAGGGTCTATCTAGAGCGCTGACATAATAAAAAAGGTTTCGTTTGTCTTTGAAAATGGTGACCAACTTTTTTTAATTGGCTACCACTTTGAAGAATTTAGGAGCCAAGTGGCTATCAGAAAAAATATTAATTTTACACCCTGCCTTAGGGTGAAAAGCATCTAATTTCTCCTTATAATATCACCCCTGAATCACAAATCAAGGTCATGGTAATAAAGGAAATGATATCCAAACAAAGAAACTCTTGATTTTTCAGCAAATTCCCATTGTCAGGATCTAGGGAAATGTATAGAGAACAGTAGGGAGAAAACACATACTGATGTTAAGGTGTAAAGGATTAACAACATTTAAAGAGCATGTCAAAGTTTGTGATACAAGGCATCCATCCTTCTCGTTAATGAATTTCCAAGAATAATTTACAAGACTTACCCTGCAATACACAGGAGGAAAAATTGGAGTTTGCTCTGGATTGACAAAGCGTAACAGATCCAGCCAGATCTTGTGGTGGCTGTCATCTCTTTTTGCCAAACCTTCAACTGGGATCTGATGAGTTCTTTCACCTAAACAGTGAAGGACATGAGGTTGAGGACAAGTAACCCATTTTCAGACAATGAATGAGAAGTTTGGAATACTGGGCTGGTACATGTAGTTTTGAAGACCAAACATGCCTCAGTCTCCTTTCTAAGTGGCTCCAGTTTCCCTAGGAAATTTTACGTTGTAGACTCCTGTTTGTCTTGGTCCATAAAATACATAGGAGAAAGACTTGGCAAATACATTTGTATCCAGCCATCTTTAAGACCTCACACTTGGTCAATAATGCATATATTTGCATATTATCTGAGTCTTCAATGATAAATCATAATAATAAACAAAAATGATGTCAACATACAGAGTTTGTACTTACTTGTACTCACAGCTGTGTACCGAAGGCCTACTCTAATTTCACCTGTAAAAACCGAAATCATCATAATTTGATTTTGCACTTTGAAGAAAAAAAGCTCGTGATTCATTCAGAGTTAGATTGGATGTTTGGAGAAGGGGCAGGAAAAAGAAATTTCTATTTCCTCAGTCCCTTCCCTCTTCTTTCATTCAAATTTGTAAGGACAAATTTTTTTTACTCTCCAGCCTTCTGCTGCTATACGAATCAAAGATGCAGCTATAACTTTTGCTAATTAACAAATGCATTGCTAAGTGGAGGTTGGGTACCTGAAACATTGAGGACCTTCCACTACTGGCAGTCAGCTCCTAGATGGAGACAGCTCTTAGATGGAGACTTCTCCCATGGCTGGCAAATCCTGGCAACCCATCCATAAGCCCCCACACAGGAAAGGGTAACAGGCACCCATCACACTGAATAAACAGTGGAAAGAGGGAGGGAAGGGGTGGGGAAAACTGCCTGAGTGATGAGCAGCCACTCCTCACAATGCTGCAAGTTCATGCTCAAAGCACACACAAGAACGCTGAGCACTTCCTGAGCCAAAATCATGCAGTCTCTGCAGGCTAATTATGTAATGAAGGCATAGCTTATGTGAGTTGCTGCTTGCTTGCATATTAAATTTTCAGTGAAATTTCTGATGGGATGAAAGTAAGAAAGTACATACCAGGTTTGATAAAATAGTGCATCTTCCGCATTATTCCTCCATTCAGCGAATATTCCACTACACCTAACTCACAAGGAAGGAATCCTTCATCGGGAAGATCGTACAGGGACATGAACCCGATCATATAGAACTTTTCATCACATATGGCTGAAAGACCAAAAGACAACCAAGTGAGGTTAAATTTTTAATGATTTGAGAAACTCTACAAGCAGTTAAGATTGGTAAATTGATTCAAGGCTGTGAATGGTTTAATTGTATAGTTCAGTTAACAAAAAAAAAATAACACCATCATTTAAACAGTGGGAGATGATTACTCAAAGTAGCAATGGAAGACAGAGATCATAGTATTCTACAAGTATTAAGGCCTTAGCAGTTGTCAGAGAAATTGGAAAATAGTGCTTTGGAGTTACTGGCATGACAAATACCAGTAAGAGACAAATAGTAGTGAAAATGAAAGCGATCTTCACAGTAAGGAACACTACTTGTATAAGCAGTAGTGAAAATAAATTCAGGCCTGTATGGGAGTTGAACCCATGACCTCTGTGATACCAGTACAGTGCTCTACCAGCTGAGCTAACAATGTGAGCTGGGAGCTTTTTCACTACTGCTCAAGTAGTGTTCATCACTGCAAAGGTCCCTTTCATATTAATTTCTTAAACCACAATTCTCATACATGGTTTTCATACAGTCACAATCACATGCATTCATCACTTCACAGGTTTATTATGAACCAACCTATTGACCAGCTCCCAGTTGCCTTGTTAGCTCAGTTGGTAGAGTACTATACAGTATCACAGAGGTCATGAGTTCAAATCCCATGCAGGTCTGAATTTTTTTCAGGCCTTATTTTCACTACTGCTTACATGCAAGAAGTGATCATTACTGCATAGACTGCTTTCATATTCATTCCTTAAACCACAGTTCACAAATATGATTTTCATATGTTCACAGTCCCATAGAAATAGCAGTATTGTTGACACAGCATTTTATCCTCTCACCTCTTCCCGGTAACCAACCTCTCTTTACTTCTTCTCTTTCTTCTTTCCTTCGTTTTTCATTCAAACTTACAGTATCTACACGTCTCTGTAATTAAAAGAACTCATATTAGCATATATACCACACAAGTGAATAGTGGTCTTTGCCTGCTCTGATTAGCCAGTTGGAAAGTGAATAGCTGGTACTATTCACTTCTAAGCAGCCAAACAGACAAAACCTTATGTCAAGAGTTCAATTTCTGATTATTTTGCAGTATATTGAAAGAAATAAACTGATTTTGGGGTATCTATGTGGTGTATACTAAAACAATTATTCACCTCAATGTTAATGTAAGTGTCGGATATCTACCAGACCGCAAAACAGTGAGGTAAATATCCTGCAAAATTGTTTAGTATCATATCTGACCAAACAGGCAAATAAAAAAATATACTGTCATGTAAAATGGATGCTACAGTAGATCTCTTCATTGGTTTAAAGTATGATATGTAAATACAGTCACACTAGCGTTAAGTGGCACTGAATTAAGCAGTCATACTGCATTAACCCTTTAACTCCCCAAAGTGATCAATATGTGATTTCTCCTTAGAGTATCCATATATTATCCAACAAACAGGTGAAGAGAATACACAAACCTATTAGGAAGAAGTTGTTGTCTTGATCTAACACCAAATTCTCATTACTAATTTACAAGGAAATATGTAGCAGCTAGAGGGGAGAATAAACAATCAGTTCCTGGGAGTTAAAGGGTTTTCAGTATGTTTTAGGGCTTTAGCAGTCGGTTTTCAAAGTCCCAAATTTTTCCCCCTAATCACTGTAATTTTCATCTCAATGAGGTGGTCACCTCTATCAACCCTTTCACTCCCTAGATCTCATTGGTATTTCTCCTTACTGTCTGCCATGCAATTCTTATGATGTTAGTTCAGAGAATTTGGTATTGGATCAACTAATAAACCCATAATTGATATTGTTCTCTATTCCCATCACCTACCTGCTTGATATTGTATTGATATTGTATGGAGAAATTCTGTCTTGGTCACTTGTGGGAGTGAAAGGGTAAAGAAGTTGTGGTCATCCTTTACTGAGTCCCACCAGCTTGTTTGCATTGTCTTCCACATGCATTGAACGGTCACTTAAGGGGAACCACCCAAGTAAAACTATGAATAATCTTTTATGTAAAATTTAATCCATATTCCTCTCCCAAAACCAATGTTGGTAGTATTTTTAAGAGAGTTTGAATACATTAAGTGGTCAATTATAGTATAAAAGGGTATTTTTAATCTTTTTTTTGTATGAAACCCCTATTCTGTGGAACCTGTATGAAGTGGTCACCCTGCCACTCCTTTTGGGTGACTGCTTAACCCTTTACACCCTACCATCAGTATGCATATTCTCCATACTGTTCTCCATACATCTGCAAAGAGGCTGACAAGGAGAATTTGTTTTACAATCAAGAGCTGCTTTAGTTGGTGATCATCTTCTCTATTCTCATAACTTTCATGTTTCATTCAGGGGTGATATAGTACAGAGAAATTAGATGCTGGTCACTCTTAGGGGCTAAAGGGTTCATACAGGTTCAACTTACATTTTAATTTGCCAAAAGGCAACTTTGAAAAAAATCTGAGCTTGAGGCCCTGTTAATGGTTTAATCTAATTATGATTTTTGGTGACTCTAAAGAAGGTCTGAAGCTTCTTGCCCTAAAGTAGCATTATTTCAGAGTTGCTGTGACTAACTTACAGATATATACTCTCCAGTGCAGTCCATTTTATCATTTCGAGCAGGGCGATATTTCTTATTTGCTTTGTCTTGCCGAGCCATTTCTTGATACACCTCTTTCTCATGCTCAGGTAGTTCCTGTCATCACACAAGAGAAAATATTCTACAGTAACCTTAATTTCTAAACAGTTTTCAGTCCAAAGGCAAAAGCAATGAAAACTATCTAGGCTTAAAATATCAGGTGGAGTAAAAAAATTCAACAAGACAAGACAAGTTTAAAATAACATTGTAATCCATCTAATCTCCTTGTTCATGCATCCTTGGTTTTATACAAATCATATTACAGAATATGCACCAGGTAAAATTGGGGAATATCTAGCATCATAATCATGATTGGATATGCCCCAACTGAAAACTGGAGAATATTCAAGGAAATACCCCTAGTGATATACTCCACCATTGTCAAACCTTACATCTACTATGATAAAGGCTTTCCTTCAAAATTTAATTCAAGATGAAAGAGCATTTTATTAGCTATTGTTACTGAAGGGACATTTATTTCTCATAAAGTCATACAAGAAAATAATGGAAAGAAAACATCCCACATACAGTAAACAGTGAACAATTTGAAACCATTTTTTCCCAAGTGTTACAAAAAAATTTGAAGGCGCAAAAATATGCTTGTAAATTTGTCCTTGGAATTTATCTGTTCTTGTAGGCTCACAGTTCTCCTTGAGCTTGTTCTCAGAAAACAGATCATATCTGCTGCCAAATGTGCAAGCATGTTTATGGGCCAAATTGAGGCTATTGTTTATAAATTCAAACGCCTCTAATTCTGATCTAATTTTAAAAAGATCGTTTTGCTGTTGTTACAGATAAATGATTATATTTGTCTATTCATAGAGTTGAAACAGAGAAATCACTGTTTTATAATTAATCCTTTGTTGATCAAGCTTGTTTCTGTCAAGATAGCTGGATATTGCCCTCATTCCCTTTTTGCTTTTTTTATGGACTGAGATAAAGTCAAGGTCCATAATAGTACAAAAAAAAAAAAGACTCTGCCAATATCCTGCCATCTTTACCCCACCCTTGGTCAATACTGTATATATATTTATTTGCTGGACATTATCTCCCTTATTTCTCTTCTTCTTTACTCCTGTAAAGCTGTTTGTTTCTCCAAGCAACATTTCTTCAGAAAGTATCTGAGAACATTGTTTATCAAGATCATGCCTCCTGGCAGACAATATTCCCCAATTCTGACTACACTATCATGAAACATTCAATGTGAAATAGTTTATTGAGGAATTCTCATTAACTTGTCATATACTTATTACAACATAGAATATGGCTATATTAAGCAATGCTGGGAAAACTTATGTGCATGTCACTCCTTGAAGTTCAAAGTTAAATGACAATGGTTATAATCGTTTGCACATCAGCCTTTTAGTGTTTACTTAGACAATGCAAAACACAATACAAAAACATTGTATTCATGTTTTGATTTGACAAGCGTAGTATTGTTTCCACAGCTGCTTATTTTGAAAAATACAGCCGTACAGTTAGTAGCCACAGTTTGGGTAAAATTTCCGCACAGCCCCATCCTACATTATGCATTCAGTTCTTGAACAGAGAAAACAATGACAAAAACAATACATTTCCGTTGGGAAAACAGATTTGTTTTACAATAGTATGGGGCTGTGCGGAAACTTTACCACAGTTTGTTGTTCTTCTTAGGTAATAGATGCCCCTGTTTTCGCTCCATTTCCAAAAACAATTCTTAGTAAAAGTATAGCTTTGGCTAAAAAACCTCTCTGTTAAAGCCTTCCCCATCACTGCTGCATCTCGTATACAAGAGGAAAAATTCATTTCACAATTAGACAGTGTACAACTCAAAAACACATGGCAGAATAAACCAATATTTTTACCAGTGTTCGAGTTACTGTCAGATCGTTTAAGCATTCCTCGGCACGCGATGCTACAGGAAATTCTCAAAAATCCTTTCACTTTCGTAGAAAGCTCTTTCTAGGTACAAAGTTTCAGTCATATGTGTATTGATTTTGAGATGAAAAACAATGAACCTTTAAACCTCCTGGTATTATTCGGACCTGGAATCTCTTAAATGACACCATCAGCCAACTTACCTTCCATCGAGGGCCAGCAATTTCTGCCAATGATCTCATGCCATTTTCTAAAACTACCCCCTGCCTTTCTAGTTGGGGCCGCAAAGAAACCATAAAGAAGTAAAAAGGGTTCCTTGCTTGATTGTTTTTCTTTTTATTCGGCATGGTTTTCACCTTCTAGATCTCTTTCACACGATTGATCTGCTTCAGGTTGAAAATGATTGAGTCAGGTCCAGTCTCCACGAAAACACGCGCAAGCCTCGTTCTCATGATTTGATAACGAGGCTTTTAGAGCTTGACTAACATGAAATCAGAACCAAAATATAAAATTTCTCGAGAATACATCTTTTTTTCACATTTACTTCTTCCTCATTTTAAATTTTGAGTTTCTGTCAAGGATGAAGAGGCCAATAAACAATGGCTGAGCATAACAAAAACCCATGTGCATAACCAAACTTTGGTTATCTGTTGGAAAAAGAATTTCCAATAATAAAGGTCTCTATCAAAAGGTCAAGATTTTTTAAAAAAATGAAAATGACAAATCTCTTAAATAAACATGAAATTTATCTGAACAGAGACATTTACAAAGCAAAAAGTAAGTAACACTAGTCAATGAGAAGAAAGTTCTTTCTTTTATTGCACTAATGTCTTAAACTGTAGCCTCACTTTTCCAAGGCATCATCCACCTACAGATGAGAAAAATATTTCCTTTCATCATTATAATTACATTTATGATAAATATTGCTCTTTTAGCATTGAAATCTCTTGTTTCCAACATTTTTATGGCAAATTTTACCATTTTTGTTAATTTATGAACCTTACTAGTAAATACAGAATAATACTAACATCATTAGTTAATAAGTAAATACCTGTCAGAGTGAACAAGGACAAGAACAAAACAACCTGTGGCCATGATAATTCTTGCCAAAACTGAATCCAAGAATTTCTGCAACATTATTGGTTGAAAACTATATGTTTTTTGAAGCCATTTTAACCTTACTTTAACAAGAATAGAATAAAACTATTGCCTGTAAAGATAACCTGTGAAAAAAAGGAAGATAATGATTTTCAGCTGCAAGCTTGTAGCCAGCTAGGAATGAGATAGAGACAGCCATGACTTGTATAATAATCATAACTATAAATTATTTTTTGTCCCTTACCCTGTCAAAAATCAGTCTCAAGGTATACCTCCCATTCGTTTACAACATTTTGTTGGTGGCACACTCCAATTATAAATGAATGAGTTCATGAGATGAGTTTCTTGATGACAAAGCTTTCCATCCTTTTGCAATTGGCGATGTTTTTGGTACATATCAGAAACAGACTGTTTATGACTAACAATGTGAAGGTTATTGCAACCTCTTGAACGATATTCAGTGTCAAATCTGTAGTCATGGACTCTATTAACTTGGAGAGGAGCCAGCCATGTTCCTAAAATCAAGGTGGATTACTTTGAGAATAACCTTGAATAATATAGTATCACACCTCGTCAGTAATAACATAATCACCACTGTCATTCGTCCATTTGTAATTTCCTTTACATCAGATGATACCCAAAACATCCAACTGCAGATTTTTCCTTAGCCTGTATATTAGAACAATTACCAATTGAGCGTTGTAAGTAATCTCTGATTGCAATAGTTTTGCTTTTCTTTCATTCTGTGATTTCTGGTTACAGCAGTTGGGTCCAGCACACAAGCAAAATTCTGTGTTTTGTTCATACAGGAAATGCTTGTTTAGCAACTGAGATGTACTACTTACAAGGGAAATTTCAGCTCCGTTAGAGAGGTGAGCCAGGTGGGATATTTCATGGTCTTACCTGAAGTATTCCAAAGTTTTTAGACTTATAATACCCTGTTTACTTGGATCTCAATGACAAAATACAGAATCTTGTAAACCTGACTGAACCAACTTCCCAGATGAACATCCCTTTTAATGTTCATAGGAAAAAGTGCTTAGGAAGGATCTTAGGCCATACTAGCCTGTTTTATGATGCCAAAATAAAAAAAACCTACTTTACTTACCATCTCTAAACATGCTTCACTTACCTACAGATACATCTTCACTGTTAAATTTTTGCAAGAAATCTGAGTTTCGAGCAATAAAATTGACCAGATCTCTAGAGAGTACATAACCACCCCCTTGCGCATAAGGCAAGTATCTGTCGCAGAGATTCCAATTTTTTTCAGCCCACGGACCTGTAAATTTCACATGTGCATCTCCACGAAAGAAACCCCAGTACAATCTTTTCATTGAATATGTGCTTTGGAGCTCATTGAGGATAACATTCAACCGTACAAAACTATCATCATCAACCTTAAGAAGATATGAAAAATTCGCATGCTGATCGATCCATTTGAGTGCTTGCAAAACTTTGCTGGGTAGGTCCTTGTACGCATCTTTAAGTTCTGGAAGAAATATAATATCGTGATGTCGAGTGTTTTCTTCTTCCACATTTTTCATGTCCTCTAGAGATAATTCCTTTATTCCAATCACAAATCTTGGAACTACCGATGAATGAAGAGTTTCTAGATTAGAAAGCCATGTTTTCCGCATAGCATCTCGTCTTTCTTTGCCATTAGGAGCTGTTAAGATCATAATAAATAGAAACGTTTCTAATTCCACTGGTATTGACTGTTCATTTGCTTTGATGGCCTTCTGGGGAAGCGAGTCATTCTTCACATCACAGCCGACTTTCTGGTTGAGTAGGAATACGAATATTAACGCAACAAATAGAAGAAGTAGCAGAAAAGTTTCATTCCTTCGAAAAAGTTGTCTTTTTATGAAAGTCGAAATGTCCGCCATAGTTGAGCCCACAGTGCATGTATTATTTATATGGCTGGGAGGATAATTCACGTTCTTTACTTGACATATGTGTTCTGTCGGAAATATCCGAGAGATTACCGAAGACTCCACGGAGGCGCCGGAAACCCCAACTTCTGAAGAAACATACATCCACGTGAAGAAATCGTTGATGAACGTTAACAAGTGTGTGTGAGATAAGCTCGGTATTCTTTCCACGTCGTTGTGTTTTCCTTCATAGAGAATATTTGAATTGAGGATGTCACAGCTACCTCTTCCAAATTTTGGAAACTTTCGGCCAGCTTTTAACACTGGTGGAAATCCAGGGTGGCCGATGCAAACTGCACCGTCGATTTTTGGAAGACCACATAGTTCTTCGATGAGTTTTTCACCCTTACTGTCTGTTCACTCTTTTCCTGGCTACCCTGGGTGTCACATCACGCCTGGAATACGGCCGAACATACCGTTATTACGACCTCCCTCTAGCCACGTGGTTTCCCAGGAAAGGAACCCATCGTTCCAACAACCACAGGCTACCAATGTCCAGGTAATTTGCGTCGTTAGACAATCGTTACAAGATTCTTAGCTCTGACTTGTTGATTTTGTGAGAATGAGAACGACTTTTGATTTGTGGTATGAAGGATAATGGCTGCTATATATATATATATATATACATATATATACATGTGTGATATATACATTGCAAGTTAGCTATCAAGAATATTACAACATTCAGATAATTATGACCAATAATATCTATAGTTATTTGCACAGGTAAAGAAACCTTTAAAGGACCTCTTTTTCTACGTTCCTTGTGTCTTATTCCTTACAAGCAGGAATTAACGCGAACATCATTTATGGGAAAATTGAATACTCAGTGAAAGCCTCCAGTGACTTTTTGTCCAACATCAACTTTTCCTGTGTTTTTCAAGTGAATAAAAGACAATTTGGAAGGGAAACACTGCAGTCTATCAGATGACAGTTTGAGACTTTTTCCATTCCCTCCCATCATTTTTCACAACTCAACTCTGTTGGTGCAAATCATGACTGAGAAAAAATTTAATGAAATTTTTCCAAGTGGTGGATCAGTGCAATAAGTGTTTCCCTCAGGTCATATACATCACTTAGTTTGTGCTTGTTTTTTAGGAAAAATAATGAAAAACTTAATCTCTGATTTTGCTAAAGATTACTGTCATTTACACTTGTGTTTTAAGAAATAAGTCTGCCTATATTTTTGTAAAATGTGGTTATAGTTAATGATGCCCTACTCTTTGTTTCATGAAGGGATCAGCAAGCAAAACAACAGAAGATAGGGAAAATGTCTCTTTGAGGAAAGAATTCAGTTGTGATGCTTGTCAGAAAGATTTTTCAAGTAAAGAGACTCTGACTGCACATTTGGGATCCCACATTCAGGTATGATATTTGAAGGTTGCTGAGGTTTATTACTGTAATTAATTTGTTTGTTTGCAATATTAAAACAGGTTGGCCTAGTTCAGTATCAGAGTGCAGAGAAGATATGAGCGATAGAGCTTATAGTTTATTATCTTAATTTGAGAACACTTTACTGTCTAGCAACCATTTGCAAATGTCATTGGAATGTTTTTCTCGAATTTATGTGGCTAGCTTGAGGGATATTGGGGAATGGAGTCATAAAATTAAGAGTTAAGATCTGCAAAGAAGTTTAATTAACTTAAAATGTGTTAAAAATCAGTCTTTTTTTAAATCATAGGCTTAGTCTCTGATAAATAAAATTATCCTTACATAATTTTTTCCAACCATTGATCTTTCTGCTCATGATAACAATGAATTAAAATATTATTGATTTTGATTTATTTATTAATATTTTTCATGCTTTCTTTTTTAAACAGTGTAGTTATGAAGGGTGCACATTCAAGGCTGGAAGGAAAGTTGTAAAACTTCATTGGATACAGGTCATTTGTTGCCCATATTTTATTTATTTATTTTTTTAACTTCTTTATTGTTTGTTGTAATCAAACTTAAAAAGTATCATTAATACAACATATAAAAGTATGAGCAGCCCCTTTTTTTTTTTTTCAAAACAAAGGCAAAATTGATGTTAGCATGCTGCAGGGTGCTCTTTGAGTGTGAGTGAGGAGCTCCAAAACAAATCAAGTGAAAACAAATTTGATGTTAAAGCTCAAGAGAAACTTTGAGCTTAGAAGAACAGGTTACATCCAAGGGCAAATCTACAAACATATTAACTCTCCTAATGGAGGCTATTGTCCTCATTATCCTTGGACATTCACCAGTTTTAACTGGGGAACATTTGGTTGTCTGATGCATTTAGTAGAGAAGGTAACCATTCCACTCCAAGGAGTGTTCAGTAACTAATTTCTCCCTTCTTTATGATAATATTGTCAAGCAGACAGGTGATGAGAGTAAAGAGGGTATATTGTTGGGATAAATACCAGATTCACTAGGCTTACATTGAGAGAAATATTTTGCTGGAATTAAGAAGATTTTATTGTAAAATCTTGGGGAGAAAAAGGATGGACAAATCAAAAAAAAAAAAAAAAAAAAAACTAACAAATGAATATCAATTGACAATAATTTATTTTTAGAATCATGAAACTGGCAGAATGAGGATTAAGTTGGATACCCCAGAGGAAATAGCAAAGTGGAGAGAAGAAAGAAAAAGGTGTTTGTGATAGCATTTTTCATTTAACCAGTTTGAAAAAAAATTCTTTAAAAGTAATCTAGGATTCCAACTTAGTCAGAGCCTTTAGTAAGGCTCAAGCAAAGAAATTGGACAGGACCTTTTTTTTTTGGTTCATGATTTTTAAGATTTTTTTCAAAATAATCTTTCTAAGTCTAAATTAGTCTTTGAGGATCTTAAAGACAAAATGTTATTAATGGATTTTTAGGAAATGCTTTGAGATTGGCTTGAGGATATATCAATTAGAATGTTGTGGCTATTCTGAATTAAAGACATACTGCAAAGTCTGTTTTAGTCACCTTAAATGTTGATTGAGAGTTTTTGTGGTCAATATTTATAATGAATGATCACTTCTGAGGATATTAATTTTTTTTTTTTGGCATTATTTCACCAAAAGTAATTTGTTGATTTTATTTTTCTTGTTCATCTGATATAGGAAGTATCCCACTCTCGCGAATATGCAGAAGAAACTGGAAGAAGATGCGAAGAGGAAAGCATCAGGGCAAGTTTTGAAAACCAAGAATTTTAGGTAAATGTGAGTTTGAATGTATGTGACCCAGAGCCCCACTGCACTTGCAATATATAGATTTAGCCAAGCCTAAAAGCAGAGCTCACATTTTTTTTTTCCCGCACATCTCAAGGGCACAATGCCTTGCCTCGGCCAGGACTAGAACCCGGGTCGTCCAACTCGGAGCCCAGTGCACTGACCACTGGACTACTGAACAAAGCCGTGAAGTTGGTGTGCCCATGGTACAATTGACCAGGCATGTTAAAAGTAGCACTTTGTACGGTCGTACGATCGTACATCCAAATTTTTTCAGCTTGATGGGTTACTACTATTTTTGTATAATTATGGGGTTACGCAAACTCCGCTATTATGTATTGGTATGAAAATTCTGAGCGTGACTCTACAATTTTCAAAATTTAAAGATACCGCAGAGGCCAGGGTAGAGGAAGATCATTTCAGCGAGGTGGTCAGAACCATTTTAACAACAGACATCATCCAAAGAGATTTCCAAAGGAACTGAATGGATTAGATCACACAGCTGGTGACCAAGCAAAACAACAATTCAGAGATGTGAACCAGGAGAAGGTAGCACAACCTTCTAATAGATTACACAATGTTGAAGATCCACTTTCATTGGTTCTTGATGACTGCTTTGAAAATGAGCCAGGTAAGTTGTAGTGACAGATACATATCTCAACCAATTCTTGCTAAAAGAGAGCAAGATATAGTATATGGGGTGATACGATTAGTTGTAGACTAAATAAGACCTTCTTTGCCCACCTGGGACTGCCTACTTATTTACCGCAGAACTAACACCCCTTCTTTCCCTATTTCCCCCAAATTCTTACAGACTCTGACTTCACTCGGTTGATAAGAATGCAAAACAATTGTATTGCTTAACCCATTTTTACATTCAAAGTCAATGAAATGTACTTTTTTCACACAGGAAATCAAATGCGGAAGAGTTTATCTCAAGAAAGATTGTTGAAGGAAACGTCAGATAACTCTGACCCTGCACTTTGTAGTGGACCATCTGGGATTTCAGCCCTAAGTTCACTCTGCACAGCATATGCCAGTGACTCAGAAGATGACAAACCATCAGGTACCAATTTAGAGTTCAGTGTACCACTGTTAACCCTTTTGCTCCCAAGAGTCATTCTTGTCTGCCATACAATTCTTATTAATTAATGTTGGTTTGGAAAATTTGGTACAAGAGCCACTAATAATTCCCTAATTGTTAGTTTTTTTCTATTCTCATCACTTGTCTGCTTGATATTGTGTGAATGTCTGAATGAGAAATTCCTTCTGGGTCACTCATGGGAGTTAAAAGGCCAAGAGCAACAATGCAAATTTGGGCTGTCAAATCAGAATTTCTACAGTCAATTTGTGATTCATTGTTTACTGGTAATTATCCTTTTGGTCCCGAAGAGACTATTTTGATCAGCTGTTCAGTGATCTCTTAAAAAATGGAATTCCGTTGGTAATTTATAGTATGGCTGGGGTTGTTAGTTTGTGTTATATATATATATATATATATATATATATATATATGACTGACTATAAATTGATTGCACAACCAAAACTTGGTCAAAAGAATGAGTTTCAGTTCCTGGCCATGCACAACAGCTATGATGAACAGTGCAGTTAATTTATCATTTGATGCTAGGCTTGAAGGTGGGAAGCTCCTCCTATCAAGACATTCAAAAGACCATTAACATCTTCTATCAAACTCTGAAATTGGTCAGCTTTGCAATCAGCTAACTAAAAAACCTTTTTTATTTAAGTCTGTTAAGAAATTAGTAATTTTGTATATGTACTCAATCAATTCATTCATCAGAAATCATTGACATTCAAGATAATTTTTTCCAGAGGAAATAAACAACAACATAAACACTGCTAGCCTTCCACAAGCAACAAAAACAGAAGAGGGAGCTGCTGTTAAATGTACATCTGCTGATACAAATGTGAAAAAAGAACAACGTAAAGCAACCAAAAGACGTCACAGAAAATCAAGAAAAACGTTCTCAAAGGTAAGTATTTTAATTACAGACATTATATCTCCTGTTCTTTTTCTGTAATCTTGCTGTGGCTTTGATGGACAAGGTGGACAGGGAATGGGGACATTGCATAAATATTTCCAGGTTAATAAACATATTAGCCTCCATTTTAGACAATAATATGCTTTTATGTAACCATTGACAACTGTCCGAGCATACTTTTGCACAAATTATTATATGCAGGGAGTATGACTTAAACCATGGTATTTACACAATCCATGGGCCTCAGGCTTTCTCTAAAAAAAAAGGTTGATTTAATTAAATAAATGTCCTGCCACTGTTAGCTTTCGGCCCTCTTAACACTGTTTGCAAAAATATATGTTCAGATAAAAGATTTAGCTTAATAGAGGATACAATCTTGTCAAATAACAGCTAAACTTTGTTTAAATAACCTGCCCACATTGTCTTAGAGTTCATTTCTGTGTTTAAATTGTTCATCCAGGGAAACTCCAACTGTGTAGGAGTAAGGAAGTCAACTTTACTTGAAAAGGTGAGATTAAAACAAGATCTGAAAAGAGTATGTGCTGTTTATAGATTCATATTGTTGCCAAGTGTTTTATGATCAAATCGGAAGTTATTAAAACAAATTTCTTTTTTTTCCCCACAGCTGTTGGCACCAGATATTAGACATGAAAGAAATGTAATTCTACAATGTTTGCGATACATTGTAAAAAAACATTTTTTTGGAGTAGGAGATACAAGTGTTTCAGATGATGTTGTCAATAAATGAAATTGTGATGAGTGTAAAAATAAATTATAATTGAAAACATACTGGTACATGTACATACTTTTATGGACTGTGTTTTTTTGTGAGATTGAAGAAACATCATTGATAATTAACTTAATCAGGTGATATGGCATTAACTTAACATCCTAGGTAAAAACAACAACAGCTGTTGGCACCAGATGTTTGACATGAAAGAAACGTAATCCTACAGTGTTTGCAATACATTGTGAAAGAACATTTTTTTTTAAGGAAGGAGATACAAGTGTTTCAGAGGATGTAGTCAATAAATGAAATTGTGATGTAAAAATAAATTATAATTGAAAACACACTGGTACATGTACATACTTTTATGGACTGTTTTTTGTAAGATTGAAGAAACATCATTGATAATTAACTTAATCAATTGGTATGGCATTAACTTAACATGCTAGGTAAAAAAATTATTACAACTTAAAAAGCAACTTCAGTTAAAAATATTTTTATGCACTGGTTACTGCCTAGTAGGAAAAAAATTCCAACACTTTGTATGGTGACCACACCTGTACACTGCTAATTTCCTCATTAAAGGAAGGAGTTCATGTGATAGATTGCTTGATCCTCTTCCAAATCAGTCTTGTATCCATATAGCACATGTGGAGAAATTGATGTTCCTTAACAGCACTTCTTTTAAACTTAAAATGATACTGAGCAGTGCTCTTCGCTATTACTGCAACAGCTTGGGTGCTTAAGGAAATCACACAGTAACTGTACTTAACTCAAAAATTGTTGGCCTTCTACTTAAGGAGAGATCTGAGGAAACATGGTGTTTTTCGTAAGGCCTGAACCAAACTAATTCCTTTTGCTTTTTGATATTTCTTTAGTTATATGACACTTGCACATAGAATCCTTGTGAGAGCCACATCAAATAGTACTACATGTACATTTGCACTTGTAGCCTATTATTGTTGTCCTTTAGAATCACTAGTATTTTTCACAAGCTGAGAAGCTAAAGAAAGAACACATTTTCATTTCAATGTCAAAGAACTCTGCATACAAAGCATGTGTCACCGCTTTGAGTAAGAAACCGGAGGACCGCTTATAACTCCTGAGCTCTGCTGCCCTTGTTTACCAAAACCCCCTCTGCCAGGGTCAAAATCAGTTCTATACTCATCTCGCACCTGAAAATGAAGGAGAGAGAAATGTTTTTTTGGCTGCTTAACCACAATAATGTTGCACATCCCTCTTCATTGACATATTTGTAGACTATGATTGGCTGATGGTGACCAAAACTTAGTTGAGTGATGTGCAGGCAAATCCTCCCTGACTATCAACTATCAAAAAAGCTTCCCACTCTTTGTTACCCTATTATCTGCTGAGTGATTCCTTCTAGTTTGTTTTGAGGTTCACAGTAACAAGGAGACCCGTAATTCAGTCAAGCAAACATTGTTAGAGCTGTATTTAAAGGCTTACACTCACCTACCAAAACAAAAACTGTGAAACATTTTATTTTCATAATTTATACTTTATAAGCTTTACAGTGATATGTAGTTTTCTATGGTTTCTTTAAAAGTAGCACATATTGGATGATTTTTTCCAGAAGGTACCTTATTTTGTTGACAGTAACCTCAAGGAAGTCATTTTTGAGGCCTTAAGTTATCCCATATTTTGTTGTGCTGGCAACTATTTTTATTGTTGATGAAGGGTATTCTGCAAAATCTGGAAACATCAAACCTGCAAAATTTCCAAGGTATATCATATGGTTCTACGTGTATGAACCATTAAGTGTCCTACCTGTCCCCCAGTTTTCCCACGACCATATTGACGTCCTTCTACGAAACCTGCATCCCAGTCTGTCCGTATAATACGATCATCTAGTCTTGTTCCATTGATGTACCACATGGCATTTTGTGCATCCTCACGAGTGTAATATCTTGTGGAAAGCTAAGGAAGTGAAATCATGATGACTAAAACAAGACAATTGTTGCACAACTAAATCTTACATCTTGATGACCTCTTCTGTACAGCCACGTAAACCCTTTAACTCCTAAGAGTGACTAATATCTAATTTCTCTTTACAGAATCACGACTTTAAGCCAAACATTAAAGTGATAAGAAGAAAAGCAATGACCACCAACTAAAGAACCTCTTGATTAACGAACAAATTCTCCTGATCAGTACCGCTGTAAATATATGGAGAACAGTATAGAGAATATGTATACAGATGCTGGGTTGTAAAGGGTTAATTTCCAGAATACCAGTTTGTGACCAAAATCACTCTGGTTTATGGAAATTACAAGTAAAAAAACGCCGAAGGTTCGGAACAAAACTGTTAACTAGAGAATGGCGACAAGTTTATGGTGACGACATCAATTTCTTTCATAACTTTTTATTTAATGGGAAATCAATTTGCAACCACATTTCGCTATCACGTTTTCAAGCGCATGAAAGAAAAGATTGTCATTCAAAGCTTTATTAATGTAAAAGGATACTCTACGAAGCAAAATCCGCAAGGGGTCTTTTTCACTTTGTCCAATCCCATTATAATCCTTTTTAAGTCTCCTGCGCGAGCGAATAACTCATAAATCTGTTCTTCCGTAGTGTAAAAAGACAGATTCCCGACATACAATGTCGAACTGGTTTCTAGCAGATTTTCCAGCTCTCCGCGAGTGCCCTATGACAACAACGAGACAGAGAAGAAATTTTAATTTATTGGAAAGCGTAACATCTGAATCATGGTGAGAAAAGAAACCTCTGGAATGAATACCTACCCTAAAATGTTGATCCCGATACGCACTAAGCTCCGCCATTTTGTTTCAAGGAGAACAATTCGTATTCGGCTTTTCATTTATGATTATTGTTGTGTCCCTATTCGTCCGCTGGCCAATCTGATTGAGAACGCTTCCTCGCTTTTAAGAATGGGGGAGGGGTGGGAGATGCTGGCTGCCGATAGATGTTTTTTTTTATTTTCATGTTGTTTTTCCTTTTTCCAAGAATAAAAGTCTGCTCAAAAGTAATCCAATATGTGGTAAATTATCAGATTTTTAGGTTGAGTTCTTTACCTTAGTTGTATATAGTTATATAGTTATCTATCCGCATAAACCATTGTTCGGATAGAATTCATTGCAATTCCTGAACTCTACATAATATTTCGCGTCCATGGTAAACACTTTGGACTGATTACATCGAACAGTTCCCGATGAATGCTCGCAAAAGCATCTGGTCGCTGGTGGCAAACTATTATCATTTGTTTTTCATTTCTCTTCATAAATTATGCAAAACCTGACCAAAGTTTAATTTTGATTTCATTTGAGCAATTATTTAATTCGTTAAGTTGAGTGATCTTATGAAACAAAATAAAAATGGACGATTTCTCGAAAGTTACAAGAAGAATTGTTTCTCTTCTCAGGGAAAAACCACTTTATTTGGCGGGAATGGTGCAACCAATCATATGTTTTAGATAACGTCATTAAAACTACCAGACATGCGTAGTTGCGAATTTTAAAACCCCAAAATTTTAAGTTTTCAGCTGGAATTTTATGTCTTAGTGGAAATTTATGGGAAACGTTTGTGTCCGTTGAATTTGACGCAGGATGTGTTCAAGTTGGATTGTAAACAGTTTCTGTGTTATAGTTGGACTTGTGATATCGTTAAAACTCTGTTCGTCCGTTGCCTATGTTGACGATGACGATTGCTTATCGAGGGGACGAAACTGCACCTGGTGTCTGAACGATGGAAACTGCGGATTTTGCGACAAATGCGGTGATCATTGCCACAAACCTGGGGCGATCCATTCTTTAGAGAACTGTACAAACTGTGCTTCGTGTATTCCTGGCAATCTTGCGGGTTCAAAGAAAGGTTACGATTGCAGAGCAGAATGGTAAGCTTATTAATTCACGATGGAAAGCTATTAATTCACGATCACATCACAGTAAACACTTTCTCGCTTCGACAACCACGCTAGTCTTGTGTTCCACAGCGGACATGACAATTTATGTCAGCCTCATACTCAAATTTTTGCAATTAGCCATGTTTGGAGTTCTTTAGAACATTGTTATCAGGAAATGAAAGTAATGATGCTATCATCCTGTATGGCCGTCTGTTAGTACAATAATGGCGTTATTTCACCTCACACGACTTCGATAAATAGATTGGTGTACACGATGTAAAAATTTTTCCTGTAAGGTTCTCGATTTTAACGCTGTTTACTTTTCAGGCAGTTATAAAGTTCAGTGAACTGAATGACCGGTTTTAAGTTAAAATCCTCTTCAACTCACGTGGTTACTTTTAGTTCATTTGAGCCTGATCTTTTTAGTGCTATTCATCAATTTTTTCGCGTCATTTTCTCCATAAAATATTGCTGATTTCTTCTATTACCCTTTTTCAATTTTTTTTGTTGTATGAAGCACTTGCATGCAATAAAATGTTACTTGGAATATGATATCTTCTTTACATGGAATTAAAGGTTATTGAAGAAGCTTTGCCGTTTGGAATGGACAAAAATGAAAGCTGAGCTGCAGGTTTTACTGAAAAGGTTTTACTGAATATCTTTGAAATTGGTTTGAAATATTTGCATGGCGTTATGAAACACTTGACATACCTCAGAATTAAATTTTTTGAAATGCACCCTCGGACAAAATTTAGATTTTGTCCTACGAAGATCCCAAAGGGAAACCTCATCTAAATTTCACAAAACGTACCCTTTCTTGTCACATGATCTTTGCTTAAGTTTTGAATTAAATCAAATGTTTTAAGGTTTTTTGGTGTGTAAGATGTTAAGTGTATCTACTATAAAATCTGTTTACATATCTTTACATTATCTCGTCAGGTATTATTATGAGAAATGCCCAGAGGTTGTTAGTGAGCAGAAGACTGTGTATGTTGAGATTGCTCTTTATCTTATAAATCTCCATTCTGTGGATTTAAAGGCTGGAACCTTTCATGCTGATTTCTATCTGTACTTCAAAGGTGTGGACTACATTCAGATTTTTTTGTTTCAATGACATCCTCTCAGGTGCATTAAAAGATTCCCACACACAAGAGTTAGCTCAAACTCTAGGTGAAATCTGTATGCCTGTTATGTCACTGACAGATGATGCTATCAAGAAACAAATAGCTGTTTAATTATTGTACCTTCTCATGCTATATCAGGAGTTTAAAATCACAAAATATGATTATAGTGATATGCAGATGATAATCAAAACAGAAACAACAATATATAAATTTGTACTTATAATGATAAAGATTTTTAATCAAGGAAGAGAGAATGTTAACAAAAACAGTAAGAATGATTATTATGATGGCAATGATAGTATATAATTTTCTGATCCTCAGGCCAGTACCTGTTTGCTCTGGCTCCTGCCTCTGCCCCTAGTTGACACTTCAACCCTTTGATCCTAAAGGGTGACTAGCATCTAATTTCTCCTAAAAAAATTACCCCTGAATCACACATGAAGTTGGTGAGAATAAGGGAAATGATCTCCAGCTAAATAAGCTCTTGACTGTTGAACAAATTCTCCTTGTTAGCACCACAGGAAAAGTATAGAGGACAGTGTGGAGAAAATGCATACTGATGTATGGGTATATAAAGGGTTAAAGTATGAGCAAAAATGAGATTTTTAACTGAGTTACTAAATAGAAGTGGAATAGAAGGCTGGCCATTCATTAGGCAACACTGGACTTTCTGAACATTAGAATATTGCTATAAATAAGAAATATGTATGAAATAAGTCAGGAACATTTTCTTTTGTATATAATACAGTACCTGAAGGACAGACAATGTATACAAAACAGAAATGTAAAGATGGTCTTAGAGGAGCTTGCTTTGAGCTTGTAAATGCTGCTGGCCAAGCAGAGGTCAGTAGAACCATCAGTATCTGTTTATAACTAATCCCTTAGAGAGGGAGATATTCCATGATGTTACCTCTAAACTGAATTAGATCAATTATGACATTTATGATGCCACAGGTAACTGCAAAATTTCGAACTAGTTTTGCTCACTTTTCCTCAGAAAAAAAAATCAATACCTCTTAACATTTGAGTCTGAGGTCCAAGCTGCAAGTTACAAAGTTTAACTTTGTTTTCTTCTTCTTGGATTTATGGCCCAACTAAGTGTGAAGTAGGTGGGTCATAAATCTAAGTGAAATACAAAGGAGATGGGTAAAATGAGGTGAATGGGCAAATGGGAGGATGTGTAAAACAAGGTGTTATATAAAATGGTAAATTTTTCCCACTCATAATGAAATTAAAAAAAACAAAAACAAAAAACAAAAAATGTTCCAACATACACATAAAATCTTTGCAGGTCTCCAGCCATGAAGGAAAGTATTTCAGGGTGAAATCAGCTTTTAACTTTGCAGCAGATCTTCAGGACTATCCGTAAGTGTGGTGAATTTACTAATTGACAATTTGTGCTTACAACAATTGTCCCATTACTTTGTAATGAAAGATCTTGAATTTGTTTTGTTTTTTTCTTGTACAGCTATGACAATCAAACACTGAAAATTGTAATACAAGATATGGAAATGACTGCAAAGGAGCTTAGATGGAAAGTTATGCAGGTACAGAATTTAAAAAATCTTAAGTGTGCTATTAATCTTTTAGCCCCTATATCACCCCTGAATCAAGCACGAAAGTCATGAAAATAGAGGAGATGATCACCAACTAAAGCAGCTCTTGATTGTGAAACAAATTCTCCCTGTCAGCCTCTTTGGAAATGTATGGGGAACAGTTTGGAGAATATGCATATTGATGTTAGGGTGTAAAGGGTTTACTAATTTCCAATATGATAGGCATGTAGCTACCTATTTTTGATTAGTTTTCCAATCTCCATTTCATCCAACTTGTTCAAGTGAATGTAATACTTTGACCTGTAGACAGCAGGCCAAATTATTACTTACAGCACTTTATTTGATTACGATCAGATTCCTTTATGAAGATGAAGAACCCTTTCAATTCCCAAAGTGACTTCATAGTTCATTTGTTGGTGGCTCACCCAACTAAATAATGGGAGGGTTCCAGCCCTCTGAGGCCAGGGATTTTCAGGTTATTTTTTTGTTGGCAATGTTTTTCAATAAAAGCACTCACAGGGCTATACTGGTCACATGGGGTGAAGACACTTGGTTGATTTCTCTTTAAATTTCATTGGTTATCAAAAATCAACCTAAGTTTGCTTCCTTTTTAAAATGCATTTGTAGGGATCAGATGACAGTGATTTCAAATTCCGGGGTGGAGTTTCACCAACACTTAACTATACTGGCTGGTTATTTGATACCAACTCTTGGTCACAGATGGTTTATGAAAGGTATGTTACCAGTATATCAGTGTCATCATAAATAATTTGGGATTTTGCAGTGATTTTGCTTCTCCAATCTATTTGATTGGTCTCGAAAACATGTGCCAACTTCTCAACCAACCAAATGCTAAAATTTTAATAAACTGGGACTTGGTTCTAGTCAGTGACTGGTTTTATATCTTATTTGTTGCAAGGGTGACACCAGATGTCTGATCCAATCACAATGCATAATAAACCCAAAACAATACCCTAGATTAGCGAACTTTTTGAAGAGCCAATAAGAACTCAAAGTAAAAACAAGACAACCACATAAAGTGCAAGAAAAAGCTGGCAACCAGGTTGTGATTGGTGTTAGTTTTTAGAATGTGTGGCGCAAGTTTTCTGGACCAATCACTGAGCAAAGTAGAGGAAAACCAATGCATTCCTGCATTACTTTCAACACTTAACCCTTTAACTCCCAGATCAAATTTGTAATTCTCCTTACTCTCAACCATACAATTATTATAACGTTAGTTCTAAGAATTTGGTATTGGATCAACTACTTATCCCCAAATTGATCTTTTCCTTTATTCTCATCACTTATCTGGTTGATATTGTATAGATATTGTAAGGAGAAATTCTGTCTTGGTCACTCCTGGGAGTTAGGGTTAATTGAAAATTGCTCTACTTTCAATACCCAACTAAAAGTAACTCTCCTAGATATATTATTGATACTGGTGATTGAGATGAGTTTTGTTTTAAAACATTTTTCAGGTACAACCCGTTTTTGGACCAAGGAGTGTCTCGCTATGAATTTTTATTTCATATGAGAAGACACAAGCGTGCAGCGTTTTTCAAGATATTTTTACCTCCTCTTTTTATAGTTCTTGTAGTAAGTATATGAATACCGAGAAAAGTTACTTGAAAATATAAATAAAAGTGTAGTGGAGTTATGTAATTGTCACATCCATCTCGTCTCACGATATTTTATTGCACTGGTGCGTGCGTGCGTGGAGAGAAAGCGAAGGAAAAGCAGTGTTTACAAGTGTTTACAAGTTCTCGCTGCCTTTTTCAACCCATTTTATTTTGCATCCTGTGAGCTGAGCTATGCATAACCCGTCATGTAGAGCTAAATGCATTTTAGTACGTTCTTTTGGTGCGACAACCTTACCTACAACATTTTTATCATACTTTCGCCGTACCAGAGTCGCACGTGCACTGCAGGTGGACAGAGTCTGAGATATGATGCTGTCAATTAGCCCCCTTCAATTCTCAGCGACCAAGTAGAATGCACTTACAGTTAAAATACTGTCACCACTGGTCTCTCTCTTGACTTGGCAAAGTTATTTCCGATTGCGAGGCGAGAGCTACTGTTTTAGAATTGTTAAGGCGTTAGTTAAAACTACCACTGAGTGAACGTGACATATAAAGTGTATTTTTTTCCTCTCCTCCTCAGGTCTGTTTTTCATTTTCTATTCCACCAAATGACGCCTCAATGCGATTGTGGATCGATGGGTAAGTGTATTTAATACATGTGTTTCTGAGACTAACCACATGTCGATTTAGTTTTTAAGTGAGCAGGCCACAAAGATGAACTACTGCCTTACGTAGAGGATTTTTGATGAAAAGCAAAAAAGACCACGGTCTATTCTGCTGGCGAAATTCAGCAAGTAATAAACGTTTATCTTCTGAAAAAAAAAAGATTTAAATCGATCTGGAAGAGAGTTTTGCTCTCTATTTGTTTGTTTGTTTGTTTGTTTGTTTTTTTCTCGAACAACCACTGTTCCTTTTGAGAGAAGATTCTGCGGTGTGCGCTAGACCAAACAAGTAAAAATATCACCATTTAAAAGTGTTTGCGCTAAAGTTTCTTAGTTTAGCGGCTGTCTTGAAAACAACTTTTTATCCAAAATATGTTTCTTTATTTCTTTCTTTTCCTTCTTTATTCACAGTTCACTTTTGGTGTCTGCTGTTATGTTTCATGCCACTGTCAGTGAACAAACACCTGATACACCGGTAACTTGGCATTTGGAAATACTAAGAATTCTACTACAGAAATAATTGCAATTTCGTCCCTTGTTCTGGTGCGTTCTTCTATGAATTACCCATATGTAATTTTTGTTTTGTTTCATTGGCAGGAGTTAACTTTGGCTGATCGCTTTATGGTCGGAGTCTATGGCTTTATTTTCGCTTCATTCATTGTTACAATAGTGATGTTAAGACTTCAACGAGAAAACTACTACTACTATGCTGATACATTCTATAGCTACACAGAATGGCTGGTAAGAATTACTGTCGTTTGCCTGATTGGAGGGATGAAACTTTTTCTATATTCTATATTTATTAGGTGGTCTAATAGCAATGGAGAAAGCCGATATCTTATCACGTTGGTTTTTGTCACGATGTTCCATAGCAAGTCTTATAGCCTACCTTTGACCTAAGCCTACAGTCGTCTTCGGATTTGACCCGGGTCAAGATCGGATGTGACTTGCTCTCGAAGTTGATCCGGAACTTACTTTTGACTCCGATGCAAGTTAACTCAGATTTTACATGAGTTCTAGTAAAAGTCTCCCTTGGATTATGTAAACATGTTTTTCGTCTTGTCACGAACGTAAGAAAAAGAAAATAAATAGGAGTCTTCTTGAGGAATCGAACCTTCCAATGCTCCTTCTCTATCTTGGAGTTAACCTTGGTTTGGATTCGACATGAACTCAGGTTTGACTCGGGTTTGACTCGGGCCCGAATGTAACTCCAATACGGGTTTTACGCAAAGTCGAGTGTGATATGGACTCTAAATCGGATTTAACTAGTATGATCGGACTTCGCTACTGGAATTGAGCTTTATTCGTTCGGTGTAAAGAACGAAGGAAAAGTACCAAGCCATTTGACACAATTCCCGACTAATCTGAATCTGTTTTTGTTGATTTTTATGAGCTGATTGTTCTTTATTGCAGGTGTGGTTTACAGCGCCGACGTTCTTCTTCTTTCTCTATTACGTGAATTCATCGCTTGAAAATGTACTGCTTTATGAAGTCCTTGTCGCTGTTTTGTCTCTGATACTCAACAGATTTGTCTCGTGTCTCAAGTAAGAGTCTCGTCAGTACTTTTGGAGTGGGGTTAAACAGGGGTGGGTCAGAAATATTATATTGAGCGAGGGGAGGGTTCAGAATTCCTTCTTGATCAACTCCTCCACCCCAGTAAATCGCATTTGTACGCACATGCACAAATAAAATCACCCAGTTGGTTAGTAATATGCGATCTTGTCGTTGCTATCTTTGCGGTCATACAGGTAGCAAAAACCCTTTGTTTGTGATTAACATGGCTCCAATGATACGTGAACATGTTTTTGCTTTTGTAGATCCCGTTTGTTCAGGTTACTGAAGTTTGACACATCATCAGGAACGAATTGCCAATCTCCGCTGGAAGAGAGTGTTAACCAGCGAGGCGGTGGATATTTCAGACTAACACAAGACGAAGTAAGAGAGAAACGTTGATTAAGATATATTCCAAACATCAAGCTGAGTAAAATATGAAAAAAATTTGCCGCACGCAGTTATCGCAGATCTAATCGAGGCCTGTTCATTTTTCCTTGTCATTCTACAGGAGTCAGAGCTGCAATCACATGCAGCAGTGTGCAAGCCTTGCTTTCCTGGTAACCGTGACAACACATGTGAGGAGCCCTGCCCAAAACAGCAACCCACACCCAATAAGAAAGCTTGATACAGAGTTCCAAACATGAAAGGATTCAGCACAAATATCGTCCTTGGAGCCGTGACCAATTTGTTTTATTTTGTTGTTAGTTTTATCGGCAAATCAGATTCTTAATCTCGCAGCCAGACCTACCCTCTGGGAACGAAGGATTATCTTTTACTATATCAAGATCATAACATTCCCGCGGTGAACTTTTGTCCACTGGATTGACTGAATTGTGCTGGTGAGAAGTCACACCGCCCCTTGGATTTGAAGGATTTGAGGACATATTTTATTCTCACAAAGCACGAGAACCTACGTAGATTTACCAGATCTAGCCTGAGCTTAGATTATCTTTTTCTTCCTGTTACACAATGGTTTTACATTTTTATGAATAGCTGAACCTTACCTTACCTCTGCTCCCATGTATTAGCCAATACCTGATGTCATTGCACAAGATCGGACAGGAAAATTTGAGTGACATGAGATTTCAAATAACTCAAGAAAAATAAGTGTTTATAAGCTTCATTCATTCAATTAAGAATTGCACTTGTGATATTTTGTTTTAATCAGATAAAAAACGTAAGTTTACACTTTTCCACTTTTCTCCAATCTCAGCTTCTTACTTAACACAAGCAGACAACACGTAATATGTACAAGTCACTATGCTAATATAGACGCACAAGATAAGAAGTTACTTTTCATTAAAAAAAAAAAAAAAAAAAGGAGAAACCTTTTACAACTTAAGCTACTTCTATCATGGACTCCTCTTGATTTGATACAACATTAGTTTTGGAATCTTTGGGCAAATCGGGAGAACTGGATGGAAAACTTACAGGAAAACTTCCCTGGAAAAATTGATCAAAGTGAGAAACTGCGTACCTATCTCCCCCCCCCTCCTCCCCCAACCCCACACTAGCCCTAACTTGTTATCAGTTGACTGCTGTTGGGATAGGGAAGGGATTGGTAAGGTACGCAGTTGCTCAGATGCTGATATTGATCTAGAAAAAGAAAAAGAAAGCAAACAAAGTTCTGAATCGTGATGTGACTAGCTGCGTACGGCTTTCCTTTTCTTTTTTTTCCTTTCTTACGATTCTTAAGAATTATTTTCAATTAGTGCGACAAACTCAGCTGTTCAAAATTACAATTTAAATTTTCTCTTTTTGATTCCTGTCCCGGGAAGATTACCAAGGAGCCTCAACCGCCTGTTCTCGACCCAGGTTTCCTGGCTCACGTGCAAACGTGACGACAATAATCCAAGCAAGTTTTCAAAGAAAGGTTGCGTAACCAACCAAATAACTATCCGTAACCATCTTGGCATTAGCCACTTCGCAAGAAATAGACATTCAAAGAGTTAACCTGTGTAGCTAGCAGCTTTCGGAGCGTTCGTTGGAATAGAGACGTCGAGGCGCGAAAGTAGTCAGCGGACGTTAGGTTCGGGCTCTACCATTATTTGCTGTCCTACACCTCTCACGGCCTGGCCGCATCTTTTCACGACGTCTCCGCTTGACTGAATTTCCGCCGTTTACTCGAGTGCGGTCTTCGATCTTTTTCGAGATTCGATGAGAGGAGCGCGGGCTCGTTTCACGAACAGTGGCTTGTAATAAAGCCTTCCCATTGACGCTTAAAAGCGCATACTGAACTGCCACGTAAGAAAGCTTGGATGGATGTTGAAAGAGAAGTAAAATAAGAAGATCCACGAGTTAAATAATGAGAATAAGTCTCTTTTTTTTCATATATATATCCGAAGAGATTTCATGACAGTCAGCCCGGCATGAAACCATCGCTTGAGAATTTTACAGTGTATTAAAATATCCTCAGTCTTAAGATGTCCTGGCCTTCTATCAAGTTATTGGCTCTTCTTCTTGGGATTTCGCTTACTCATCTGTTTTTGAATTATATCCATTACACGCGGCCTGTGATCCAAAACCTGAGGAAAACGAGGACGAACTCATTAGTCCCTAAGATGTAATCAACAATTCTCCCATCTACCTTCTGAAAATTTCCTTGTAAATACGTTACGAGAACCTAGTGTTCTATCAAGATAACACCCTCTCGCTGATAAGCTTGTGTATTCTCAACACCCGCCTGCCGTATGATGTATTGATATTGTAGGGAGAAGTTAAAAACTTTTCAGATCCTGATTAAGTTGATTCCTTAGCACTGTACGGCTCACCCCAGCGGCTTCTTCTTTAAAACCGGAGAGATAAAAAAACCTTTTTTTTTCTTTTCGAGTGAGTGACAATGGTGATCTATTATTTTGCTTGCTTTGCCTGAAATTAGTAACTTATCATCTGTAATGTAACACAATTCCCAGTGTATAATGACTATGAGACAATTATCGGTATAGTGAATCAAGCAAATACTCGCGATTGTAATATCATTATGAAAAATATTATCATCATACACTGCTTTTAACAATTTTCAAAACGATTATCATCATTCAAAGAATTGTCTACCGGGTGTTTCTCCCCTCAAACGAGCCCAAGGAAGGCCCGTTTTAATGCAAAAATTAATCTTCCGGGAGATTTGCAAGCGATGAATAAACTTGGACGAAAATATAATTGACTGCGATGATTCCTTATATAATGTAGTGATCTCTTGCTCACTAAAAGATCTCTAGGTACCGAGACTTAATAACTCCCACCTTGATCATAGATTTTCGCGAATCTCCAAGCTGTTCAACAACCAGCTGCGATCTTTGAATGTTACCCTGACAGAAAAAAAAAAAAAAAAAAAAAAAGGAAGAGAAAAGACCATTTAAGATGCAGTTTATCTGTGCGTTAGGTAGCTTGTTTGCAAAGCTGAAATATTGGGGAAGCAGGAAGGCTTTTCTGTAACCTACTAGACAAAAACCTGATGCGATATAGTTTGGTGGGAGTTTGTTTCTTTGCGTTTTTATCGCTTTGATCGAGTTCAGCTAAATTTAAAATACGAGACATATGTCAATATCTGTTTTATAGGAGCATTAATGTCAGCGGAATGTTGTCTCACCTGAAGTAACTCATTTAACATCACTAAATCGTCCTGGAATTTGGTTTTCTGACCCGGTTTCACCTTAGGAATCTTTTCTCTGATCTCTCCCATCTTTTTCAACACTTCCTGTTCAGCAGCGATCTGAAAAAAAGACGCAATTTATTTCAGGGCCGAATGAAAAGTTTGACAGGTCACTGAGGACAACTCCTCGCCCCAAAGACTCAGGGAACAAGAACCCTGTGGATAAGTTAATGTGTGAGATTCGCTCCAGTTTCTTCCTCACCAGCTCGTCCATTTGTCCAGCGATGTGCTGGACCCGCCAGCCGTTTGCTCTCTGTATAATCCCCTTCTGACTGGCAATTTCTTGTATGGAGGGTTTTCTTTCTTCTGAAAAACAAAAAACAGACGATGAATAAACAGACCCAGACTAATGTTACCTTTAGCCTAAGTTTCTTTCACCATCCTTATTCCTTTGTAAAGCAATTTTCGATGGAGTGTCGAAAGTAATCTAAGATTACAATGGTTTTGCTTCAGCACATTTTGTGATTGGTCCAGAAAACTCGTGCCACATTCTCAACCAATCAGATAACGAGAAAAATCCAACCGCCACTTGGTCGCTCGCGTTTTCCCGCCTTCCGAGCAGTTTGCTTGTTTGAAATCTAAACTATGATTCGCTCCTCGTGATTTTTGTCTCTGGTTCTAATTGTGATTGTGATTACTTCGATTTTGGTTTAACAACCAAAAACCCGCTCTGGTTTATTCTTACAGGTTGCGTAACATCACAAAGAAAGGCTGCAAAGAAAACTCGCAGAAGTCGTGAGGTAATTTACACTGACCTTTTGCCTTGACATCAGAATACCGCTGGAAATGGTTATGAGCAGCTTTTGTGTTGATCTTGTAATTCGCAACGATGGAGATTTTTGGCCTCTTTAGTAGTATGAACTTCAAATCTTCATCTGCTGTTGAGAATGAGAGAAGCAAAGAAATGTGCAAAACTAAATATATTGACACAAGGGGGGAGTAATTCCCTAATCCATACCCTTCCTTCCTTCTTTTGTGTATCGAACACTTTCCCCCCCCCCCCTTTGGTAGTAGGGGTTTAATTGTGTTCCACAAAACTTTGCTCTGTTTTGAAGATTTGGATATGTCTCTGCCTTTCCTCACTGAAATACGCCGACACAGCACACTAATGTGGAGATAGTTCTTACCTTCATCCTGTTTTGGTTTCTTGTCTTCATCTGTTGGCGAATCAGGTTCCATGTTAACGTTACTACCGAACTTGTCTTCCGTAGCGACACTGCAAATATGAGGTTTTCATAGTTTAAGCACTCTTGGGTTGCAAAAAAGAAAACAAAAATGATAATAAAACAATTACAACAAAAAAGTAGGCTTTTTTTACACTTATCTGGCGGTTTAGCCGTTTGATAGCATTGTCTTCCCTTTGAACCACTGAGCCCTGACCTTTGGTTATACGCATACTTACACATTTTGCTTTCGTGGTTTTTTCCTCGGTGAAGCCGCCTCGCTGCTCGTAGTTGTAGCATTTGCGAGTAAGGGCGTGGCAGGGGCGGCAGGAGTGTTTCCGTTCAACACAGCAGTGGTAGCCACACTTGGGGTAGGTGCCGCCTCGCTGGACGGTTCTCTCTTGACTTTACTCGGTGACACGGGAGCGGTTTGATTGACAGCTGGCTGTTCTGTTGTTGTAACACTGGCTGTTGTTACGGCTGCAGTTTCGTTCGATTGACTTCCAGAATCACTGAGGCAACAAATTTCATATTATAATGAACTATACATTAAACTCCCTTTGTTAGCAAAAAATAAAAAATAAATAAATAAATAAAACGTCTGCGGAGATCAACCGGAAATGCACGATAATGTGAATGCAACAATCAACCTTCCTTGAAAAGAAAAAATGAGGTCTGTTTGTTAAGCAGCAGCGCTAAAAACCTACGAGACAGGTAACGGCAACTCAGTGTAACTGCAAAAAATTACTTTGTGATTACTTCCAGGATTAAAATGTTAAAAAGCGTAATTTAGTTTCCAGCAGGCCTCATAAAATATTGCAGTGTTGTCGATGCATACCTTGCGGGTTTAGGCGAGTTCTGTGTGGAGTGTGGTGCAGAAAGTGTACTGTCCGATCTTGGGCTGGCTGCGGCCTCCGTCTGATTTGATACCAGCATCTCAGCGGCAAACGGCAGTTGGCTTGGAGGTTTACGCACCCTGAAAAAAAATTTCAGAGAGCAATTCTCAGTCGATTATCGAAATTAACCTGAGATGGTATTATTTCCACTTTTATTTGCTCTACCCTTGCTCTAGAAAAGTTTCGCCGCCCTTAGAAACAAACAAAACCTGAAACCACTCGGGTCACTCGCGATTTTTCGCGCTTCAAGCAGTTTTCTTGTTGTTCCTTTCTAACCAATCGTTATTATTTCCTTGCTATTTGTTCAACAAAAACCAGTCGGAATGCCCTCTATATTTAATCTCGGCAACCGAAAACTTGAGCGGAAGTCAAAGTAACCAATCACAATTGACAAATGCGACAAATCTGATCGCGCAGCCAATAACATTGCAGCAAAAGCGACCCTCAGTTTATCGAAAGATCTGTCTCCTTCCCTAACAACACTCCATTTGACAACTGATATCACATGGTAGATGACACCAAAACGATCTATGGCAAAAAAAAAAAAAACATCAAAGTGGTGGCTCCTCTTTTTTCACCTACCCTTCTGAAGTTCTCTTTCGTAGAATGCTTGGCCGCGGAGATGTCGCATTGGGATTTGGAGCTGTCAGCTGTGTGGCCTGGATTCCGGCTGACGGTGGGACATTGAAGATTGGAACACTGTATGTACCAGCAATTGCACCACTGATGTCCATAATACCAGCACTAGCCGGCGTGTCTGTCCCAGTTAAGTTCGCTATACTTGAAGCTGAATGATTATAAATAAGGATTTTTAATAAGAGCAATTTTCAAAACGCAACTTTGCTGATACTGCATCCAAATGAATGCTGGGATTGGCCAACCTTGGTCCCTCAAGGAGAATGATGTTTCGCTCGGCCTCGATATTTGTTGTTGTTGTGTGAGATGCAGCCTCGCAAATTATTTGAAAAAAGTATGTTTGCAAACCTTTTTTCTTTCCACAATGGCCGACGAGATCATTGATCTGTGTGGGAATGTGAAAATTACTGTAGATATCCCAAAAGGTACAAAATTTGATCAAAAACCAATTTCCAATTCATGGGTTGGTGCAGAAGTCCGTAAAAAGTTTCCTTACACAGGCTGAACTGCAAGGTCAAAATACCACAAAACCAGGCCTGATGACGGTGCGATAGTAGCAGTACAGCGTAAACGAGGAAGGATTGGGTCGGGTCGCGTAAAGCCAAACCTTCCTCGCTATTTCACACTTCCGCTACTATCGCGGTTGATCTTTCGCGTGATCATTGCAGGAACCGGGTTTTCCACCCACGCACGAGCACGCGTGGCCATGGCGTGGTGCGCAGCCCGTATGCGCCGTAGCAATAGCAGGCACCGTCCTTAATAGGACTTGTCAGAGAGACGGCCGTTGGATGGCAGACTTCACCCTCTAGTCTAGCGTGTAAACCTTTCTAAAACTGCCAACATTTCAAACTGTCCCAAAATCTCACAATTACCTTCCGCAAGCTCTCTATTTCTGTATTTGTGCTTTTTTACCGCTGCCATCTTTAGGAGTGATACGGTGTGGAAAAGAAAGTGCGCCCACAGGCTACCCACCTAAGGTCTTCAAAAACATAGACTACTCACCTCCAACACCAAGTGCTGCAGATGGTTGGAAAATCAACCTTGAATGATCCATAATCTGCATAGGGTTCACTCCAGCAGCTGCAGCAGCAGCCGCAGCAGAAGTGACCACACCCTGTGATCTGGCAAGAGACGGCATTGGGCCAAAGGCTGGTTGGTGATACTGTGGATGAAGCCCTGGGTGCACTGCTATATGATAAATTTTGTTGTTAGAATACTTTTGTTAATTAGTTCACAAATGTTCATGTTGTGGTTTAATTTCACCCATTGTTTTAATTCGCTTTTGTTCCAAACTCCATACCATAAACTAAAACACCACAACCAAACAGACAAGAGAATGAAATTTAAACAAACAAGCTATAACTGGTAAGGAGGCGTTTGAATTTGATCAGATGATTAAAGGAGCAAAGTGAATACTCACCAGATATAGCATCTTGATAAAATAGACCTGCCATACTAGCCATAGGGTGGTAAGGGAACTGAGGCAAGGCCTGATGTGCTCTGGAGTAAAAAATAAATAAATATATAAATTGTAATAATAACAATAATAATAATGATAATAATAAATGCTGTTATAATAAATAGTAAATGCTCTTTAACAAAACCATGTCAAAACTATCCTACAGTTAGCTGAATCTTTTATCCAAACATTTATTTTTGTAAACAGTGTTGAGAGGGCCCAAAGCTAGCAGTGGAAGGACATTTATTTGATGAAAATAACCCTCTTGTATAGAATACATAAGACCCACTGCTTGGGTAAAACCGTGGTTTGTGTTACATCTTGTGTAAATAACTAGTGCTATGGATTTAGTTAACAAACCAGAGTGTTCTGGTGGTTGAAAATGATGATTAGAGGTGACAGCCTTATGGCAATATCTAAAAAAATAATGATTAACATTTATATGGTGCAAATTAAATAAGTGCATTATCAAATGCGCTTTACACAGACTTAAAATTTTTGTTTGTAAATACAGCTGATGAACATTTATATATAGTTAAAAATAACTAAATATTTACAATACCTAGCAATTCCCCTAAGAAGATAAAAACACTACATTACTGGGTCAACAAAAAGAATCTTAAATCTCCAGTGTGACTGTCACACCACATATCATGCAAAAAGAGAAACATGTCCAATGTCTAATCTAAAATTTATGAGTCTTCAGGAGTTTTAATAACTTTATCCATAACAGCTGTCAAAGTTGTAACAGAAAGCTGTGCCTGGAAAGGGGGCTGAAGTGAAACTCAACCATACAAGCCTGCTGTATGGCTATTCAGAGGTCTTACTGATGGTGGTAGGCTACAGGCAACCTGCTACTAATTAAAACCCTTCAGACTTGTGAAACAGTCTTGCCCAGGATTAGTTTTACAAAGAATCAGTCAGGCAAATACAGCTGAAATTTAACCATCCCTGCTAAATTTACAAAAAGACCAAGTTCCTTACAGTACCTGTCCATTCGGCTTTCATTTCCAACAACTGAAAACAACCAAAAAACAACTATCATATAACTTTTTGTGAGTTTCATGAATGAGGAAAGTCTTACACTCACAAATACACAGTCAAAATGATTTAAACCAAGATTTCAGCAGCATGAAAACCATATGAAAAAAATAGCCAAAACAAGCTCAAGAAATGTGGTACCTGAGTTGAGAGAAGGCCCAGCCATGTGAGGAACAGTGGAAATAGTGCTGGTATGATGAGATGACACTGTTGCTGGAGATGCCGTCCCACTTGGTTTGCTCAACCTTGCATGATCTGCTGCTGGATTCTAAGGGTAAATGATTTTGAAAAAATTATTTACCAGTAGCACACCAAGAATGCAAGTTGGTATGCACAAGAAATGTCTGAAGAAGTTTTGAGCTTTAAACTAGTGAGAGGACTGTACTGGGTTTCTGAACCTAGATGGCCTTCCTGCTGCCCTGAAAATTGGCAGGGAACCTTCAGTAATTCAGGAACAGTGCAGTGGAATCTCATGGAAACTGTAATGGCAGAAAAACCATTTTAAAGCTGGCACCGAAACAAGTCAAGGGATTTTGGTGGACACATACATATACATAACGAGCCAACCCATATAAGCAGGTTGGGTAAAGAGTAATCAAAGATTTGCTTGGAGAAAGCTGCAAATGATCTGGAATTATCAGCCTGAAAGACTTGACAAGACAAGCAGAACAGTAAATGTAGAATGCAATGTACACAAGGAAAGCCTAAGGCCTTCCCCTTAGTACTTTCCCAATGTTCAAGTACATGCAGATCACATATCACCCTCTCAATTAACCTCATCTAAATTACATTTAGGCATATTTCCTTTAGCTAGCTTAATCTGGTGAGGGCCTGAAATTACATAACATTTACAAGGTATTCATAATAGTATATTATACTAACTGGCTCCCCAAGAAGCAAGGCATGTATGTATTAATATTGCCATTCTTTCAACAACCTACTGCCTTGAGTGAAATGCTGTACATACCGCAGTGGATTCCAAGCTTGAGATAGGTGGCTGCCTTGGAGCCGTGAATGCAATGTGAGGTGGAGTATAGATTCTTGCTGTTGTTGTCAGCACAGCTGGTGTCACACTGACTGTGTTTGACGAGACTATTTTTGACGTTTGAGAATGACCAGACATGCCAACAGCAGCTGATGGCATGTGAGAAATGGTGCTACTGACAGATGTCCCTGTACCTGTAACTGGTCCACTACCATGTGCGGAAATGGGATGGTGTGATGACACTGTGGGAACAGACTGTTTTGGTACTTGATGACTCTGTGAGAGAGGTGCTGATGGTACAATAGAGATGACTTTGTTACTGGTAGAAGCTGGTGGATGGGCTGGTGCCACTGCCTGAACTGTGGGTGATGCACCTCTTCTTGCCAAATCAGTCATCAAACCTGGTCTTGCCTCTCGCATTTCACTTGACTTGTGGTCTGCTACAGGCTGATGCAAAGATGAAGAGACTGCGACAGTAGCAAGATGAGAAGAAGAAGATGGGCCAGGGGATGAAGGACAAGAGGTGCCTGTTGTTATGGGAGCCTGTGACTGACCACTGTTATGAGTTTGACTGGTGTGTCCCATAGGTTTCACAGCAGCTGGCATTGTTGGGGTACGTAAAGAAGTATTCCTGGGTGTTACCCCAGCAAGTGCCCCTGCAGCAGCTCCTACAGGGACATGTGAGAAGGCAGGCTGAGGCATCCTCATCATTGAAGCAATCAAAGGATGGCCAGCATTAAATCCTTGCATGGTGCCAGCAACAAGACCAGGTGCAAGGTGACTAGGGATCATTCCAATAGAGCCTGAAGCTGGAGCTATTGGGCGATTCTGAAGAGGTTTTCCCATCTATAAGAAAAAAAATTTTAAAAATAAAGAAAGACAGTCTGCACATAAGTAATTATGTCTTATTGGATGTTTTGGTGTTTAGTATTGCTTAGTATTTTTCCAAGTTGTGCTGTAATTTGACGAGCCCTATGGGCTTGTCAAAATACAAACAACAGGTAAAAATACTCAGTGATACTACACACCAAAACATCTAATAAGTTATTCATTATCCAACTGCTTTTTTTTTTCTTTCTTTTTTGAGTCTTTCAGCTCATTTCTCATAAGGTGGGAAAAGCAAGGTGGATGGAGAAGTGTAGTATGCATAGCCAATTGATTTAACAGGTTTTTTACAGTACAAAATAACTGGCTGTCCAAATAACTGTTCAATAGTACTGGATATTTGCACTCTACTTTGTGCAGTTGGTTAATAAAAATAGATATCTATCATTTATGAAATCCAAGAGACAGAGAAAAACTCAAAGTCCTCTGTGAGGGTTTGAATGTCACTCAGTTCTGGAAACTCTGCCAATAACACAGACGTGCAGCAAAAGAGCTGTAAGCTACAAAAAAGTTTTCCACAAATCTGTTTGTCACAAAATTTTAGAGGTAGAATGGCCCTGTCTGAAGGCCTACTATAATAAATAGGAGAGGCTGATAACAATTGAAACTGTTACTTTAACAAAGGATTCATTAACTCCTTCCAGCAAACCTTGATACTTGCTTGATCAACATGCGCTCTATGATAAGTTCCACTCTCTGGGCCTGCCATTGGGACTTAATTCAAAAAAAGAATGTCCAGCATTAGATTAATGCATAATGCAAAAAAGGTTCTGAAAAGGATATCATTTAAAGGAAATATTAACCTTACAGTGGGATGGGTGTCCTTGACACCTTAAAAATGGTGGTGCGTCATGCATAACCAGCAATTATCTTTAAGAGCATGTATTGCCCAAAATAATATGTGAAAATGCAGTGTCCTTTTAGCTGAGTTGGCAGAATTCAGTTTAAAAAATACCATAAGTTCAAACCATAAAGAAAGGCTCTTAAGAAAGACCCCTTCCTCTCACAGTGCCTCTGCCCACCAGGAGCTTCAGGGGACTCTGTCCCAGTGAACCATTATGGATAGGTGCCACACAGTTCTTACAGTTTTAGCTCTAAGAATATCAACACCCTCTGGAGATAATTTTCTTATTTTCTTATCACTCTTCTGCTTGAAAATGAATTGTTACTGTAATGAGAAATAACTCATTGGTCATGATGGAGGGTAAAAGTATTAAACCTTTGACTCCCAAGGGGTGATAAAATGGTAAATGATACATCTAAAGACAGGGAATAGTGATTCATAAAATTAATATTAAGGAAGCATGCACTTTTGATGTACACCACATTCTCAGGGAATAGACAGCAAATATTTGTATTATCATCAGTTAGTAGAATTAATTCTCATGTTTTGGGAGGAGAGGTTCAAAATCACCTAGAATATGCGATTGATTTGAACAACATTCATAAATTAAAAAAAACAACCACCTTGGCAACATTTTAATGCTTCCAAAATAATTATTTAATTCTAAATATTTATGCAGTGACCAGTTAATAAACGTTTAGATTGAAATATTAAGATTAAAAGGCAAGGAAATAAAACAGTTCGTCACGTTACAGGAACACGAATTTGATAAAGTGGACTGATAATTGCTTAACACTGTTCATTTCAATTTCTAGAATATGGAGGAGATATATTCTAATCGGCATTCAAGTGATAAATGCAGACATATTTTACCTAAGGAGCCACATGTATGTGTCGGTTTGATTGTGGAAATTATTGAGCGATACTTACTAACAAATGTACCGTTAACTATTGCATGACTAATACATCAAGGGTTACAGGAAATTGTTCTTAGATAAAACCATGAATACCACATAAACACACAGGCATGCTCAAAATCGAAGGGGATGTTTAAATGCCGAAGAGGATCTTGAACAATTAGAGAATTCGACCATATCAAATCTTATTACAAATTTCACACATGGTTAAAAAGGTATTAATGGAGTCTGTTCGATTTCATGACAACTACATATTCGCTGAAACGATTAAATTTGACAGCAATTCTCCAGCTATAAGACATTAAAAAAAACCACACAACACAGGAAGGACGAAAAAGCAGAATACCTCCTGGATTGGCGTTCAAAACTTTAGATTTGTCGTGTTTTTCTCCGTCTTGGGAAGGATTCCGAGACTGGCCGCCAACAACATCACGTTCATGTCGATCTTCATTTGGATAACTCATCGTTTAAACGCAAAAATTCTGTCACATCCAGGAAATTTCAAAGATAACGGTGGCCAGTTTCCGGTAAAATCGGAATTAAACGTTTGGGAAACATTGAACAGTTTTGAAATTCGGGGGCAAAACGAGAAACCCAGTGATTTTTTCGCGAACGCTTCTCTGCGCATGCTGTAGCAGTAGTCAACAGAATTGTTTCGTCTCACAAAACATCGTGGGCTCTGATTTATGATAACCTTAGAAACGGCTGTGGTTATTTTTTCAAAATATCAGTATGTATATTTCAAATTCTTAGCTTTTGAATATCTCTTTTAAAACGTATTTATGATTCCGAAACTAAAGCTTTGAAAGACGATCATAAAACATACATTTTGGACCTAAAAGTGCACATACCGGAAGTAGGATTATGTAACGCAATCATTCGCGAAGTTACTTTCTTTGGGCATATGCAAAGGTAAGAATACATGTGTAAATCACATGACCATATGAAGTCCCAAAGTTATAAAAATCCTGGAAAACAGAAATTTTCCGAACTCGTAAGTCGTGTAACAAAGGCTTCGGGAACTACGCGTAACATTTTCAAATATAATTTTTAAAATGTTATTTTTAGGAACTGTTTAAAAATACCACATATGAAGGGCACAAAAAAAATTCCCTATTCAAAATAAAAAGATACGATCACACTCAAATTTTACGTTCCACGGTTAGTACAACAAACAAGCCCCCGAAACAGTCGGCAAGGACGGCACAGTAAGGGCTGTACTCAGTCCTCCCTTCGTGATCATAGCGTGCAAGTTTCATCTCGCTTACGTCAGAGTTTTACAATGCGCAAGTCACGAAGGAAGCCGTCTTCAAGATGGCGTCGAGCGTATACCTTGTTGCGGCCGTATTGTCGGTTTTCTCTCTCATGACCGTGAAAGAAATCATATTTCCCACCAATGTTCAAGCTTCAAATCCAGACAAAATGGACAGATTACAAAAAGCGGCTGTATTTACAGGACCAACGATCAAATTTTTGTATTGGTAAGTGGTTTACTATAACAATCGAGTTCCTCGAATTCCGAGAAAATTGATTTACGTAACTAAGATTGATTCTACAGTTCACAGAAATATCACAATCTTCATCTTTGTGTGTAAATAACGATTAGTTTAAATGTTTTCTTATGTTTCTCTTTTTTTAAGATCTACCAAATGTCTATCAGCAAAAGCTTAGCAAAAACAGTATTGAAGTGTACGACGCTTATTAAGTATAAGAAGTCTCACTGAGTTTTAGTGAAGTATTAGCAAGGTCTAATATTAATTTCCTTAGGATCGAATTTTTTAAAAGGGTAGTCTGTTGAGATCTTAGTAGAAGGAAGTTATTGTTTAATTTTAAAGTTCGAAGGAACTTTCTTTGCCATTAACGATAATACGGACATAATACTTGATTGATGAACTTTTTAGGACATGCATGTAGCCTTGAACACTTGACAAGATCTGACAAAGCAGGACACGTGTTCGCGTGTATCGATTGTTCATGCCATGTGTTAAGAAATACTTTATTTTGATATTATGCGAAAATATTGATAGCAGAAAATAATTTTTAGCTCAGGTTCAAATTATGTTGCAGCTTATCTTAGTTAAGTCAATTTGATTTCAATGTTGGATTTATTATTCAAACACAATTACTTCCATTTCAGGCGGTAACCAGTAAAATTTACCGCCTGTAGCACCCTATATCACTGCCTAAAATCAGCTGGAATTCCTGAAAATTTAACAGGTATAAAGATTACTCTACTGGCTTGAAAATTTCTTTTACCTGTTGTGCTTAAAATAATGGAGAATACTAAAATGGTTAAAGTAGGAACTCCAATCTCCAGCTGCTGCACTCTACAATATGTTCATTATAGGTGGGAACATGCCTCATCTAAGCTAAATGCCATTTGTGTGAACAAAAGCATAATAAATTTGACTCCTGTTGCCTGGATAAAACTTTGTGGCATTGTATTCTTAGTTTGCTTTTGTCTCATGCTCTCTAGTTATTCCTGAGGATACAGAAAGGTGTTTGAAGAGTATGCACAATTCATTCACCAAAACTTTCCCAAAGTTCGCATAGAAGGCGACAATTATCCTCCACCCCGTCCCCGTCAGATGTTGGCTAGTGTTCTCAGTCTTGCCAAATTAGCAGTCATGGCAATTGTTCTTCTTGGTGAGTGGTTACAGATATGGGAAAGTCTTAATGTTGACCCACCTCAAGTTTATATTTGGGCCACACAGAACAAGGTATTTAAGATGTTTTGTATTTAATCTGTCAGAAACCCTTTTGGAGGTTTACAAACCAATCTCTGTCAGCAACTAGTATTCTTTACTGAGCAAACCACTGGTCTTCTTGGAACACTGCACAACGTGCTTAGCCCAGTATTCTAGGGAATCACCAGCAACCAGCATTTTCATTGGTTTCTGCAACTTTTTTTTCATTCATTTGCTATTTACATCAGAGTTCTACATTTAAAATGTCTAGATCTCAATTTAAACCATCTGTGGGCTAGTGTTTGTTGTGCCTATAAAAAAATTCTTTAGAAAATACTCTTGACTATTTGATTGATCTTTCACCACTGATCATGATTTTCAGGCTTCTTGGAGCCTTTTGTAGAAAGCAACTGTAAAATTTGATCACAGATACAACTGGTTACATTCTAGTTATCAAGAGTTTTTTTTTCTTTCAAAACCACCATCATGCCCCTTGTGTGGACTTACAGCAGGGATGATCAATCAGGCTAATTTAAAGCTTAACCTGCAATCCTCTGCTCAGGAAACATACACTTACCTAAAGTAACTAATTTTTTAGCACAAAGTCTTCAACAAGGACTGTAGAAAGCTAAAAGTCATGAGGGTTCTTTTTGTTTTATTACACAGATGTATGCCTGTATTCTGATATTTTTTGTCACAAACATGATTGAAGGGCAGTTAATATCCACTGGAGCTTTTGAAGTGTCACTTAATGGTATGTTCATTTTGACAATTTTGCCTCAGAAAATTGCAGTTGTTATGTAATTTAGCTCTAGATGTAAAGTTCATTCCCATTCTGAGTTCAGATATTTAGTGTTATCAACTGAGTTGATAATGTAAATTGGCCATGGTAAATAGCTCAAAAGCTGACATTTTGAGCATCAGCCCTTCAACATTTACTCTGACAAAGGGCTAACACTCTAAATGTCAGTTTTGAAACTCTTTACAGTGGCTAATTTAAGTCATCGACTCAATTGATAAGTCTAAATTACCCTGTTATACTCTCCCACTAATACAGCACCACAGTTTCTTTAGAAACTTACCCCATTTATTCATTTGTTTTCAGATATGCCAATTTGGTCCAAACTTGAGTCTGGTCGCCTTCCAAACCCCAGTGAGCTTCATCAGATCATTGAAAATCAGCTCAAGTTTAGTCCTATACATTAAGTAAGTCTTTTTGTAATTACCAGAAGTACAAAGTTTTTCCCCTTTTTTTTAATATGCTTTACTTGCATTGCCATACTTGCGATATCTTTAGGATTCTAATTACAGCTAATGAACCTGTTCTAACAAACTTTTCTTTTTCCTTCTCTCTACATGTAGTGTAGTTGCTGTCTATGTCTTTGACTTCATATTTTAAAAGAGATTTTGCTGGTGAATTATAATTATACTTTAGCATACAATTAATTAAAACTTCATGAAAAGGGAGGTGAAAACTAAACTGTCTCACCATCCTGCTCCTGGTCATTGAGATGAAGTTACTGGAAAAAAACAAGTCATTTTCACCAAGATTGTAGCACACAGAGTTATCTTTTTCTCCTGTCCTTATTGTTTTGCCAAGGGTAAACTAATTCTTGTCTTGTGTTGAAAATGTATTGATGAAAAGAAAGGATGTCTCTAATTGGAGGCAAGGAGCCTCTACTGCATGTAGCACTAAGCTACAGAAATTTTGCTTTCATCATGCAAAAGAACAGGGAATTACTCTGAAAACTGATATCTGTGGCTGCCATGCTGTTTGGGACAGGAAGGAACATAGGGGGAAGGTTCTCTCAAATTTCACACTCTTTGTAATTTTTTCTTTTCCACTTTTCTTTCCAGATCTTTGGCTTTCAAGATGAGGACTCCCTGATTATGACGTTTGGAGCAAAAAGTGGTTGTGCCACTGGCTCCAAACTGACCCCCTCTGGGAAAAATCATTCTTTTGGAAGTCAATGTTTGATGACCAGGAGTAAATATATATGCTGTATAGTATTTAATTCACACAACAATGGGAAAAAATTGTAATTTCTTTTTGAATTGATCCTTTGATAGACCATCAGAAAGCAATTGTGTAAATTAAGTAGCTAGTCTAATGTAGTACACTGTTCTTAACAAAATTATTTACCTTTCTGTGCATACATATAACTTGTTTAATCAGGATTCACCATTTGAACTACTGGTAATCTGATTTGTCTGGCAGTAAGAAGTGCTATGCCACAATGCATTTAGGGTGGGAGGGATATGAATAACTCAAGTAAATATGTTTAGAAATAATAATAAAAAATTTCAAACATGGTCCTGTCTGGTGTTCAATGTTTCAAACCAAATTTCCCAACAAAAAAAAACATGCTGAGAAGAAGCTAAACAAGGTCCACAGGAGAGTCAATACACACCCTGCAAGATCCATAAAAGAACATTATCAGTGTTACAAAGTGGATTGATATAACTCTAATAATGTCCAGTATTATCAGGATGCAGTCATTGTTGATGTGGATCATGACATGAACCTTTAACACAAAAAATGTCAGTTTGCATATTCTCCCCACAGTTCCCAATACATTTCTTAAGGTTCTGACAAGGAGAATTTGTTTTAAAAAATCAAGAACTCTTTAAGTTAGTGATTATTTTTGTGACCTATTAATGTGATTTGGGGCTGATAAAGAAATGAGAAATTAGATACTTATCACTCTTGGGGATCAAATGCTTAACAACAGAAAACAAGACACTTGTCATCAGAGCTAGATGGGGCATCTAACCATGAAACTGGTCATGAGTTTGGATACTTAAATGGGACTCATGTCAAACATTCACCATAATCCTTTCACTGTTAAGCAGCCTGACACAAACCATATAAAGTTTGCACTTCATTTATATTTGAAATCTACACACCTCATTAATCAATTGATTTTTGTACCTTTTCATCGATAATAATCGTATCTATCACTTTCTCTCTCAAGTCTATCCAGAAATTCTTCATTCTTCCTGTAAATGATAAAATAAGAAAAAGGGCTTAAGTATAAATCAAACAGAATGAATATATAATGTGTTTCTTACATTTTTATCATCGTAAATTAAATAATTACTTACCATCTGTGGTCATTCCTGTGTCGCTCCATGGCTTCCTGAGCTCTAACAGCCCTCAGAGCTTCATTCCTCTCTGACTTTAGTAAAGGAGATTAAAAATGGATTCAGTATTGAACAACAATGATATTTACAACTCTGTTAAATGCAATTTAGTGAATATTGTAGTCTTAGCCGTCAAATGCAAGATAAACATAAATGAAGTAAAGAACAAGAAAGAACAAACAAAGTTATTTTGTAAATGAAATCACTTGAAATTAAGGATGCATTGCAAGTAGGGCATTCACTGCATGTTGATGCCTGACCACTGTAACCTACAGTTACATACATTGTTAACTGTTAAACCCCTAAGAGTGACTAGAATCTAATTTCTCATTACTCTAATAAATCATATTTAGGTGACAAGAAAAATGGAGATGAGCACCAACTTAAGAAGCTTTTGATTGCAAAACAATTTCTCCTCGTCAGCACCTTAGGAAATGTACAGAGAACAGAATGAAGAATATGCATACTGATGTAAGGGTGTAAAGGGTTAACCCTTTAACACCCAGAAGTGATTAACATGAAACTTCTCCCTATAATATCCATACATTATTCAGCAAACAGGTAATGAGAATATTCAAACTTATCAGGTAGAAGCTGCTATCTTGATCTAGCTTCAAGCTCTCATAACTAATTTACAAGGAAATGTGTAGCAGCCAGAGGGGAGAATTAACAATCAGATCTTGGGAGTTAAAAGGTTAAGGGAAATATTTCTACCTGAGCCCTTGCTTTTGCCTTCTTTTCTTGAAGTTCTTTCTCCTCTCTTTCCCGCTTCTCTCTCTGCCATTGTTCTCGTTTTTTCTAAACATAACAAACACAACTATGAAAAAACTGTCACTGGCGAACAGACCAAGCCACCGATAGCAAAAATATTTAAAATACTCCTGTTCATGTTTCCCTGTTCTTCTGAAGTCAGTGCCAACCATTTTTCCCCTCCAAAATGCCCACTGCAAGCTTGAACAAGCAAGACATCACAAATGTCCTAATCCCCTGAGCCCTGAGTTAGCATCTCCATGGGAAGCAATGGAAATCAAATATCCCTCACTACACCTCTATGTAGGAGAGGTGGTAGGCAAGACCTCCTGAGGCTGGGCCTCCACAGGTCAGAGATTGAGCCTTTCTGAGGGTTACTGCATTTTTGGGTTATCTGGGGGGGGGGGGACTTGCTCTCTCAGTCCTCACTCCACCCAAATGTTACTCATGGGTACTCAGAAAAATCGTTTAAAGACTGAAGGTAACCTTTCATGGATCAGCTTCTCAATCAAGAGGAGATGGAATACCTGTGGTCAAACTGTTTTAAAAAACTGGGATGTGATAAGCTGCACCAATTATGCACATCATTCTAGTAACCACAAGTCATATATAAGAGGTGATCACCTGCATTTCTAGCCCTTTGCTTGCCGATGTAACAGCCTTCTGTTTCTGCTTCACGACTGTGGAGTACCCAGTTGTACCACCCACTCTGGCAGGTCTTTCATGAACATGTTGTACACGTCTGGCCTCTCTGTGAGCCCTTGCATCTTCTTCTTCCCTCCTAGCCACTGCATTAAAAGTTGTAAACCCAGTTTATAATGGACTGATGTTTACATTTTCCACATTTGCTGGACTGGTCTACGCTGAGTTGTAGTGGACTGCTCTTGACTGAATCAAACTTAAACCTATACTGATAACTGCAGTTCTTACAAATTTAACAGGCTAGGGAGTGGGGTGTTTTTAAAGGACAGCAGGCTAATAAGAGTGAATGTTCTTCGAAAAAACTGCTGTTTTGAGCATCTCAGACTAAAGGAGAATGCTTAAAATCACGTGCCCCCAAACAAACGAAAAAAACCAATCCACTTCTTCACTATGTCCTTCGCCTATGTCTCGCCGCTGTTGAGCTTCATAGGTTAGTCTGAGGATGTGTATCTGAGAACTTCATTTTTTTCCTCCAAAATTTAAAGAATACGCAGTTAACAAATTAAGTCCCTGATCGAAATGAATTAGAAATACATGATACAAACAGTTCTTTTTTTAACACAGCAGTATTTGACAACAGATATTTTAGGGGTAATTGATTAAAAAAGCATACTTTCCGTCAAATGAGCCCTCTTCTTTTCGTCTGGTCTAAACATGGTGAATCCATCTCTCCTGTTAACTCTAGGGTGATTATAGAAATTGTTCAGCATTTAAACTTGCAATTTCAAGTAATCGATGAAAGTAATTACTGAACGGCAACTGATTTCAAAGAGCGTATCATATGGAAGAAGATTCAACAGAGCATAAGTGATTTATACACCCCAGATCAATGGTTTGACCAATTCAAACATGTCAAATAATATTTTTGGAAATATAAGGTAAATTCGATTCGGTCGATTCGCGGCGTTGATAACTAACCAAGAACTTCGGGAACAATATTCTACTAATTCCACAAATGATGCTAAGATCGATACATTGTAATGCAAGGGGGTTTCAATCCTTTTTTTTTTTGGTAAGAACTCGCCTTTCTAGGCTCGGCGAGGCCGTTTCTTCTTGTTGTGGTTGTTCTGCTTGGCTTCCGGTAGCACCTTGGCGTTCATTTTGTCCTTCGTTCAAGTTTGTCCTGTAGGCACCGACGCCGTTTGAATTCCTGTATGTTCTCGAATAACTCATATTAGAAGAGAACAATTGCAAAGACTGCGTTTTTATCAATCCCTAAGTTAATGACTGAAAGAGAATCACAGAAGTCTGTGCCCTACGTAGATTAACGCCGGATGAGTGCTTTCGTTTTTCTGGGAAAAAAACCATAGGTCCTTTTCCGGGAAACTCCCGCTCAAACATGAAGATGAGGCTCGTTAGAACCCAATATTATTTTAGAAAGATTGTAGAATTGTAGAAGAAAATAATAATAACACTGAGAAACGGAAATATTTCACAAACACTGCAGATTATAACCTTTAATCCTCCAAATCCCAAATCCCAAATCCGTTTTTTGTGGGTAAAGTCTCGTAGAGACTTCCACCCACTATGTTATTTTGTTTTGGTATAGAAAACCTTTACTGGGGACGGGGACAGTTCGGCTCTCGCAGTCCGTGGACTGTGGAGCAGTGACGTCATAGCCAAAAATATTTCAGGGATTAATATCGGATGATGTTATCTTTGCATCACCTTTCATAAAGAGGTAATGATTGCGTGACTATGTACTCCGACCAACACAGCAAATCAAGCATATGGACAAGCTCAAAGATGGCGTTGTTGACAATGCTTTTGCTGTCATTGACAGTCAATTCGGCTTTTTCAGCACGGATTGCTGCCTTTTGCACGATAGGAAAATCACAGTATATGAACTTAAGGGGTATTCTGGAAGAATTGGCTTCTCGAGGACATGAGGTAAGACATGATTTTGGTCATTGTCAAATAGGCTGACTCTGCGCTGGTGGGTTAAAAAACCTGAACCTTCTTTCAAGTGGCTTCATATACCCTCTCGTCTGAAATTTGTTAAGCTAGTGATGGAAAAATGCTAAAAACCTGAGACACCTACAGCTGGCTCAACATAGAAGATTACCTTTACCGCTAACTTCGCATGATTTATCTCGATACACATTAAAGCTGCTAGCATCAACCACGTCAGTCCTTACGAAACTTAACAGGCACCTCATAACATACAAAATCCTTCCATCGGTTTGGTTAATGCAACTGAGCATGGGTGATATGGATCAATATCTTCTTAGATTCAATATTAAAAAAAAAATAAATTAATAGAATCCTCCCGTGACATCGTCGTGATATTATGCAAATAGAGATTGGTTGAGTGTTTATTCGAGAGTCGAGCTAGCCCTTATTTGCGCAATATCTTGTGAAGCATTGAAAATCAAGAGCCAGAGATTTCTACTGCATGCGTTACAAAAGACGGATATTACGGAAATTTACAATTTGAATTTTGGTATTTGGGTGCGTGTTACTTTGGTCACGCAAATAACGTAATTACACGCCTACTCCAGCTGTCTATCAATCCAATCCTTGTGGGTGGTAATTCCTTACTTCAGCAGGAGACAAAGGTATCGCTCACGTCTTTAAGAAGGAAAACTGGTTTAGATTTTGACAATAGTGGTCTTAAATCGGACAAAGTTTAAAGTCAGAATTGGGAAAACTGGGTGTCAAACCCTTATCAAAATAATTCAAAATAATAGATACTCGGGGAGCAGCTGGATAAATTATTTGTCGAACCTATTTTTGCTTCGCTGAAGTCTCTCGCCATGCTCTCCTATAGGAGTTCCAGACTGATGTATTTTTTTTCTTTGTGGTCAGAGTACCTTTTTTTTCTCCCAGAGAGTTGAATTTTTGTGTTCTTTCCAGGTAACTATGGTCATTCCGTCGACTGAGAAAGTTCAGCTCAGTGACCGAGTACAACACAAGATTTTCAAAATACCGTACGAGCCTGGCTTCATGGAAAATGAATTGCTGAAGCTCGAATTAGAAGGTGACAAGTTTCGGCTTCTATCCAAAATGATGGAGGTGCTATCCACCGTGTGTGAAAGTGTTTTGAACGACACAAAGATTATGGAGGAACTTAGAGGCTATGATCTTCTTGTGTACGATGTACTTGGAGTATGTGGTGCCCTTATCGGTGACCGCCTTGGTGTTCGGAGGGTACAAATTTTGGTGACTCCTAATAACCCTTTTGACCATATGATACCCACTCCTCTTTCTTACATCCCCATGATGGTGCTTCCAGGATTCACGGACAAAATGACATTTTTGCAACGAGTTACCAACGTAGTCGCGTACATTGGACTAGGCTTGTTCAAAGATCTGCTATTTGCAAGATCAATGAATGCCTTGAAACACAAATACAACATCACAACTGAAAGAAGCTACCAGGAGACTGTTGACGGTGTGGAACTCGTTTTAATCAGGGCAGATTTTGCGATAGAGTACGCTCAACCTCTTTTGCCAGGTAATTTTTCCCTGACCTCATTATGCCGGATGGTACTCAGTCTAAGCTAGAACGAAATTATGTACCAATGCGGACGTAGCTGAGGATTTTCTATTTGGTTTTAACGTGCCACACCAACGATACCTACCTAACTGACATTCACGCTCGCTTTTTTTTACTGAAAGTGACTGAAACTGCATTACGCGAAATTTTTGGCCACGGAATAAACAACTCCACGTCGTGTAGAAATAAATACAATTCACTTTAATTCCTCAACGGCGTAAATGACTTAGGTTGAAACTCAAATAACAAACGATTTCAAAAGTTACACAATACATGATATAAAGAAATAAACAACGCGACAGAAAGAGGAATATAAAACACTTGCATTGTTACGGCCACAGAAAAGACCAAGATTGATACTGTAATTGTGAAACTGCTCAGGTCAAAAAAAAAAGAAAAAGAGAAGGACGAGCAAAAACAGCGGTACGCTACTGAACTGCGCTTAGTGCGAAAAAACGAGAAAACAGGCATATTACTGCTATATGTACATCGATAAATTATGCGAAGTAGCAATAAGGCGGCAATGAGGTAGCAGTAAAATGATAAAAAGGCGCTAATGAAACAGTAAGTATAAACTTTCGCTAGTTACGGGTTGAAAAGACTTAAATAATGAATTTTAAACACGCAAAGAATCCAACACGAAAAAGTTTTCGCACTTAGAACTTACAGAGACATTTATTTTTGATTGAACAACGACTAATGCATGCTGAGTAGATTCTTCTGCTTTATCCTTTCCCAGCACCTGGATTGTAAAGTGTTTTTGTTGGGGACTTAAAATAGTCCTCTAACAGAGGCGGGGAGAGCATGGGCAATCCAGGGCTCCCTTCCCCGTTACGCTCCCGATTAGTGAGGTATGTGTAGCACAGAATAGGAACGGAGTGTGAAATAGTCTTCTTTCTTGGGGTTGTCGTGGGGAGTGTGGCGTGACATTATGAAACAAGCTGCGAAAGTGGAACCGAGGTGAGTGAAGAAACCTGGGGAAAGAAGTTGAAAATTAAGAGGAAAGGAGAGGAAAGAAAGGAAAGCCTTTAAGATTTGCACTTCCTCAATTTGTTTCTGTTGTTAAACAAAATACATTCCTAAATATTGCATCCTTGTCCGCGTTACTTTTAAAAGGGAATGTCATGGTTGGACCACTGAATGTCAAAGATGGTAAACCACTCCCTCCTGATCTAGAAGAATTCGTGAATGATTCGGGAGGGCATGGTTTTATCATTGTTTCTTTTGGATCAAACTTGGCTTCGATTCTTCCAAGAACAGTTGTGGACATGTTAGCGACAGCATTTGGAAAGCTGAAACAGAGAGTTGTTTGGAGACTAAAAGGTATCAATGACATTTCTTATATTTACTTTCCTTTAGACGTTTACTTTAAAATAATTCTTTTATCTAAATGACACAGTTTTGTTTTCGCACTGATGGAAATTCCTCACTCTACCAAATAACAATTAAAGATTTACATCACGTCGTGACTATCAGATTTTCCAATCGTTTCTCAGCTTGAAGGAAACAGAGAACTATCACTACATTATGGATGGTTGAAAAGGATGAAAAGACTGGAACGACTTAAGCTTTCTCTCGAGAAAAAAAGCAACTTTGAAAATCGTCCGTTGCTGCCATGAGAAACCTAATTAAGCCTTGCACTTAAAATAAATGTTTGTTGACGAATGTGTGAGGCGTGCATACACGCTGCTTTCTCCTACAGAAAAAGATCCGAACGCTAATCCGTCTGCGGCTATTTTATTGTGGATTGTAGACAAAATTTTATTCTTTGTCTTTCCTATAACTAGTTGTCTGCTCTCACAGGTTATATTCCATCATTCTTGGGATCTAATATTAAAGTAGTGGAGTGGTTACCTCAGAATGATCTGTTGGCTTACAAGAATATCAAAGCTTTCGTCTCCCATGTTGGACACGACAGCCTTTATGAGTCAGCATACCACGGAGTTCCTTTAGTGGCTTTCCCTCAATTTGCAGACCAACATTTCAATGCCAAAAAAGCAGAAAATCTGGGTATTGGTTTAGCTGTGGATCCTAAAGGCTGTAACGCTCAGGAGCTTTTTGACACAATTCAACGCGTTATTAGTGAACCCAGGTATGGCTGATGTACAGTACCTTAGTGATGAAATAACGATGAAATAACGACGAAATAACGACGAAATAACGATGTAACAACTGTCACGTAATCTTCTTCACGGCCGCTTTTTAGAAAGTCACGCAATGTTGCATGACCTTGTAACGAGCGACCAAGGAGGAGACCACTGTCGTGGAAATAATCCAAGTATCAGCAGATCTCCTTGGTTTACTTTGAATAGCGGCATTATGGTACGTCTCAGTAAAATGTGATCATTTGCCTTCCTTTCCTCAGATTTAAAACAAAAGTGCTTCACGTCTCTAGCCTGTTAAAGGATCGTCGACGAACACCTTTAGAAGAAACCGGTGATTGGCTGGAGTATGTAATTAGACATGGAGGAGCTCAGCACCTCAGAGCCCAGGTGTTTAACATGCCTTGGTACCAACACTACTTACTCGACGTCATGGCATTTCTTGTTGCCATAGTAACATTGATTATCGTTGCGATATGGTTTGCATGTAGATGCTGCCGTCGGTTGTGTTGCAAACTGACTGAAAGCAGACCTAAGAAAGAATAAAATACGTAAACACCGGTTTGACTGTTATTTCAAAAGTGATAATGAGTGTATCATTAATTAGGACATACGACTAGTTACTTTTCTAACAAGGATTGAAACGTTTGATTTATGCACCAGTCAAAATATAATTTCTTCTACTGTCGCTTTTTACGACATCTGGATGTCGAAACGGCTTTCTGGGAAATAAAACTGGTATAATTGCTGCGGTGACCAGAGGGATACACACGCTCTGATTGGTCAAGAAGTGTGTCATATCTCGCTATAATCACCTCGCGCTAGGTGATTATCGCAGGGATGCTAAATTTCAAAACAACTGCCTCGCGTTTTGTCAATGTTACTCAGGGAGTAATCAACGAGATAAAAGAAAATACAATTCTGAAGAGCACGAAAGATACTTCTAAGTTTGGGGTAACACTTTTCAAAAGAAAGGTATGAAGTTTCTGCTGATCGAACTATTTAAACCTGTTAAATACTAGTTGTAACAGAATGGTTTCAACAACAAAACGGTTTACAACAGAACTCGAAAGCGCCTGAGCAATTACACAAAAATAATTATTCACCTCAGGCTCAGTGAACATTACTAAATAATACGGAAGCCCGAAAGGGACAATCCAAAAATATTTTGTAAAACCGAAAAAATATTCGGAATCAATATCTTTTAGACAAATCGCTTTTAAGAAGTTTGTTAAATCGAGAAAACAATTTTAAATCCTGGTTTAATTTATAGATTCACAAATAACATTCACGAAAATCGGAAATAGTTCTCAATCCAAGAATCTTTCCAAAATCCAGAAAATTTCGCAAATCGAGGAAAATATTGTTACGTGACACTTGCGCCAGAAGTCAGCACTTTGTCACGATACAGCACATCGTGTCGCACTAGGTTGCACTAGGTCGCCTTAGACTCACTTTGCGAACGGACTAAACTGTACCAAGTGTATTGCGATGTTCTACAACAAATGTGGAAAATAATTTGTGAACAATGAGCTATTCTGCTGTCGATGTGGAACATTAAAGAGACCTGAACATACACGTACAAAAGCCAAAGGGTCACGAACGCTTATTGCCTTCTGCCATAATATTGGAGTCTGATACACAATCAGTCCTTGCTGAAAACAATTTCTAAAAAACCTCCGATCATCTCTTAAAAAAGGGGAGAATCCCTTAAACACATTCAGGAAAGGTCAGAAAAAGCTGCTTAACCCAGCATACGGCCCCACGAGATCCAAAATGGAAAAAGAAACGAAGAGAAAGCGCGGCGTTCAGTTGCTTGTTGATTGAGTAAGAATGGGCCGAACGATAATTATTTGGTTTTTAGTTCAAAAGTCATGAATTTGAGCCGATCAATTTACCGTACGATTCTCCCCGGTAAGGTCTGTATTCTACGTAGATCCACTTGCAAATTGCTTTGGTTTTTCGGGGAAAAAGATAGGTCTATGTCCGGGAAACTCCTGCCCAACACGGACCGTGGAATAGTGACGTTATCGCCGGAAATATATCTTTGGTCAATATTGAATTATGCTATTTCTTTTCTATTATTGCATCATTATTTATAAAATCTGGTTCTAGCAGATTGCGTGACTACTTCTCAAAGTAATCCGACTGACGCAGCAAAGTTAGCATTGAAAGAGTTTCAGCCCAAAGATGGCGTTGCTTGCTTTGCTTTTACTGTCATTGACGGTCAATTCGGCTTTTTCAGCTCGAATTGTTGCCTTTTGCACGATAGGAAAATCACAATACATGAACCTCAGGAGTATTCTGGAAGAATTGGCTTCTCGAGGACACGAGGTAGGAGAATTTTGATCAAAATCTGCGGTGGTAGGTTAATAAACCTTCTTTCGAGTGGTTACATATTCCTTTTCGCTTGAAATGTGTTAAGGTTGTGATGAACAAATAGCAAAATAACACTTAACGGCTCAACATGGCTCGATATAGGGGATTACCTTTATCGTTACCTTCACTTGATTTATCTGGATATACAGTGAAACACAGAAGCTAATAGAATTTACCGCGAGAACCGTCATGACACTTAATAGTCCATAAGATCCAAAACTAAGAAGAGGTGAAATTGATCAAAGTCATGTTAAATAGCAAATCATCCCGTGACGTCGACATCATGCAAATCAAAACTGGTTGTGTGTTTATTTAAGAGTCAAGCAAACCCTGATCTGCGCAATATCTTGCGAATAATTGAATTTTAAGAGGCAGAGATTACTACAACATGCATTACAAAGACGTTTTTTGTGGAAATTTACAATTTGAATTACAAAAACGTATAGAAAACCATTATTTTGGTACTAAGGTCTATTCCACGATTGACTGATTTCTTTAAATAGTCGCCTACTGGCTGTCAATTAAACCCTCGCGGGGGTTGATTTTTCTGATAGTAGTGACAGAGGCATGTACGGCCCTAAAGCATTTGATTTTTGTGCTTTGTGATTACAAAAACGTACGGGTTTAGATTTTGACTATTAAGGTCTTAAATCGGATACAATTAGGGTAAGAATTAGGGTAAGAATTGAGAAAACTTGGCTTCAAACTCCTACCAAGATAATTGGATATTGTCGACTGAGTTAATAACGTAAATTGGCCAGCGTTAACCCTTCAACTCCCATGAGTGACCAAGACATAATTTCTCCTTACAATATCAATACAATATCAAGCAGACAAGTGATGAGAATAAAGAAAAATATCAGTTAGGGGAATATAAGTCGATCCAATACACAATTCTCCAAACTAACATCACAAGATCTCTATGGTAGACAGTAAGGAGAATTACTAATGAGATCTTGGGAGTTAAAGGATTAAGAGTTTGAAAGCTGACGTTTCGAGCGTTAACTAGCCCTTCGTCCTTTGCTCTGACGAAGGGCTAACGCTCGAAACGTTAGCTTTAAAACGCTTAGCCCTTTAACTTAACGGTGACAAATTTACATTATCAACTCAGGTGATAATACAAAATTACCCTGTTATACTCTCCCACCGACACAACGCCACAGTTTCTTTAGAAATTACCCCCTTCATTCATTCCCTTACCGAGATAGTCGAGGAGTAACCCATCTCTGGAGACCATTTTCGCAACTTCGTTCCCAGGGTGCTTTTCTCTTAAAAAAAAAGGGAGAAAGGAAAAGCGCCCAGGGGAACCAGATTGAAATTTTCGCTGGCACGCGATTGGTCCAAGAAATTATGAAGTTTAAAATCCCTTGGATTGGTCATGTCGAAAATTGAAATGATATTTCTCAAGTGATTTTTCTCACTTGAAAGCGTTTTTCTTTCATTGCATGAAATAAACTTTGGAATGAAAGAGTACATGTCAGCATCTTAAACTTTATTTTAAAAGGTATTCTGCTAATGACTTTCGACTCAGAAATAATAGAACATAGACATCGCAGTATGGACTATGGACAGCGGACTGTTAATGGCGGGCTAGTCCAACTTCTACATAGAAGGGACTCAATCAGTGCGAGTTACAGACTTCAGAGTAGAACTTGCATGGCCAGCGCACAATGTGGGGGCAGAGGGAATCCCAGCTAAAACTGGGCACAAATTCAACTCTACTTTCTCACTTTCCTTTGTACACCTGTCACACAAACGTTTCGAAATACAGACCAATAAACAGACAATTTAAGAGAGAATAAACAGACAGTTTTAAGAGAGAATCAAGAAGTCTTTTGTTGATTTTTCACTTGTTATCTGGATAGCGTCTTGATCAATCAATCTTCATATCTTTTCTTGTTTCGCTGTAGTCTTTTACCCCACACTGATATAAGATATCCAGCGCAACATTTATTTTTCTTCGGGATCAGAGTGCCTCTTTTCCAGAAAGTTGACTTTTTGTGTTTCATGCCAGGTAACAATGGTCATTCCGTCGACTGAGAAAGTTCAGCTTAGTGACCGAGTACAACACAAGATTTTCAAAGTACCGTATAAGCCTGGCTTCTTGGAGAATGATATGCTAAAGCTCGAACTGGAAGGTGACAAGTTTCGGCTTGTGTCCAAACTGATGGAGGTAATATCCACCGTGTGCGATAGGGTTTTAAACGATACAAAGATTATGGAGGAACTTAGGGGCTATGATCTTCTTGTGTACGATGTGCTTGGAGTATGTGGTGCCCTTATTGGTGACCGCCTTGGCATTCCAAGGGTACAGATTTTTGTGAGTCCTAATAGCCCTTTTGATCATATGATACCTACACCTCTTTCCTACATCCCTTTGATGGTGCTTCCGGGGTTCACGGACAAAATGACATTTTTGCAACGAGTCACCAATGTAGTCGTGTACATTGGACTAAGTTTCTGTAAAGATCTGATATTGGCAAGGCCAATGAATGCCTTGAAAATCAAATACAACATTACAAATGATAAGAGCTTCCAGGAGACTGTCGATGGTGTGGAACTTGTTTTAATCAGAGCAGATTTTGCCATAGAGTTCGCTCAACCTCTTTTGCCAGGTAAGTTTTTCTCAACCTCATTATGCCGGATGGTACTCAGTTTAAAGCAACAGAATGTCTCCTGGTTTAAAGTTTAAAGTTTAAAGTTTAAAGTTTAAAGTTTAAAGTTTAAAGTTTAAAGTTTAAAGTTTAAAGTTTAAAGTTTAAAGTTTAAAGTTTAAAGTTTAAAGTTTAAAGTTTAAAGTTTAAAGTTTAAAGTTTAAAGTTTAAAGTTTAAAGTTTAAAGTTTAAAGTTTAAAGTTTAAAGTTTAAAGTTTAAAGTTTAAAGTTTAAAGTTTAAAGTTTAAAGTTTAAAGTTTAAAGTTTAAAGTTTAAAGTTTAAAGTTTAAAGTTTAAAGTTTAAAGTTTAAAGTTTAAAGTTTAAAGTTTAAAGTTTAAAGTTTAAAGTTTAAAGTTTAAAGTTTAAAGGGAAAAATGGTGTATCAACGGGGGTGTACTTAGTTATTTCAAAGGAGGGGGGGTGGAGGAAGGGGGAGTGGATAGAGGTGTTACACAGTATCATACCCAGGGTATCTACCTAACTGTCATTTCGACATCCATTCTGTGTTTTACCGAAAGTGAATTTTTCGAATGAAAAAATGAGTGATGCATGCCGCGTAGATTCTTCTGCCACGTCCCCTTTTGCCACCTCAATTGTAAAGTTTGTTTGTTGTCGACTTAAAACAGTTCCTCCCCCTCCCCCCGCGCAAAGGGCTGGGGGGGGGGGAACACGGGCGCCGTAAGACCTCTCCTCGTTACGCCGTCGATTAGCGCGGCATGTGTATCACAGAAAAAGAATGGGGTGGGTAATAATGTCCTTTCTTGGGGATGTCACGAGGGTTGTTGCGTGACGTTCCAAAACAAGCTGTGAAAGTGAAACCAAGGTGACTGAAAATGCGGGGGGATAGCAATGGAAAAAATAAAAGGAAAAGAAGAAAAAGAAAGGAAAGCCTTAAAATATCTCAACTTCTTAACTTAGTCTCTGTTGGTAAATAAAACGCATTCGTGAATGTTTCATCTCTGTTCGTATTATTTTGAAAAGGGAATATTATGGTTGGACCACTGAGTGTCAGAGAAGGTAAACCACTCCCTCCTGATCTAGAAGAATTCGTCGATAATCCAGGAGGGGATGGTTTTATCATTGTTTCCTTTGGATCAAACTTGGCTTCGATTCTTCCAAGAACAGTTGTGGACATGTTAGCAACAGCATTTGGAAAGCTGAAACAGAGAGTTGTTTGGAGACTTAAAGGTATCAACAGTATTTTTATCACTACTTTCCTTTAAACGTTTACTTTCACCCCTTCACCCTCAAGATCTCATTAGTAATTCTTCCTACTGTCTGCCATAAAATACTCATGATGTCAGTTTGGAGAATTTGGTATTGAATCCACTTGTAGTCCCCTAATTGAATTTCCTTCTTTTTTCTCATCACTTGTCTGCTTGATTATGTATTGATATTGTAAGGAGAAATTCTGTCTTGGTCACTCATGGAAGTTAAATGATCAAGGTTATTCCTTTTACCTAAGTGACACGATTTCATTTTCGTACGTATTGAAATTCCTTAATTATTATGCCAAATAACAATGTAATGTCAGTGAGTTACATTAGGTCGTGACATTGCGATTCCTCGGCTTACTGAGAACAGAAAACTACCACTACGGTAAGATGAAGAAAACAAACACACGCACGCGTATACACACTGAATGAAAATCAATATGCCAAGAACAGAAGGATGGTTGATCGGGATGGGAAGATTAGATAGATTAGCAAATAACAACTTTGGAAAATCGAACGTAGCACCCATGAGAAGCCTAAGCGTTATATACACAGCTGTCCCTAACGGAGAAGATCCGCATGCCGATTTGTTTTCGGTTGTCATTGTGAATTGTTGACACAATTTCATTCCTTGTGTTTCGTATAACTAGTTGTTTGCTCTCACGCTGCTTTCCCTTACAGAAAAAGATCCGAACGCTAATCTGTCTGCGACTATTTTATTGCGGATTGTTGACACAATTTTATTCCTTGTGTTTCCTATAACCTGTTATCTTCTCTAACAGGTTATATTCCATCGTTCTTGGGATCTAACATTAAAGTCGTGGAGTGGTTACCTCAGAATGATCTATTGGCTCACAAGAATATCAAAGCTTTTGTCTCCCATGTTGGACACAACAGCCTTTATGAGTCAGCATACCACGGAGTTCCTTTAGTAGCTTTCCCTCAATATGCAGACCAACATTACAATGCCAAGCAAGCAGAAAATTTGGGTATTGGTTTGGCTGTGGATCCTAAAGGCTGTAACGCTCAGGAACTTTTTGACACAATTCAACGCGTTATTAGTGAACCCAGGTATGACTGATGTACCGTGAAATAACGATTTAACAGCTGTCACGTGGTCTTCTTCATAGCCGCTTTTAAGAAAGTCACGCAATGTTGCATGACCTTGTAACGAGCGGCTAAGGAGGAGACCACTGTCGCGGGAATAGTCCAAGTATCGCAGATCTCCTTGGTATACTTTGAATGATGCATTATGGTACGTCTGAATGAAATGTGATCGTTTGCCTTCCTTTCCCCAGATTTAAAACAAAAGTGCTTCACGTCTCTAGCCTGTTAAAGGATCGCCGACGAACACCTTTAGAAGAAACCGGTGATTGGCTGGAGTATGTAATCAGACATGGAGGAGCTCAGCACCTCAGAGCTCAAGTGTTTAACATGCCTTGGTACAAACGGTACTTACTCGACGTCATGGCATTTCTTGTTGCCATAGTAACATTGATTATCGTTGCGATATGGTTTGCATGTAGATGCTGTCGTCGGTTGTGTTGCAAACTGACTGAAAACAAACCCAAGAAAGAATGAAATACGGAAACACAAGCTTGACTGCTGTTTCAAGTGGTATATCGCTTTGATGACACGATGCTTTTGAAATTCTTTTTTTTATATTTTTTGATGAAAACAAAACATGTTTCGAATGAAACATCATCAATCACCCGAAACATGTTTTGTTTTCATTAAAATATTCATATATGTATTTATAAAATCAACTTCAAAAGCATTGTGTGGTTCATCAAAGCGACATCTTACTTTGTGCTGCTACGAAGCCTTGGTAATACTTCAAAAGTGATAATGAGTGTATCATTAATTAGACATACGACTTATTGTTACTTTTCTACGTTTCATTTGTGCACCGGTCAAAATTGTTTCTTCTACTGTCGCTTTTTAACAAGACACTAGGATGTTGAAACAGCTATCTGGGAAATGATTTTGGTAGAATTACTCCAGTTTCTAGGGGGATGCACATGCTCTGATTGGTAGAGAATTGTGTCATATCTCGCGTGAGGTGATTATCGCAGGGATCCTAAATTTCAAAATAGCTGCCTCGCGTTTTGTCAATGTTATGCAGGGAGTAATCAACGAGATAAAATAAAATACAGTTCTGAAGGGCACAAACGATACTTCTAAGTTTGGGGTAACACTTTTCAAAAGGAAGATATGAAGTTTCTGCTAATCGAACTATATAAACATGTTCAGTTCTAGTTGTAACAGAATGGTTTCAACAACAAAACGATTTACAACAGAACTCGAAAGTAGCTGAACAATTAAACAGAAACCATAATTCACCTCAGGCTCAGTGAACATTACTGAATAATCTCAGAGGCTACGTCCCTAGGATTATTTAACAATATTTACTTCGCCTTCGGCCATTAATTACTTAACAGTAGTAATTCCATTTGTCATAAGACACCTACTGTCCCGCGCGCACATTTATAAAAAAACGAACCAGTAAAAGGCCAGAAAAAGCTGCTTAACCCAGCATACGGCCCCACGAGCCACATTGACCGCGGCGGTCATGTGATAAATTTCTTGTTGACTGAGTAAGGAGGGGCCGAACGAGAATTACTTGGCTTTTAGTTTTAAGGCCCTGAATCCGAGCCGATTAACTTACCGTCCGGTGCCCCATTTCAAATACAAGTACATATTACAAAAAAGGAACAAGAACGTGACTGCAACAGTTAGGCACGTTATCTTTTCAACACAGTTAACTCGACTGTACACCAAAAGGTGACAATAAATAAATACAACATACAACGCCAGCTAAGATATCAGCCAAAACTTTGTTTTTTTCTTCCAACGACTCCTTATTTCAAAGGTAAATATTACTCTTTGACTCCTACGAGTGATCAAGACAGATTTTTTCCTTACAATATCAATATAATATGACGCAGACAAGTGATGAAAATTAATAAAAGTATAAATTAGGGGATTAATTACTGATCTAATATCAAATTCTCCGCACTAACATCAACAATCGTATGGTAGACAGTAAGGAGAATTACTTAAGTGATCTTGGGAATGAAAGAGTTGAACCCTGCCTACAGTTGCCCACACGTTAAGATTTTTGCTCCGCCACTTCAACAAATAATAGAAAACTCTGTAAAGAGCTTAACAGAGCTAGATAAGACTGAGTGTCGAAAGCAATACTTATTAACTGTGGTTTTTTTTCAGATGGTGTGTGATTCAGCTAGTTAAGCCTACCCAACAATCAGATGAAATTTGTTGTTGCATGTCTCATTGGCTATTTTACAGTGCAACTTCCGTTATCGGGGTCAATTACGCAAAACTGGCCAATACTAATAGGAAAAGAGCAACAAATTTCTTCTACACTCATTGTGACCTTTGCTGGCAATGGTCCTTAGTTCTAATAGTGTTCGTTTCCGACGATGTGATTGGTTAATTTTGTTTCACGGGTTCAGTCTAACCTTCGAAGGCCGACACTCAATCGAAAAGCGCCCTAATTTTCTACTTTTTATCATTTTTTTTCCTCTTTTGTTTCCTTTTTCGTCAAAAAGCTGATCGATAAGCATGATGGAGTGTGTCAAAACATGAGTTGTGGTATCTATCTACTAGGAGAAAAATGAAAAACCGTGAAAACGAAAACCTTTGAAATTTACTCCAAGGCATGTACTTCTTCTTCCGCTAGAGTATTATCGTCGTTGTGTTTTACACTGTCAATATTTGCACTGTAAGTATCAGCTGAGGTATTGTCTTCTTCGCTTGAACTCAACCCAGACCCAAAGTCATTACTCTCAATACTGTCCTCGTCAAATTCCTCCTCACCCTCCCCTTCCTTGTCGTCTAATTCACACTGCGTCAACCGGCCTGTAGTCGAGGCTAATTCCCAGGCCAGGTTAGTCAAGGTGGCGCGGTCATCCTCGTCTTGGTCCGCTCTCTGGTCATCTTGATTTCCTTGGAAGCAGACTTGTGCGAGAAAGTCGTCATCGCTATCATCCGACCAATGAAAACTAGGAGGGTTTGGGCTGAGAGTCAGTGGAGAAACTGTGGAAACACGATGTACTTGACTATAATCTTCAAAGCCTTTGGGCAGGTATGGTGGAGCCCTGAGGAAATCTACGATTCCAAAGTCGTGAATCATGGTATCATTCGTGAATCCGGAGTCATTTGCCGTGGGTGGGACTATCGTAGATGACTGTGAATCTGGTCTATCGTTTCTTGTCTCCAGCAACTCTGGTGCTCGTAAAAGAGGTATAACAGGGCGAGGGCTGTCTGTGCGGGCTTCCTTATCACCATCTTTACCCAGTTGTGGTTGTTGCTGTTGCTTATTTGACCTGTCAATATCGTTACTAGAAAACACGCTTTCTTGTGGTTTCCATACATGTTGTGATAACAGAGCTTTGCTTAATCTTTCGGGTTTCACTAATACTGGGTCAAAAATGGTCTTCCTATCGCGAGACGTTCTCCCTGAAACCGATTCACCCCGGACACCAGCGAGGAAAAACTCCGACAAACCAACATGATGGGGCTGAGGACTCCACACTCTCCCTACCGACCCATCAAGTTGTGATTTTGTTCTCATATGGAGTCCCTGACGAGAACTTGTACTACGTGATGTCTGCTTTGAACGGGGCGTGGCCTGCCCCAAAGAGAGACTTTGAGCGGGTACCGATGCTATATCCTCTACCACCAGCGCGTCTGTATTAGCTTCGAACCTCCCCGTGGGGGTCATACACATAACGCTGACCCTACCGGTGCGTGATAAAGGCCTACGCTGGGGGTGGGGGTTAAAGTCCTCTTCCTCGACTATACAGGCAGTTGTCTCCTCTCCGTTCAAATCAGCGTCGTTCACTTCTTCAATAGAAATCACACTTTTGGGTGGCATTTGAAAATTTTCTTGGCTAGCTTTCCTGTCCGGAGCCCCAAGGCTTTGGAAAATTTCTCTGTAATTCGTTCCCAGCTGGTTTTCATTCTTTGGACTTTCACTGTTCGTATTTAATGACAGTTCTGAACTGTTGTATTTCTTTCCTTTAGAAGGTGCTTGTGGACCGTCAAACGTTTGATCGCCTTGGAGTTTCTTGAGCAGCATGCGGTCAAGATAACTTAATGACTTGTTCGGTCCAAAATTGACCTTCACTTCTTGGTGTCTGGTTGGTTGTGGGGTAGTACCTGTCTCACAAGAGCTGCCTGAAATTAAGAAGCACATTGGGGTGAACATGTCAGTTAACCCTTTAACTCCCAAGATCTGATTGTGATTTCTCCCCTGTAACTGCTATACATTTCCATGTAAATATTAAGTCAAGATAACTACTTCTGCCTGATAAATTACGAAGAAAGCCGCTCGGAAAATCATTGCAAAATTATGCATTCCTTAGACCCCTTTCAAACCGATGATCTAATCTGCAACTCTTCCATTTTACTACTGTACATCTGTTCGTAAAGTAGGCGAGCGATTTTGAGTTTCATCAGGCTGGACCTAAAGCTAATTAGCTTATCCAGCCATTCTCAGTATCAGCTACAACCTATCACAAAGTTAAAGAAAGGACTCAAACAAAATTCGCATACTTTTTGCATTTGTCGGATTCTTCTGCATTTTCTCCTCTTTTCCAGAATTTCTCCATTCCATGAGAGCCTGTGCAAACGATTGTGCGCTTTCTTCTTCGTTGTATGAGCCTTGTAATAATGCTCCCCCGCCCTTTCCTCTTGAATTATTCATCTGCAAAACAGAACCAAGGTAGTTTGTGAAACATTTTTCACGTATGAACCGAGTATATAGAGTAGCCTGTCAAACAGTTCTCTTCAGCTCAGTTGATAAAAAACCTAAGCTGGATTTAAACTAGCTGGGGTACAAATCTTCACTTGGACTCTAAGTTTTTCTTGGTCCCATGCTGGTGACAAGTAAATTTTCAGCAAGTTTTTTAACAAATTTATTTCTTAAAACCATCATTATGTAGACACTGGTGCTGTGTTAATCCTTGAAAGAGACAAAGATTTGTTATACCAAGCCTGAATTTGAGAGTGTGAGTGTATTTGAGGCAGAAATTTAGCTTCTGAATTAGAACTAGTCAAAGCTTACACAATGTTATAAAAGTAATTTGGGGTTTAAAACTGTGAACATTTAATGCCATCTACCTGAGAAGATCTAGCCTGATCACCACTGGAAAATCTAAAAAAAGACAAAAAAATTGTTATATTCCAATTTGCACAAGGCAACCTTGAAACTGTGGTTTGCGGTATGCAGTAAACCTTGATCTTAAGGTGTCTAAATTATTGAATAGAATATGAATATTGTCTACCTTGAAGTACTCATTGAAGATGTTATTTCATGCTTCTTATAATCACTGTCTCTTTCCATCTGTAGCTCTGCTTCATACTGGAACAAGGATAAAACCAAAACCAATAATAAACAAAGTATCTTTAATAAATAAAACATCATCCAATAAAAGATTACAACATTCAAGGCACAATAAAAATTTTTAAAAATTCATCCATAAAAATATCTTTTGAAAAAGTAAGTGGTTGAAAAATCAATAATTCCAAAGCTACCTATAGAATTAAATTTTTCACACTTTCTTTCAGCAATTGCTAAAATTGCTGTCCACCAGCCTGGACTGTTTCTATGATAGAATAGAACTTGTAACGGTGAAAAAGAAAAAATAGTGAAAGAAATAGTGCTGTACCTGTTCAAGGGACTGTGTGGTGTGTTTGGTAAGAGCACCTCTCTGATGGAATGACATAAAGCAACTAACACAGTACTTTTCCTCGCACTCAATGCAGACCTGCAAAAATAAGTCAAACACAATGAGCTAACCACTACACTTACAATAGCTTTTTCAATGAGTATTACATAAAATAAGTCTTGAAAACCCTTTAAAACTAACTAGGAACTTAAGTACAGCAAATGAAGTAATATTTTCATAGGAAACACTGCTATAATAGGTGCTTAATGAAAGCAGAATACAGTTTCTGAGAGGTAAAATGAAGGTTCTAAAAAAGAAATTTATGTACCAAAGTTGCCTTTGTCCTCTCGCACTGACCACATCCTGATGTGCCAAAGTTGTCTTGTTGCTGAACTCTTGGAGTTACTTTCTTCTTGTAAGAGTCTGAAGTTTAAAGAAAAACATACAATGTTTTTAAGCAAGTCTAAGCATTTAATCTTTTGTTGATAATTGAGATTTTAAATGACTGTGAATATATGAAAATCATATATGAGAACTGCTGATTAAGAAATGAGCATGAAAGCAATCATTTCTGTGATGAACACTACTTAAGCAGTAGTGAAAGTAAGGCCTGGAAAAAATTCAGGCCTGTACCGGATTTGAACCCATGACCTCTGCGAGTGAAGTAAAGTACTGTATCAGTATTGCACAGGTACAGGCCTGCATTCTTTCCTGGCCTTACTTTCATTGCTGTTTAGGTAGTTTTCATCACAGCGAAGATCGCTACATCATATTCAATTGAGATTTTGATAAACAGAATCCTTAAGAAGTCATTTTTAGACCATACTTACGCAAAGGTTCATCCCCAAGAATCTTTATTTTCTTTGGAGTCTGTTAACATACAAATAAAACAAAAAAATCAAAAACAACAATCCTTTGCAATGGGCATTTCCCTAACAGGCAAAAACTTTCTAGAGGGAGACATTCTCCATACAATCTTATTTCAAACTCTTAACCCTTCAAAAAAATATTCATTATATTGCACCCCTATCTATCTACATCACAACCTCTCCATTGTCATTCATGTTGTAAAGGGACTTGTCTCTATCACATGTAGGCCCATACTGTGAAAAATTCTAGACTTATTCATGTGTTAAATGGATCCACTTAAAAAAATGAACTGCTACCACAACCCCTATAAATCAAAAGTTTGCTCAGAACAGTTTCCAGATAGATTCTAATCACCTACTTTATCAGTTTTCAAGTTCTTTTTCTTTAGCACATCTTGTACATGACTATTAAGAGGTCCTGATTTGCCAGATGCCCATCGTATACCACCTTGCTTTCTGCACCAAAAGAGAAAAGAAAAGGAACATCTTTAAATTTATCTACAACAAGGACAGAACAGCCAAAACAACTATAATTATTATAATAACTATAGCACAACTTCTATAGTGCCTGTATATTTCTTTTCTCAACCAAATAACATTTAAGTGCACCTTGTGGTTTATCTATTCTTTCCTTTGAATTCACCAAATCTTTGTTTTAGAGGGAGAATTATAAAGGGCAAATAAAATATACAAGTGTGATTTTGAGTCATGTTGGAAACTTGGTATATTGAAGGTGAATAGCCTTGGATTGTCATGTGGCATGCAATCTGGGCAACATGGAAATGCAATTAAAAGTTTCAAGATTGTATGTAATTGCTCACCTTTGATAACTATGAAATTATTTGCATATTAAGTATTTGGTTGTGTCTATAAATTTTGAGCCAACACTCACTCAGAAAGATATGGTTTGTTTACTTTGGGGTGAAATAGAAGTAAATATTAGAAAAAAGAAACAAGAATTTTGAACAGTAGAACTCCCTTAAGATGACAAGTTAGGTAATCTAAGATTCTAAACAAATTCCACAGTAGCCTGAGTGGCTTTACCAAACATTTGAGCACTGAAATCAAATATGATTGATAACCTTTACAGCCAAGTATGAAAATGAGAAGAAATCATACACAATTATTTACTTGTCTCAAAGTTGGCAATTAGTTTCTTCTCTAAAATAATGGGTGGTTATCTTCCTATCAGAAAGTAAAGGGCAGTGTGATTAAAGACTTGAACAGTACTCCATGTATGATCAGCAGTCAAAACTCACTCTCTTTCCTCTTTTTCTTTAAACATTTGTTCTTTCAAAGCACGTATCCTTTCTTCCATTTTCAGTGTTTCTATTTCCAACTGTTGTGCATTGCTGTTTTTAAGCTGTTTCACAGCCCTTCCATAAAAAAAACCAATAACAATTTATTATCAAAGAAGAAACTTCAGCATATAGTATCAAGACCATTAAAAGGAGAAACTCCTCAATCCAGAATGAAGTACCCAGGGGTTTCCATAACTTTTTCCATAAGCTGCTTCCAATGGTGCAATAGGCAGATGTGACCAGAACAGGGTCATAAAGCTAAACTCAAAGACAAAAGCTTGCTCACAAGCTAAATTGATGGTGTTAAGAGGTCTTATAAGCAACAATAGACTTCCAGTAACCAGCATTTAATAAAACCCCTGGACAACCCTGATCCATGTTATACTGTCATATCCACTCCCTGCATAAAGGGCAATTACTGAGGTTTCTATAAAAGCTGGTTACCAGGGATCTTCCTGCTAATAAGGCCTATAACTGCCATCTTTTCAGATTTCATTTGGACTCACAGCAATGAAACTACAATGGGAACTGCAATGCAGTTAAAGGATTGTAGCCCCTCTTGTTAAGCGCAGGTGCTTTTGAGGAAGACAATGGAGAATATGTTGAACTAGACAAAAAATTAAAAAAAACGTCAAGTTTCTGGACTTTTTTGGCTCCAGTTAGCTTCACAGTCCATGTTAGAGACTTCTGAAATGATTGGACGCATTATTTCTAAAGTAGGCGGACACTTGGAAGGAGAAGAAGGAAGACTGAAGTTAAATCCTCCTTAATTCCTAAATTTTGGCATGACTGTTGTTGCAAACCGCTTTTTTTTTCTTCTTTTTTTTCTCGCAGTCAACAGAAAATCGTTGTTGCCATCAAAACTTCCAAGAAAGAGATTTCAAGACTAGGTTTAATACACTTCCCGTTCATTTAAGACGATGAAACATTTCGTCAGATCGAGTTAAAATAATACCGGAAAATCTGAAGTAAAATCGATGAACGAAAACATCAGCGACGGTAAGCTGACTAAAATCAAGTTTGCAAACCAAATATTAAAATAAAAAATTTCGTATTTTTAAAGACGATCCCTAAAAATCCTCGTAAACTTGCAGGAATAAAAACTTTTGATCAAATCTGTGCATTAGTAAGCATAGGCTATGGGATTTTAATTACATTAAAGCACTGCTAATATGAGTACTCCTATGCATTAAATTCCACTTACTTCTTCCTAGCCTTCACGTAAGAGGCGTCGTAAGACATCCTTGAACCAATTGTCATTCCAAGAAATAAATCTGATTCGTATAAAATTCAGGAATCCGCAGAAAACCATAAAGTATCGCAAGACTTATTTATCACTCTACGGCCTTGTTCTGTTATGTACTGTCATGGCTGCACAGCAAAAGTCACGTGATATGTGTGATGATAATGCCATGGCAACAACTAAGCGATGAAGATGGCGGGAAAGCCTCTAAGAAATAAAAATTGGATATTGTTTTTTGACGTAACGGAAAATTTTCCAGATAGCTTGAAACTTAGACAAATCACGCATGAGCACGCAAGGATGTGGTCTTCTGTGCTTCTGAAACTCTTTTTTTGGGCTAACCAGCTCCCCTTTAATCGACCGTTAATCGAAAAACTGCCAAAAAATTTAGCCTTTAGGCTTTAAAATTACCAAATTTTAACTGTTAGTCATGAAAAAGTTTATGTTTAAAAGTTTAAATTTTAAAATTTAATCACAAAGGAAAGAAGTTAACTGTTAGCGGTAAAACGGCCAAAATTTTAAACGTTAGCTGTAAAAGCCATCACCTTCCTTCATTACTTAGTTAAGCTGGCAAATCGCTTGGGCCTTCCTTGACGCTGAAGGAAAAAAAAATATTAGGGAAAGGATCAAAAAACCAACCAAGATCCCCTTAATAAAACATAAGGACACCAAATATTACAAAATCAATTTAATTTTCTTTCTTTTAATTCTGACATTTGACGTTACAGACCAGTCATTCTTCATCGCCTGAATGTTAGTGGGATCAGAGGATTTTTGGGGGGGATCAGGTAAACTTCATGTCGACCGACAACCAAAGCCCCCCGACCCCTCTTCCTCAGGCGATAAATAAGGACCAGTTCCTCAAATCATTGATTGACATTGGGCTTCAGGCTACAGGTGTGATCCTTGAGTGGAATCCAGTGGCTTGCGGTCTAAAGCTAAAGAACCAGAATAAAAACCATATGAGATTCAGATGTCAATATCGTTTGTGATCGACCATCAAAAAGCCATTGTAATCCTCTTTATTACATCTATTTGAGATCACTGATGACCCTTACAATCTGATTGGCTCTCATCAGTGCGAATTATTCACGAATTGCACCATTTTTTGCTCTTAATCGCATATTTTTCCAAGCAAATGAGTGACGGAAAGCGTGACATAGCGTGACCGGAAAGCGTTGCTGTTGTTGATATTGAGTGAAAGACAATCTTTTTTGAACGTTGGACTTGATTAAAAACAGTGTAGTAAGATCGGCTGAGGAGGGGTGTGTGTTTTGAGAGAGAGAGAGCGAGATAGCGAACCTGTGACTTATTTGTCGGATACCCGTTCCCGACAAAAGTGGCACCTCCGACGGGACCCAGCGAACAGAAGATGGCGAAAACAGTCGATCAGCTTACGAAAGCGATCAACGCAAAGCTGCAGACCCTTAAACTAACCCAAGGACAGGCAATCACCGCGATCGGAAATAAAGCGGTCATATCAATGGCGAGAATACAAAACACCTTAAAGAAGAAAGTTGAAGAAGTCCACGATCTGAAAACTGAAATACAAGAACTGATGTTTGAGGCAGAAAAGGAAGAACACGAAATCGTGAAACAGAGCACAGAAATCGAAGAACGTGCTAGTGTGTTTGAGGCGACAATCGACCAGCTCGACGTGACGATCAAGGAATGCAAACGCGTCGAAGCGCAAACAGAAGAGAAAGAAAAGGAGGAGCATGACGCACAGCTCAGGGAGAAAAAGTACGACGAGGAAATGCGGTTCGAAAAGGCCAAACTGGAGCAAAAGCAAAAATACGAGAAGAAAATTGAAGAGAAAAAGGAGCAAAACATCAACGCCAAGTTGCCAAAACTTGTCATCACTCAGTTTAAAGGCACACCCGCCGACTGGTTGCGGTTCTGGGGTCAATTCACAGCGGAAATTGATGCAGCAGATATTTCACAAATCACAAAGTTCTCCTATCTTAAGGAGCTTTTGGAACCGCAAGTTCGACCGTCCATAGATGGCCTCCCGTTGACCACAGAAGGCTACGAACGAGCAAAGAATATTTTGAAGTTAAAATTCGGGAAAGAAAGCGAAATCGTAAATGCTTATGTTGACGGCATCATGTCACTTCCTTCGATTTACGGAGCAAACCCAAACAAGGTGTCGCAGTTTTATGAAAAATTATGCTCAAATGTTCAAGCACTTGAAACGATGGGCAAACTCGGGGAGGTAAATGGCTACGTAAGGATAACACTGAACAAGCTAGAAGGAATTCGAGGAGACTTGTTGAGGACCGATGATGACTGGCAAGAATGGAGATTCCCGCAGCTTGTTGAGGCATTACGAAAGTGGACCATCAGAAACCCGCCCAAACACAGTGAAGAGAGACAAGGACAAGACAAGCCGCCACCGTTCAAGTCTGTGAAGCCTTTTTTACCGAAGAACAGAAGTTACCAAACACGCCAAGGGGAACCAAAAAGAAGACCGTGCGTTTACTGCGAAAGTGTAAACCATCAGTCCGTCAACTGCGACAAAGTGACCACACTACAAGAGCGCAGAAGGGAGTTGAATCGTAAACAGTTGTGCTTCAATTGCACCGATGCAAATCACAAGGCCCCAGAGTGTCGCTGTTCTGCGTGCTGCAAGTTTTGCAACCGAAGACACCACTCGTCAATTTGTCCCGAGAAGATACCTCAACAATCGCCGGAGCCTATGTTGGTGGCTACTGGGAAAGGATCCGTTACTTACCCGGTGGTCATCGTGAGTGTGGGTGGAATCCATTGCCGCGCGCTGTTAGACACCGGTGCTGGGAGCTCCTACGCATCTGCAGCCTTGCTCGATCGCATGGGGAAACAGCCAGTTCGAAGAGAGTTCAAACGCATCGAAATGATGATGCAAGCGACCAACAGGGAGATCGAAATTTACAATGTTGTTATTAGCAGTTTGACGGGGAATTTCAGCTTCGAACCGAAGTGACTAAGGTGGACCGCGGAACGCTACTCAGTTTGGAAAACCCTCGGTACAAGGAGCTGGTGGAAAGATACGATCACCTGAAGGAAGTCACAATGGATGACGTAGACGAGAAAGAGGAGCTTCCTGTACATCTCATCCTCGGAACAAACGAATACGCGCAGATAAAGACCGAGACCACACCCAAGATCGGGAAACCAGGAGAACCCATTGCCGAATTAACAAGATTAGGATGGACCATCATGTCACCCGGAAGTGAATCTGACCTCACAAACATGTTCCTGACCCAAACCTCTGCGGCTGACTATGAAGCCTTGTGTAGACTTGATGTGCTTGGTCTACAAGACCATCCAGTTGGCGACCAAGATCTCGTATTCGAAGAATTCAAGGAGCAGCTAACGAGAAACCCGCAAGGATGGTACGAAACAGGCCTCCTTTGGAAGGGAAATCATCCACCCCTCCCTAACAACAAACATGGCAGCCTGAAACGACTAGAGAACCTTGTCAGAAAGCTAGAGAAACAACCAGGCATGTTGCAGAAGTATGACGGGGTCATTCAAGATCAGTTATCTCAAGGAATAGTCGAACGAGTGCACAGTGAACCAGAAGGGAAGGAGTTTTACATCCCGCATAAGGCCGTGATTCGAGAGACGGCAGAGAGCACGAAGATTCGAATTGTCTACGATGCGTCCGCCCGAGCGAACGAGAAAGCACCATCCCTCAACGACTGCCTAGAGACTGGGCCACCATTGCAAAACAAACTTTGGAACGTACTCGTGAGAAACCGGTTCCAACCTGTGGCCCTAGCAGGGGACCTGAAGCAAGCTTTTCTACAAGTGAGAATCCGAGAGGAAGACAGAGACGTGATGCGATTTCACTGGCTCAAGGACCTAGACACCAAACACGTGGAAACTTTACGCTTCACACGAGCACTGTTCGGCTTGTCCACGTCGCCATTCTTGCTTGGGGGAGTGATTGATCAGCACCTAAAAAATCTTCAGAACGTCTACCCAAGGGAAGTTGAAGAGATCCGACGAAGCCTCTACGTGGACGACTTAATCAGCGGTGATAAAACCGTGGCTGGCGCACAACACCTGAAACAAGCATCACAGTCCATTTTCAGAGCTGGGAAATTTGAACTGCACAAATGGCACTCTAATGTCCCGGCCCTGGAACAGCCTTCACCCCACGAAGAAACAACAAAAGAACTACCCACTACCCATCAAGGTGAGAACCAGAGCTATGCCAAGGACCAGTTAGGAGTCAAGCAAGGAGAAACGAAGCTGCTTGGTGTACCATGGGATAAACGAGAGGATACAATACAAACCAGTTTCCCTGACCCGATATCGAAAGCAACTAAGAGAGAAGTCCTCGGAAAGATCGCTAAGATCTACGATCCCCTCGGTCTAGCATCACCAATCACTTTGGAAGGGAAATTCCTTTACAGAGAAATGTGTGAAGCTCGAATCCCATGGGACCAAGAGCTACCCCAGGGACTCGAGACCCGTTGGCAAACCTGGGAGAACAACCTAACAGATAAGGTAGAAGTACCAAGAAGCATTGCCCAGCACCAAGAAGAGATCACTAGCATCAACCTGCATGCCTTTGGGGACGCGAGCAGCCAGGGCGTGTCAGCTGCTGTTTACGCCGTCACACATCAAGCGACGGGGCTATCACAAGGGCTCATAACAGCAAAGTCTAGACTGGCGAAGAAAGGACTCACCATACCAAGACTCGAACTAGTGTCGGGGCACATGGCAGCCAATCTTGTAGATAACGTTAAAGAAGCGCTGCAAGGTTTCCCAGTTGAAGGTGTTTATTGTTGGCTCGATAGCAGCGTAGCTCTTCACTGGATCAAGGGGGCGGAGATTACAAGCAGTTTGTTAACAATCGAGTGAGGAAAATCCAAGAGAAAAAGTACATCCAGTGGAGGCACGTGGGTACCAAGGAAAACCCTGCCGACCTGGGTAGCCGAGGCGGGCAAATTAGTAACTGCTCAGATCTGTGGTGGCATGGGCCAACGTGGTTACCTTTCCCAGAGAGTTGGTCGGCAGATATTGTCACCACTCCTACCAAGGAATCACAAGCCGAAGCCAAGATCATAAGGGGAGTTCTGGGCGTAACTGTGAAGACGGATGACGATCTGGACCTAGTGATGCACAAGTACGACTTATGGAAGGCCATCCGAATCTGCTCGTGGGTTGTGCGATTTACAAGGAACTGCAGAGCTAAACGCCAGCAAAGGATCACCGGACCAATCACTACCGAAGAGACAGCCAACCAGTTGCAGTTCTGGGTAAGAAGATCACAAGTCAGGAGTCAAGGCACCATCAAGTTTGATGAAGACCAAATGAAACTGAACCTCCAGAAGAACATAGATGGGATATTCGAGTGCCGAGGACGTATTCAGGGCCACTACCCAATTTACCTACCTGACGATGGCGTGTTTACTGGAAAACTAGTGACACACTTCCACAACCAGACCCTACATGGGGGAGTTGGTTTGACCATGGCCAGCGTACGCGAGACGTATTGGGTACCTAGATTGCGCCAGCTTGTTAAACGACTTATCAAGCGGTGCTATGGATGCAAAAGATTTCATGTATCAGCATTTGCCAACCCTCCTCCAGGCAACCTGCCTACAGATAGAACAGAGGGAACCTCGCCCTTTCAGGTTGTTGGAATAGACTACGCCGGACCGATCAAGTACCGTGACAGCAAAAACAAAGAAGGAAAAGCGTACATAGTCCTGTATGCCTGTAGCCTGTCCCGAGCCTTGTACCTCGAATTAACCAAGACCATGGAGACTGAAGAGTTTATCACTACCTTGAAGCGGTTCATAGCAAGAAAAGGTCGTCCTGAAAAAATCTATTCAGACAATGGTAGGACCTTCGTAGCTGCAGCAAAGTGGCTACGGAATGTAATGCAAGACGAGCGCCTCCATGACTACCTTGCCAAGATGAATATCAAATGGCAGTTCAATCTCAGTAGAGCTCCATGGTGGGGCGGGCAATTTGAACGGATGGTCGGTATTGTCAAGCAGGCCTTCAATAAGTCTGTCGGAAATGGAACCCTCACCTGGGCAGAACTGCAGGACGTGCTGCTTGACGTGGAGGTCGCGCTGAACAACCGTCCTCTGAGTTATGTAGAAGAAGATCTACAGCTTCCTTTGTTGACCCCTAACATGTTACAGTTCGGACGCCCTAACTTGTTGCCTGATCCTGAAGCACGCCATCAAGAGAATCCTGATCTGAGAAAGCGTGCAAGATATCTAGCGAGATGCAAAGATGTGATCTGGAAAAGGTGGTCTGCCGAGTACCTAAAGGGGACTACGCGAGCGGCACAACATGAAACACAACAAAAGGCAGCTATCTGTAACAAGTGGGGACGTCGTTATTATCAAGGGCGACGAGAAGAACCGCGGGCAGTGGAAGTTAGGAATCGTAGACGAGCTGTTTCCAGGGAGTGATGGTGTCATCAGGGCCGTTAAATTGCGAGCTGGGAAGTCTTATCTAGAGAGACCCATACAGCACCTCTACCCGTTGGAGCTATCTTGCGACAGGACCACAGACAAACCCAAAGCACCACTGAACGCAGAGGCGCCAACCTTCAGGCCGACCAGAGACGCTGCAGTCGCTGCGAGGGCGCGAATTCAAAGTATCGCAAGTGATGAGGAGTCTGGTTGATGACGAACAATTATCTTTGGAAATTTGAACATTTGATTGAGACATTTTGAGCATATTCGCATTTATTGTAGTCGCTTCTCGGATTATTCATATTTGCCACTGTGACCGAAGTGTCAAATAGGGGGAGAGTAGTGACGGAAAGCGTGACATAGCGTGACCGGAAAGCGTTGCTGTTGTTGATATTGAGTGAAAGACAATCTTTTTTGAACGTTGGACTTGATTAAAAACAGTGTAGTAAGATCGGCTGAGGAGGGGTGTGTGTTTTGAGAGAGAGAGAGCGAGATAGCGAACCTGTGACTTATTTGTCGGATACCCGTTCCCGACATGAGAAAGCTTCACCAAAAAAAACAACCGATCAGATTTCAAGGCTTGTGTAAAGTAACCAATCAAACTGCACGAAAATGAAAGAACTTTAACAACTTTTACGAACCAACTCAGGACTGGATCAATAAATACTCGTACAGACTCAAAAATCCTGCATGTTGGGATTGAGTTTTGCGATTCTAAAATGGATATAATAAAGTGGTGACTGAAATTCGTGTCGCGCAATTTTTTTTCTGAAATCATGCTTGTGATTTCAAATCAAACTCGCGCTGCACGCTTGTTCCATTTGAAATAACGCGTATGATTTCGGACCAAATTGCACTCCACTCGGTACGACTACCATTATTTATCCATAATCCACCTGAAAATCTTTTTAAAAATTAGTCGCACTACTTTATAGTCTAGACGATAAAATGCTCTTCGTTGAACAGTTCCCATGTCGTCCAACGTTCGGCAACATGACTTACTTCAGCACGTTGTTACCGAGTCTGTTTTTGACCCCTGATGTTATTAAGAACTTCTGACGTCATTAAACATGGAAATGAACCACAAATGATTAACACTGTAGGTTGGCACTACATTTTTGTCATCTGATCGTTTCGCCTCTATCTTTCGTTATTCAATTAGTTCAGGCACCGTAAATCTAGTGACCTTACATATTACTTGTAAGACTTCACCTGAACTGCTATGTGAACCCGGTTGTCCTGTTTCCTCCACCCCTCCTATGCAAGGCTCCAGAGACCCTGCTTCGTCACGCTCTTCTTTTCTATTACATTCACCACTTTCTTCTTTGGCCTCCGTGGCATGTTGCATTTCCCGATCCTTATCATCAGCCTTTTCACATGGTTGCCATTTGCGCCTTGTTTTTACGATATAGATAACCGTGGGCAGGATCAAAACCACAAATACAGCGCCAACTACAACACCAATTATCACACCATTTGATAGAGAGGCATCGTTTGTGGAGGCTGAATCCTGTGCAGCGCGCCTTGTAACCGGGGGGGACATTCGTAATCCTGTGTGGGTTGATGGTGATGAAGCTGGGTGATTCTCCTCCACCGTTGTGTTGACTCTTGCAGAAGTTATCTTCTTGCTGCACTTCTCTGATCTCAGCTCACTGCATTGTTTATTTTTTGGCACCCTTGGCACTTGGCAGTGTGGCTCGAAGATATCGTTTCCGTCGTTACAACAAGCTGAACATGGTCTACACGTGCCGAGCATACCTTCCGGGTAAGCTCCAAGCTTGCAGTTCTTCCCACACACTGCATTAGAAGTCAGAGTACAAGATTTTATGGTCTCTCGATATTCTCCACAATTCGTACAAGTCTTACATGCACCAGCCTCGCTTTTGGATGAATAAGTTATCCCTTGTTCACACGGCTTACAAACTATGGCTGTCTGTGGTGTAATTACATCACCACAGTCCACAGAGAGGCCCTGCCCCGCTGGACATACGAGGCATTTCTGGCACTGAACATGCCCCGTTACTGAATCCCGGATGGTTATATTGTTACCTGGGCATGTTGGCGAGGCGGAGACATACATCCAGAGAAAAAACATCGTGGTGATGCATGGTATGACACGCGGTCGCAAGGAAGACATCGCAAATTACAAAACTAAGACTATTCAGATCGGTGCCACTGGGGCTCTATTGTTCCAGTTTAAGCGCCACCACCTGAGTAAAGCAAAGTAAGATGTTCTGGCGTGAGTAGCGAATCTGGCACATTGAACCGCAACGTGATATCGCAGTTTAAAATGACACTAAAGGGACCAGAGGGTCTAATTGTTTGAGAGAATACTGTACCAAATGTTTAGATTCCGTATTTCCTCAAATAAAGCACCCGAGCTCTTCTTTCAAGTCTTTGGAAAAAAGGTAGTACTATTATCGGAAAGAGTTGTGAAACATTTCTTTGAATCCCAACTGTTTAATCAACAAAGTGATTGGGAGGGGCGAGGGCGCCTAAAGAGTGCCTATCTGCGAACCCGGGCAGGGGATGGCCCTTTAAAGCGTGAGCGTCTTTGAGGTAATACGGCGGTCGGTAAAAAATAACACTGTGGAAACACACGAGACTTGGGAGCTAAACTTGTAGTCTTGATTGATTAACCCTTTCACTCCTAAGATTTCAGTAGTAATTTTCTATACAATTATTATGATGTTAGGTCAGAAAATTTGATATTGGATCAACTAGTAATCCCCCAATACACATATTACTTTATTCTCTTCACTTGTGTAATTGATATTGAATCGATATTGTAAGGAGAAATTCTGTCTTGGTCACTCATTGGAGTTAAAGTGTTAAATACTAAAAGTGGTTTTGCATGTATCTACCATCTATGGCCCAAAATGATAACATCAAGAAGTTAATGATCGAATTGAAAGCTTAGATACGATATGGATAGATAATTATATTTAACTGCTCTACATGTGACAATCAGGATCTGAACTCGTGGATAGAATCATGATGAGCTGGTGATGCACATTTTACGGTAACGAGAAATTAACTCAATCGCGATATATTTAGGCATCTGCAAATTTTAGGCTTATCTAATTTTTCTTTAATTCGCTATTTGCGTCATCAGCGATTAGGACCATGCAAATCCTTTATGTCTTTAAAATCTAAATTTGACAGTAGCAACGACCTTAGCCTAGCCTCTCAGCTGGGTAAAAACCAGAACGAATTGAAATAATTGAAAGAGTGAATGTCTTTAATAAGAACGGCTGAACTCAGAACAAATGATGGCGCTTATTTCGAAATCCGGCTTGGGGTAAATAGGATTTTGTCTCGAATTCTCGCAATCATTCTTATGGTTAAGCTTGCAAAGACACTCGACGCTCCGGGTCAAACACAATAATAATTAACAAAAATGATGAAAAAACAATGCATGGATCAACAACAAGAGAACTAGAGGTAAAATGAACACGCCTTCTTATAAAAACAAAAATTTCGCTTCACAAGAGAAAATCCATTGCTTATAACTCTTTGTGAACTATGTTATTGGCATTTTTAAGAAGTTCAGAAGCTGCGTCATCCTCTCTGAAGCCGCACCCTTTCACGTGTAAAATCACGAGACGCCGACTGTCAAGGCATGTTTTACACAAGTTTATAACCATTTTCGTGTTCCAACTACTTCGACTCAAATTAAATCTTTTACTCTTAATTTTCTTACAGATTTCGATTTGATATTCAGTTGTAGCAGTCTAAATTGTTAAAATATGGTTTTGTTAACTTCATGATATGCTAAACGAATGCAAATTAGTACACTGAAAACTATTATGCAACCGCTTAAGCTCGAACAAAATATTTCTGTCTCTGTTAAAGGCGCAGGGTATGACTGTTAAATCAAACCCCACGATAACATCAGTCTTAAAATCGATTTTATAATCACAGGTGATGATTATATATTTTTTTCGGCTAAGATATCGATGTCCTACCTTCTTGATGTTTTGCAGATTGATCACAACGTGCAGTTTACGATTCGACAAAAATGAGCTTTAAAGCGCAAAATCTCTAATGGATATGGGCCTCTAAAACGTACCGAACCTTAGACTGAGTGGAGGGCAATTAACTGGAGATGAATCGATTTGACACAGTTAAATTACGTCCGCAGAGGAACCCAAGTTAGCTTTAAGTAATCTTGGCTGCTTGGCTTGATAAACGTGTTTAGTTGCATGGCTTTGGAGCCTGTACGAAACCGGCTTACCTGGATAAGCTACTTGTATGACTTGTATAAAACAGACGTGACATGAGAAGCGTGATTTGGGAAGATATTTTGCATACACTTGGACTCCAGATACATCTAGATACCTTTGTCTTCCAACTCACTACACTTGAAGGTTTTAAAAAAAAACTCAGTCATAAAGGATTTTTTTTCCAATTACAGTGCTTATTTGATAGGTAGTTTGCCTAGTTCGACCTTACAATTTAAATCAAGGAAAATGTAAGACAAAAACTTATTATCTCGTGCTAGTCATACAGTTAACTTTCAATTTTTTTTTCATTTAAAACGAAGAGTTATCAAAACTTCGGCGAAAAATGTTGATAAATGACGGCGTAGAAGAAAAAGCTGTGAAGCGCAAAATCAGAGCGCCAAATGAATTTAACACTCAGTCCAGACAAGAGTTATAAAAGTGAGATGGGTGAATTTCACGTGATTTAATCCCTGTGGCGGCAAGCATTAAGGTCGGCGAGATCGCACTCATGATTAATGTGTGACCAGCCATCGACATTTATCCGTTGGTATTCCAAAGTATGTTTTAGGAAGAACATCTGAATCTGTTGTGAGTATGATATAGTATTTTCTATGTGGTTTTCTGGCTTTGATCATTGGAGGTTATATAATATATTCACATAGGAGACCTCGTTGTAGAGGAAGTGCTGACTTTAAGTCAAACAAATGCTAACTCTCGTGAGACAAGTTACAGCAATTCTGATGCTTGTATGGGAAATGATCATCCCGATAGTCAAGCTACTCAAAATGAAACGAGTGTAACAACCCAGTCCAGACGCACAGTTAAGTCCACAAGGGACCACGAAAACTTTGTATATTATTAAATTTTTTGTAATGCTTAGAAATAATCAATTATGATTTCAGTAGTAGCCTAAGAACTTTGCCCGGGAAGGATGTAGTGTATTGCGTTACATAATGTAACATAGCGTCGCTTCTGTAAGGAACTTCCAATCATGCCGTAAATCTACTCTCCTAAGTGAAAGTAAAATAACTGATTACGAGTATTGTAAGCTAAATATATTATCTTGATTATTGAATAGAAGACAATTGAATTTAAGGAATGAGAGTGATCACTTGACCGACGAGTACTCTACATAGTTGATTTCTGGTCGGTCTGCTTTCGAATTTATTTTTAATTTCCTACTTGATAAGTAAGAGTCTAGACGAAGAGAAGGACGAGTGACATGTGAAAGGGAACCTTTGCTTTCTTACGACAAAGAGGAAAAAACGCCTTCTAGAATTTATAGAATTAATTTTTTGACGAGAGTACCTTAGGCAGCGGGACTAAGCTTGAACCGGCGGCGAATAATAAAACCGTACCTTTGTAGACATGGTCAATGAAAAATTACCATTTTTATAAATTACTGAGAAATTCCCTCACGCTCGCGGGCGGATAACTTATGTAGTTGTTCCGGTGTCATTTGCTCAATTGTTATGCATTCTTGTAATTAAAAGTTTCATCGATGACTTTGTAAGAGCAGCATTTATTATAGAACATAGATGCTATTTTTGGCCAAATATGGACTTTGTGGTCGAGCAGTATTGTAAAAATATTGTAAAAATTTACAACCGATTACAGACGCTGTGAAAAGTAAACAAGATTGAAAAAACTAAAGCCATAATCTTTGACTGTTTATAAGCTTCTGATTGTAAATATAGTGTTCCCAGTTTTTTATTTTGATAGTTTGTTAGCTTAAGTGTAGCTGTACCCTCCCCCCCCAAAGTGAAGCGGAAGCGTGCCTCCGTTTCACCTTAGCGGGGAAGGGATGGTACGGCTACAAGTAGGCTAATAGTTTGTCAAAGTATTTGAGCTTGGGTATGGTTTCTGCATTTATTGATAAAACTTCCTCTGTACAAACCGGAGCGAAACGAGAAGGCGCTTTTGTTTTTCCTTGGCTGCTCGGGCTTGAATTGTGCCTGGGTCTTAAGATACTCCGCCATTCCGCTGATCCACCGTACCTCCGTTCCACCATTCTGTTAAATAATTAAGGTATCGTATTTCCTCTCTTCGCAAATATAGCGGCTTAAGTCGCTGATTCAATCAATTAAATGCTCTCTTTTCAAATGTTTATAGAGGGCCACAAGCCCATTGGTTCCTAACTATTAAGAGTCACCCTCTTTAAAAAAAGTTTGATTAATTAATTGATTGATTGATTGATTGATCAGGTAAAGTTCATGTTGACCGACAACCAAAGTTTCCCGACCCCTCAGGCGATAAATAATGATCAGTTCCTCAAATCATTGGTAGACATTGAGCTTCAGGCTACAGTGCCGCGGAATCAAGAGGACTATATACTTCTTTGTTTTCTAAACGCGTTTATTTTCTTCCATCACTCCTGACAATCTGAACATACTAACACTCTAACGATCTAAAACCAATCTCCCTTACAATTCAGTGCTACTTCGTTTTACAGTTCTAGTTGCGAAATAAAGTAATTTTCCCACAATCACGAGTTCAGTAAATTCCCAATCCCAAAGTACTGTAATATACCCTATTTTAGTTGCAATTTCACAATTACACGTTTCTTTCCCTTATTTAGTTCACTGTACGCATGCAAATCAGTGTTGAACTTTCTTTACAACGTTGTGAAATATCATGTCACGAAATCTTCCTATTCGCGTTACAATCAGTCTAGTATTTCGTTACATTGTTTGGCAATTTATAACATTAATCATTAATTATAAAGAAATCGTTCTCGACATACAGGTGTGGTCCTTGAGTGGATCCAAGGGCTTGCGGTCTAAAACTAAAGAACCAGAATAAAAACCATGAGATTCAAATGTCAATATTGTTTGTGATCGACCATCAAAAAGCCATTGTAATCCTCTTTATTGCACCCATTTTGAGATCACTGATCACCCTTACAATCTGATTGGCTCTCATCAGTGCGATTTATTCACGAATTGCACCATTTTTTGCTCTTAATCGCATATTTTTCCAAGAAAATGAGAAAGCTTCATCAAAACAAAACAACCGATCAGATTTCAAGGCTTATGTAAAGTAACCAATCAAACTGCACAAAAATGAAAGAACTTTGACAACTTTTACGAACTACCCCAGGACTGGATCAATAAATATTCGTGCAGTCTAAAAAATCCTGCGTATGAGAGATTGCATTTTGCGATTCCAAAATGGATATAATGAAGGTGACTGAAATTCGTGTCGTGCAATTTTTGTCTAAAATTATACATGTGATTTCAAATCCAACTCGCGCTGTACGCTTGTTCCATTTGAAATAGCCCGTATGATTTCGGACCAAATTGCACTCCACTCGGAACGACTACCATTATTTATCCACAATCCAATTGGAATACTTTTTAAAAATTAATTGCATTACTTTATAATCTAAATGATAAAACGCTTTTTGGTTGAATACTTCCCATTTGGTCAAAAATTCGGCAACATAGCTTACTTCAATACGTTGTCACCGACTCTGTTTTTGACACTTGACGTCATTAGGAGCTTCTGACGTCATTAAACAGGGAACTGAGCACAAATGACAGGAGCCCAATGCAAATAATTAATCTTTCGTTATTCAGTTAGTTCAGGCACCGTAAATCTATTGACCTTACTTATTACTTTTGAGACCTCACCTGTACTCGGTGTTCACTCGGTTGTCCTGTTTCCTCCACCCCATTGTTTAAAGGTGGTTGTCTCGTTTTTACAATATAGATAAACAGCGCTGCCAGTATCAAAACCACCAATAGAACGCCAATTACAATACCAATTATCGCTCCATTTGGTAGAGAGACGTCGTTCGTGGAGGCTGAATCTCGTACAACGCCTCTTGTGACCGGGGGGGACACTGGTAATCCTGTGTGGGTTGATGTTGATGTTGATGTTGATGACGTTGAGTGATTCTCCTCTACCGTTGTTATGTTGACTATCTTCTTGCTGCACTTTTTCAAACGAAGGTCGCTGCACTGTTTATTTTTTGGCACCCATGGCACTTTGCACTTTGGCTCGATGTAATCTTGTCCGTCGTTACAACAAGCTGAACATGGTCTACACATGCCGCGTATACCTTCTGAGTAAGCTCCAAGCGTGCAGTTTTTTCCACACACTGCATTAGAAGTCAGAGTACAAGATTTTATGGTCTCTCGATATTCTCCACAATTCGTACAAGTCTTGCATGCACCAGCCTCGCTTTTGGATGAATAAGTCATCCCTTGTTCACACGGCTCGCAAACTATGGCTGTCTGTGGTGTAATTACATCACCACAGTCCACAGAGAGACCCTGCCCCGCTGGGCATACGAGGCATTTCTGGCACTGAACATGCCCAGTTGCTGGATTCCGGATGGTTATACTGCTGCCTGGGCATATTGGCGAGGCGGAGACAGACATCCGGAGAACAAACATCATGATGATGCATAGTATGCCAAACAGTTGATGCAAGGAAGAAGACATTGCAAATCACGAAGCTAAGACCGTTCCGATCTGTTCAATTCGGAGGTTAAGTGTAATTGAACTTGACCTGTAAAAGGAAGGCACTGAAAGTCAATCAAGCGAGCTCAAATGGAGCTGGTGAAATAAGATACACTGATACACTGGTACTCAATACCTGAGCAAAGCATAGTAAGATGTCCTGGCGTGAGTAAGATCGAAAGCAATTAGCGGCAACGTACTATCACAGTTTAAAACGATAAAAGGCCAGTAGATCTTTTATTTTTTGGCACGAAAGTTTAACAAAATGTTTAAATACCGTATTTCCTCGAATATAGCGCTCAAGCGCTTGTTTAAAATTTTTGAGAAAAGGTAGTACAGTAAAGGGGTGGGTGGGTGGGGGTGCTAATGACACATGATCTGAAGCTGATGTGGCAAGGCTAAGAGGTAGTTTGGATAAAGTAAGGAAAATTTTTTCTTTTAACTCTCTCTAGTTAATGAATAAAGTGATTGGAAAGTGCAGGGGCGCTTAATCAAGAGGGGTTTTAGGCAAGGGTTGGCGTTTTCTTAGAGCGTGGAGGCTTATCTGAGGAAACATGGTAGTTGGCAAACGGTTCAAAATATTATTTAGTAGCATTTTGGCAAGTTGAAGGACTTAAGTTCTAAATCTGTAATTGTCAATGATGGTAAAATGGTAAAATGTGGAAAGTCATGTCTACTCTTCCCACTTTTCAGGTTATGAATTCGAGATAGTTTATCGTTCATGGTCGCTCATCCTTCCACGGTTAACTATTATTTACAGGCCAAGACGAGAGCATTCTTTATCAAGAATTAAATATAGTGAAAGCTGAGGTAAAATGTGAATAGATACTCTGATTTCATTTCTTTGCATGTGAAAAGTCTGATCATATTTTGTCTACACCACAAAACCGGATGGAAACGATGAACTCGTCAAAAAAGTTGCATTAGTTCTTAAACTCATTAACTCCCATAAGTGACCAAGACAGAATTTCTGCTTGCAATATCAATACAATATCAACCAGTCAAGTGTTAAGAATAAAGAAAATATTAAGTTGGGGATAATTAATTGATCTAATACTAAATTCTCTGAACTAAAATTATAATAATTGTATGGTTGACAGTAAGGAGAAATACAAATTTGATCTAGGAGTTAAAGGGTTAGTGTCAATTTCGAAGTGCAGTATGATCGGCACGCTCCTTTGATCCAAAAAGAAAGTCAGAGTTGTCAACAACCCATGTTTAACACACGAAATTAAGACATAAATGCAACTAGACCCTGTGAGCAGGGTAACTGGGATACCTGGATGGTACTGGATCCTTGGAATCAAGTGCAGTGATACTACGGGTGTCGGATTAGTATACTGAAATAGTGAGCTAAAGTCTGGCTAAGGGCATACACCTATTTCAAAATATAGGCATGCTATGCATGCAAGAGTTATTTTTTGTAGGGTGGGTGGATTACTTGTGGTCTACATTCTTACAAAAGGAAAGAAGAGTATTAACGTGGAAAAGAACGAAAATGTCGAATTACCTCACACACAGGTATTTTGTGGTAGATTATGTGTGTTGTGCGAATAAATGTAACCAAAAATAATCTGTATTGGTGCCACAAATACCTGTTAGTACAAAATGCAGACAGCAGACCGGATACAAAATATAGATTGGAGACTGCAGAGTGGGTACAAAATGCAGACTGAGAATCTGAAGAGTTTTTACGTCTGGTAAATAATAACATGTCATCTTACAGCTTACCGAGCGTCACGCAATCGCTTTTCCTCGATCAGCCTTCACGATTATTTACTCTATTGTGAAAAATTCCTGGCCCATTTCTTGATGAAAATCGATCGTAATATAATTTCAAGCCTTCAATATACTCTTCTTACTTTGTGCGCGAGTTGGTTTGTGTGATGTCTGTACAGATTTTACCAACATAATAAAAGTAGATGATGTGAATAACAGTGATGGTAAAGCAAGCTTAAAACGGCAGAAATCACCAGAAACTACAACGGATACACAGTTCGCGACTCAATCCGGTCCAAAATCACCGCCCAATAACATCTTTTAGTGTGGATTGGCCGCGAACAATACGACTTGTGTATGCGTCTGTAAGTATTTCGAGCGTTTGCGCTATGATGCTTCAGGTGATCGTAATCCAAACACGTTGAAATACAAAACGACCGACAAAAGAGTTTTCTAAGCAAAAATCTCGTGCTCGTCATGTGACCCGGACCTGTCCGTGCATGACAACGTCAATCATCATCAAGATAACACGTGATCAGCATGTGAATACCTTCACCCTCATTGGATCACAGTTAGTTGTCATGGTGTTGAGGGCCCAATGACCACTGGGTACTATTGCGCAATTTTTCCATTTTGTGGCGGAGGAAAAAAACAAAGGCATTTTATGACTGGGCTACCACAGGTATCCCAGTGGTTTTAATCACTTCTTTGTCTCAATTGTCAGGACAATCAGTGAAAAATTATCTTAATCTAATCGTCTATATCTTGCCAACGACAGTAATCACCGTCGCTAAGTACTGAAGCTCCTTTTACAAACGAAACCTTCGAGCTAAGTGTAGTAAGACCTGAAGTTGTTTACAATTTGCTAAGAAAGCTAACAACGAACAAAGTTACTGGATTCGAATAGACAATATTCCCGCACGCTCGCTTAAGAACGGAGCCCCGGTTATTTCTGAGTGCTTGACTCGCATAGTTAACCTTTTCTTTTCATCTGGAGTGTTGCCAGCTGGCTGAAAGACTTCAAGAGTTATGCCGTCATTCAAGTCCGGTAACACGGAAGAAATGGATAGCTTTCGCCCAATTTCTATTCTACCAATGATTTCCAAAATCGCTGAGGAAGTCGTCCATTATCAATTGTTTGGCTATTTAAACGTTAATAAAACGATGATTTTACCTACGTTTGACTACTGTGATATCGCTTGGCATGGATGTGGAAAAGTTAATTCTGATGCCCTCGAGAGACTACAGCATAGAGCTGCACAGTTAATTTTTCCAAATTCTAGTCTCGATACGAAAGAAGTGAATGCTACTTTGGGTCTAGTGCCCTTGATTGATAGGCGTAAACTTCACATTGTCTTGTTTACCAGATAGATGGTTCGGTACCACCTTATCTAAATAATTATTTTTACTTTACTGTTCGCACAGTTTCGACTAGACGCTGTCATGACATTCGTATTTCGAAAGTCAACTCAGAGGTTGCTAAGAGATGTTTTTATTTTACTGGTGCGATAAAATTCAACGGTCTTCCTCGCCATATTGAATCTTAATTTCTCAAGGGGGACAAAGGACTTTTTCCTTAATTAGATGATAAGTTTTATATGTAGATGTATGCTTCTTTTTATGTATTTTTGGCCGTGTGACAATTCTCAGTGAATTTTTACCTCCTAGACCTTTTATAGTTTTACTTATGTACTCTAATAACAGGACCTCCTTTGATACCAGTGCTTATTACGCAGACAGGGTTATCACGTATAAATATTATTATCATTATTATAATTTCATGGCATTATAAATTAATGTTTTGCGACATATTTTCAGGCAGTCGCAAATTCTCCAGCTTATCTTAAATGTTTTATGACACTATCTGCGTCATTAGTGGTTAGGATCAAGACCTTTATGTCTTCGAAATCAAAGTCCATGACGAGAACAAAAATAGCATCCATTTCTTTATATTTTGCTTCGCAAAATATCAAGTATGATAAATCTTATTTTTATTTCTAAAAAACTCTAAATTTTTCAAAATAATCACACAATTTGTACAAAATGCAAGAGATTCCTGTGGTAAAATTGTATGAGAGCACCTTCAAACTGATTCAAAATGATCATCTATTTCATCTAAAAGGGTGTTGTCTCATAATCGCGCAATCAAGTTATGCGTGTGCCTGCCCGGTCACTCAAGGTCAACCAAACATAATAACAAAAATGATTAAAAAAATGTACTAAACTTGACTTAAGGAGATATTCAAAGAAGACCGCAAAAGCATGTTCCATGATCTACATTCTGCGCGATTTGTTAAGCATTTCCGAGACACAAATTTTTAACCCTACATTTTCGCTCAAATATCAATTTGATATTTAGTCGATGCAGTCGACTGTGTTTTACGACCACGTGATTTTCCAAACAAATACTGACAATTTTTTCACTATTGAACAACAAAATCCTTTACACGCCAAAAGCAGAAGGCTTGACTGGTAATTTAAGCCTAACATGAGAGTGAACTTGAATTAGTTTTATCAGGAGCCCAATGGGCTCCTGGTTTTAAAAAGCAACACAGTGGATAATGATATTTTAGATACCCTACCTTTGTGGATTGGACCGCGTGCACTCAAGAGATTACAAACATCAATCTTACATCGATTGCCACGTGTTGCGAGCCTGCACAAGACGGGAGATATAACCGGTTTATGCAGCGGGTTTTACATGTTATTCGAGCTTTTTCCTTGATATCATGCCTTGTCTGATCTGTGAGGAAGCCCGCGTTATAAGCGTAATTATTTTGATTCGAAATTATTATCCAAAAGAGGTAAACCACACATTAACTGTCTTGCGAGCACGCCTTCATTATTTTTACTGTAGCACGAGCGTCTCTTCGTCCGTGATCAAGTTGAGACCCTTTTAGTAAAGCGACGCGGCGAGGGGTCAGCAAGAAATCTGGCACTAATGATAATCGACACGTTTAAATCAGGCTAGCTTATTCGTAGTTTGCCAAGTGATGATTTTTAAAATTTTAAAAAATTCATTCGTGCCGTTCAATTAGTTTTAAATATTTTTTTCACCGAAACAAAGAGGAACACCTGTGCACCATACGAATTTTTAAAACTTTCAGGCGAAACAAGATTTCATTTAAGAAGGTGAAAGAGGATTTAACTCAGGAGGTGGTAAGAAATGTGAGTAGTGACAAGATCGGAAATCAAAATCTGTGGGTGGTGAGGAAATTCCAGTCTGTAACTAGAGTAGACGTATGATATATGAAGGATATCTGCATCTGTTGTGAATATAGCATTTTCAAAGAGATTTTCCTCTCTATTATTTCAGGTTATACCATATATGTTTTTGTTTTATGCGAATTTGCCTTAAATTTCCTACTTGACCGGTGAGAGTTTAGCCCGAAAGGGAAGACAAGTTTCATACGACTTCCCTTAGTCTGGAAGAAATATTTGCGTAAGGAAGAGAATACCTTGGGCAGCGGAGCCAAGACGATTACTGGATTTGCATCCGCGGCGAAAGATAAAACTATCTATTGTTGACAACGTCAACAGTTTATTTAAATACAAAAGGAACCATTACAACCTAAATTGAGAAAAAAGAACAGGAAAGTTGCGAAAGGCGTCTACAAGGACGTAGGCGGAGATAAATTTTTGACCTTTCACAAGCTTGTGACCGGCTTTTTTTCCTTTGTTGCAGTTAATAAATTTCAGCGGATTAAATAATATAGAGGGAACACATAAATTTAACGCGAGGCAACAACACTGAGGAAGATGTAAACCATTTGGCATGGCTATGGTTTAGGAGGCAAAACATCACTTCATATCTACCAAAAAATACGCTATTCAATCTGGAAATATAATAACCAGGTACTCTCTTCCTGTCGGGACGATAGCTGTCTCCTTTCAGTACTGACTGATCACGAATTTAAAAGGGTCTTTTTTTTGTAGAATACCACGTAAGAGTAATTGTTATGCTTTGCAGATTTAGCGCAACCGAACTTAAGTCTTGCTTCGTGATAGCCTAAGAAGGAATCCAACGATTGTTACAGGTTAGACAGGTTTTACAGCCCTTTAGTGGCGAGTAATATTTACACCATTGTTGCCCACACTGTAGGTTCTTCAGAAAATTTTCTAAGAAGATCCGATAGTAGCATTATTTCTTCCTTACTTAAACCTACCTTTTAATGTGGAATCTCTAATCGTCCAACCTTGTTGCCCTCTCAGGGCTTCATGTTCGTGGTGATTATATACCGGCGAAGCGGAAAAGAGGATAGAGTTTCTGGTCATGTGCTTAAGATGTGACCCGCGGAAAAGCTGGAAAATTCCAGTAAATAGGATAGCGTGACGTTTTGACTTTAAAATCACTTTTGAAGTGCTCTGGCCATTGCCAAGTTGACAAAGGCTGATTAACTAGCGGACTGAAAATTATTATTTTTATGTCAAATTCTCGGAAATGCCGTCTCAGTGTCTTACGGGAAATGAAACGGTTTGGATGCACATCTTTTATGTTATGTTCTGGTGTCAGCTCTTTAGGTGCAATATATTCTTGTCATCGAACGTTTTGTACACTGAACATGCAACTTAGAAGTGTCTAAAGTCCCCTTTGTTGCAAAGAAGCTGAAGACGCATGGATGCAATTTTGCTTACATATGGATTTACATATGTTTATGCTTGTTCGAGCGGTGAAAACTGACTTACAGCCGATTACACAGAGGCTGTGAAAAAGTGAAAAGGAAATAAGAATTACTGTTTAAGCCATAATCTTAATCAGGTTATATACTTTTTATTGAAGACATCAAGCAGTATTCCCCAAATTTCCTTTTATAAACAAGATTGTATCTTGTTATTGAGGTTGGTTAAGTCCCAGACACTACGGGGAAACCTCCTCTGTTAGTCTGCTTTTGTGAAACGTGATGCCTTGCACAACTATCTTTTATAGGGTAACGAGTAAATAGGCTATTTCTTACTCCTCTGTTTATGCAAAAAGCTGAAAAATAACGAGAAAATGTTTCAATTAATATAAGGCTTAGATCTCCTAAAGGAGGAATGATGAGTAGTTGTGAATTGGAAGACTGTTGTAAAAACGCCGATCGTTAAAATACTCTCATTAAATGAAGCAAAAAGATATGCTCAGTCAGCGTATGTCAAGCACCTGTCACTCTAACTTCCTTCAACGTGCAGTAGGTCGTGTTCAAACTCACTGATGCACAAAGATAGAAACAGCCAGCTGATAAGACTGTAGTTTTACAAAAACTATAGTTTTACAAAGAGTCCATATGGGCCTCGGCATATGAAGCTCCTACGAGTTTGCGGGCTTCGAACACATGAGGGCTTCGGTCACGCGATTTGATTCGAGGATTGTTAACCGAAATATCTGAAATACTACGTGCTGTTCAAACCTGCCATTTAAATTACGGCAAAATTAACTCGACTAAGATAAAGATGTTCAGGTTAGTAGCCAGTGTGTAACACGCAGACAGGGGGCGGTACCGGAAAGGTCGGAAAAAAACTAAAACCGGCATATCGTCAAAATAGAACAACCTTGCCAAATATTTATTGTAGTGTCATTGGAAGAGCAAGGTTGGGCGGAATAGATAAAAGGACGTGCAATTTAAGAGCAAGAAAATCATGATGTCCTCTGACGCTGAACTTAAACAGAAAGTTGCAATTTCAAGAAGTCTCGCTAAACGAAGTGGGATGCAGTTTCGTCCCTTGCTTAAAAAAAAATTCATAAAGGAAGGGAGATATATCATAGGTATTATTGTGATTTTATCCTACAAGACAAGCCATACCTATAATCCAGAAATCACAAAAGGAGAGAACTAAACTGTATATCGAGTGCGAATGTCGAACTACTACGATACCCCGAAAAATCATTAAGTAGAACCGGGAAACATCGGGTCAAATTGGGTCAAGATCAGAATTCTATTATTACATTCTATTATTACACTCTCTCCCTCATCTCGACGATGATGTAGCTTTGCCTCTTATAGGAAATATACAGAAGCCAATCACGTCGAGTTTATCCGTATTTGTGGATGCAAGCTTTACTATGGATGATGTAGTTTTTATGCATAATTTAGGCTGTTTCCTATTAAGCAGGTAGGGATCACATTACTATCTACACTTGCTACGGATTTTGACGGCAGGAAAGTGGTCGAAATACCTGAAACATGATGATCTAAGTGAAAAATAAGAAGAGGATAAATTGCGAAAGACGTCTACGTAGTTCAAGGATGTTAAAAAAAGATAGCGTTTGACATTTTACAAGAATGTGAGCGTTTTTTCCTTTTTAATTTTCTCCTGTTTGCGGTGGTTAAATTTCGGCGAATTAGACATCATGTAAACTAGGGGCAGATAAATTTCCTGCGGGGAGTTTGGCATGCTAATGGTTGAGGCGGTGAAACTTTACATCTGCTAAAAAAACGCTAATCAGGAAACACATGTTGGATTGTAACATTTACCTGCTTCTGATATTACTAACGAATTCATAGAGGATTTCCTTCTATAGAAAACCAGGCAGAAATAATCCGCGATCTGTTTTGCAAAATTGGCGTAACCGAACCCAGGTTTTGCTTCACCATAGAGGAAGAAGGAATCCAGCAATGACGAATTGTTTTTCAGCCCTCTGACGACAAATAAGATCTTAACCAATATTTTTTTCAGGATATCAACCAAAACAAGTTTGAGAAGTTCCGTTTATTGCATTTTTTTAATTTTTGAATAATTCTACCTTAATTGTGGAATCTCAAATCGTCCAAGCCTTTTCGTTCTCTCATTACTTGATGTTTTGTCAAATCTATCCCATAAGCGGAAAATCGGGAGGCAGGCTTTGGTCGTGCATGTAATTTGACCCGCAGGAAAACTGCTGAGCTTAGCAGGAAGTTCCCCTATGTTGCAAACAAGCTGAGGTTTTCATTAGCTAATCAATCAGAGCAAAGATGCAATTTTTTGCCCAAATATGGACTTTGAAGCTCGAGCAGTTTTTTCAAAATTTAATAAAATATGTGTTTGTTGTTCATCGTGGTGTAAGATAGGAGATGAACTTTGTTCGTTTGTCTCACGATAGTCACTTTTTGACGTTGATCGCAACGTTTCAACTGCAATACTACTAGTCTTCATCAGGCGATGTGTTTACCATGCCATGTAGCACGTTGGTACGCTGCTAGTGGTGCATTTCGATCCTCATTATTTTTCCGGTTGTTAGAAGGTTTTCCCATGGAGCGAAACGAGAAGGCGCTTTTGTTCCTCCTTGGCTGCTCGGACTTGAATTGTGCCTGGCTATAGCTACTCGCGTCTTAAGATATTCCGCCCTTCCACCGATCCACCGTACCTCCGTTCAATTATTCTGTTAAATAATTAGGGTACTTGCTCGCTTCGCAAATTTAGCGGCTCTTTTCGGCTTAAGTCGCTGATTCAATCAATAAAATTCTCTCTTTCAAGACAGAATTGTTTTTTCTCAAAGCTTTTATGATGGGCTGATTACACATATTAAGATGTTAATTATTAATCGCGCGCAATCCGGAAATGATTGTGAGATGTTTATCGTCTTCTGTTGTCTTCCGTAGTATAACAGCAAGGTCTGAAAACATAATGTGCTAGTGGCTATAAACCAGGAATCGCAAATGGAGAGAACTAAAAAAATGTGTATCGAGTGCGAATGTCGAACTACTAAAAAAAAGAAAACGATACCTAGGACCGGGAAACATCGGGTCAAATTGGGTCTTGCAGATCAGAATTCTAATCTTAAACTCACCCACTCATCTCGACGACATATGTTGCTTCGCCTCTTATAGGAAGTAGTAGCCACAAATCCACTACAGACATCATGCATGCGTAGCTACTCGACCTAATCGCCTGAATAGGACCAACCGGTAAGTGACCTATTGGTAATCACGAGACAAGCGAGAAAATTTTTCTAACATAATCATGGATTTTTTCATCACTTAAAGGTTTACTATTGAGCCTAATCGAGCAGGATTTTTACAATTTAAAAAAAATTAATTCCCATGGGCATTTCGTAGTTTTAACGGTTTGTTGAGTTTATAGCCCTTATGGATGCAAGCTTTACTATGGATGATGTACTTTTAAGTATAATTAAAACGGTTTCATATTAAGACGGTAGGGAACTCATTTCTCTCTACACTCGTTACGGATTTTGACGTCGGGAAAGTGGTCGAAATACCTGATCGTATATTTTCAGCGGTCTAATCACGCAAGATATGTGAAATGCCTTCATTTAAATGAAAATTAAATACTTGTGTATGTTTTTAAAATATGTGCATCAAGAGCCTCTTTATTCATTATTATAAATGGATATCGTATTTTCATTTCACATAAACATCAAGGGTTGTTATGATAACCTATATTTAGCAAGAGAACATTTGCTATGCTATCTCACATCTCAGTCAATCAGATCACAGCTCAAAGGCATGCCAGATTGTTCGAGAAAAAACCTATTAAAATCGAACGTACGGATCAAAAAGGTTAATCAATACATCACTGATCCTTGTTGACATTGCCAGAGTCAATGATATAAATAATAAATGAATTTCAGTCGGAGGGAATATTGGATCTAAGGCAGAAATCATAGGCGTACCTTCATTTTTCAGTAAAATACTCTGAGTTGCAATGAACAGTTCAAAAGATGCAGTGGTGTTTAATAACACAACAACAAAAAACCCTTTACAAGATGAAGGAATTTCTGTGCAAGAGTTTTCAGAAAATTACATGATCGTCATACGTTATATAAATCTTTTTTTCTGCTGTACAGCGGTGCTTGGAAACTCGAGCATTCTACTGACCATTTGGAAGACATCATCGTTGCATTCAGTGTCGAATATTTTATTATCAAGTCTCGCTGTATCAGACCTAAGTATTGGTTTGGTTGTCCAACCTATTTTTGTAGCTCATTTGGAAAACTTAGCAACGACTGATGGTTTACTCTACTTCAATATTTTGGGCAGCGTGTCTTGTACAGTGTCTTTCTATTCCGTTACAGCAATAGCCGTGGACCGTTTGCTTGCTGTTCAACTGCATTTGAGATATAAAGCAGAAGTTACACCGTTTCGTGCCACTGTGGTAGTAATTATCATTTGGATTTACGCAGCTCTTTTTTCAGTTCTTTGGTTATTGAATTTCTACTTGGTTTTCAAAATGATCAGTATTGTTATTATGTGCATTCTAATTGGAAATTTTGCTGTTCATTTGAAAATCTACCTGATTGTTCTACGCCATCAAAGGCAAATTCAGCGACAGCTGCAATTACAGCAACAAGCTGCGAACAACGAAAACATATTGCGCGTAAAAAGATTTGTGAGATCTGCTGTGAACATATTTCTCCTATATATCTTGCTTTTGAGCTGTTATATGCCTTTTGCAGTTTACCATCAACTGATTTTTGTCAACAGAGGATATGCCGCGTCAAATGTTTATATCACAACAATGACATTGGTTTTTCTCAACTCGTCGCTAAATCCGTTATTTTACAGTTGGCGAGATAGCGAAATAAGGACAGCCTTAAAACAATTTTATGGGCGATGTTTTTAGCCCTGAAGCGTTTATGATCTGATTAGAGACTCTCCCCTCTTGATGCTGCCTATATCTTTGTTATAAGTAAAGCGAATTCAAAGTTATATCGAGGTATAAACCCCCACCCAAGAAACTCGCCTTATTGCATCACCTCAGGCTAGTGTTCAATTAATTCAAATGTTGAGGAGAGGCTGCATGCTAAGAACATTTCTAACTCTATGGTTTTGTGATACATCACAGATTACATGGTAAAGCAGTTTTAATATATTTTATTGCAAGCTCAAAACCTGCAGGAAGTTTTGAATGATTACGGAGTCGTCATATAATCATCATACTAGTTTGGCATAGTCTTTTACGAAATGCCCCGGAAAGGAAATCTATTTATCACCGATACTTCATTATGCATAAAGTTCTTGGATTTTTTTTCCTGTAACATGGATTTTTTAATCTCGACAAAAGTTTCATTTGCCTACCGGTCGCCGTTCGTGCCAAAGAAACGTCTTCGCTCAAGCTTTCTACAGATTACGAGATCACTCCTATTGCGTGTTGAGATGGCAAACAGCCAATAGTCCCTCCGTGTGGATGGTGAGGGGAGAGACAGATCAATAAATTTATAATAGGGAAGTTGAAACTCTGGGTTCAAGAAACAAAGAAAATGTTTTTAACTGAAGTCTAAAAGCCTTAGAAATATTTAAAGACAACTGAGAAATTGGTGTCAGACAAGTAGTTAAAAAGCCCATGGGGGGGGGGTCTATACCCCCGCTGGACTCGCTTTGTTGGGGGGAGGAGGGTGAATATAAACTATCACCTGTATATAAAAATCTGGTGGAGGGCCGATTACGTAGGCGGAGAAATGGGTTGTTTTCGCTGTTGAGTTCCACTGACGGCGTGGCAAACAATTTCATTGGCGTGGATAAAATCTTACTTATTTATAACTATTTTTTAGAGTTAACGACTCTTAAATCGATCAAATGATAGAGTATGGGTATAAATGACCATATACTTTAATACAACTGTAATAGCCTAGAGAGAAAAACAACAGAGCAACGATTCGAAGCTCTAAAATCTCCCGACTGAAAAAGCCCTTGATGTAAATAGGGCAAGAGCAGTTTTTAAATATCTTATTTAAATATGTTAACTTCTCTTGTATGGTAATATACCTTTGCCTTAAACTGCGCTGAAAAAGTGTATTTACACAGGTATCTATTTTGTTGTTGTTGTTGCAAGTCATGTTTATCGAATTGATCCCCTTACAACACCATTCGAGGTCGCTTTCCTATGTCATTACGTATATATTATTAGGACCGAAGCCTAAACACGACTTGCAGGCCTATTTTTGACTCTTGCTTCTACGCTTTGGTTATGTTAAATATGTTCAATATGTTCTAGTCCAAGCTTCAGTCGCCCTGGGGTATATTCAGATCAAAAAGAAGCTTAGAACTCTTGTGGATTCTCTAACACTTCCGAGCTATGAGATCGTTGAAAATAATGGCGCTGACTTTCTTCGCTGAGAATCAATTGCAACCTTCGATTCCCCTGTTTGATTCTTTGAGGGAATTCCATGTTTTCTGAAACTTGCCGTTATCTTTCCATAAGTTCTTATTAATCTTTGACCATTTTTCTTTATGGTGCACTTTCAATCTTTGCCATCACAGTTAGCGTGTTATTTCCTCTTGTATCATGTAAGATGTCACGGCCGCTTCGCGTGACGGATTCACGAAAGTTATCACCGAATTTTAGCTCCGTGAATTGAAATTTAACACGCAAGTTGTCACAGTACGTTGATGGTGGAGCTGACTCCGCATGAATGTCTGGCATTCTAAGCCCGTCATTTCTTAGTTCCGGAAGGTTAGGACTTGGTTTGCACTCCATCAACTCATTTAGAACTATAGACGGTACAGAATTGCGCCGTCTCCTTTCACGACGCTTCACTCCAGATTCCTCTTGGGTTTCCTGTGACATTGCGCACCCCATCAGCTCCAGGGCAACTTTTCTATAGCGTACGTTTCTGTAGAAGTAAAGTGCAGGATCTAGAAGGGAGTTTAGTTGGAGGATCAATTCAGCCCATCGGTTTGCCGAAATTGTTCGGAAAGAGGACGTCGATGACGCGAAGAAAAAGACAATAATAGAGGGAACACCAGAAATCAAAATGGCAACTGTTAGCAAAAGCATTGTGTATGAAATTTTATTTTCGGCTGCCGCACGGACTGAAACATTTTCTCGAGTGTGACGCCTTCGGAGCCGTTTTTGTATTTGGACATTAATCCTAAGATAACTGTACCCAATAACCAAAAAGCCGATTATCCATAGGATAATTAGGATGAAAACAAGGATTTGCAAGACGCTGTAGGGAACACCCGCGCCTACTAATGTGGCAAATATAGCAGCTGTCGATAAAGTTATTATCCAGGGAAATGCCACGTAGTTCTTAATTCGTACTTTTGAAACCACAACTTTATATTCCGCATATTTTACCACTGCTGCATACCGCTCCTTTGCAATCAGAATCAAATGATAAAATGATGTGTTGAAGGTTGAATAAAGTACAAAGCCGGCAATGCGATCGATCGCACAGATTTTTTCCTCCGACACAGTTCCATGAAGGATCAGTGCATCAAGGGAGATTGTCAATGGCAGAGAAACCGTGCCCACTATGAGATCAACGCACGCCAAACTAGCAAGTAAAATGTTGGAGTTTGTTTGTAATTTCTTGAATTTCTTGACCGCCACGATTACTAATGCATTCAAAACAATGATAATTGGACAGGCAATGGTTGTTACCGCAATTGAAAGCTGCAGAGAAAGTGTTTGCTTTAGGTCCCAGATGAACAGTGGATTGTTCGGGCAACTGACGAACACTGACCTGGAGGAATTAGCAAGAGATTCTTGGTTGTTGCCGCTCACATTCATGTCGATCAACACCAAATGTTGACGATCGTGCACTTTTTAACGTTGAATGATCTGTGGTTGTTGACGAATGGTCAAAAAATTAATGTTTTCTTGCTTAAGATGTTAACTCTTTTTCAAGGAGGTAATTTCCGTTTTAAAAACAAACAGATTTTGATTGGAAACTTTCCCGCAAAAAGAAAATGAAAAACACCAAAGATGAGAAAATGAAAAACACCAACGATGATGAAAATGAAAAACACAAAAGATGAGAACTATCCAGCTGGTTGACTCTTAAATCTTACACATTTTCTTTCACTCTCTTAAGCCACGAATCGGTAAATTTATCTGCGAGTAAAAAGGAAAACAGGATATTGCGTAAAACAAATATTTAAGGGTGATTGAGAAGGTTTTTTTCCTTATCACCTTTATTAAAAACATGTTAAAAACATTTGTTATGGCAAACAATACCCACTAATTGACTCCAACTCGACTTCAACTCGAATCCGGCCTTTGACCGGATTTTCCCCTCAATAAAGGGTTAGAGAAAAAGAGAAAGAAAGAGAGAAGGTATCGAGGTTTATTAAGTTAAGCAAATAATCAATCTCTCTTGGAAGATGATTTTTAAACGTCGAGGTCAGTCGTAAACTACGAGCAGTCCTTCTTTTCGGCGAGGTCCGTAACGCGTGTGAAAAAAAAAAGTCAGTGGAAAAAAAAATGATGTTAGCGCATTGCCTGGGAGTGAGGTGCACTGAAATTATTCACCCTTTACACCCTAACATCAGTAAGCACTTTCTCCATACTGTTCTCTGTTTAATTCCTAAGGAGCTGACAAGGAGAATTTGTTTGACAATCAAGAGCTTTTTTGGTTGGTGATCATTTCCTTTATTCTCATGACCTTAATGTTTGATTCAGGGGTGATATTGTAAGAAGAAATTAGAAGCTGGTCACTCTTCAGGTTTAAAGGGTTAATAATGGTAATTGAACTGGGGTGGAGGACAGTTTGGTTTGAAATCATACGAGTGATTTCAACATTGAATGAGTGCGCAGCGTAAGTTTAATTTCAAATCGCAAGTATGATCTCAGACCGCAATTGCACGGTACGCGTACGAAGTTCAGTTACCACTTTACTACTTCCATTTAGAAATCGCAAAATTCAGTCGCTCAAATACAGGATTTTTGGAGTGTAGAAATAGTTTAATGATTTAGTACTGAGCTGGTTGATAAAAAGTTGCAATGTTGTTTTTTATTTTTCCCTAACGTAAATGGTTTTTCTCTAAAAGCCTGGAAATCAGATTGGTTTCTGTGTGATGGTGAAGGTTTCTCATTTGCTGGGAAAAATTGTGAATTAGAGCAAAAAAAGATGCAATTCGGGAATAATCTGCAACAATAAGAGCTTACCAGATTGCAAGAATCACTGGTTATTTCAAAATGGATGTAATAATGTTTCCTAATTGAACTGAAAACTATTTAATTTTTTAATGCATTCAAGTGTGTCAAATATTTTATAATTGGGTGGAAAAAATTAAAACAATCTGCCTCCAGCTGAGAGAGAATTTTTTTCGAACTGGGATAATTTTCTGGCATTGAAGACTACAATTGTTTTTTGGTTCCAAGAAATTTCTGATGGAAGTACTTTTCAAGCATTAAAATATGTTTAAATTTTTCTTCCTAAAGAAATTCTTCTTCGCTTGAACGAGACAGCTGGTGAATAGAGTGTAATTACCTTTTTTGGGAGGAGTCTGGGAATGAGTATGTGAAAAAAGAGGACATTTGAAAAAAAAAAAAAAAAAAAAAAAGAACGTATGCTGGTTAATTCTGCGCCGGACAAGTCTCGCGGCGAAGCCCTTTAATCAAAATTTGAACCACTGACTATTCTCCCTAAGAACTTGCTCATTTTTTAGAGGGTAGAAATAAAATATTAAGTGTATTTTACAACATAAGACATCTTCTAGTCAGCATTTCCACGAACTCACTAGTGTAACTGATTTCTCGATGTGATCCTGCATCAGCGTGCGAAGATCAAAATCTGAAAGCACGTGGAAAGTTTGGAGTTTTACTCGTGGTCGAGAACAACGATAAGCATTTCGAGTTGATCAACCAATTGTTTTAACATTTTAAACACGGCATTTAAGTATTTTAAAGAGAAATTTCTTCTGCTACACTTCAATGCCAATACATAATTCATCAGCTTGCACAACGTTAAACTGTAACACACTCGTGCAGTTGACTGTTAATACACGATCTAATTGTGTCATTAAGAACACGCTCGAATACGAGTGGTACGTTTTCTAAATTCGCAGTCGCTGAGGTTCCACTCCTCTCCTTTCAAGGACATTTACAGCATCTGTTTCCTTTTGCCCATTAACCTTTAAATTACAATTAGTTCGAAACCATGACGTGATCATTACATATCTTTTTTGGATAAAACTGCTCTGGAAAATCTACAGGTCAAAAAAATTGAATGTGAAGGTGATATCGTTCCCTGAACCACAATTCTCTTGGTTTGCAAACCGTAAAGCTCTGGTCAAACCCGTTACTTTCAATTTGCGCAGAATCTAGTTTCTCATTGCATTTCTGTTTTTGTTTGATTTACCAGCTAATCAAAGTTGAGGAGAAATTCTGGATTTGACCAGAGTCTCCTTCACCCGTTCCTCCGGACAAAGGTTACGAAGGCTCTAGAAGCGAGTTTGGGGTAGAGGCAGTTCTAGGGCATTGGTGTCTTGACACGTTTACTATATCTGTGCGTGAGAGGACTACGCAGCTTGGGTTCTCTCTTCTTGTAATGTTCGTTGAAATCCAGTCTAAAGCTAAGGAACCTCAAGCTGACATCTTGGTGACTAGTGAGCATCATAAGAAACTGTTGAACCATATCCTGGAAGAAAAGAATATTACAATCAGTGTTAATATCTCAGATAGGCGCATTCCGCACAAAGGAATTTTCAATGGTGTGTTGGAAGTAATCCAGGATTGGTTTGTTTTTGCTTTACTTCGCTCTGTGATTGGTCCTGAAAAAATCGTGCCACTCTCTCCACCAATCAGAAGCAAAATCAAAACCGCTTTCCCACGCCCTCAGCAGTTTGTTTGTTTTCACTCTGAGCTCTCATTGGTTAATGTTGGTGTAAACTTTTGCCCTGATTTTGGTCGCTGGGATGACTTTGGTTTTAGTTTTTCGACACCCAATTGACTACTGTTCTATTGGCCAATCAGAACGAAGGAGAATTCTACCAGGAGTCAATGAGAACCAAAAGTAAAAAAAAAAACTGTCTAGAGCGCATGCTTACCTTTTTCTGCACCAATCACAGGGCGAAGTAATGCAAAATTATTGCAGTACCGTATCGCTTTTGACACTTGTCTTAAAATTGCTCTGGAGGAAGTGAACTATCATTATGGATTAAAAAAGACTGGCAGTTTCAAATAGGCGCTAATCTATATTTTCACAGTAATCGTAACCTCACCTGGTAAGACTTAGACAAAACTTTTAGTTGAGCTCGAGTATCTGGAATAATGTTATCTACAAACTTCACTGATCGCTTTCTCTCCTCTTCCTCGTCCCATTCCGTCAAACCCCACTCTCCCTGTTCGAAGGAAAATAAAAAATACGCTTTGGAAACTCTACCTGTCTAACTGAGTAAAAAATATATCATTAAGCTATCCTTCATCAATCCCTTAACCGTTTAACTCCCAAAAGTGATTGACATGAACCTTCTCCCTATGATCCATACATTATTCAGCAAACAGGTGATGAGAATTTTAAAATTTATCACGTAAAAGCTGCTATCTTGATCTAGCACCAGGTTCGCATAACTAATTTGCGAGGAAATGTGTAGCAGCTAGAGAGGAGAATTAACAATCTGATCTTGGGAGTTAAAGGGTTAACCGTTTAATCCCTAAGATACTAAGATTTTATTTCTACTCACACTACCACCCCCGAAACAAACGTTCAGGCCAAAAGAATAAGGGAACTGATCACCAACTAAAGAAGCTCTCGATTGTTTAACAAATTCTCCTTGTCAGTAACATAGGAATAGTAGAGAACAGTACGGAGAATATCCATCCTGTAGGGGGGGGTGGTGGTAAAGGAATAAACCGTCCTCACATCAATTCTTTTATGGCCAAGGTCTGATTACTAATTCTTCTTTCTCAGTTTCGCTATTTAACGTTTCCTTGCAAATTTATTGAGAGGAATTTCATGATTATTTTATCTGACTTTTTCACGACAGCAGCCTCTTGTCGATTAACTGATCCATAATTAATTTTCAGGATTCGTGTTTACTGAATAAATCATCGATGTTGTCATAGAACTTAACATATTAATTTCTTCAGGAAGTTTGGCAGTTAGGGGAAACAAAGCACGATCTGACCTCATCGGTTCGCAGTTCCACAGCTTTTTCCAATCTCTGCCGTGACTGTAGTTCAGCGGTTGCAGCAGAAAAGAAAGACTCTTGAGCATTCTGGAACTGGATGATTAAATCAAAGATTGTCCGCAGTTGGGTCAACATCGGCTGTAGAGAAACGAAAGGTGATACACCTTGAGCACATCGAATGAAAACGATGAAAATAGTTCAAAATAGTAAAATTCTCAAGATGAAGAAAGGTGTTGACATTTTAACAAATAGATTTTCTGTTCTGCAATAGAGGACAGATGACGTGTTTTCCCGCGCTTTTGACAGCTTGGTCGGTTTGATCAGTTCTCATTGGTTCTTGAAGGTATTTTCCTTTCTCCTGATTGGCTGTTGTGGTTGGTTTTACAACACTCAACCGAAAAGTGCTCTATATAATCCATGAAGAACTTAATAACTTACTCTTGACTCGGCGTCTAAAAGGCAGCGGTTGAGAACCTGGTCCAGGAATGTTTCATGTGCAGCAATAATATGATCCAAATCACTGGCTTCCGCTACTTGTTTCTTCAGGTCTGCCCAGCAACATTCCAAAACCTGAATACAATAGACAAGGAAGATGTCATACTTCAATCTTCATTCCTGAATATACAGTGCGTGAAAGGTTACCCAGACGGTAGAGGGAAACACATCGCTAGCGCGCTGGATTCCGGTGCTACACCTAGCCGGGTCATTGTGTTATGTTCTTGGGCGAGACACTTTAATCTCTCATTGCTCCCTCGCCTACCAGGTCACCGGCGAACCGTCAACGAAACCAAACAAAATTCTGAGGGTGAGGGTAACTCTGAGAAGGACTGGCTTCCCATCCAGGGAGGGGAAAGGTAGAAATTCTCCTGGCCGTCTCATGACTTGAGCAACGCGGACCCCTCGCTGGACTTCTGACTTAACCCAACTAGCTAATCGGTTAGGTGCGGGGGAAAAGCAATTGGACGAGGAAAGAGGGAGAGGGATAGCAGTGCACTATATTTGTGTACCTCAAATGTGATATAATACTGCATCTGATGAATAAAATGAATCATCTCTGTCCCCATCATGTGGCACATGTGAAGAATGGGGGATACTTCTGTTGGTCAAAATAAAAATGAAAATAGTCAAGTGTGTTGAAGAAATACAGACAACACATTATAAATTTTTTGAAGGCAATAATAATAATATCAAAGCGCAAAAAAAGAACGGTAAACCAACAGGATATCTGTACTTGAATAAGCTTTGAGATCGAAAAGTCTCAAGTTTTACTTTTACCTACGTTTGTCTCCTGTACATATTTCTATGAATTTTTCAATTTTCTTTCGCTAATTTTGCCAGACAGCGGTTGTTTTGACATTTTTAACTTTGAAACTTTGCGCAGGAAATTGTCGAACAGCCGGTCAGAATAGACCCCCTCGCGCATGCCCGACGTTTGACAGCTGTGTTGAAAAGAGTTCTAAACAAACTTCTGAGAAACCAAAGAAGTGTCTTCAGTTCCTAGTAGTGTTTCTTATGGAAGCAACTTTGCATTGAATAGTTACTGTATCGAAGAAACAAATTACCTGGCAATGATTTTAACATCTTGCGATTTGTCATCTGTTGTTTCCACATTTCAGTCAAACAGTATTCCATTCTCTTTGCTCTCCACAGAAAATTGAAGATCCTTAGATAGTGGATCATGCACTCTGGCGTGAAAACCTGAAATTGATGATGAATTGTTACTGCAAGATAACAAAGGGGGTGGGGAACTTTTTAACAGCGCAGTTTACTTACAGTACTGATTGGCCCATCAACATGATAATCCAGACTAAATACATCCCAGCCAGTGTCTCCAGGAGACACCTGAAAATTAAGAAAAAAGGAGAAGAAACTGAGCCTGAAGGGAAGCATTTGAACAGTCAAGCCAAGCAAGAAATGGATCAATGTCAGTATCTGAGCACCTACAACCCTACCCGCTCCCCCAGCCCAACAACAGTCAACTGATAACAAGTTAAGGTTGGTTTAAGGAAGGGGAAGATGGGCATTTTCTCAGGTACGGATATTGATTCCTGGGAATTATGGATGCGTGAATGCACAAACAAATGGATAGGCAGTGATGAAATTAAAAAAAAAAAAAAAAAAAAAAAACTTAAACACGCGGATTACAGTTTTTCCCAACAGTTGCGAATCAGGTGTAAGATTTGTCCTAAATCTAGATCATGTTTTGAGGATTGGCATGCTCACATGTACAAATTTAACCACAGAAAAATTTACACTCAAAGATTTAAATGAAACAATCTACCTAATAGCTGAGTAGATACAAAAACTAAATGGTCTGGAATCTACATCAAAAGGTCTCAGCTAGGCCCTAGACATGTTGTGATCTTCAGAAAGACAATTCACTATCAAGAAGCCTCTATCTGACCAGGAGTTTGAATAAGGGAAATCTGATGAAATACTGGGTGCCAACTCTGTTACAGAAACTGGGACAAACTCTGACAGGATAGGTCACCTGGCCTCTACACTGACTTTGACTTTTAGCCATTTCTGGTATTTCAATACTTTGGAGGCTAAAAGAGCTTCTGGAATTGAAGGTCAGCTCTTTATAACCCTGTAATTTTTGGGTGCCTTACCTCAAGCAGTCGACAGTCCAGGCGTTCAATAATCTCAGGGTCTGCATACTGTGCATTGGTAGCTCTGATGGCAGTCTCCAGCACACCTGTCAAATTGTGCATGTAAAGTGTACTGGCTGCCTTGGCTAAGTCAGACCTATAGGGAGACAAATATAATCAACGTTTCATCAAACAATTTTGAAAGTAAATCAAAATAAACCAACTACAAATAATTATAAAACAATATCATGTGCAAAAAGCTTACTCGAGAAGATCCATAAGATGCCTGATAAAGTCTCCTTGTCCCAGAAGAAGATAAAGTCGAAGGGCCTATGTTGTGCATCAGAGTAAAACAAAGATAATTGTATCCCAACAGGTAACCCTTTTGTTTCATTAATTAACATTAACCTTACTAACATTTGATTTGATAATTAACCCCCTGATTGATATGTGAATGGCGTAATTGCTAAGTAAGTTGATCTTCAGTTGAAAAGGAATGACACCTTCCCATTAAAATGTTCTGAAACTATTTTTTTTCTGCTTGATCTGCTGACCTGTTTTGCTGACCTGCTACATAAACTGGAATAGTTTTGATTGGATAGCACTGGTTAGAAATATGTTTTGTGACCAGTTGGATTTTGAGAATTGTAATTACATTTTTCCTGCATGCAATTTCAAGAATCGCTCACTATTAGATCTCTAATGAGTCATGTATTATTAATTTTATCATAGATCCAAAAATTTAAGACTATATGATTCCATGTCCAGTCAATACTTCCGAGAACCACTTTTTCCTGGACCACCTTTCATTACAGCTCCCATTGTTTATTGATTAGTGGGTTAAAGTATTTCTCACCCTTAAATGATCAAGGAACTTGTACTTGGAAAAGAAAATCTCCAGCAGTCTTTTGCTTGTTACCCTGTAGGCTGTGTCCACTGTTTCCTCAAGGGCTGTTCCTCCAAACTCTTCATCAGCTGTTAATTGGGCTGTAGCTAAAAAAGAAATGCAAAACACTGTCAAATTGGGAAAACTGAGTAACCTCATCTCTTGGTTCAGCCACATTTAACAACTTACTGGCATTTTTTTTTCTGTTCAACATGGAGCCCAAAGAAGTGTTCGAAATGGAAAAGACCTACATTTACAAGTCCTCATTTGCTACTAAAATAAAAAAAAATTAAAACTTTATAGCCAAATTGTAACTGAAGTTTAAAGCAAGCTTGAGAGCAATCTTCTTCTTTGGATGCCAAGTCTTTAGCATAGTCATCCTGGATCACCACAAATGACAAATTTCTAGAAACTTCAGAAGGATGTTGTGATACATATCGATAAACTTAAGAATGCCCCAGCAGATCAGAATGCTTACAGAGGTAGAGAGGATTTGAATATGTACCTGATGCTTCTTGTGACCTGCCATACTCTAGAGCTTTCTCATCTTCTCCGCTGATTGGGCTTCGATCTTGACAAACACATCGGATGAAGTTGATAGACTTTCCAATGTTTAGAATCTTAGGATAAATGAAATGACATTTCCTTAACTCATCACAATTACTTGATATTCTTGAACAATTCATGGCTTAATAGAGTGCTTCCTTTTTTGCGTATAGCCTCAGTGCCCCACTGCCATCATGGGGTGCTAGGATACAGTATGTTGTTACCAGATTTTCATGGCTTCAATCCAAGTTAACACTTTTGTGACTTTAAACTTCTAAACTTTAGTAACATTTGCTAGTTCATGACATCTGTAATTGTATGTCTATCATTTGCATTGAAACATACCTTTGTTCCAAGTTCCATTGAAATGAATGAGGGCAACATCGGTTTTCTGATACTGTACTTCTCATACCACAGACGGTCATCTTTAGTGTCGTAGTCCACAGCAACAAAGAACTAGAAAATGTGAATGGAGGGCTTTAACCCCTTAACTCTCATAAGCGATTAACCTGTAACTTCTCCCTGTAATATCCAGTCAATAGCCAGCAAACAGGTAATGAGAATAATCAAACTTGTCAGGTAAAAGTTATTATCTTGATCTAACACCAAATTCTTGTTACTAACTTGCAAGGAAATGTGTATCAGCTAGAGGGGAGAATTAACAATCAGATCCTGGGAGTTCAAGGGTTAAGAAATCATAGCAGATAATATTATTTAACTGTTTTTAACAACTGCATGGCTAAGTGGAGGTTAGGTGCCTAAGACATCCAGGGGATTCCACTATTGGCAGCCAGCTCTTAGATGGAAACTGCTCCTGTGGCTAGCAAATCCTTGCAGCCCAGCAATGAGCCCCCACATAGGAAAGGGAAACAGGCACCCGTCACACTGAATAAACAGTGGAAAGAGGGAGGTAAGGGGAGGGGACTACTGCTGGACAATGAGCTTTTACTCTAGGCATGAAATTGCACCTAATACAGGTGCCAATATGACCAAATTTTTCACTTTGGCAAACAAATCCTGAAAATTAGCTGCCAAATTGACAACTAGAATACTTCATCATAACCTTATCTAGAGATATAGTGAATTAATAAGATTTGCAAAGATAAATCTGTGGCAAACTTCCTCGTTAAGTTTGTTTTTCAAAACAAGTTTAGTCCTAGTGAGATGCAAATACTAATAACTAACCCTGCTTGCTTGAGCAGTAGCTTGGTTTGTACTCTTACAACCTTGAGCCAATATTGCTCTGTATGGCCCTTAGGCTCTGCTAGTAAATGCATGTAGTTGATATAAATTATTGCCTGCTACACATAGTTACTAAAGAGTACTTACTTCATTATACAAATCATCTAGTTCACCCTCATAAATCCACCTGTCAAGAATAAGACGGATTGGACGGGCAACCTGAAAAAGAGAAAGATTTATTATCTTTTGAAACTTTCTATGTCATGCTTCAAATCTAGAGGTTTGAGTTTAACAACTGTGTGTTATGCCTCGGTCAATCCTCACACATGGTACTTTCAGCAACCATGATTTGGTTTGATTTGATTTGTGGAAATAAGATTTTCATGGATGAAGAAATAACTAAGGTAAAATGGGTGTATTAAATTAAATTCTTTTAGAAAGAAATTGTATATTGAGGTATTTTTTAACGATTGTGATATAATTGAGAAGGACTGTTGTCAGTTGTGGTGACTGACATTTCAATTAGTGATTAAGCAAAGAGTTGTCAGTCAAGTGATCATGATTGATTGGTTTTGGATATAATTGGTAAAGACTCAATTGAGGTCATACTGTTGGGTTCCTTTGTAAAGTAAATGGGGCAAATAATTCACTTGTATGGAGACAACTGTTGAAGGAAGTCTGTTCTAAGTTAGTGAACCAGCTTTCAAAAGTCACCTGTGCCATCAGATAACTTTGGAGTGGGTAGTTACTTTTTAACCCTTTAACTCCCATGAGTGACCAAGACAGAATTTCTCCTTACAATATCAATACAATATCAACCAGATAAGTGATGAGAATAAAGAAAAATATTAATTAGGGGATTATTAGTCGATCCAATACCAAATTCTCGAAACTAACATTGCAAGAACCATACAGCAGACAGTAAGGAAAATTACTAGTGAGATCTTAGGAGTTAAAGGGTTAATTACATGCAAAATTAAACTAAAATTTTCATAGAAAACATTAACAAAGTTGCTCCTTACGCTAAATAATCTACAGCTGTACCAAGAAGGATAAATTTACCGTACATGCATACATACCAAATTAAGGGTGTGTCTGACAAGTGACTTGACAAAGGGATCACCATGTTGCATGTTAGAGTGAAGTGCTGATAATAAGGCTCCACCTTTCTTGCCTGTGAATAGAATTCAGTACTTAACCTTTTGACTAGAATCTAGTTCTCTATACAACATTACCCCTTGATAACACAGAAGAATATCAGTTTTATACTTTGTGACATCCCTTGAACTGCAATTACTAGTCTTAAAATAAGTTTTAATATTGATATGTGAACAAGAAACAGTCCTTAGGGACTTGCTGACTGCTTCTTACTGTTGACAACATTTTTGGTCTACAAAGAATTTCTATGCAATTTTTCCAATAATGTTCATCCCTACAAAAAAAAGTTTTGGCTCTAAACTCTTACCTTTACAAGCATCAACTAATGCAGCAAGAGTCCTCAGCCTCATCAGAGGGTCATATGTCCACACCATCAGTCGGCGAAGGGTCAAACTTCCACTAGCACCTTCCCCCACAAACCCTGCATCACCGACCTGATGCTGCCCTTCGAGAACAGCCAGTAATCTGTAGTATTCTGTGAGTTCCTGCTGCAGTGCTGCACAGAAGCTCTGACCAACCAACCCCATAGCTTTGTCACCTGCATGAGCATCTAAATACTTGCGAATCTTGCGGAAGAGCCAACCAAGCTCAGCTAGCTTGTTAACAAGATCCCTAACAGCTTTGGGAACTCCAAGTTTGGAATCAATGCGGTATGCATCATTAGTTTGGTCAAGCTTGATCACTTTTCCTTCAATTCCTTGAAAGATGTAGATTATCTCTCGAAGAAGGGCAGCTTCAGATACTTCATGTGATGCTGAATATAAAAAAATATTTTTTTCCATCTAAGGGTGAGCAAGTACAAAAAAAAATTGAAACAAAAGCAATATTAAGGGGTTCAAGACTGTTTCCCTCTTAGCTCTTTAACTCTAAAGAGTGACAAGCATCTAATTTCTCCAAACGATATCACTACTGTTAAGGTTTGATTCAGCACTTATATTGAGTGGACTAATAAAACAACTGTTTTTCATTTGTTGCACTGATATTGATTCCATACCAAGAAAGAGTAGAACTTACTATTGTGGGTATCATTCCCGTAACTCATGAATTGTAATACACTGCCAGTTCCAGGAGTAAAACCTGGTTGTCCATTGATGGACACCTTATTCTGTGTCACACTGAGTGACTGCACCACAAGGCTTGCCAAGAGAGAACCATCGTTTTCCTGATGTGTTCTTTTGTCATCTGCAAAATGCACTGAGGGAGTTGGTCCAAGGTTTGGAGCAAATGATGATGGCGTAGGGGTACGATCAGATGACCTTGATGGAATGCTACTGATGCCACTGCTGCTGCTAGTAGCATGAGTCAGGGACAAAACACCAGGAGTATGTCTAGAAGCAGCAAGTGATGGATGTGCTGACACCGCAGGGGTGGATGTCTGGTAGGTTGGAAGCCCTTGACAAAAGAAGGATGGTACTCCTGCAGACTACAAAGAATCACTCTCACTAATGCTACACACAGTCATACAATGTTGCAACATCAAACCTGATCTACCAGCATGACAACCTAAAAGAGAAAATAAACTGAAATACTGTGATTTAGGTCTCTAGTTCTGCTTGGCCAAGATGTTCTCAAGGGTTACCTCCTTGAAAATGAACACTGAAGCTTGACATTGCTTCTTGTTTGCTTATAAAAGACTTTCTCTGTGGTATCCTTCTCAAGCTTTCACTAATGAAGTAGAGTCCATATGATCTTATAAGGATTACGCTGCATTAACAAGGCTCGCTCACATTTCTTGGTGAGGAAGCACTGTGAAAATAACGTCCAAATCAAGCAGGCAAGGACCACCAGACTTTTAACATTTTAACTCCCATAAGAGACCAAGACATAATTTTTCCTTACAATATCAATTGATTATCAAGCAGACAACTGATGAGGAAAGTGGAAAATATCAACTAAAGGATCATCACTTGATCCAACAACAAACCACAGAACAAACTTTATAAAAAATATATGACAGACAGTAAGGAAGAATTTCATCAGGATATTGGCAGCAAAAGGGTTAAGTCTCTACAAATGATTAATCTACTTAATAATGTACACGAAAAAATTATGCACTTCTGATTGACTGAAAATGAGTGCATTTTCATGTAATACAAGTGTAAAGTTATAACACCAGTGCACATTACAAACAGTGTGCACATGCTTTCAAAATTTCATCTGTCTTGACTTTTCTGCAATGTTTTTACATGTACATTATTCACAAGTAATAACATGATTTCTCCTGTAATTTGATTTAATAATAAGACTACAAACTGCACTTACCCTAAGGGCTCAAGAAATTTTGTTGTCTTTGAAAAATTCACTCATGCTTATTAACACCATTTTCCCTGGAAATCATGTTATTACCTATACTTACAAGATAAGTTACTCCTTTTTACCTGACCATGTGACTGATCACAAGAGGAATTTTCACTGACACTCAGTAAGAAGTAAAGGATGGCCCATCTGTTTTGAAGAACAGGCTGAAAACAAAAATAAAACAGCACATGATATGAAACAAGGATGAGTAAATACCTGTTTATTTAATTTACACTTTAAGATACTATGACATTGTAGGTTGATGTGTAAGTCACATGGTCTGCTTAACCAAATACAAGGTCATTTTGCATTGTACATGGTCATTGTTGTTCAGTACTCTTTGGTTCAATCAACCACAACAAATAAAATATTTCAATCAATATAAACCCCTATTAAAAACTGGTAAGTTATTTGTGGGTGACTGCTCAGTGCCTTTCACCATGACCAGAAGAATACGGGCCATATGCAATGTTGCAGGCATTGTCACTTCTCCCTAGTATCAACATTGGTATTGGTATTGTTTAATCCCCAGTTTGAACCCAAGAGTAACAGTTAATTGTAATGAAGGGGTAATTTAGTAATTTAACATAAATTGGCCAACGTAATGAGTTTCAAAGCTGTTGTTTCAAGCATTTCAACTCTTCACTGTGTCCAATTTACGAACACAGAACCATAGTTTCTTTAGAAACTTACCCCCTTCATTCAGTTTGCAATGAAGTCTTATTGCCTAGGTAAGAGTAGTTTGGAAAACAATTGTTGACAGGAACAGAGACTAATGTTTCAACAACCTGAGAGAAAGTCATTTTCAGAGTCAACTGGGGAGTTGTTTGTCATTTGAGTGTCGTAAGTCGCGTTCATGAAGACTTATTGGTCAAGAAAAGAACATGTATTCTTACCTGGGAGGCAAGTTTGCGGCATAACTCTGAGAAAATAGCAATGTCAACTTCTCTTTTCTCTTTGAGCACTAAAGTTCCATGAAAAAAATGAAAGGGCAATCAATAAGTAAAACATACAAGAGAAAATCTAGATGATCTTTGTTAATCTTCTCTCAAAAAAAATTGTCCTACAGAAATAAAATTGTAACATCATTTTGGTTAACAGAGAAGAGATATGATCATAAATATTCTTACATTTTCTTTTTATCCTTTCCACAACACGAAACTCACCAGTGGCTATACTTGGGGTGAAACGGCTGAAACGAGGTTGCAAGATAAAACAAATTAAGTTACTCTTAGATATTTTCAAGAACAACAAAAAACCACAATTCCATCTATCAATCCCAAAAATCAATCTCCGTTTAAGTTCTTATGCCCAAGTCGAGTTCTGAGTACAAAAAACCGACGTGCCTGATTGTGTCAAGTTGGATGAGAAGGCAGTATGTCTACTCACCCTGAAAACTGTACAAACTACCCTGAATTACGCGTAACTTGCGGCCATATCTTTAGAAACCTTCTCTTATTGCCTTGGTCCTAGTGAATTTGAAATGAGCATTTCTCTACGAACTGCAAACTTTTCAGTAAGGCAGTCATGACAGGTCATTCTGCAGGTTTGAGAGAGCCGTGTTGCACTTTTCCCAACCACATTTCTACTTCCGTATATAAATTTGTGTTTTATCTTTGCAAAAAAGTAACTGATCACAGAACAAAGGTCGGTTGCTGATATTGACGATGAACAAATCGAGAGATGTTAATTTGCAAAAGTTTGTACAACTAGGGATGAGTTATTTTTCTTTTCTTTTTCAGGGATCTTTGGTTATCCAACAAAAAAAACCATGCCCAGCATTACCTACCTTCCCACAACTCTAAGAGCGTATTGAAAGTGCTCGGACACCGCGGCCGACTTGGCTGCATTGGAAAGAAATATTGATATCACAAATGACATGACACTAGTCTCACTTCGAACGATCGAAAAACCGTATTGATTTCTCAACTGTACCTATTGAATCACTGTCATCTCCCAGAAGCCGACAGCATAGCTTGTGTAGAAGAGCTGCTGGGGTCTTTGAATTGTCTATGGACGATTCTACCATTTCAAGACAAAGTTGAGCCCAGATATAGCTCTTTCACAGAAGTTTGTCGGCCATCTTGAAAACAGCCCGCCAAACTAGTGTGCGCGACGCACAGTGTGCAGATATTCACCACTGACCATATTACAAGCAGCATTGCAGATTAGTTGCTCAGGGGAATATTTCTCAAAGTAAATGAATCATGCACGTTTTCATAAAAAGAAATCGTACGTCTCTCTCCTCTAAAGTGAAAGTCACAACCTATGAAAAAATGATGTACAGTCAAACATTTTAAGTATTGCCTTTTGAGAACTCTGTGCCCAGTTTCAAACCACAAAAGACTTGAAATAATACCTCTTTACGCATGTCGATCAGGGCTATAATTGGGGCTGGCATCCATTCCAACGGCTCCCGAACAAGACCATCTCCGTAGTCGAGACTCACCCGTAACTGGCACGACTAAGAGAAGCATATGATATTGTAAGTTCCTAAAATGATAGTTGGGCCCGCTGTGTAAATTTTGTATTTTTTGCTTTAATATAAATTTGACACAAAGCCACTGACACATTTATATGGGGCGCCCCATAAATTTAGGTAAACCCCATGTTTATCCTCTGCCATGCCCGCCTGCTTCAAAGTCCCGGATGCAGTTGCCAATACGAGTCAATAGCCGAAACTCCTTAAAGCTATTAAATGGACGATTCTTGTCAAGGTGCAGATATAAATTTCCTATGTGGTTCGATATAAAGTAGTATCTATTTTTAAGCCGGCGCTTAAAGAATGGTTACGGCGCCATGGCTAGTTTAGGCTGTTGAACAAGTGGTAATTTGCAGGGCCGGGGGGAAGGAAGAGGCTCGAAGGGAATTTGGGCAGGCTCCAGTGATTCCTCACAGAGGATGTATGGCATCGAGCTTCTGCGGAGGAGAGAGTTGTGTATCTTCGCGTTCCGTAGCTCAACACTACAAATCGCACGCGGTACCGCAAGCAAATGCGGATCAATGCCAGTATCTGGGCAACTGCACACCTACCCCTTCCCTGACCCAACAACAGTCGACTAATAACAAGTTCGGGTTAATGTTGGGTTAGGGCAGGGGTAGGTGCGCAGTTGCTGAGATACTGACAACGATCTGCTGATGCGAGTAAAGTTGACATTCCGGGCGTCGACCCCTATCTACCAGTTTATTTCACGATCATTTAATCCCAGTTAAACAGTCATAGGTAGAGATAGTTCGATGTCCTCAGTCCATACACCTCTTACGAAGGTTAACATTAACATTAACACAACATCTTCATAATTATTAAAAAAAAAACTTTAATTTCAAAATCTAGTATGGTTACAAATGCTTTACATATCAATTCCGTATCATCTAAAAAAAAGCTTATAAAAATATAGTCACTTCTCTTGTAATTGAATTTTATGTAATTAAAAAAGCGAAACTATTTTGGAACCTAACTCGGTCTTTTTTATAATTTTTTTTATTATTTTGGTTAAATTCATTGTATATTTTGGCACATAATAACAATAGGAAACTTATTTGGTAAAAGATCTTGTTAGAAATTATTACAGTGGATTAAATTTTTTTGTTCTCAACTGATAAAAATTTGCCGTGGATAAGACGTCATTAACCAAAGAGAATTTGATCGTGTAGTTTGATCAAGTACTGTCTAAACGCATTTCTCTCCTACCCAATCAAACTAGTAAGAATCTTTAAAATTTTCTTCAAATCATCGACGAAATTCCACGGCGTGCCAGCTTGCGAAAAGCAACTTAATCATTCTAAGATCAATGTCACGGAAACGCTTCGAGCTCTGCATTAGCAGTTGAAATGGTTCCAATTGCCTTGAACTGACTGATTGCAAGCGTGAATACGGCGCTAAATCATAGAACTCTACACTGGTTTTCTGTGATCATTAACTACGCTTGAAACATACTAGACGTCCCACGATTGCTTGTGCCAAAAGAAAAGCATTTCCTAAAACAGAAATTACAAAATAATACTCTGTACTTCTAATCCCTTAAATTCTTAAAAGAGAGAAAAGTTCATACCCAACCACCCATTAAAATATAAGAGTATTTATAAAAAGAGAAAACACAAGAGACTATTTCTTAACAGAAACGTTAGCTTCGTGTATCGCACTACAAACGTATCTAGCACTATTCATATAATTTCTGTGGTTGGCCATCCAAGTAAACTATGAGGAGATTATATTTAAAAACATGCTCTATAATTATATGAGGCTCTTAGATGAAGTAACATTGTTAGCCGTCTACCAGAAAGTTATACTAAACGAGCTACTGACTAATAATCCTCATGAAACAGTCTCTTGCAGAAAGCATAAAAAGATTAATAGAATTCCATTATGGAAAACTAAACAAAACTAAGTAAATTGAATTTATGAGAGTGATCCAAGGGCGGAAAATCGACCCTTTCTCTAATTTACCATTTTTCCATGGATGCGAATTCGCAAATCAAGGTCGTCGCAAACTTGATTCGAGTCCATCTTGAGAATGTTACGTTTTATCGACGGATGAATAGTTCTTTTTTAGCGGTATTCAACTGACTTTATCACTGTTACCATTAATTTTTTTGAGGGCAGTGCAAAGTTTAAAGAAATTTCCGACATACGACAGACCATCGAGGTCCACCGGGGTGGACCTAAGAAAATTGTCACGCGAGACTTCACTAGTCTCAATTATTTTTTAGAACATTCCGTTGTCGTTCTTCGCTAGCCTATAGCCTACGGTACCGAAATAAAAAAAAACCATCAAGAGAATGATGGGGAGAGCGCGTTCTTTTTCTCTCTCTTCTTCCATAGCAATTGATTTTTATGTTATTACAGACCAGCAATTTGTTTTTGACATGTTAACAAGCAGTTTTAGAAAGCGGAGCGGAAAGGCTCCCCCTCAATTCGGTTAGAAAGCAAACCTCTTGCTAACGCAAATTTTCAAAAAAAGTAAGTTTAAAGGATTTGATGTTATCGGAGGGAAACCACTTTTTTGAAACTGCGCGAGAGGACATGCTTTAAAACTTGGGTATTATCTGAAAAAAATATAAAAAAATCAAAAGGAAGGTGCATCGCGTTCATCAAAATTGATGTTTAGTAAAACCAATTTGATCGCGAGATTCATCAAGGATGAATATCATTAACAATCAAGACCTGAATGTCACAAAATGAAGAAAAAAAGCTACGAGTAACAGGTCTGATAAACACGGAGGTCATGTGCCTTTTAATCCTGTAAGTGATCGTCTACGGATTTTGAAGAGTAACGTTGACCAAATATAACGCAGAAACAGTTAAACTCACTCAACCTTTGTGGAAAAAGGTGAGATGGCATTATCACTAATATTGGTAAATTTAATTTTAGACTTGAAAAACAATAATCCAATAACAGGTCTACTGACCTTGGAGGTGAATCGCATTCCTCCCTTCATAGAATTTCAAATAACGGCGTAATCCAAAAGCAACGTAAAGAACGAGATTACATTGCTTAACGTAAATAATAAAAAAAAAGAAAACTTTCGACATTACTATACTAATACTGCTCATACTGAGTTAGTTTGGCAAGTCTCTAGGGTCGACGAGGGGATCCACGACCCCACCTCCTCCTCCATTTCCGTTTCCATTATTGTTGTTGTAAACCTTTTTCATACAAACAGTGCAGCGACTGACGTGTTCTCGTTGGTTTCCTGATTTAATCGTCTTTGATGTCGGTGTTCGGAACTGCTCCTCGTCCGTGACGGTTGTTAACCAGAAACTGTACGTGCTGCCGTAGTAATGACATGTCCCGCGACCGTGGCACTCGATGAAAGGACTGGTACGGAAGTCCTCCAGACAGGAGCCTGGGGATGAAAGAAGCTGGCCAGCACCGTCGTTTCCGGCGCTTGTGTGCTGTCGGGAATGACACAATTAGATTACTATCGAGATTGAGGGAGGGAGGGAAGGGTGGAGATTATAACAAACCATGGCTTAACCCTTTACACCCTAACATCAGTATGTATATACTCCATACTGTTCACCATACATTTCCGAAGGGGCTGACCAGGAGAATTTGTTTAACAATCAAGAGCTGCTTTTAGTTGGTGATCATCTCCTCTATTCTCATGACTTTCATGCGTGGTTCTGGGCTGACATAGTAAGGAGAAATTAGATGCTAGTCACTCTTAGAGGTTAATGTCGTGGCGCAAGGGGTTAAAACACTTACCATCAAGAAGCTGTAGCCTCTCCAGAGTGGCTGCCATTCCTCAGGACAATCTGGCTCAACCATGCTCTGGCTGTGAAGAGCCATGACCATAGCTGGCGCCTCACAGACACGGCAGCGACTGATAAACGGCTTCACATCTTGGTCTTGCACAGGCATCATGGGAATAGGTTCGGGTGTCGACAGCCAGAAGGTGTAGTCATTTCTCGAGGCCAGGTTACAGTTTTCGTTCAGGTTACAGAACAGGAAAGGCATGGTGCTGAATTTTGGAAGACAAGAACCGGGCTGACCAAGATCTTGGCCGTGAGCACGTTCATTGCCCTGCACGTAAAGCAAACTGTAGCCTTCCCATAGCGATACCGTATCGGCTGGGCAATCAGGAAGCTCTGCAGTTTGACTATGCCGCACCACATAAAATCCGAAATCTGCTTCACCCGGAGGTCCAGGAAGTCCGCTTTCTCCTGGAGGACCTGGCAGACCAGGATCTCCCGGCAGACCGGGTTGTCCAGCTATGCCTCGATCTCCCTTGTCACCTACAGAGGAATGTAGATGACAAGTGGTACTCGGTTGAAAGTTTTTATTTCTTTTATTTTATTTCTCTTTTTGAACTACTGAATGCTGATTTATTGGCAGAGGATGTAATATCTTGAATTCAATGGCTGAACGGGTGTCGTATGCAGTAACTTTTGAATCAAAATTAAGACGCTCCAGTGGGATCCGATTATTAATTCTCCCTTCTAGTTGCTATGAATTATCTTGTAAATTAGTAACAAGAACTTGGCGTTAAATCAAGACATCAACTTCTACCTGATAAGTTTGTGTATTCTCATTACCTGTTTGCTGGGTAATGTATGGATATCATGGGGAGACGTTGCCTGTTAATCAGTTTTGGGTGTTCAAGGGTTACTTGACTTCAAGTCCATGCACTTGCAACCTATTACCAGCATGCCTGCCAATAAGCCCAAATTACCCACCGCTTGAAACATTTCCGGTTAACCTTTTAACTCCCAGATCAAATTTGTAATTCTCCTTACTGTCAAACGTACAATTCTTATAACGCTAGTTCAGAGAATTTAGTATTGGATCAACTAATCTTCCCCAAATTGATATTTTTCTTTATTCTCATCACTTAACTGGTTGACAGTGTATTGATATTGTAACGAGAAATTCTGTCTTGGTCACTCATGGGAGTTAAAGAGTTAAGGAGTTGCACTCATTCAAAGGTCAGAACAGTTTAGAATTTGCTGTTTGGGCAGTGTATCAAAGAGACTGACGTGGTTTCCTTAACACATGTTTCAAAAGCCTTTAAACGGAATCCTTTGCCATGAAATTGGTAAAAAAGACCACTCTATAGATTTCATTCTGGTGCTGGCAAGTGACTTCGCCCGTGAACCCCGAGAAGTGATTCACAGGCAAGTTCTCCTTGCGATTCCAATATGTGATCTTGTAGACAGATTATGAGAAAAGACAAACTTATTAGCTCGTTTTGTCAATAAATCAGCAGTAATCGTCAATCTTTCACCTTTTTATGTTCACGTTATCGTTATCCAGTTTTTCGTTGCCTTACTACTCGGACGACCAAAAAGAAAGAGGCAATTTTCCAAGAAAGGAACGCAGCAGCATTCTTCTATATTAGGACATTGTATAAGGGGTAACCCACATTAATTGAGAAATAGAGCTCCTTTTCGTATCAAAGGACACATACCTATGGGTCCATCTAATCCATTGACTCCAGGGGCTCCGTCATCACCTTTCGGACCCTGAGGCCCAGGAGGCCCTGAGGGCCCTGAGGGACCTGGTTCACCATCCTGTCCATTAATTCCATCCAAGCCAGGATCACCTTTTTCGCCGGGACTTCCTAGAAGCAAACAACACAGTTATAAGTGGTTTCATGATTAGCTAGTTACCAAAAAGGGAGCTGTTTATACGTAGAAAATGCTTGGTAAAAGTCTGAATCACCAGAAGAGGAGAAAAGGCATAAATTCTCTCAAGCGTATTTAAAACCTCTCTTTCTATTCCATCAGGCATCCTCGCTACATACAATGAAGACTACATAAATATGTACTACAATGATTAGAAGCGAGGGCCAATTTGCTTCCGAGAATTCAGAAATTATGAATCTTGTGGGCTTTTTTTTCTAAAATTGCAGATCAAACGAATCTCCGTCATGTCAGACTTCCGCACTGACTATTGACTGAGTAAAAACAAATATCCGTATTATTTTTGTGCCGGAATGAACACAATTTTTCGTACGTGTGGCCAACATCTCGCGATTTCAGAGAAAGTGTTTGGAAGGCGAGAAAAGAGGAGATGTAAGTCATATAATTCTCAAGATGATAAGAAACGTTAGAAATAGTGACAAGACAATAATATCTTAATTCATTCCTCGTAAACATGAATAAAAAATGCAAAGAACAAAAGTCAACAAAACGGGGAACGCGTGGAAGAAAATGGGATTGAAAGGTTCAGTTCCTTTGGGGGGGGAGGGGGGAGGGGGGAGGGAGGAGGGAAGAGATTACACCACCCCTCCCTTCTCCCATCCTGTTCGGGGCCCGCCCATTTGGAAAAGAAAGAAATTATACATTAACCCTTTAACCCCTAAGGGTGACCAGCATCTAATTTCTCCTTGTGATATCAACCCTGAATCACACATTAGGGTCACGAGAATAAAGAAAATGATCACCAGCCAAAGGAGCCCTTGATCGTTAAACAAATTCTCCTCAATTAACCTCAATAAATGTATAGAGAACAGTTAAGGGAAAATGCAAACTGATGTTAAAGTGTAAAGGGTTAATTTTATCGCTGGAAATGGTTTATTTACGGTTAAATCGTGTTAATCAGATAACGTATGGTAATGACGACGTAGTTATGTCAACAATCAAATATTTTGATGACTTCTTACTTTTGATCATGCGGAGTCACCCGTTACTTCTCGTGACTTAAGCTGGCGGAAAAAAATATATTCATAAAATATTGAAAAAGACATCTTACCTTCTCCTCTTCCAGGATCACCCCGTGGGCCTGGGGGACCAGAAGCCCCAGGATCTCCTTTCTCGCCAATAACTCCGGGAAATCCATCATTTCCCTTCTCTCCGGGTAGACCAGTAATACCATTTTCCCCAGGGTTTCCTTGCTCCCCCTGATCTCCTGGAAAACCCTCCATTCCTCCATCTCCTTTGGGTCCGGGTGGTCCTGGCGGTCCCACAGGTCCTGTGCTTCCTTTGGCACCATCATCCCCAGGGGGACCAGGTTGACCAGGGTCTCCATTTGCCCCAGTTGCTCCATTTTCTCCAGGGCTACCGTTTGGTCCTTCGATGGAATAAAGTACGATCCGTTAGAGAAACAAACAGTTGGGGCCAGCCGGCGGCAAATGAAAAAATCAAGTACCTAAAGCTGACAAAAAACTATTTAGTGAAGTTCTTTAAAACTTTTCTCCGGTAGCAAATATAGAGCTATTTTTAATGAATTCAGTCATTAAACGTAGTTAAATTGTTTCCTTGAGAGTTTCACTTTCTGAGCAACTCAAATTACTTCCACAAAGGAATTCCCAAGGTAAGTTATCTGGAAGGGGTACCTTTACGTGAGTCGGACCAAGGGACTTGAAGTACCTCTATAAAGAACTAAGGAGATGAGGTAAGGTCCTCTGAAATTATGTCTTTTTATATCCTTGAAAGAAGCTAAAACTAAGAGTGCGAGTTTAATCTAATGCCGCACAAAATGAGCCACATGTTGTCGACAGGTTTCAGCAAGGATGTATGAAAAAAAAAATTAAAATAAAAACAAAAATGACGGGGCCCACTGCCGTAGATGATAGTAAGTTGTATTTGTACCTGGCGGTCCTGGTTCTCCTTTCAACCCAGGCTGGCCATCCGCTCCTGCCTCTCCTGGTGGCCCCTGGTCTCCCTGCTGACCTGGTTGGCCTGCATTACCTTTAATACCTGTATCACCCTTGACTCCTGGCTGCCCGGCTGACCCCTCTTGTCCCTTTTCTCCTTTAGGGCCTTGGTCTCCCGCCAAACCATCCTCACCAGGGGGACCAGCAGGACCTATCGGACCTGGGTCACCTGGCAGACCTGAATGTAAAATGATAGTAGTGTTATGCTTCATTCAATTATTCAATTATTACTCAAGTTTGAGCCTAGAAAGGGTAACTTATAGATTGTAAAGGAAAAAAAAAAAAACTCTCACACACCAGGAAAAATAGACATTTTTAGGATGGGATTTACAGACGTCGTGCGTCTTTTTTGCTACAACATGGGTGGCTCTGACTTAGAAGTCTCAGTAGTTACTTGTTATTGCCCATTTTTACCGCGGAAATTGTTTCGCTTTACGCTACACTTAAATCTCGCTCACCATTCAATATTAGGTCTAAAGACTCACCTACGTTCCCTGGCGGTCCAGGGTTTCCAGGCTGTCCAGGGGATCCGGGTTCACCGTTGGTTCCATCAGCGCCATCCACACCATTTCTGCCAGCTTGACCTCTCTCCCCTTTGGGGCCCTGAACGACTGTCGTTTCTCCTGTATTTCCTTGGTCGCCTTTAGGCCCTGCATCACCTGACGGTATAACAGAAAAAAAATCCCTTAAATCCTTTCCGTGCCAAGACGTAGTTGTGGGCAAATTCTCCCACTTGATGACTCGACATTTCTTTCTTTCTCGCCCTATATTAGTCGTAGGTGACATTGTGTGGCATTAAAATCATTTACACCAAAACAAAAGTGAGATGTGGGATACAATTCGAAAGCGTGTGCCGTGGGGCCAGATGCTATGGGTGAAGTCGAGAGAGTTTCAAAGCATTATTAGCAGATGCTTTACTGAGTTTATCGCGAAAGCAATAAACCTCCTTATAAACATATTACTTAAAGCTTCGTTGTCGAGGAACTGACTATGAGCTTTCTTTTTGAAAGCAACACCTATCAGTAATTGCTTTTTTGAGAGCAACACCTATCAGTATTTCATCTGAATATGAGAAGTCTCCGTAGACACTTCGGTGATCTTTGCGAGTTGATCGAATCTATCCCCTTTGCTTTCAACAACATCATTTGATTGGTGACGTTCCTTATTTCCATTTTTCCTTTACTGTTCAGCAAATCAACTTAATCATTCACATCCTGTTAACATGGAAATTCTACTAAAAATGTCGATACATCTCAAGTAAACAGGTATAAGAAAAGACAAACTGACCATTTGGAAGTAGATGTCTTAGGCCCAGTTCAGACGCCGTGCCGAATTTAAAGCACGGCTGAAAAGAAAACGGCATCTGAATCAAATTTTTTAATTAAGTTCGGCAAAGCAACTAAGTTCGACAGACTGAGCCGTGCTACATGACTCTGGCACGACAGTGATTCAGACATCATACCACTACCATGCCAAACAAAATTAATAAATTATACAAATGTATGTCGGCGGAATTGCGTTACCGCGGGGGAGTCACGAGAATAATTCCCCTTCAAGGGGCATGCGGTGTGGTTGCTTCAGTAAATGCTGAATTTCGCACGGTATTAGGCCGACGTTTGAATCAGAATCGTGCTTTTGCCGTGCTATAGTCCAACCTAATTGCACGGCAGAAGCACGACGTCAGAATTGGGCCTTAATCCTTTAACTCTCAAGATCTCATTAGTAATTCTCCTTACTGTCTACCATACTGTTCTTGTGATGTTAGTTTTGAGAATTTGGTATTGGATCAATTAAGAATCCTCTAACTGATATTTTTCTTTATTCTCATCACTTTTCTGCTTGATATTTTATTGACATCGTAAGGAGAAATTCTGTCTTTATCACTTATAGGAGTTAAAGGGTTAACCCTTTCATTCATGCCTGCGTACCTTTATCTCCCGGGGAGCCAGGAGGCCCTGGAGGTCCTTGTACTCCATCCTTTCCACTCGGCCCCGGCTGTCCATCATCTCCACGAGCTCCTGGATCGCCAACTGAACCAGGGTCCCCTGGGGACCCAGGGATACCAATTCCAGGTGGGCCAACATCACCCTTACTTCCTGCAACAAAATGATATCCGTACAGAGAGTCAAAACCAGGCTTTGTAAACTATTATGTTTTTTTTCTCTTGGACCTTGCATTTCCAAAGACCCATTAACAGTTAATTAACTTCCCTTGAGAAAAAAAAAACCCACTCACAGATAGCTAACTTCGAGAACACTTCCAGCTAACCAAGTTACCATTTCGTACTAAGCAGAATATAGAGTTCCAACCGAAAGATCAGTGCTTATGTCAAGAGACCGACATGAAATGAGTTATACTTTGCCAGTGTACCCTTCAACACTCTCTTTAAAATTCTCCGAGTCGGGCTTTAGCAATATGTGAGAATAATTTCCCTTCCCTTTTGTTTGTTTTCATTCATATCACCACTTTCTTCTGGTCTTATGCATGCTCGCATTCAATTTTCGATCAAAATAAAAGTTATAATCGATCCTGGATATCGCGAATGTTAACACCATCAACTTGGTATAAATCAGACCAGTTAATAGTACTTTTTCGAATGCCTACTAGCTGCAATATAGCTCGGAGATGAATGGCAACGATTATTCATCTGCAAGCAGAACAAGATGTGGTTTGAGTGTAACCTCTGTTAAAAGAAATTCTGCTATTAGCTAGTTTGGTATGTACTGGAACAATTATTCTGTAAAATAGAGGTAACCGGATGATAGGTATCTCATCGCTTCGCTTTTCGGTAAATACCTTTTACCCCCCCTCCCCCCCCTGTGGAAAATAATTGTTAAATCGCTCCCTTCAAGAAGTGAGGGAACCATTTAGCAATAAGATTATAAACCCTAGATTTCTTCTTGACAAGAGCGAAGACCGTACTGGCTATCTCGCTGTGACATCAAGAGCGAATAATTAAATCTAATGGTACAAATCTACTACGGATAAGTTAACTATTCCGGCCAATCTGGCGTTGATAAACACAATGAATGGTACTTTGCGTTGTTTCTCACCTTGTGCGCCTCTGTCTCCGACGGCTCCCCGTGGCCCTTGTTCTCCAGGTGGGCCCGCGGGTCCTCTCTGGCCTTTAGGGCCCTCTTTCCCTGCAGGTCCTCTGAGTCCTGGTTCCCCTTTGTCACCTGATGTTCCCGGTACACCGGGCGTACCAGCTTGTCCAGGTTCACCGGGTGCACCATCAGGCCCTGGGTCACCACGGGGACCAATATCTCCCGCTACTCCATCAATACCATCTTCACCTTTGGGACAGAAAAATGAACTTATCATCAGCACTGAGAAGAAGGGACCCTTATCAAAAACAAGTCGCTTTTTTCTTTTTACAAGATGCCTTTCATAGTTAACCATCAGTTGGCTCTTTGGACACCCTAACCAAAGCAATATAACAAATAATTTCTTTCTTTCTTTCGGTTGTCCCAGGGCTCTTTTTGCTTTCTGAAATGATGTTTTTGTAACACTCACTGCTTATGCCTGAGGCATAATTTCCGTTGAAATGTGAGGTCCAAAGCCAAATATTTCTCCTCGCAAAGTTTGCAAAGTACCGGCCATTTCTTGCACATAGCCCACACAGTTTTAAGAATTTCTGTTATAAAGTGACTTAACATTTACATGTCGACTTAACACATTAGAAAGAGCAAGAAGCCGCACATTTTTTTTAATGAGAAAAAAATTCCTTAGCATTAAGAGGAACGTTGATGTACGACAGTTACCATTTCTTCCTGGTGGCCCAGGAGGGCCGCGATCTCCCTTGTCGCCTTTATCTCCAGGTATTACTGTTGCATTTGATTTTCCCGGTGGGCCTTGTTCTCCTTTCATACCCAAGTCTCCCTTTAAGCCTGGGAAGCCTTGTCTGCCTGGTGGACCCTCATCACCCTTTGGACCTGCAGAGCAACAAATATAAAACTTCACATGTTAGTTTACCTGCTTATGGATTACCACTGAACTTTAATCAATGCGCAGGTGATGATATGGTTGCATACCCATTGCGCAGCCGAACATCGCATTATATCTAACGCCACAGTCAGCCCAAATGGAAAAATTGCAAATACCACCCGAATGATAACTTCTTACGAACCGAGCGCGAGGGCCGCACTGGGGAGCGTTAGCCCGAAGTCGTGACAGTTAGGAACGAACACTGCGGGGTCCGTGCAAAAACTAACGAGGGCCAACATTCCCCAGTAGGGGTCGAGTGAGCGGGGTTAGTAACTAGTTCTTTATATGTCACTTGGATAAAACACGGCTTAAGACCATTTCCTTGGAACGGTCCGTATGGCAAAAATATGGACCAAGTAAGGACCAATCAGAACGCTCGAATTTTCCTCAGGGCCACCTTGCCATTTTACAAAAGTCATTGTTCATAATTGTTGAGGCCAAGTCAAGAATTGAAGTAATGCCCAGTGCAGCCGTTCTTAGGAAGGTCAGACAATGCTCTACACAACAAGCGGCTGCAAAGGAGTACAGCGAGGTAATATGCTAAAGGGAACTGTCGCTCACAAACCTTCTACGCCCTTCGGCCCTGAAATTCCTTCTGGTCCTTCATTGCCCTCATCGCCTTGATCGCCACGGCCTCCTGGGATTCCTGGAAGTCCCTTCTCTCCGATATTTCCGGGCTCACCAACCTCTCCTTTCAATCCTGGGGGCCCCTCGACACCTTTTGGACCGGCAGCTCCTTCTTTTCCTTTCTCTCCAGGGTTTCCAACATCGCCGTCGTTTCCTGGGTCTCCGTCTCTTCCTGGTGGTCCCGGTTCACCCTTTTGTCCGGGCTGACCTACAATAACAATGAAATCATTGAACTTTGCAGAACACAAACCCAAGCTGAGACGTAAATAGGGGCCTGGAGAGTGTAAGACTGCCAGGAAAAAAAAAAAAGTTGAGAGTTCAAAGACCGCTCAGGAACAACGCTCAACAACGTCTACAACATTTGCAACAACATTACAAAATAGGTAATTTAGTATTATCAAGAGTTCGCTGTGACGAAGGGCTAACGCTCGAAAAGTCAGCTTTGAAACTCTTTACGGTGGCCAATTTAAGTTATCAACTCAGTTGATAATACCTAATTACCCTGTTATACTCTCCCACCGACGCAGCAACACATTTTCTTTAAAATCTTACCCCTTTTAACATTACAAAATAGTTAGCCTTGACACAGCAGTCAACGTGATTTAGGCGAAGTCAAGGTAAAAGTGAAAAAGCTCACACTTCGCTGGCTGCTTAATCAATTTATAACTAATATTTTGAGTTCTGAATGTGAGAAAAAAACCGTGGCTGTGCACCAAACTCTCCTAGCGGAGCCCTTTCCGGGAAGTATGCATTATGGTGACAAAGGGCAAATGTTCAAAATGTAAGTCGATCTCCTTACACTCTGAAGCTGAAAAACAAAACCAGAACCTGTGTTATTTTGCTGTCTTTCCTCGCATACCTTGAGGCCCTTCTTTCCCTGGAGGACCAGGTGGTCCGACTACAGCATCACCCTTGGCTCCTCTATCTCCTGGGAATCCCCGAGGTCCTGTCTGGCCTGGCGCTCCTGATTATGAAAAGTGCATGCGAATGACATTGTACAGAGAACTATAACAAATTCCACTTCTACAAAGCTATGAAAGTAAGTAACTCTTATTGGCAGAGTTTAAGTTCGGTCTGTACGTTACCAACCACGTATTACCCTTTGATGTAAAGCCACGTGATTTGAGCTTTGGCCATAAATCGAGAGAGAAAAGTTAAGTCCGGTAAATAATTTTTAGGCATGCCATATGGCTTTTAAATAACTGAAAAATATGGGTTATGAGTTAAAATTGCCGCTTGAGCATTACCACGTCTCAACAAATAATTAACAGAGCAAAAGATTGAAAAAAAAAACCAAACAAACCAAACAAAAAACAAAAACTGTCAGTTACCGTTCAAAATTTTGGCAAAAGTACAGGACAAACTTATGTCGCTGACCACCGCGTGGCAGGATCTCAAATTTTAGAGGTTCATGCGACATCTCAGCACTTAATACTGGGGCAATCAAGGATAGAGAGACATCAATAATATTTTATAGATACATCTTTCTCGCTTAAACTTCAGACCACAATTATAAAAACGTTAAAACTTGCTTCATGACTACCGTACACCGTGAGGGCAACTTAAGTTGATAGTTTGTCGCCCAAATTCATATCTAGTCTCCATGGCAGACAAAACAGTTGGAGTTTGAAACATTGGTCAACATTAGAAGATGTTTTTCGTCTTGCCACGAGCGTGGGACAAAGAAAAAATTCTGAGTCCCTATGAGGAATCGAACCTGAGGCCTTCAGATTCCGCGCTCCGATGCTCGACCACTGAGCCACGGTAAGCGAGGTTTTTTACGAAATTCATTTGACACGCGATCTGCATGCTGCTAGGATCAGCAACATTGATAGAGTCATGTTTGTAAATAAAATAAGAGAGATGGTAAGTTGGTCAACATTATTCGCGTGATATCGCAAATGAATCCACGTTACAGTACAAACCTGGACTGCCAGCCTGGCCGTTACTCCCCTTTTCACCAGGTTCTCCTTTCAGACCATCGCTACCCCGCTGGCCTTTTTCTCCAGGGTCCCCTTGGGCTCCATTTTTACCGGGACTACCGGGTGACCCAGGGTTACCGAGAGGCCCAATGTTTCCCTTCTCTCCCTTATCACCATCGCTACCTGGAGGACCATCAGCGCCAAGGGCACCTTTGTCACCTGTGGCTCCTGTGTCACCTGCAACATGACGACAATGAAGAATTTAAAACGCGCATTCTTTGTCAATCTTTCACACCATAACACATTCTCTTCACTAATCTCTACACCACCATTTCCTGAGAAGCTGAAAAGGAGAATTTGTTTAACCCTTTACACCCTAACATCAGAATACATTTTCTCCTTACTGTTCACCACACATTTCCTTAGGTGCTGATGATGAGAATTTGTTTAACAATCAGGAGCTCCTTCGGTAGATGATCATTTTTTCTGTTCTTGTGGTCTAAATGTTTGATTCAGGGGTGAATAAGTATGGAGAGATTGGATACTGGTCACTCTGAGGGATCAAAGGGTTGACAGTCAACAGCTTCTTTGGATGGTGATCATTTTTTGTGACCTCATTATGTGATTCAGGGGTGATGGTATAAGGAGAAATTCGATGTATGGACAACTGATATGCAGTTAAAAAAAAAAATCAAACACCTTTAACCCTTTAACTCCCAGAAGTGATTAACATGTAACTTCTCCTTATAATAACCAAACATTATCCAGTGAAACAGGTCATGAGAATATTCAAACTTATCAGGTCAAAGTAGTTATTTCCATCTAACACCAAATTCTTGTAACTTATTTACAAGAAAATGTGTAGCAGCTAGAAGGGAGAATTAACAATCAGATCTTGGGAGTTGAAGGGTTAAAGCACTGACATCAAAAGAATAGTAATATGTTAAAAACTACGAAGTGGCAAAAGCTTGAGAAAAATGTAGCAAAAAATAAGGGTTGGGGTTGGTTTTCAGTAAATGGTATGGTCAAGTATAACGGCTATTAAAAAAGTACTAAGGAGACTTATTTGAGGAGAGGATCAAATTTACACTTTCCAATCCAAGGAGAGAACAATAAGTAAGTTATTCCTACAATGTCATCATATTGTCAAGCAGAAAGGTGACGAGAAGGGTAAATTGCTTGATCAAGCATCAACTTATCAATGCTAGAACCATCAGAAATAAATGGCAAACAATGAGGAGACTTGATACCGAAATATTGGGAAAGAAGGCGTTAAGGTTTCACAGAAAAGACCCATTATATAAATGAAACAATGCAGTACCTTTGGGACCTGGTGGTCCGGTGGGACCTTGAGGACCAGCAGGTCCCGGCGGCCCTGAAGTTCCATCTCCCTTCTCTCCTTTCATTCCTATTTCTCCTTGCTGTCCATCCTGGCCACTTTCTCCTGGTGGTCCTGTTTCTCCTCTATCTCCTGCTGGACCTTTGGGGCCTGTGGCACCTGGCTCGCCTTTTTCGCCCTTCGTCATGTTCTTAAGTTGTCCTAAGTTAGGACAATCTCCTGTGTGTGAAAAAACGAAAACGCCCACGGCTCCTTGAGCGTCTTGATAACTAGTAAAGTGAATGCTTAATTTTTAACCCATAAGAACAGTGCAACTTTTTAAGAGAATACACACAGAAACCTTGCAAGTTTCTGCCAGATGGAAGGTGTCCATAGAAATAAGGTTGTAGTAAATTATTCAGTGGTAGAAAGCTTGACTTTTCGGTCAAGCGCCAACGTGTACAATGGCTACTTATTCAACTGCTCTTTTGTCATGTGTAAGCTCTCTTTCCCATTGCGAGAGGGCTTCGAATTTCATCATCGAATGGTTTCGTGTTAAATAGATGTGTCAGAAATGTCGCCAAAGGACAAACCATAGGAGCCGCAAGCACGTTTACTCCAGCATCGTATCTCTAATTTGTCGCGAAATTCTTCCTCGAAACGAAACTTCAATCACGTATACTTCCGAAACGGGACATCTTCCAATCGTAAAAATTTGCAAGTAAGCTACTTCTGTCAACAATTATCTTAAACATGTGAAAAAATTAAAGTATCCTGAAAAACAAAAAACATTTATCACTTTGTACAACATTCAAAGGAAGTTGGACATGAATTTAGATCTAGTAATTTCCTCTAAAAAGTGTCTGCCAAATACAGATTTTGGGTCACAGAAGGGCTCGATGTTAGTGTCTCTCTGATTAATAGAGGTGTCTATTGAAATAGGAGTTTTTCTCACAGTAACAGACTACAAAATCAAGACTTTGTCCGCCTGAAATTGGGTCTGCTAATCACATATCTCAGTGTTGTCTCGTTTTCCGACTGTCCAATAAATGAGAGTATTTGTCAAGGCTGTGCTCTAACGGCGCCCGGTCGCCTGAGGCGACTAACATTTGGCCTCGGGCGACTGAAAATATTTTCTTGGTCGCCCGGCCGGGCGACTGGCTGGTGTTGGTTTCTTGATTTACAGTCAAAAAAAAAAAGGAAATGTTGTTCAATCGGGCGCGCGTTGATATTCAATGGTCGTTCCACGTGAATTTACGTGTAACATAATCATCGACTTTGATCGTGACAAGCTGCACAGTTTTCGATTTTAACCGCTCTTCCAAATAGTATTATAATTTTTCTTTTAAATTAGGATGGCTCGTTAGTTAGTTTTTGAAAAGCAATTGTTACTTCTGCTCTGACAGGCGTAAAGTACGGTCGACGATTAATAAATCGCTAAATGAACACGGGAGTCGTTCTTTTAAAAGAAAATGTTGTTCCATCGGGCGCGCGTTGATGTTCAAAGGTCGTTCCACGTGAATTCACATGTAGCATAATCCTTGACTTTGAACTTGACTAGCTGCACAGTTTTCGATTTTAACGGCTTTTCCAATAGCATTAAAATTTTTCCTTTAAATTGGGATGGCTCATCAGCTAGTTTTTCAAAAGAAGTTGTTACTTCTGCTCTGATAGGCGTAAAGTACGGTCGGCGATTAATAAATCGCTGAATAAACACGGGAGTCGCTCTTCTTTGCTAATTTAATATTTTAGCCGGCTTTTTACTGCCGTGTCTGCGAGGCAAAAACATAACTTAAGATTGTTTTTCCAGTAAAACACGATGTATAAAAAAGAAAAGATACGTTTTTTTGTGTGATTGTTTTAGAAACGGGTATAAACTTTATAAGTCCCGCATTGTCCTTGGTGTCGTGACAAGTTATTACGTATCACGCACTAAAAATAAAATCGACCGAATCCACAAAAAGCTCATTTGTCTTGAACATTTCACCGATAGGTTTTCAGGAGGTCAAAGGATACGATGTTTCATGAACATAAAAACAATAAATAAATGCACATAGTTCTATTTGACTCGTTACGAAAACAGTTTGTTTAATTTTTAATAATTAACTGACTGATTTATTAATTTGGGCGACCAACTAGGAGGCCCGGGCACCTCAGCTAAAATGTTTGGGAGCCCTTCGGGCTCCCCGAAATTTTGATTTGGGCGACCATCTTTTAGGCCTGGGCACCCAAGCTAAAACGCTTGGGAGCCCGAAGGGCTCCCTGAAATTTTCCTTAGAGCACAGCCTTGTTTGTTGTGTAGTGGTTGTTTTGCCTATTCATAAAAATCTTTTTATCATTCAACTTGGCAGTAACTTCACAGCAGCAGCAGCAACTTAATAGTATTTGAAATTTACTGTCCTACTGACATGGAATGAATGTTAAGAGTAAGATAAACACAAAAAGAAAAACAAATTGTTGAGTGACTTCCAATTTATCCTGATTTAAGTTCGCTCTGTAAGTGTGAATTAATTGTATTGCAATTGAAATTGATGCAATATCAGAAAAGAGAAAAAGTAACAAATCTCTCATTAGGAAACAGAAATATCGGCCGCACCTTTTTCGCCCTTGGCCCCCAAATCTCCTTTATCGCCTCTTTCACCATCTTTCCCTTTAGGCCCATTTACAACCTCTCCTGGCTCGCCTTTCATTCCTTTCTCTCCCCTCTGACCTGTCTCGCCAGTTTTCCCATCCTTTCCATCCAAGCCTCTCTCACCCTGAAACAATCAAGCGAGGAGAAAACAAAATAGATCAACACAATCCTCATACTTGATTGAACTTATTATTTAACCCTTTACATCCTAACATCAGTATGCATATTCTCCATACAGTTCTCTGTACATTTCCAAAGAAGCTGACAAGGAGAATTTGTTTAACAATCAGGAGCTACTTTCGCTAGTGATCATCTCATCTATTCTCATGACTTTCACGTTTGATTCAGGGTTGATATAGTAAGGAGAAATTAGATGCTAGTCACTCTTAGAGTTTAAAGGGTTAATGAATTGTAGCAGTGAGTGAAGGCAAGGGTCACTACAACAATCTTCTGCTGACACAATCAAATCCACTTCGCAAAATGAGAAAAGGAGCGTGGAGGCGTTAACCTGGGATGTGTTGGTTGTTATCTACCTTCACTCTGGTTTTATGTGGAAAATAAGAAATTTAATACTGCCTATTCACAGTACAGGAATGAAATTGAAAAAATAAAGACGAAGAAAAAAAAAACGAAAACGGGATATTAAGTGTAGTCATCCATCCAAGTAGTAATAACAGTCAGTAGGGCTTAACTTCAGTAACAAGCAGAAGTACTTGGTTAAACAAGCACGTGGCTAGTTTCCTCTTCTGAGCACGATGGCCAATTTATTAACGTGGTCTGCCACAGGCATCCCATATATTAAGGGAAAAAGTTACATCTAAAAGGTCTAGTGAACACTGAACAAATTTCTGGACTTACAAGTACTTAAAACACACTTTGAAGCCTTTCATATTCCAAATATCCTCATCTACAATGTCTGTAAAAACTTTGAAACTTTTACAAAATAAAGCAAAATATTTCATGATCGAGCGAATGAAGGCAGACTGGAGGACGAAAGAAGAAGAAACACATCAGCCAATCACAACTAAGCACAATGCTTCATATGACAACAAATCCACTTGACCGTATTGCTTGAAGGAGGCAAGCAGTATATAACCATAACATTGCAATCCACAATGGGAAGTGACTACATCATGGGATTAACAAATTGTACTTTGAGACAAGTGTTTTCACCACGATGAATAATAGCAACCATTTTTTTTTTTAATATGAAAAGGACAAACCTTAAGTCCGCGAGGTCCGGTAGACCCCTTGGGTCCAGGTGGCCCTTGTGCTCCTTCTGCTCCTGGAGGACCCTGATCACCAGAGATACCCTCCACACCCGGTTTTCCTTTCTCCCCTTTGTCCCCTACCACTCTGATAACCTCTCCCTTTTCACCTTTAGGCCCAGGAGCTCCAGCTTCGCCAGGATCACCTTGCAGACCCTACAAGTCAAAGAGAACATTTACTTTATGCGATATTGAATAATCATACATGATATTCAGGCCGTGAACTGTTGCTAATTATTAATACAGGCAATTCATAAGGTCCCACACATGTATCACACATCTTTAAACTCAGCAATCTTTCACACCTGTTACTATTTTTAAAGAAAATTTCCTTTCCACAATCAAAAAGTCAAGAAAACTGCAGCAATGTTGAAACACAAAGTTCTTATCTTTTATATTTGTGACACCCATACAACTAAACATGCTAATTAGAGTGACAGATCCTATTGATGAAAAACTACTTTCAGAATTTTGCAGTATTATTAGTATAGGTATAACCTAATTTTGAGTGCAATTTGGTGTTGATTGAGTAAATTGTTTGAGGACAGTAAAACTGCATGAGCACATAGGGTGAGTGCAATTTGTAGTCTTTGAAAATTTACAAGTGCACACCAAATTACACAATAAATCATGTTGGTACTTGTTAATAATTTATGTGAAAAAAGCATCACAGAAAGTCAATACGGACAAAAATTTTGACAGTATGTGCAAGCTTTTTGCAATTTGCACTTGTGTTACATGAAAAATACAATTGTTTTCAGCCAATCAGATGGGCTTAACCTTGTCATGTGTATTATTACAACTATATTACTCCTCTCAATGTTCTGACTGATCAGAAATAAGACCTGGTCAAGGTAAAATCTGCTGAGCAGATCAACCCATCTGAAATGATTTTGAGCTGTACAGATATAAGCCCATAAATGCACCACTTACTGGTTCTCCGTCACGTCCACTGCGTCCTTGAGGTCCAGGAGGCCCTGGGTCACCTTGAGGTCCAGGGTCGCCTGGTAACCCTGAGGTACCACTTGGCCCTTGGGGGCCACTTTCACCATCTTCTCCTGAAGGACCTTGGGGGCCCTCTGGACAGTCACCACAAGCTTCACCTTTGGGACCTTGGGACCCCTTTGGGCCATCTTCTCCTTGAGACCCCTGTGGGCCTTGATTACCTTTTTCTCCTGGAGGACCACTTTCGCTATCACCTTGGAGAGCAAAACATTTCGTTTTAAACAAAATTTCTCATTTCTCTCTTTTTGATTGCTGAATGTTTTCTGGCTTGCTAGATGTTTTGTTAGTGCATTTGGGAATTAGTTTCCTACTCTGTGGTTGTGGAGTATCCTTCAGCTGGCTTCCAAAAGTTAAAGCTCTTAGCTACTCCAGGCATCCAATCTTACTTCAAAAACATTCTCATGACATCAGGTTAAAATTAAAATTTGATACCTCAGAAAACTATTCAATAACTACTCAATTCAATTTCACTCTCAAAGTGTCCAGGCAACATTACTTTTAATCAAAACTATAAAGAAAATTTTTGAACATGATTGGTTATCACCAGCCCAAAAATAGGACAGTGTGTGTGTCATGCTTGAAATTGGACAGTAAAATAAGAAAGTTGACATGTCATGCCTGTATTAGTACATGGTCGCACTGTTGTAACTGTTGTTTTTTGAAAACAATGAAAACATATAACCAATGTCTAGTTTCTTTTTCAAATTTTGTCATTGTTTTGATTAACTGGTAACAGGACTTTGTGTCATCCAATTCTGTCTGTAATCATATTTACCATTAAAAAATCTTGACTTTGTTCATCACTTGTATGATTACAGACCGTATTCGACCCTAAACCCTATTACCATCATTAATTATTACCTTGTGGGCCTGGAAATCCTTGTTCTCCCTTGTCTCCTTTCTCTCCTCTTTGTCCACGTTCTCCATCCATGCCTGGATCTCCAAAGACAGTGACTCCACGTGGTCCTCTATCCCCCTTTGGACCTGGCAAGCCCCGGGGTCCTGGATTACCAGTTGCACCTTTCATCCCAGGATTGCCTAATCACAAAATTCCATATCTTATTATCATTTTTCTACCTGTTTACAGTTTTATTGAAGCAACTCTACAAGCAACTGATCTGAATTAATCACTTTTAATCTCTGGCATTTGTTAACCTTTCCAAGCTTTAATCTTTTTAACTTAGAATTAGAGAAACTGGAAGGCTGATCATGTTTGGATCATTAACATTTACAAGTTTCCAGCTGTTTGGAAAGATCATCTGTTAGAGCACTGTGTGTTTCATATTTTTTCTCAGTTAAACTAAAATTAAGGGACAAATAAAATAATAAAATACAAAGTTAACTACACATTAACCCTTTACACCCTAAAATCAGTATGCATATTCTCCATACTGTTCTCCAAACATTTCCTAAGGTGCTGACGAGGAGAATTTGTTTAACCAGTAGCTTCTCTAGTTAGTGATAATTTACTGATTGATTCAAAGGTGATATTGTAGGAAGAAATAAGATGGCAGCCACTCTTAGGGGTTCCCCTTGTCTGCACCAACGGAAATGTTTGGATAACTGTATGGAGAATATGCATACTGATGTAAGGGTAGAAAGGGTTAAGGAATGAAGATGACATGGTAGTACTAGCCAGCCAAATCAATATTACAACTGATAGAAATTTTTAAGTACTGTAACCTAAGTGTCTGCTGGCAGCAGAGCTACAGCAACAATTTTTTAAAGTTATAATCATTTTAATCTTTATTACCAGGAAGTCCCAATCCTCCTGGAGGTCCAGTAGGTCCTGGGTCACCCTGTGTTCCTTGTGGCCCAGGTGGTCCTGGAGGGCCTGTGGCACCAGGATTTCCTATGTCACCTTTTGGTCCACTTGAACCTGGAAAACCGGGAGGCCCTGTGTCACCCTTGGGGCCATCAGGGCCTGGTGGTCCAACTCCTTCAGGTCCCTAAAGAAGACAACTTTATTAATTTCATGCTGATAAGTTTCAATCAATAGACCGGAATTGTGCTCGTTGACAAAACTTGTCATCATCAGCAAACCAAGGCATAAGTAAATGAGTAACCCATGAAAAAATAGGGTAGGACAAGACACCTGGAGGCATTAACGTAGGAGCTAGGTGTTGATTGTTCATCTACAGTCTCTCTGGTTTTATGTGGAAAATATGAAATGTAATGCTGACACCTCAAAGTACACAAATGAAATCAAAAACAAAGAAAAGAAAAAAAAGTCAACAGCATGGGATATTATGTGTGGTCACCGTTCCAAGAAGTAAACCTGCCAACAGGGCTTAACTTCAGTGAGAAGCAGGAGTACATGGCTAACATGGCTAACTTCCACATTTGACTATTATGAAAATCAAACAAATTTTTAATATGGGCTGCCACAGGCATCCCCGAGTAATTAGTGGTAACAAGGTTTGACCAAAGGACATCATTTCTCTCTCCATGCACATCTTTATAGGATGGACACCTCTAAAACACATTGGGACACCAGGAATCAGCACCAACCTTTCAAATTCTCAAGTCAGTCATTATAAATTTAACTCTCAGGGGTTAAAACTTACTCTGTCTCCTCTGTCTCCTTTCAAGCCTGGTTCTCCAGGATCACCAGAATTTCCTGTTGCCCCTCTTTCTCCAAGAGGACCTTCATCTCCTGGTGTACCAGGAGGTCCCTGTGATGTTAAAAACCAAAGTGTACAAAATCTTGTTAATAATTTACACTTAAACTATCAACAACATTTTATTTCCTATGGAGGAAAAAATAAATGGCATGCAGGAAAGATAGCCCCAACCCATGTAAAAAAAGAAAAAAAAAAAGAATCCAGGGACAACTGACAAGTTAGACTCATAGACTCTTGTCACAATGATTTTATCAACATGGAATTCACAAAGCGTTGCTAAGAAGGGAAATGCCTTTTAACAAAGTATTTCCAAACACAATATAATTTCTCTTGGAGTAGAAAAATGTATGGGCAGGCAAAAGAAGGCTGTTGTCCATGCAAAAAAGAAGGCAATTCATAAAACATTGTGAAAAAGTATTAATAGACTTTGGTCACAAAAACTATTTTTTGTTAAAACTAACTTGACAAAGAATTGTTGAGAAGGGAAGTGTGTTTATAGAGGAAGGATTTCCAATTACAGTTATTGCCTAAGAACTATTAGTACATTAACCCTTTACACCCTAACATCAACATGCATATTCTCCACAGTGTTCTTAATATATTCCTCAAGGCAATGACAAGGAGAATTTAGTTAAAAATCAAGAGCTGTTCAAGATTGTGATCATTTCCTTGATTCTCATAAGCCTTTTTGCAGTATTCAGGGTCGGCCAGGGGGGGTAGTGGAATACCAATATACCCGAAAAAAAATCGACAAAATACCCCAAAATACCCCAAATTCCTCCAAATATACCCAAAAATAATCGAAGCTTTGAATACTCTATACCTGAAATTCAAAGAAAGTGATATACTGAATACCCATATTTAAGCTGCAGTATACCGTATACCCGATTTAAAACGCCCCTGAATACCGAATACCCAAAAACCCTGGCCGACCCTGAGTATTCAATAGCGATACTCAATGAGAAATTAGATTCCTTTTCCCCACAAGGATTTAAGGGTTAAAAGGTAACAGAAAAAAAAAAAACAAAAAAATCAATAACACAATCTCTAACCTGTGGACCATCTTCTCCTGGAGCTCCTTTTGTACCAGTCTCTCCCTAAAATATCAATGACACTCTTTATACTTTAATGTACTTAAACACCCCCAACTCTAATCAATATGCATATTATCTGTACTGTCCTCATTACATTTCCTGAGGTGCTGATAAGGAGAATTTGTTTAATAATCAAGAGCTTTTTTAATTGGTGATCATTTCTTTCACTTTTGTGACCTAAATGTGTGATTCAGGGGTGATATCACAGGGAAAAATTATATGCTAGTCACTCTTTGAGGCTAAAGGGTTAATTAAGAGCCAAAAGGTCATTATTTTGGGCAAAGTAACTGGCAACTTGTCATCGAGTAGCTGGCAGAACTCTTGCGGTCATGGGCTTATTTTGAAACCCTTGAATAGACAAAAAAAAAATTCATATAGATTGGGATGGGTTTAAAAAAAATTTAATCCATAACTTTGTAGATTTAGATGTTTCAATTAGTCTTCTTCAAATTTAACCTTCAAGGCCGGGTTTTAATGATCACATGAGGTTTGAGTCACCAGAGGATGGAAAGAAATGACTAACATGACAAAAAAGAGGGTACAGTTGAACCTGTATTTAGTGGTCACTTACAGGGAATGGCAGGGTGACTGCTTAATACAAGTTCCACAGAATAGGGATATTCATGACAAAAAAATAATAATTTTTAAAAAAATGTCACTTCATGCCATAATTGTCCAGTAAACTTGCTCAAAAATAGTAGACTTGTTTAAAGTAACCATTCAATACAGGTGGAAGAAAATACACAAAGGCCTTTTGGACTCTTTAAAGGGTGACTGCTCAATAGAAGTGAAAATTACAGTAATTAAGAAGTACAAATGTTGGGACTTTGTAAACAAGCACTTAATACAGGGCAACTGCTTAATTTGGAGCTGCTCAATACAGGTTTGACTGTAGTTTGATTTGAAATCACTGAGAGGTCTAGACTTGTTATAAGTAGTGAGGATAATATTACAGAACATTGAGCAAATTTAAGGAAAAGTTACACAAGGTTTGAGTCCAAAAAAAATACAAACAATAAAATTGATATAACAGTCAAATAAATTTTGAACTCAGGTTTCTATAATTTTATACCTAATTCTTGATTTCTATTATTGCAGATATTTACCTGTTCTCCCTTTTGACCAGGGTCTCCTTGTGGCCCAGTAGGTCCTTGGATACCTTCTGGACCCTAAAGAGGAGTTGAGACAGAAATTTCATGTCAAAGATGTAATAATAACTAAAATGTGTAAATATTCAGTAGGAACAAACTTGCATCATGATTTCAACGATGAGGCACAGCCTCTCTTAACCCTGTAACTCCCAAGATCTTTTTAGCAATTCTCCTTACTATCTCCCATACAGTTCTTGTGATGTTGGTTTGGAGAATTTGGTATTGGATCATCTTATAATCTCCTACCTGATATTTTTCTTTTTTCTCATCACTTGTCTGCTTGATATGGTATTGATATTATAAAGAGAAATTCTCTCTTGGTCACTCATAGGAGTTAAAGGGTTAAGAGTCAACTGGGTATCAATAAGTTTAAACTGTTGTAATTGACACACTTGTGTATTTAGTATTATTGGCGACAGAAAGAATACATCTGTACCTCTAATGCAGCATTTGATCATGAACTGGCTTTTTGCTGAAGAGCATGCAATTGCATTAGTTTGGAGTAACCTGAATCAAGTGCTGGCAGAAACGTGCACCTGAGTTTAATTTGCCAAATATAGAGAGGTCACGAAATAAAAAAAAAAAAATCCTACTAATTTTATTAAAGATGAGGAAAAATAAACAAATTACACAAATAGTACACTAACAGGGTTGGATGGTCCTCTTTCTCCTCTCTCTCCTTTGCTACCAGACTGGCCCTAGAAATTTAAAATAAAAAAAAATTGCCCTCTCTGTAATTTTATGGATATTATCTTAAGTGTCTCTCCATGCAGCCTCTAGCAGTAAGTGATATCCGGTTGTAGTGATTTTGTTTGACTGATTCAAAAATGGGGTCTCCAATGACCATGTTTCTTAACAACCTCGCCTATTCAAGACACAAGATCTTAAGTATTATTCAGTAGTATGTCACTTGCCACGTAATTTCAATCTCTGATTATTCAATTTTTTGGTAGCCAAACCTTGCCAACAGTTTAATGAAATTGCACCACGATTGAAGCTCAAAACAAACCTGAGCAGATTTTGTGATGATTTGACAACCATTTGAAAACGCAGTGGCTATAGCTCCTTTAGTTTAGTTAGAATTGCCACTTTAAATACATGTACATTGTTTCAAGTGACCATGTTGTTTATTTCCAAGCCCAAAAATCTTTTCTCAGTAGTAAAGTAATGCTTACCGGTTCACCTTTGTCTCCCTTGATCCCCTGGAATTAAAAAAGATTCAAGATTGTCTTTAGAAAAAAATGAACTTTTAGATGGTAGAAGAGTTAATTCTTGAAATGAACTATCATACTTAAGAAAGAATAAAACATTAAAGCATGGTGGTGAAAATGTAAATCAGCGTTACAGTCAAGCAAATTAATCTATGAATAAAGGGGGTAAGTTTCTAAAGAAGCTGTGGTGCTGCTTCTGTGGGAGAGTATAGCAGGGTAATTTAGTATTATCAACTAAGCTGCTAACATAAATTGGCCCCTGTAAAGAGTTTAAAAGCTGACATTTTGAGTGACAGCTGTTCATAGGAGTGATTGACATAGGACTAATGCTCAAAATGTCAGGTTTTAAATTCTTTACAATGGCCAATTTACGTTATCAACTCAGTTGATAATTATAAATAACCAAACTAGTCTATTGTCTGAAGATGCAGCAAATGAATAACTCCTTGCACCAAAGATAGTTTAAAGGTCAAAACAGTTGCAAGTTTACAGTTGAAATGGAAGTTACTGGTTTACTGCATGTAATAATTAAAAATGCCACAAAATAATAGATTCAGTGAGCTACTAGAATATGGAAAGAACTTTGAAAGTTAAATACTTTGAGAGTGATTCTAATGTGCATCATTAAATAAATTTTGTCCACTTAACCATGATTTTTAAGACATATCAGATGACAAATTGTTAAACCAAAGGCCTCTGCAAGAATTGCTCTGTATGTACACATTTCTAAAACTAAATACTTCCAGCTGTAAGCAATTTGGCTGCCATATCAAATGGAAAAAAAATCTGGCCATATAATCAATTCACGGCAAGAGTTACTCAAGATGGCAACTTGTATTCAGTTGTCCAGCAGCAAGCAGTTCATTTTACGATAACTTAGAGCTCCTGGTCCATGGTCTAAAGCTGACAATAACGACTTTTGAGCATTGAAAACAATTCACAAGAATTCTCATATATTAATTTATTCCTTCAGCCATATCCAGATAACCTTAATGAGTACATGTATGAATAGAAACTAAATTCTGTTGCAGAGTTTAATGTTCACATAAACTAAAAGTTATTGATACTGGATGTTTGCTAAGAACTATGGGATGTTTTCATAAAAAAAAAAAAAACATCATCATGGCTTCCAGTGATGATCACATGTAACATGCCTGTTTTCAACTGTTTATTAAATCGTTGTTAATCCTATACATCCTGCGTTGAAGTTTGTTCAAAACATCACACAGAGCTGCTCACCGTTATTCATGTTTTCCAAATTTCCATTGCACTCTGTACCCATCTTGTACTTCAACAATTTTTCATTAAGTGTTCCTCAATCTTGAGATTGTCAATTTTAAGATTGCAATTGAGAAAACAAAGTAAATAATCACCAACCTTTACTGTGATTACAGTGAGGTTTGATCCTTTAATTTCATCGATTTTCATTGGTTTTCCCTTTTCTCCTTTCACACCTGGTACACCCATCTTTCCCTTTGCTCCTTGTTTTGCAATCCCCTGATTTCCCTACAGCAACAACCAAATAAAAACTGTTTCAGTACCATCAATTAGACAAGTGTTCCAATTGCAGCCATGAAGTGGGTGCATCTTTTAACTTGTAAAGCACTGCTTAACTGCTTGTTATCTTAATACAAACAACCATCATAGTACCCATAACTAAAATTTGTATCTCTTCAAATTGGTTGACTTCTAGCAGGAACATGCAAAACAACAACCCGTAACTTAAATATGTTTACTTAGTATCTCCCCTCTAGCAAAAACAGGATAGTCAAGAGAATATACCACGAAACTACTCAAGTCCTACACTTCAAAATATTTAATTGTCACAAGCAAGGGAAAAAAGGAAAAGTTGATTCCCTGTAGGGAATCAAACTTGAGACCTTTCCACACCTATGCTCTTCACAAGTGAGCTATAGACTGAGACTCTATGGTGACCTAGGCCATTCTGAGGTTTGTATATGTATGAACACTGTATGTGATGATTAGTATATGCAACAAAGTCTGTTTCTTAATTTTTAGCAAGATAGACTCACCTTTTCTCCCTTTGCTCCATCAGGGCCTGGTGATCCAGGTTCCCCTTTCTCCCCTGGTGGTCCCTGGCCACCTGGTGATCCTCTGTCCCCGCGCTCTCCCTATAAACAATTGTTAAGCTGCATTTATGACATCCATTTTGAAATCAATGGTTTTTCTTACAATCTGATGGCTCCAATTGGTGCAATTTATTCATGAATCTAGCCATTTTTAGCTCCAAGTAGCATCTTTTTCCCAGTCAGTTAGAAATCTTTACTAAAACACATCAACCGATCTGAATTTGAGGTTTGTTTAAAGTAACAAATCAAATTTTCCAAACCAGCTCAGTGCTGAATCAATAAAATATTTGTAAAAACTGAAAAAAACCTGTATTTGAGTGACTGAATTTTGCAGTTTAAAAATGGACATGATAAAGTGGTAATTGAAAATCATACTGTCTTGTGGTTTCAAATCAAACTAGCCCTGTGTACATGTTTGATTTTGAAATCAAGTGTATGATTTCAGACCAAATTACACTTCACTCAATTAAATTACCACAATTAATAATCAATATTTACTATATCAATAATTTTCTTGAATATGTTATCATACCTGGCAAGTTTGATTTTCTGCCTATAGTTATAATGTTTAACTTTGAATAGATGAAAAACTTTTTGAAAGTGCAAAATTTTTATGAAAAAAGGGAGAGTATCTGTCAGTAACAATGCATCATCTTCCTATGCAAGAAAGAGTTAGATAAAAAATACTCACAGCATCTCCTGTTTCTCCTGGAGGTCCTGTATCTCCCTTTGAAAAGAAGAGAAAAAGGTTGCGAATGAGTTTTTAAAACATCATACAGTATTCCTAGATACAATTTTAACCCAGGATTATCACTAACCACCTTTCAAATGACCGGCAAATGGGCTTAAATGACTCTTGCAAAAATTTAATGAAATTCTGGAGGGTGTAATCTTGTCATAGACAGGCATTCCACCCGGGGGTAGGAGGGGGCAAATAAAACATGTAGCTAAACATCCAGGATAGGCCTCCCTGCTTGTAAGATGACTTTGTCTTCGTTACCCTTCAACTCCCACTAGTGACAAAGATAGAATTTCTCTATACAACCTCAATACAACATCAAGAAGACAAGTGATGAGAATATAGCAAAATATCAATCAGACGATTATCAGTTGATCCATTATCACATTCTCCGAAAGCACACCGTTGTAACCCCAAATTAAAATACGCCGTGCAATTAAAATACTCTGTGCAAATTAAGACCTCTCTAAGTGACATGCCACAAACTTGGAATCTGCATAGTTTTAGTTTAAATAATTTTGTGTACATATTTTGTGTTTATTTGCTTATATGGCTTATTTATTCATTTTTGTATACCACTCTTTTTCTTGTATATTTAGGAATCAGGTTATTAAAACCATTAGACTGGTAAAACATTGTCTCTATTTTATTACACACCCCATAGGAATTTTATGACCCACAGCAAGGAGGATTACTAAATGAGATCTTGCGAGTGAAAGGGTTAATCATGGGATATACTTGTACCTTAGCTCCAACAACATCAGTGGCTGATGAACCTTTTTCACCTTTCATTCCTACATTGCCAGCCAAGCCCTGGGGACCAACAAGAAAAACACCTCAAAATTGTAGGAAAAAATGTATTCTTTAGTAATAACTAATGACATCACATGAGTATAAATGTATGTCTCAAACAATAAACCTGGAAGGACAATTCAGAAGAGATGCATGGAAATAGAAAGTCAAGTTCCTAGAGAACTGTGAGTAACACAATTTGTTCTTAATGATATCATTCTGAATTGAAACCAATGTTTTTCTGTAATTTTTAGCTCATCCAACAATCCACTCTATTGGTGTGAATGCATTTTTGTTTAGTAGAAAACATTTAGTTTCTTGTTCATTTGACATACTCTCCTCCAATATTGCTTCTACTTAACAAATAACATATCTGCCTCAAGGACCACAATGCAATTTGACTTGTTGGTTGATACTTACCAAGCCTCAAATTGTACTGACAATCAACTTTCTGTAAAATTGTGGTGAGCTAAGGTTTTGTCCAAGTCTTTACCATGAAATTCTTTAAGGAGGACTTAAAAACATACTTATGATGAAACCATCTGGAGGTTTTTATTTAAAAATAATATAAGTACCGTGTTTCCTTTGGGTCCTGGGTTTCCAGGGTTTCCTGGGATACCTCGCTCTCCCTGTTGCCAGATAGAATTGGAAGTGAATGAGTGTCAGAAGTCTTGGGGTAAAATTACATTTAGAGGATGGGTTTCAATCGAAAGCCTATTGACATGCACCTGTTTTTTTTCTCTCTCTCTCTTTTTTTTTTTTAACAAAAACCTACCATATCATACTCAGTCTAAATAACTCAAGGATACATGTCCATCTAAAACTGTGTGAGTCAAGGCCATTAGTTTGTCAAACCAAGAAATTGACTAAGTATACTGCTTCTAACAAATACCAACTTTAGACTATATGCAGTTTACTATAACTGCAGTCCAACTTGTGTTGAGTGATCACGCATGGGAAATGGCAGGGGGACCACTAAACACAGGTTGGACTGGGGTTGCCGTTGACTGTTTAATACAGGTTTCACAGATTAGGGGTATTATAAAAGTGTTATAACATAGCTAGTAAATTTGTCTAATCAAATTCAATAGTATGCTTGCCTGTTCATAACTTGTATGCAAACTTGTCTGATCAGGGAATATTATGTTACTTAATGCACTACATACCTTTGTTCCATTACAGCCTGGGTCTCCCATCATACCACGAGGACCATCCTCACCAGGTATACCCTATAAATAAACAAAATGATTAAATAACCATTAAATGTGGCTAAATGTATTTAATCAAAGTTAAAATTAAGACATAACTGTGCTGCACTCTGAGGTGATAAATCTTTGCAGGATAGTCAGGGGGTCCTACCTATGGATTAAAAACTTTTACAGTTCACTGTTTGCTATTCAGCTATTTTTACGCGTGATGACTCTCACATACTTGCGGTATGTCTTCCCTCTCTTTCACTGATGAATACTAATTAATTCTTGTTCCTCATGCATATCAATAGTATAATGGTGAGTAATGGCGGCCAGCACCCTTCTGCGCTCTCACACATTTTCTAACTCCTTCCTAGCACTTAACTATTAGTGATGATTTTCAGAGTCAGGGTCGGCCAGGGTTTTTGGGTATTCGGTATTCAGGGGCGTTTTAAATCGGGTATACGGTATACTGCAGCTTAAATATGGGTATTCAGTATATCACTTTCTTTGAATTTCAGGTATAGAGTATTCAAAGCTTCGATTATTTTTGGGTATATTTGGAGGAATTTGGGGTATTTTGGGGTATTTTTGTATTTTTTTTCGGGTATATTGGTATTCCATAATTTTCAGAGTCATAACTACGGTAGTGGACACTAAGCAAGCAAAAACATGATTTAATCAACAAGGAAACTTTGAAAGTAATCCCAATGTTTTCCAGCTTTGAATTTATGGTTTAATATTCCATATAAATGTTCTCCGAGGTTTGACAGAACTTACTGGATTTCCATTTACTCCTGGAAAACCTGGTTGACCAACTCGTCCCTATTGGACAAAAGAGGGAAATGAACACATAATTATCTGGTGTTACTTGTCAAAGCTTAACATTCATGAAAATATTTGTGCAATTAAACCTTTCACCCTGAGGAATGACCAAAAAGAAATATCTCTTTTAAATATTAGTTCACAAGCTTTTAATAAGAAAGATAAATAAGAAGGGTTAAAATCAACTAAGGGAAACTTGTTTGATTCAGCACCAAAATCTCATTTGCCAAACTTGTAGAAAATGTATAACAGAAATTGTTTAAAAAATTTCCCTGAAATATAAAGATTGATGTCACTTCAATGTCTCATCTTTATTACGATAAACTCTCTTAAGCCTTGTTCAAGATGAACTACTCAAGCACCTACTTACTTATGTTGATTAAAAATGAATGTGAACTTCAACTAATAAAAAGAATTACTTATAAAATGCTTTCAATTTAAGAATCAATTTGGTTTTCTACCTTTGTCTGCATATCATGAATTTAATTCACCACTGTTTTTCTCTTAAGGTTTAGCATATTTTTAATGAACGGCTGTAGTTGATAATAGATGAAAAATCTCAGTGGCCAATTAATTGATCTGCAGTACAACCAGAAAAGAACAGCTGATAATCAGTTTGTTGGTAAACAAATGAGATTTCCTGTAAAGACTGTACTTACTCTTGGCCCTCTTTCACCAGTTGGGCCTGCTTCACCTTTACCGCCCTGAAATGAAGAATGAAAATGTTAAAAGATGAACAACAAGCTTGAACAATTAAAAAAGAACAACAAAAAAAAACTCCTGTCTTTTATCTGTTGGGAGGGTTAGGTTGACTAGCACTCAATTTCTCCTTACACAATCACCCCTGAATTGAACATGAAGGTTGTGAGAATAAGGGAAATGATTCCATACTTGAGTACCTATTATTTTTGAAAATTATTTGTCATGAAATGTGTAAAGAACAGAATGGAAAATAGAGTACGCTATATGAAAGGTTCAAGTATAGAAGAGAGTGAATCTCATAAAAAATAAAACTTCAGGAGTAATTGAAAGGTTCCAATTATATCCAAAGGTTCAAGTATAGAAGAGAGTGAATCTCATAAAAAATAAAACTTCAGGAGTAATTGAAAGGTTCCAATTAATTGAAGCATCAGTTGTTACAAAAAGAACATAGAGCAAAACACGGGTATTGAAACAGAAATTAGCTCCTCATCGAAATTACATAGCAGATAATCGAAACTCCAACCATAATCGTTGATGTATCATCAAAGAAACAGTAGTGGTATAGGCAATGAAATAGTTGGTGGGCACCTGATCAAACTCAAGATGCGAAATATATTCTCAAATCAAAGGCATGGATCACCCGATCCTGCTAGCAAGACTGGACATTACAAAACTAATCGGACGTGGCGACAGAATAACTGCTTGCACCCAATAAAATCCCCGGAAATCCGCCTTCAATTTGTAACAAAGAACAAAATTATCCTTAACTTTAAGCGTTTTTTGCTCAATTTTCGGTTGAAACTGAAACAATGCAGATAAAATAAAGAGGAATTTAACTTACATGTGTTTTAAGTCAGTTCAGCTGATTTATGCTAATCACCAAACACTATGCCTTGGTAACCAAGCCATAGTTAGGGATATATGGCGGGAAAATCTTGCCTGTCGCATCCAGCAGTATATTGGTTGTCCCAGAAATGGGTTTAATTGGATTCAATCCCTATATTTCTTTTGTCAAAGTTGATAGTTTAAAATGCTTTATGTCCACTGAGAACCTTTTTGACAACCTCATTGTATCGTATGCAACTCAAGCAAAGAAGAGTTGATTCCCTTTGATCGGAATTCAAAGCCATAAAACAACACATTTAAGAATTTCAGAATTCCTGAGTCTTACCTTATTACCTCTGGGACCGGGTAGACCTTCTGGTCCTTGAAAACCCTACAAAATAGATAAAGGTGAGTGCCATTCATCTAAATTTTTCTGAGGAGTTATATTCTTTGTAAGCTCCTCACGTATTGATTGTTGCTTGATTTTGAAACGAATATCATTTGGCCCCAGTTGAATTCTAAGAAAGTATAGTTCTGAAGATGAAGTAGCTCAGAGCTTTTGAAAACTTGACACACTTGTTTATGAAGACACTCTTGAATCATTTTTTGCGAAGTCAACATAAAAACGATATTTTCAGCGATTTGTTTTTGACATACGTGATTTAGGTTGTGTTTCTGGGATCCAGGGAGTTGTAATGGTAAAAAGTTGAAAACTTAACTCTTTAATTCCCAAGATCAAATTATTAATTCTCCCATTTAGCTGCTGCACATTTCCTTGTAATTAGTTACATGACAAGTTTGAATATTCTCGTTGCCTATTTGCTGGATAATGTAAGGATATTATGGGGAGAAGTTTCATTTGATCACTTCTGGCAGTTAGAGGGTTAAAGGGCGTTTCAGATATATGATCAATGTTTGTTCCTGTGAAACAAATCAATCTGAGTTCCAACCCATGGGATAAATGAAGAATCAATAAGATTGAGCACTATAAAATGCATTCTGCCTAACATCCATTATAGTGATAGGCCAAATGTTTTAAAATTCCATTCAAGTTTTCCCACTCATAGTACAAGTAAGAGATTCATTACATTGATGCATGTGAAAGAATTTTAAAAGCAAAACCCTCCTAATTTTGAATAATCCCGAAAATAACAACATTCAAACTTTACTCACTGGTAAACCAGGTGGACCAGGAAATCCTTGTCTTCCTCTTTCTCCCTAAAGTGAGGAACATGATTGGTACAATTTAAATGCAACTATAAAGAGCAAACTTTTCCCTGTGTTTACCCCAAAACCAGTAGAGGTTTGGCAACATGATGTGTAGAATGGCTCTTTGCAGTGTCCAAGATCTTGCATAAGGAGTCATTAGTATTTTTAAATTATTTACCTGCAGATAGTGGAGGGACCAAAAAAGATTTTCATGTACATGAGGTCTTGATAAAGTGTGGTTGGGGTGTATTGCTAGGCAGCTAGTTCCAAACAGTCAATCACAATATATTAAATAATCATTCTCTGAAATAACTAGTGAATATTTACCAGGCCATGAAGTGACAAAGAAAAATCCGCTTTCTATTTACCATTACAAAGGTGAATGATTGTTTTATTGTTTACCACATAAGAACCAAAAAATTGTTTTACTTCTGTTAATGTAAGGGAAAGAGGCAGGGGTTGAATCTTGTGATTCACAATTTTGTATCTTTGGCTGTTAGGAGGTGAATAATACTTGTCAATCACTTCTGAGCTAGCCAATCAGTGCACACGGAAAGTGCTGTTTACCAGTCTGGTATATTCTAATGTTTTTCATTCACTAGACCTTGGTTTTCATTTCGAGTGGGAGTTAGATGTAGGTAGGGTTACGATGTTAAAACTCCATTTTTTTTGTTCTCTGTATAATTCAATTTTCAATTTATCTTTTGATGGGATTAGAACTTCACCTTGGTTCATTTTCTAACAATTTTCATGACTTTCCCTGAGAAAAGTTAAAAACAGTTTAATTTCTGGAAGTAACCCATTTATTTCTGTTTTTTTTTTTTGGAGGAGAGGAGGGTATATAAACAAAACCAATATTAAGATTTTTATGGTTTGTCTTGAAATAGTGGCTACCTCACAGCTTCAGGGATGTATCTTGCTTTTTGGATTCCATGATATAACGGTTTTGAGTGGGTGTTAGATATAGGTTGGATTACAATGTTAAAACTCTATTAATTTTTGCTCTCTGTATAATTCAATTTTCAATTTATCCTTTGATAGGATTGGAACTTCACCTTGATTAAATTTCTAACAACTTTCATGTCTTCTTCCAAAAGAAGTTAAAAACAGTTCAATTTCTGGAAGTTACTTGTTTATTTCTATGTCTTTTTTTTTTGGAAGTGGGAAGGGTCTATGAATATACTCAATATTAGATTTTTATAGTTTTTTTGAAATAGTGGCTTCTTTAGGGCTTCAGGGATAGATTTTTGGATTCCGTGATATATCAGTAAACCACTTAATGTTCAATCACTTGTACTGCCAAATAAATGTTGCCAATTCTTAATCAAGTTAATTAATAATATGAAATAATTAAATTGAACTATTATGTTTTCTGAGAAAAGCATCAAACTGATAATGAACTTACCCTTCCACCTTTTTCTCCAATACATTTAGGAACACATGATTGGCATCCTTGGCACTGTTGAAGCAAAAATCAAGTAATAATGTTAACATATGATTAAAGGGGATGTCTTTAAAGAAACTGTGCTGCTGCATCTGTGGGAGAGTATAACAGGGTAGTTTAGTATTATCAACAGAATTGATAACTTTCATTAAAATATCTTTATTACTATAACTGCCTGGAAATTAACATCTGGAATCATTCAGGGTTGCTGCTTGGCACTGGCTGCAAGCAAAATTTGCTGGATTAAAAACAGGCAACCACCAGTTGGATTTTGTGGCTGGTGATTGCTTTGTTTGTTAAACACAAAGGATATTTCTGAAGTTATGCACTTCCATCCATTTGTCAATGAATGTCATCTTTTGACTGCTTCACTTGAAATTTTGCTCGGAGTTTAATTTCTTAGCTACAACCCTGATCACCCGAGAATTATGAGCATATTAATTCAAAAAAGTGCCTCATATGATATTATAGACAAATCAGACTATTTCTGAAAATATTTGAGTAGTCTTTGTGTTGATGATTTGATGCTCTGCAGTTTTTTCTTCGAGAAATTAGTTTAATTTTCAAGTCTCTTGTTTTAAAACATCATGTTTTCATTATTCCTTAGTTTTTATGAAAGTAATATCGGCATGAATGATGAGAAAAGCTTTCATCTTGCATTCAGATCACTGCACAACTTATTGGGCAAGCAGTCATTATGCTTAAGTTTCTCTCTTGTCATAAATTTTATAGGAATACAAAGGAATATGGTTATTTTTGATGCCCTGTAGCACGACAACTAAGAGCTGGCTAAGATTTAGTACATGTAACTGGGTGTATCATCATCAACATTATCAATACACTTCAGCGTCATTCGTGAGCATTGGGATTTCTTAAGGGTGTTACAGCAGGTACACTTCATCAAGTAATCTAAGTTTTTATTAGTGATCCAATAAGCAACCATTCATAATAGTTGAAGAGTTCACATCCCAATTTTCAGCAGTTGACATTTTTTTCATGTTACACTGGGCAAATTAGTTGAAATTTCAAAATTATCTTCTCTTGTGTTTTCAGAAACCTCAGTATAGAAGTCATCAATAGGAGAGGTGAAACTCTTGTACATTCTGTGGCTGTTTAAATTCTAGAAAGTGTAATTACAATGCTTATATCACAGCAAGGATGTATGTTGAAGGTAAGCTGCAGTATCATTTTTTTTTCCCCTGCTAATCGGCAGTTTTTTTTAAGGCCACAGACTACATGGTATTTCTTTTCGGTACAAGTAAATTTGGAAAAGCCTCTTAACTGCTTTCACACTAATTACTATTCTTGTCTTAAGCTGGGTGGGCCATAGTGGAATTTGTTAATTCTAATATTCCCTCTTTTTTCGAATGTTGAAGCTATTAATCTATTACCACCACTCCTTGCCTTGATAAGGAAAGTTAAGAGTTTAGTCTCCTCGTTCCTTTTTAAGTGCCAGTACAGATTAAGGAATTCAAGAAGGCTGCCATTCGTTGTACGGTTGAACACCTTCGTTAGGAGAGGTACCCTCAACAGAGTTCCAAAGAATTGGAACTTTCTATTACCTATGATATGCTCAAGGAAAATAAAAAATTCCCAACATTTCGAGTGGGCTTTTAGCAAAGATGATCATTTGTTTGTTTAATAAAATGGCTTTTAAATGTAAACATTTGTTTTTGTTGTTATCGAGCACTGTAGAATTCATTTTAAAATTAGCTGGAACAAACAACATCCAACTTAAGAATGGACTTAAATCTTTGCTTAACTCTTAAGTATAAGTCTCTGGTGTGCATCCAAATCTGCTACAGTGCTTAAAAAATTGTAATCCCTCACAGCATAGGAAGTGAAAATTCCTTTCATATACAGGGCAGCGAAAGCCTCGCCTATATATTTGTGGTTTGACTCCCTGGCCCAAGACATAACAAACGTATGTATGTATGCTATGCCGAGTAAACGCTATCAATCGAACAGTCTTCATGAAATGATATCAGCGATCTCAGTTGCATGACCAAGAAGAAAGTGAATATCAATTTTAACACGCCTCTGAGTTTTCTATCCTTTTAATGCAGCGGAAGCCCGATTTCACGCACTTTTGTTCAAGATTTAATTAAGAAGGAAGGTTACCACTAGTCCGATTTCACTGGGTTATTTAGGAAGTCACGAGAGCCAAGGAAAAAATTTGTTAAGACATTCATTGCTTTCACGATCATTTCCGATAATTCTTGTTCGTCACGTAACAATAAGTTACTGCTGCTTTTCTTTTGCTATGAGTTCACAAACGCAATCTTTCTTGGTCGAAACTTTTTCTTCGGCTTGAATGACCGGAAATAGATTTGGGAGAAGGATCGAAGGCTACCTGACGATTTGATATGAAAATAGATTGCACAGATGGTCTTAGTGAGTCTGAATGTTTAATTTTTCGTCCCTTCATCGGCTTGTCGTTTAAAAAATAGCAACTAAATCTTGCCAAAATTTCGTGATTAGCCAGGAAAAAAAACTGACGATCCCTACCGTTGATCCTATAATTCGTATATTAAATCATTGATCTCGATCTTGACTTTAGGGCAGTTCCCGAGAAGATTTAATGATCTTTTGGAATACCGATTTGTGGAGTTCTAATTACAAAACAAAGTCTCTGTTTTGATGATTTTTCCCGAGCGAGACTTATCTGGCGAACATATGGTGTCAACATAACGGAGAACTTTCTGTTTCAACCGAGTCTATTGTATTGTTTACGACAGGCTTAAGAGAGCTTTCGTCTTATCAGCGTGTTAGTAAAGGGATTTTTTCCCAAACTGTTGCCGAGTGGTTATACTGGCAACGTACTTGACAGGTCTGTCACCCGTCTTTCGTCGGCTTAGCCACTTACGCACTTGTGCGACCTAAAGCGCGCGCGAGAGATTCACGCACCCTCTCGAAGTAGCGTGCGCGTTGTCACTTCAATTAGGAAATCCTCCGTGAAAATCGCACCGAATCAAACTCTGTTCGCGATATGGAAAAATTTCCCCTCAAACGTGCTCTATCTCTAAACTCATGTCCGTCGTAGAGTAAAAAAAAAAAAAAAAAAACTTACTGGATGTTATTTTCCGAATAAAGTAGTTGAGGCAAATGGCAATCTTCATGCTTGTAAGCATAATTTTCTTTTAATGTAACATACCAAAAAGAGATTATACTTGCAATCGAAATTAGGGCAATGAAGGTTTGCTTTATAATTTGCTTGAAATTGTTTAAGTGTCCTTTTAGTGATAACTCTCCTCAATCAGGAAGATTTTGGGAGGAAAATTTAAGAAGTTCAATCTTGGGCCGACTGCCCGTTGTCCGCGGGGCCCAGTGCAACCAATATTAATAATATTGTAGGAAAAACAATCAAGACTACATAGCTGCCCGAGGTCTTACAAACAAAATGGCAACATAGCTAGTTAAGTCTTTGAGGAATAAACGCGAGGTCAGAGTCGGATTCCCCAATTTTCGAGCAGTATGTTTACTTGAACACTGATTATAAGCGAAACGGACTTTTATAATGGACCAAATAGTTTTAGAGGATGCTAGATGTACATAGAGATACGCCTTGTTAGGTTTATTTTTTACTGCCTAACTGAAAAAATATTATACGCTATGAGTTACAAGAGCGGCATGCGAATCCGAGCACATACGGTTTTAAATTATCTACAAGATCAGTGTTAGTGAAGAGGTGGAAAATTCGATGGAGTGGCTTAGAGCTAAGGAATAACAGTAAAATTGAACAAACATACCGCAGCATCCGCGAGAGGAGGATTCACCAGATAGAATCCACAAATTACAACAAAAACAGCGGCAAATTGGACTAAAAACCTGCAAGATGACAAACGATGGTTAAATACTGGAGATCACTACACGCGCGTGTTCGATTGGGATCTTCCATGGCGAGTATAGAGCACACAAATGTAAAAACAAGATCGCGGCCAACACGTACCGCATGGCTAATCGATATATCCAGAAGCAGTTACTACGTTCGTTGTGCTCTTATCTGGACATACTAAGTTAACGACGCTTGTAGTGTAAGGAGAGTTTGGAAGTGTCGTTTGCTGATCGGTAACTCAATGGACAGCAGACCAAAATTCCGAGATTGAGAAAGCGGCTTTTGTTTCACGTTTGGTCACGGGTGATAATGTTTCACGGTTTATTGACAGATCGTGGAATTCCCGAGTGTCAAAGTTCTGCGATTGGGTGGGTTCGCGTCCACTCGGATTGAACAAAGGTTCAACTGTCCAGATCTCTCAACTGGTAGGTTGCGTGAAATTAATCTAATAATTGTGCGGAAATTTATCAAGAATTTCTGCTGGTGCGTCGTTAGGGACTTAAGATCACGTTTAGTAGACAGTGGAAATTTTTTAGTTGTAGTGATTTTCTGCTAGCTTTCATTCTCAAGGTGGGAAGAGCTTGCTAGAGATTAAACATAAATTGGACGGTCACCAAAGCACGTAGAGGAGAGAAGATTGCATGCTTTCAGCAAACCGCGAAATTTTTGGATTTAGACTTAAGGTGTGTACTCTTCAGTCGCACGGAAGTTCCTTTAGGTTGGAAGGTCTGCTCACGATTCTGATCAAAATGCGTCAAATACGATTTGCTTTTCGTCAGAAAATATTCGACAGCCGGAAAAAAGCACTCCAAGTATTTTAACCGCAAATAGCTGTCATGCCTGACTGGTGATCTTCGAGTTGCTCCTAGACAAGATAAACACCCCGTGCTTGTGCGTCAAATAAATGATATTAACTTTGAAACTTTCATAATTTATTCTGCAGCTTTTTGATCTAAGGGCTGATTAAGATTACGGATAATTCTCTTATGCCAGACAGCTTGACCTAATTTGCGTCCGCCACGACCTAACAAGAACGTAGGTTACGGACGCATGCCTCCTGATGGGAAGTTGAGGTTGAACGGAACGAAGTGTCATATAAATGGCATGCTCTCATGTTGGGCTATAGAGCCCAAGAGAGTTTTCTTCAAGTGACGTGATGTTTGCTTAGTATAGTCTTTTTCGTATTAATCACGCTTGACTTTCAGCACGCGAATAATCGTGAATTATGTAGTCGGACGCACCGAAAACGACAGAACTTGGTTTCTCAAAGCGTGAATGATAATTCCACATTTTTTTTATGATCTTAAAATATTGTTCTTTGTGGAAAATCTGCTAATCTGATGAGCAAATAAAAACATCTTTGAGTATTTGTTAAGGCTGAACTCACTGTAATGAAAGTCCCAGTTTGAAAACTGTTTTTTTTCTTTATTGCCCATCTCTTCTTAAACTAGAGTAGTCACTTCTAGGGGTTTCACTTCAAAACTAAAAGTGTTGAAGTCCATATGTTTATTCGAATCACGAATCCGTTCCTGTGTGTGGTCTTTTATAAAAAAGAAGACTTGTGTTACATTTTGTCAGCAGAAATTACCAACCAAAACCAAGAAGCACCATACACTATTCACAGAATGAGGGAAGGGAGTCAGTTCGCCAAGAACTCTCAAAAACTCAAGCAGCTCTACAAACCGCACTTGTATCTGTTGCAGCACCTCTTTTGACGGGTAAAATGTCAAAACATGAACCCCTGTTGGCTTAACTGGTATATCTCTAAAGGTGATTTGGAATACTGTTGCAAGATGACAGAACGAGATAAGATCCAAGGGCAAGATAACTTTTAATTTTTGACATATGAGTAGCAAAAGACCTCAAGTCCTCTTCTTTTTAATTTTTTCGGTTGATGCGATTTCGGCGATTTTGTCCCCACCCTCTAAAGTGTCTCACAACAAGAGTTTCTTTAATGAATAAGCTCTTTTATGCGCACGCTAAATAAATATAACCGCAAAACAGTTGGGGATCGATTGGTGGGGCTCAGGCGGTTTAAAGACTACTCCCCACCGGAAATATCGATCGGTTTATTTAATAAACATGCCGATCCTCAATTTTGCCGCGAAAAGGGGATTCTTTCTGCGCCAAGGCGTGCTCAGCTATGCGTGTTATTGAGGTGGGACAGACACAATCTTAAACTTGATACTTCCTCTTCATCACACTCCGCCTTTGCAGACAATCCCTAAAATGTGAGGTTTATACGAGTGCCTGTCAACTGTCAGCCTCGCCTCCTTGGGGAATCGGAATGCATCACAATCGCTTTTCCCACTTCCTTTGAAGTGACACGGCCGTCCAGGCTCGGATAACAAACCCTTGTACTGTGCTTTCCACGAAGCGTGTCAACGATCCGCGGACTTGCTTCAGTTCTGCATGCCATAAACCTCTTGTTAGTGATTATTTGATATTTTTTCATTATGGGGTTGAGGTAGGTTTGCTAAAACTTGGCTCGATTTTGTTAAATTTTCGGTGCACGGTTGCGCGTCGCTTTTACCCCGGTTTTCACGAACGGATTGACTCATTTGTATTTTCTCTTGTTTCTCTTCAACAGGGCGGCCTCTCTCTTCGCCCTGATTTTCCTTGTTTGCAGAATAGCGAATTCACAGGTGAGGTTTATGATCGAAAAGTCTTAATTTAGTTTTTTGGCGACAACGATTGCTGAATTGCCTTTGTTGTAGCGAAATCTATGGGGAAAAACTAAGCGAGCGCCTCACGCCAACCTTCCACTCACTCGCGAGTTAACGCGCGTGGTAACATTCTGTCCGTGAATACTTCAACCACATGTCTTTCTCTTTCACTTTATCGTCCAACAAGGTTAAGATCCTTCAAGTGTGCAATAAAATGATGTTTATACATCGGGAAAGGCATTTTCTTCTGAATATTTTTAAACACCTCGTAGTAATGTAGTAATGGTTTCGTTGAATCAACAAGCTTTGGGTTTAAAATAAATTTGCTCTCCACTTTTTTTTTTGTTATATTGGTGGATGCCCTGAAGTTAGGTCTAAGATTTTATTACTTCGCGCTTGACACAATTTACTAAGAATTGTTCAATTGACCGGCATGCAATCAAATGCCCTAAGGGCATTAATAATAATCATTCAATTTTCAGTAGGTTCGCCGGGTTTCATCGACTAAATGTCAAAAGGACGAACAAAATTATGCTTTCAAATGTTTGTATTTCTGTAAATGCTTGGAAAAATCAAAACAAGTAGTGTATGTGATTAACTGGCATGGATTTCTGAAAGGTCCTCAATTCCAGTCCTGTGAAAGATTTTTCACAGTGTATGAACCAAACTGCCATCAAGTTGTCATGTAAAAAAAAAATGGAACAAAAAATGCCTCTGAAATTGAGTATTACTTTTTTTTAATTTTTATCGAGATTAAAATTTTTGTAGGGTGGGAGACACTTATGATAATATGGCAAGAAATAAACCAAACTGTAAAATACACAAAACAAACCATTCAAGTGAAGGTAATGAATTTTCCAAACGTAAAAATGCATGAATATTTCTGTGTTCTCAACACTTATACTCAAATGTTGATCAAATTTCTACAGAAAACCTCATGTGAACCTTTTGAGAGTATTCGACATTTGTCTACAAATTCAAAGTAATTTGTTTAAATATCTTGTTTTCAAAGTCTTTGAATTTTTGGAGCTTATTTATATTAAAACATCTCTTCTGAACTTGGAAGAAGTTTTATAATCTGACTTTTATGCTCTGTCTCGCATGGATGCAATTCCCAGCGCTCAGAAATTTGCTCTTACCTAGGGTGGAAATTGACCTATAAACCATATGGGAATGTTTGATGTTTGTTTAAAACTATATTGAGAAATTCTGAAAGTTATTTTTAATTTTTAGGGGATGAATTTTCCTGGCTCGTACACACTAGAAAATAAGCTTTTTTCAGAGTCAGGAATGTGCATCTAGTTACTTGGTGATATGCCCAAGTGTGGATATTTCATGAAAACTGTCAGTGTATTCGGGAACACTCTTGATTTCTTAGCTAACAGTCACATTGCAATCCTTTTTTAAATTTGTTTTTTGCTTTTTTCTTTAGCAAGGTTATAGCAAGAAGGTGTATTACTCCTTTTTAGAAATAGGCACAGATCTTCAGAATGTGGGTACATAAATTAATTACGTTATTTTTGGTTGCATTCAGGATCAAAATGACGAGGAATGCAATTGTAAAGTGGGACCCAAAGGTTCAAGGGTAGGTAACTCATCTTATTATGGAAAATAGCTTTGATTCATGATAACTTTTGTTTTTTTTAAAACAAAATTGAAGTCTGTTAACAGAATAAGGAAGGTGGTAAGTTTTTAGCCCAGTAAAGAAATAGAGAAAGATGTTTTTTCGTCTTGTCAAAAGTGTGGGACAAAGAAAAAATTCTTCCTTGTGAGGAATCAAACCTCAGACCTTTGGATTCCTTGCATTATACTATGGAATCTAATGGTCTGAGGTTCAATTCCTCACGGGTACTCAGAATTTGTTCTGCACTCATGAAAAGAGGAAAAAACATCTTTCCCCAAAATTGATGTCAGTATGAAAAATTATTTTTCAAGTGTCATAATATGCCATTTATAATGTAAGTGTAGAAACTTACTTTGTTTACAGCATGTGTGGTGGGCCAAGGAAAAGTGAAATCAGAAAATTGATTCAAATGAACTTTCCTTCCTCCTTGTCCCTTGAATACCAGCTTTAAGGATCATATCCCCAAAATATCCTTTTGTTGTGTCAAGGATAAATTGGATTCTTAGCCTTACCAAAATCTTTATAGGTAACCCTCAACTGCTCCTAGTATGCATTGACTCAAAGGAAATTTCTCCCAACATTATTGATATATTTCCTGCTAGGTAGCAATGAGAAGAAAGAACAAAATCAGTCTGGGGTTATTGATTGATTTAGCACTGAATATTTACTGCTAAGGTTGAAATGAGGAAATCAGTTTTGGAGATTAATATATATATATATATATTGATACCTTGATTGTAGTGGAAGGGTTATGCCAAACTGCATTTTTTCTTGTTTGAGGGAAGGTTTCAAATGTGTGTAAAAATGTTTCATGCAGAAATTCCCTTGATTTCTTTGAGAGCTATAAATTGTAATTTTTACCCTTGCAGGGAAGACCAGGCAAAACTGGTGTCAATGGCCCACCAGGAGAGGAGGTGTGTAATAATATCTTAGCTTCTCTTCATGAGAAAGAGTTGTAAATGAATATTATTCATCAAATTTAGAACCTCTCAGAATTAGCAAGTGATGTTTCCTAGGTTTAGCAACAAGTAAACAACATTGACACAGACACAAGTATAAATCAGGTGTTGAAATATAACTGATGATGAGATAAAATAAAGTTATAATGGTATTATTATAAAGGAAATATTAAAATAATCCAATCAAAAAGGAATTACATGAAAATTTTCAAATAATGACATGTCCTGGGTCGAAGTTAGGAAGTAACACTGCCATCTGAAATTTGTAAGTGAGGCAGCTTAAGGGTGGAGTCCAAAAGAAGGCCCTTTCTCCCTTCTACTGTCATGTTTTACACAGTTATCGCCAGCCAAAAATTTAGCCAGCAATCACCACTTTTTCACCCAGTGAGTTGCCAATACTAAGCAACAGCTCTGCATGTATTGAATAATGTGTTTTGCATTGGATAATGATAACAGAAACACATGTTGGTTTAAGACAGTATACAGAATTGAACAGCATTGGACATTGTTAAACATTTGATCAGTCTTACAGATGCTTTCACTCATTTAAGGGTTTAAAACTTATGGTGGCTTAATTAATTCTCATTCAGAATGATATCTGAAACAAATGTGTTGTAACTCTTCTGAAATCTTTCAAAGCTTTTTGCTCATTTATTAATGTCCAATTCAGACAGCTAATGGTGACCCTTTGTGCAGGTAATGAACAAACTGAGATTCTTTAGGAAACATTGGGAAAATTTTTCCTCTTGAATGTTTGCCTATTACCTTGAGACAGATATAAGGTCACTTGACTGTATTTAGTCAGTGTAAATTAGGGTCAATTTTGAGATTTGATTATAATCATTGAATTTGAATGAAAAAGAATCAGAAGCAAATGAAAATTATTGAATGGAAGCACCATCTATAATATCGTGCATGTAGGAAGTTGGACATTTTTCAGCAATTAAATACTTGAACTTTCACCTTAGGTGTGCGTGCTTCCCTTAAGTCCTTCATCTCAGACCACTTAAAACTTATTGCAAATATAGTAACACTGGTTGCAAGGTCCAGTTTCAAGTTAGAAATATTTTCTGTCAAATATATATATATGGCAAACTGATAAATTTGTATGACAATAACACTTGAAAGTTTTTTTTCTTTGTTAATTCGTGATTGCAGTAAAGTTCTTGAGTGTCAAACTTAGAAAACCACACATCGAGGAACTCTGAAATGTTATAGAGATGACGTGAATTATGGTGCTAATCAGCTGTGGGATAGTTTGTTATTTTTTTGTCTGCCCTGATCTCTGTTGTGACTGGTAATTTTAAAATTTGCACTGTTTACCCTTCCTAAAGTGCCCCAGGCATTCACAGTCATACAGTTCACATTTTATATTGATTAAGGCATGCGGCAGGAAATTAAATTGAGGAGAGAGAAAAATGTATGGACTAATAATAGATAATTAAAATGACCTAATGTAATTATATGTATGTATGTTGTGTATGTGTGTGTATGTATACTTCATTTATCACCACCCCAATGGGGGCTTTTTAGGGCCAGTATGTATGAGTGACTTTATAAATGAATGACTAGGTGAATGAACAAATAAACATAGTGTTCAAAAATCCCAACTGTCAGGAGACAGACCATGCTATAGACATAGCGCAGTCAAGGAGTTGATCATGCAGCAACCAAGAATAAATCCATTTAATAGAAGGATGAAGGGCTTGAACCCAGACCACTAGTCTGATTAAAAAGCCAACACCCTAACCACTTGGCCCCGCAGCCGCCTTTAGGAATGTTACCTGGTTATAGTGATACGTGATGATACCATGAATTCCACCCTTTTTTGTTGTTTTCTTCTTAGGGATTTCCTATCCTTTACTTTGAATTAATCTTAAAAATTTCCTCTTTACATTACTACTGCTGATAAAATTTCAGTCACTTTACCATTTGTTCGTTATTATAATGATTATGAATGGTTTTTCATATGAAAACAAAAACAAGAGATGAACTGACTGGACCCCTTAATTTAAGGTTGTTATGTTTCTAAGATTTCATGTTTGTCTTTGTCCTTTAGGGTCCTGCTGGAAAAGATGGATTACAAGGCCCCAAAGGCTACAAGGTGATGTTTCCAGATTTGTTTCATTTTGGTAAAAAATCCAATGTGAGCTGCTCACATGAGTTCTAGGGGTGGACCTAGAAATTACCAGCCTGAGGCAATGGAGAAATTGGGGGTGAAATTGCAGGCTTCTGTTTCCCATGTAACCCATTCATGGTTTTGCAGCAAGGCACAATACAGGATAATTTTTGCGTTTTGGTGTTCCTTGTTATTTCATTTGAGAGAACAACCTGTTACCATAGGCATTTAGTGTGCATATTCAGGTAATCTGACTTTGAATGGCAGATAGCTTTTTATTAAAAAAAAATTGTTTGATAGTGAATTTGAATTAAGGGAAGTTCTGAGATTGATATGATATTAACCTCTGATTGAACAATGCTATGTGAAAGACAAAAAGGTTTACTTATAAAAACTGAGAAAGGGGAGCATGGCCTATTTGTTGCTCCCCTTTTTCTTGATGAGCCCCTTCTCTTTATCAGGTATGACACACCTACAATAATTGGCAAGCATTTTGGAACATTTGATAAAAACACTGGGTGTGGTACTCAGTTGTCATGTTCTTTCTTCACAGAGAAATCCTTTGGCCTCTTCTCTTTGTGATTAGACACACCCAGGAGTGAAAAAGTTTCTGTCAGTCTTCATTTGTTTGATGGGAATAGGTTTTTGTCTCTTCATGGGAAGTGTCCAGAAAGGAATGTCTGTTAGAGTAGGTTTCACTAGACCTTGAATGCATATTGATATTGTTTATGATTTTTTAATTTCTGTTTAAGGGGGAGGCTGGGGTACAGGGCCCTACAGGAACACAAGGAGATCAGGTAAAATAAAAGCAAAGGATATATTCTTAATCAACTCTGAAAATAGCATAATTTGAGATGGCATTTTATCAATGTAACTAGCCGTTATTTCTGCTGGTTAAAGATGAAGAGAGAAAGGAGCAATGATTTTAGTAAAGGAAATTCTATCAAAATGAACAATGATGTACAATTAAGAATAAAATTTTATAGTCATTCTTAGAAGAGTCAGTGTGAAAAAGAAAAGAAAGATAAAAAAGTTCGATCTCTGGGCTAAAATCGTAAGAAATGAATGGCAGACATTGTGGAAAATATCTTTATTTTTGGAGTGAAAAGGTTGATTAGGATAGAAGGAAAACTTGACCAGCTAGAGGGAAATGAGGTTAATTTTAAACAAAACCCTTTCTCAGTGTACTCATTTCACAGACTGACTGTTTCCCTCAATGTTTGTACCTGAAATGTTGCTAACATTTCTTAATACAATTTTTTCATTCCCTCAAATTAATACCTTGTCTTGAATTCTTTGCTTGTTAAAATGTATATGTAATTTTTTATTGCAGGGAATGATTGGAGTGCCTGGATTTCCTGGCATCAATGGTATACCTGTAAGTACTGGTATTTCAATTAGCTTTTGCAATCAAAGAGCACTTTTCTTCATTCTGTATGTGTATGGTTTTCATGTTTAAATGTTTAACATGTGTGGTATACCACTGCTTCTGACAGAATTAAACATCGTTTTGATCCATTTAAATTCTAGGGAGTCCCAGGAATTGCTGGACCAAAAGGTGTCATGGGACTCTGCGGATGTGATGGTGATAAGGTAACACTCAGCATACAACTTGAATAAAAAAACAAAATGGTTTGAATAGACATTGCTATACATGTACAATACTTCTGTCGACTAATTGGTTTGAGAGGCTAAAAGTATTTGTTTTTTGTTTTTGTTAACTACAAACCATTTACAAGTAACTTTATTCAACATTCAACATTGATAAGTAGTTATTCACAATTTAAAACCTGGATTACAAGATCTCTGCAAATCAGAAAATATATATTGGCTAGGCTTTGGAAAAAAAAAAAGAAAAGTGTGATTACTATGAAAAAGTTTTTTATGGTACAGGTCAGGGAAGCCAGAATGTGCAGTAAGATTAACATTGAGTTTAGCATAGATCAAATATTGGTTGTGTGTTTAGAGGCTCATTGACTCACTTGAAATTGAAAGTCAGAGTAGCTTGCCTTAGTTCTCATAGACCTAGAACTTGAATGACTTGATGAACGAAACAAAGGTGGGATTCATAAGGAAATAAAACCTGTAATACAGAAGACCTAATTATGCAAATTTTTTTTATCACAATCATTCAATGATGAAATATGTCCAAACATTTTCCACATGCTAACTGCTCAAATGCTTTCTTGTTAGGGAGAACCTGGCCGCACAGGAACAGATGGTACAATAGGGGTAGCAGGAGATCCTGGAGAGCAAGGACCTAAAGGCCCTGTGGTATGACCCTTGATCTTTTCTGTTGCAGGAAAGACCAAATAGGAATTTCTACATTCAATATCAATGAAGTTTGAGGCAACCAAAATACATTGTTTGGTTTAACATCAATTTCTTAGAGCTAAAATGATGAGAAACTTATGGCAGAGAGTTTTAAGGAAATCTATAATCAAATGTTGGGAATGAAAGGTTTGCATGTGCTAACTTACTCTCATTGTCTATGATGAAAAAAAATCTCCATAGTGGTGGTTCTATCAGTTGTGTTCATAGTGGCGGTGCTATCAGTTGTGTTAACAATATCTCAAACTTTGCAAAGTTAATTTGTCAGTTTATAATTTTTAAATCAGTAATCAAACATCAGAAATTATCAATTTAATATCGTTTTTTGAAATTATTTTTAGGGTGACCCCTATGATGGGCCAATTACTGCAACAAAAGGACAGCAGGTAATGCATTAGCTGCATAAATGATGCTGCTCAAATGGTCTAACTTAGACACAAATCAGTGTACTTTGCCTTCAACAGAAGGTCCTGGAAAAGAGAGAAGAGGGTCTGTGTGGTATATTCCCCCTATAGCCTGAATTCATGTCAAACATTAAACACTGAATTTGAAAGATTCCCATATTTGACCATTTTGTCCAAAATTTGGCACATAGAAACAATCATTGTTGTTATTGAAGTTAATAAGCCTCCTCCCCTGCATAATGCCCAACCCCTGAGCCAGAATATCAAACAAGTACCCCCATCACATAAGCACTCCCCCTCTCCTCCCTCACTTTCCAAATAGCAGAGATACAGGGAAGACCTGTTTTTATTGCATCTTTATTTATAACTTTTCACGCTTCAACTACAAGGGAATCAGTACAGGAGAATGATAAGTATCTCCCTTACCCCCTCCCCCTCCTCCCTCACTTTCTAAGTGGCAGAGATACAAGGAAGACCTGTTTTTATTGCCTCTTTAGTTATAACTTTTCATGCTTCAACTTCAAGGGAATCAGTACAGGAGATTGATAAGTGCCCCCCTCAAATAATTGCCTTCTTTCTAATAAGCACCCTCCTCTTCTTAGATAAAATTTTGAATAAGCACCTTGGGTGTTTATTCATGGAAATAGGGTGTGTATTATTGCTTTAAATATAAAAAAAACTTCAGCCTCTATATCTACTTCATCCTACCTCTTCTTTTCACTTCAGGAATCAATTGCTGATAACTCATTTTTTGTTGTTGTTAGGGTGACACAGGAGCCAAGGGAGAAATGGGACCATCAGTAAGTACTTTAAGAGCAGTTCATTGGCTCCCTTGAAATTGGAATAGAAGCTTCTCACTGTTTTCATGTAACTATTAACTAATAGTAACTCAAAATCACATTTTCTATTGGAAAGTAATCAGAGATTTCATTGGTGTTTTGTTTCACTGTGCTTCGTGATTGCCCCAGAAAATTTTCAGCCCAACAAATCAGGTGTGTAATTAGACTATTGCACCTCAGGCTTGTGGATTTTTCCACAGTTTTAGGAGTTTGTAGCTTTAACTCCAGTTTTGTGAAGCTCTTTGTGATGTGCTCCTCTGAATTGTTTGGTGGGGTGATTATGTTGGTTTTTTGCCACACTTTTGCAAGAGGGGCTTTCATGAAGGCTTGGTTAATGTCTAGTTGAAGTATAGTAGTATACAAGTACAGTCAAACCTGTATTAAGGGGAACTGTATTAAGCAGCCACCCTGTATTAAGTGGTAGGTTCTTCAAGTCTCAAATTTGTTTCTCCTTAACCACAGTATAATTTTCCCCTCTATTAGGGCCCACCTGGAGAAGTTGGTCCCCCTGGTATACCTGTAAGTAATTAATTTGCCACTATTGTAAGAAAAATTCCTACACTCCTTGAATTTGCCTATCAGTTTTTTTTCTTAGCTAATGGAAGTTATAATATCTTTGACAAGATTTGAGTTGATAAATGTAATTGCCAAAATCTAGCAACTGCTATAGATATCAAAAAACATGCAAGCATGAGAAATTAACTTCTGAATGGTATGATAGTTAGGGTTGAAATTTTTTAGCGTTTTAGAATTGTTTATAACCATTAGTTAGAAAGCTTTTTTGGCTTGCATGTGCTTTATAATCTGAAATGAGCAGATTTAAAGCTGGTTTGAAAGTGGTTTGCAAAATGAACAAAGTTATGGCAATTTAACAATTGTACACATGTGTACAAATGTATGTGTACTGAAAGTTTTCTCTCTCATCAAAATAAATTCAACATAATTTTGATCATGTAACATTCTGTTATTGTCAAAAAAAAAAAAACTGGTATAGACAGAATTGAAATGTATATTCTTCACCTTTGATTTACTTTTCAGGGAAACCAAGGCCCCATTGGTGAGAGGGTAAGCACAAGTTTGTAGATCTGTTTGTTCAGGTTGATTATTCAGTTGAAAACAGTTGCAACAGTTGATTGGGCTCATCAAATTGTCTGCTTCTGTTAAGAATTCGTCACACTTTCTAATACTTAATATGCTATTTTATCCCTTATACATGAGGTATCATCTGCACACATCTTTTATAGATACTTATCACTCATGAATGCTTCAATGTCTTCAATTTTTTCTTTTTTGCAGGGTCAAAAAGGGAAGCAAGGACCTCAAGGAGAAGATGTAAGTCAAGTGGAACTGGACTAGGGTAGCAATAACAAGAACTTTGGACTTTTGTGAAAAAAAAACTTTAAGGAGGAAATGCATGAAGCTATAGCTCAGTGGATAACCTATACGTATTAAGCAAAGCAAATCTGTAGCAAGAGATCTGGACTTCAAAACTATCAACACCTTTTTTTTCACATTACAAATGAATTCTTCTGAACTTTCATTTTAAGGGTTCACCAGCTGATGGGGATCTACTGTTGTTGGAAGGAGAGGAAGGAGACATGGTAAGTACATATTCTTCTTACAATGACACAAAGAAATCCAGACAACTGTCTACTGTATTAATGACATTGCAATTGCATGTACAGCTCGAGGTACATTAGGCCACAGTTTCAAGTCACAGCTAGCAAGCTCCTAGCTTTCTCTCTATTTTGCTCTGATGAAGGGCCAATACACATAACTTCAGCTTTAGAAACTCTTTTTGGTGGCCCATTTTCATAATCAACTCAGTTGATAAAACTGAAGAATCTTTTTCCCTAAATAATTCATCATATTTGGGTCTAGCTTAAGGTCTTTTTCGTGTGTTAACTTGAAAAAACACAAAAAATTGCTAGTAATTCAACATTACCCAAAATAAAGCACTCAAGTACACAGTTTGTCATTTTTTGAGAGGCTATATTTTACAAACCCTAACCCTAACCCTGTGTAATGAATCAAAGAAATGCTCCTCCTGAACTTCATTTATCCACAACATCAGACAAAAATGGTTTAAAGTTTTTCTTTCTATTTTTGGAATGGTTTGATAAATATACCTAGATTGTCAAATCTCCCACCCCAAGGACCTGATTTATTGTTTGATTACCGTAAGATAATTGGTGCTTCCACTCCTAAAGAAAGCTAATAATAATGATAATAATATTGATGATAATAATGACTGTGATAATGATATTAACCATGTTGGTAATAATAAATATCTAGTATTACTTAATTTATTAGATCTACATTCCTTCGAGTGACTAGCATCTAATTTCTCCTCACAATATCACCCTTAAATCACACATTAAGGAAATGATCACCAACCTAAGAAGCTCTTGATCATGAAATGAATTCTCCTTGTCAACACCATAGGATATGTACAGAGAACATCATGAAGACTATACATGCTCTGTCATTGGCTGGTATAATTGGTCGAGCTGATAAATTTTTTTTCCTTGTTCTTCAGAAGGGTGCATTTGGTTACACTTTTATACTTTTGTTTGCTTTAGGGTCCACCTGGAGAGGAAGGAGATCCAGGCGAATTTGAATTTGTTGGTCCACCTAAAGGAGTTATTCCAGATGGGGTAATATATGACTTTGTTTTACTACTTTCAGTGTACTCTAGAAGCCCTGGTGACCATTGTTTTTACTGGCTCTGTTTTTGTGTAGTTACTTTAATAGACATCATATTACAATCATGTCCTAATCTGAATTATATAATAAGCTCAGTTATGCATGCATTCTGATTGGTTCTCACATATGATCTATTGGAGGACAGACGTATAGATGACGTCATCATTAAAACTTTTTTTAATTCTTTATTATATAAAACAAATAGAAATAGATTCCAAGTTATCGTGTGTCCGTTCAGTAATAGATCAGAGAGGACGTCAAAATGTGGTAAGAACATCAGTGACACACTCAGCTGTACCTCGTGTGCCACTTTTTTGTTCTTACCACATTTTGACGTTATCTGTGATCTATTACTGAACAGACGCATGGCAACTTGGAATCTATTTCTTAAATAAATGCATCCATTACCAGCAAAAGTGAGCAAAATTGAATCACCTGTACATGTAGCACTTACTACTTTAACCCTTTAACTCCCAGGAGTGACCAAGACAGAATTTCTCCTTACAATATCAATACAATATCAAGCCAACAAGTGAGAAAAAAAGAAAAATATCAATTAGGAGATTATCAGTTGATCCAATACCAAATTCTCCAAACTAACATCCCAAGAACTGTATGGTAGACAGTAAGGAGAATTACTGATGAGATCTTGGGAGTTAGAGGGTTAAGTTAATGATATTGGTTACAATTATTTTACTTTGCATTTAGCAGAATAGCAAGGGACAAAAAGGTGAACCAGGATCTTCTGTAAGTACCTTTCAGACCACTTACCGTTGTTTACATGTAGCAGTCTATGTGCTAAATGCATCTTTGACCCTCATAACTGAATACACTAATAGGACTTTTTTGGTCAGGGGTGGAACCTGAAAATTCAGCATTTAGGGTCAGTTTATGGATTTTTTTTATAATATTAAACAATGCCACTTTGTACCCCTCAATAGGCCTATGGGATGATCTAGAGTTTTTTTGAGAGGAAAATTTTGTTTGTCTCTTGCTTCACTTTACTTAGTGTCACACATAGAGAATTTGCAGAGGTGACTGTCCTAGATTACATTGATCTGTTTGAATACAAAGGTCATTCAACAGTGCAGGATAGATTTGTTTGATGAAGTTCTTGATTTGGTGGATCAAAGAAGAAATTGACAGACTTGATCCAGTAGTCTGTTAGGTGTCATTGGAATCAAGAGTCCCTGCTTTAGACGCTTTACAAGGGATTTTAATAGCTCGATAAGATGCAATTCTTTACCAACCAAAGTATGCGCTTCTATAGCATCAGCTGCACAATTCTACCAAGTTAATCAACTCCCTCTTGAATAATACCCATGAACAACTTGTAGAACAGTTTGATTTTTTTTACACTCAGAGGTGGGGAATTTACAAAATGAAGGAATTTTTTATTTTGGTGTTAGTCTCAAATGTTTTTTTTTTTTGAAATTGTAACTGTTATGATTAATTGGTTACAGGACTCCAATTCTGCAGACATACTCATGATTAACAAATCAGACTCCTGCTTCTTGATCATCTAATTTTGTTGATCACTCGCATGATTACAGATGGAACTGGACTCCACTCAGTCCTATTACCATTATTAACCTTTTAACTCCCAGAAGTGATTATCATGTATCTTCTCCCCCTATAATATTCGTTCATTATCTGGCAAAAAGGTAATGAGAATACTCAAACTTGTCAGGAAGAAGTTTTTATATTGATCTAACACCAAATTCTTGCAACCTAATTACAAGGAAATGTATGGCAACTAGAGGGGAGATTAAACAATCAGATCTTGGGAGTTAAAGGGTTACTCAGTGTATTATTTGTCCTGTTGTAGGGTGGTGATGGTGCCAAGGGAGAAAAAGGAGACCCGCCAACAGAGAGGGGTGAAAAAGGAGCGCAAGGACCAGTTGGAAACCCAGGCCCTGTTGGAGTAGAGGGTGATCCTGGAGATGAGGTAAATGAAGTACACTTGATCCTCCACTAGTAACCACCTCTTTGTAGTAGTGGCCACTGTCATTTATGGTTGGCAGTTCATACAATCACTGCAGTGTTAACCCTTTAACCCCTAAGAGTGACCAGCATCTAATTTCTTCCTATTGTTATACTGCTGAATTAAATATCAAGATCATGAGGATAAAGAAAAGGATCACCATTCTAAGAAGCTGTGATTGTTAAATAAATTTTGTTAGTCAATAACAAAGGATATGTGTAGAGAGGCGTATAAAGAAAATGGATGCTGATGTTGGGGTGAAAAGTGTTGAGGGCCACTACAGTGCCTCTTAACTGCCAAAATAACCACTTGTTAACAACTAGTTAATCACTGGCTGATGAACACTGTCAGTGGTAAAATATTAGACCTCTTGCTCAAGCAGCTTTACTTCTTTGGAGCATAAAGTTTTGGTTTCTCTGTTAATGATGTTGTTTGATAGTGTGTTGCATAAATTATTAGCTGCAATGAGCATTTTTTTTTCCAGAAGGAGAATTAGTCCTACCTTCTTGTATTGACCACCTCCCTACCAAAGATTCTTTCTTCTGTTCTCATAGTATAGCCATTGAGCAGTTGTTCCACTGTATCATAGCTGCAGAAATGCATATATCTGTGTGTGGTCATTTCAGGGCAGTCGCAGCTTGTTTGATTATTTGTTTACAGTCTTTATAACTATGAACAAAGAAAAGTGAAACAAATAAATCCTTTTAATGCTTAAACCCTTAAGAGTGATGTGCATCTAATTCCTCCTTATAATATCACCCCTGAATCACACATTAAATTCACAGGAATAAAGGAAATGACCACCAACTAAAGAAGTTCTTGATTGTTAAAAAAATTCTCCTTGCTAGCACCCTAGGAAATGTATGGAGAACAGAATGGAGGATATACAAACTGATGTTAGGGTGTAAAGGGTTAATTGTATTCAGATATGACACCTTGTCTTAGCTTTGGGGAGCATGGCCTGATAATGTTTGGTTATGTAGGTTCATGAAGATTTATATCTGACTTGCTTTGCAGGGAAATGCTGGAGCCAAGGGAGATAATGGAACCATTGGTGCCCCGGTAGATATATATATTAACATAGATACCCTGCTAATTAATATGTAATTACATTTAATAATTTCCTGCTTTTGCATGAGTGTGTGCAATCACTCCTTTTTGTATGGAATGAGTGAAAAATGGCATGTAGAGATTGTGAAATTGTTTGGAGTTGAGGTGGAATCCTCCTCAAGGGAACAAGTGAAAGCTAATTTGATAAAAGAGAACTTTTAATGTAACTAGAAGTTTCTTGCAAGTTAATTTAAAAAAGGAATTTAGATATTTTTGCATCGGCTGTGTAAAAGAAACTTTGGATTCAAGGTAACTTAATTTAAAATGTTCATGCTTTCTCAATAGGGTGAGCCTGGGCCTCAAGGTGAACAGGGTAGACCTGGCCCTGACGGTGACAAGGTATGTTGATGACATTTTTCTTTGTGGGATTTGCTACATAATTGCAGCAATTATAATGTTTCAGTTAGACTTGACCCACTTTTAATTGTGGACCCAAGTTCAAATGGCCTGTTTGCATTATCCTCTACCTGTATTGTAAGGTCACTTAAAGTGGAACCACTCAGATAAACTAAGAATAATCTTTGAAGAATAATTTAAAACATATTTATCACCTGAAGTCAATGTTGGTAGCATTTTTGACTGAGTTTTTGTGCATTAAGTAGTCAATTATGGCATGAAATGCCATTGTTTATCATTTCTTTATTTAAAAACCCCTATTATGTGGAACCTGTATCAAGTGGTCAACCTGTATTAAGTGGTCATCATGCCATTCCCCTTGGGTAACTGCTTAATACAGGTTTGACTATATTTGGTTTGGCCTGATTTTGTATGCCTTTTTAACAACGCTACCTGAAATAATGAATTATTTATCAAAAAGGACTATGGGGATTTTTGATGAAAATACCTTGCCCACAGTACACATACCTTTGTAATGGAAATCTTAGTTTAAAAAGTTAATATTTTCTTTGAAAATCCAACATCATATCGTTATTATGGTAGGTATTTGAAGATTTGAAGTATTGTTTGATGGGTTTTTTTCCCTCTTATAAATTTTAACACTTGTGTTTGATTCAGGGTTTGAAGGGTAACCCTGGACCTGCTGGCCCTACTGGTTCAACAGGAGAAAGAGGGGTGAGTTTATTAATTTATTAAATCCATTTTGAAATCATTCATGCTCCTTGCAATCTGATTGGTTCTTGCTGGTGTGTTTAATTTACAAATCGCACCATTTTATGCTCTAAATTGCACCCTTTTTTTCAACCAATAAGACAGCTTTACGTAAACACAGCAACCAATCAATTCCAATCAATAGTCAAGGCAAGAAATAATTTCCTTTTGCAATAGGACTGACAACAGCAAGTTTCATGATAACATCCAGTTGTTAAGCAAATATACATTTTTGGTAGGGCGCGTTCTTTTGGGAAGATTTAAATCATGATTCTTGATCCCAGATCACTTTGAAAGGAAAGGGTTTTTCAATTGAGTTATTACTGTTGATACATATTTATTAAAATACTTTTCTGATTTTGACAGGGTGGAGTGCCAGGCCCACCAGGTGGTCAGGGAATAAAAGGAACGGCTGGACGTCCTGGTGAGAGTGGACCGTCTGGTGAACCAGGAGATACAGGAGCCCCCGGTTCTCCAGGTGCTTCTGTATTTGGACCCAAAGGCGAAGTTGGTGAAACAGGGCCAATTGGTCCCCCAGGGGCACCTGGTACTCCAGGTAAAATGTCCTTTGGTTACCTTGATTCCCCATTCCCTTTCCCCGTTTTAAACGGGGGAAGTTATGTGACACGGCAATGATTTAGTTTGCTTCACTGTTCTCTGTGATTGTTCAAGAAAACCTGCATTGCGTCCTCAACCAATCAGATTCAGAACCCATCTCATCTTTCCCACTTGTGTTTTCCTCAGTCTTAGCAGTTCATTACATAGATGGTTTATTCTATTACTCTATTGAAAAAGCAGGTATCTGGAGGTATTACTAACCACAACTCCTCTAAAGGCTCTTCATGATGCCTATTACAATTCACGTTTTCCTGCTCAAGTTTGCAAAGTTGAATAGGTTACTTTATTTGAACTGACTTTGATGGAGGTTAAAAGTTGTTATCACGGTTGACTCCAGACTCAGGGAAATTGAAAAAGGTTTTCCTTACCAGGAGTTAGAGTAAGGGGAAATTGAGAATGTTTGACTCCAAATTGGGAAATTTGACTCGAACAAGCAGAAGGATAAAGTTAGTTATAGTTTGAGTTTCTGAGAGTTGACTTAGCTCGTTTACACCACTCACTCAATTTTAGGGACGATTCGTGACAATTGCTTTGTATTACGTAAATAGAAGAGGAAGGGAGCAGCTCTTGGTAAAATATTTTCATGACCAGTCCGCAAACTCCACTGCGCCTTTTCTTCCACCTTTGCAGGTGTTCAAGGTATGCTGGGAGATCCTGGACTACCTGGTGAAGAGGGGCCGCAAGGTAGTAACGGTTCACGTGGCGAACCAGGAAACGATGAAGTTGGACCCAAAGGTATGGATGGGCCACCAGGAGAAAGAGGATTTGTTGGAGTTCAGGGCGAGTTAGGACCCAAAGGAAAAAAAGGTAACCAGTCTGTTTTTGTGTTGTTTTCTTTTTCATTTTTGAACTCAATACGCCGTTGAAGTACATTAAGATCGACCAGGGCCACAGCATTTTAACCCTTAAACTCCCATGAATGACCAAGACAGAATTTCCTCTTACAATATCAATAAAATGTCAACCAGGTAAGTGATGAGAATAAAGGAAAATATCAATTTGGGGATAATTAGTTGATTCAATACTAAATTCTCTGAACTAACAATGTAAGAATTGTATGGTTGACAGTAAGGAGAATTACAAATTTGATCTGGGAGATAAAGGGTTAACTGCAATTACGGGTGGTCTTGTCTGGCTCAAAATGAATATTATTAATAGTAACCATTATTGGACCTTCCGGTAAAAGATCATTCAGCCTGACCCTTTTACAGTTTTTGGTAGTTTTGTTGACATGTTTCTGGGCTTTTGACCACTAACAATGTCATTGCTTGTGTTACTAGTCATAAATATACTCTTAGTTTCTCCAGCAGCGTGCAACCCACGCTGCATGTATGTTACAGTTATTATGGTATTGTATTTGTATATTTTGTGGAGCAGATGATGAGCTCTAAGACATGAGATGATGCTCCAGAAGCTACGCATCCTTGGGACTTGTATTTACCGCGAGGTCAAACGACACTGCGTTTCCATCGTATAGTGTCCTGTGCTTCAGAATCGCAAGTAAAATGACATAAATTTTTCTTTAAAAACGTGCCACACAGTATGACAATTTTGTATTACTTTCCTTTCTTCAGCTGAACCATATTTTTGCCCAGAGAATGGCTGTCCACCTCGCAAAGTCGGTGCTCGGGGGCCTCCAGGGTCACCAGGAAATCCAGGAGAAAGGGGAAAACAAGGATTACGAGGAGAGCAAGGTGGAAACGACACGTGTCCTGTTTGTCCGCCAGGACCCCAAGGTCCAAGGGGGGCTAAAGGTATGCCCGGTGAAAAGGGACTTCCTGGAATGAATGGTACAGATGGAAACAAGGGTGCAGAGGGACCGACTGGGCAACGTGGTCCACAAGGCCCTGATGGTTCACCTGGACAGAAGGTATTGCAACTCTAAAATCTCACACCCACCGAGTAACAATTTAGGATTTTTACCAGAATTGGCAGTGGTGGCGCAATCTGATTGGTCAATTTGCCGTTGTCGATAAGAGCACAGACAACGGTGCTCGCGTCAACGTTTCACACAATGGTCACGTACTGAAAGAATCGTTTTCTTTGACGTTGATATTGTGAACTCATTCCGTTACGCCTCGTAAATCCACAACATTTTGACCACTCCTTGTCAGAACCCTAGTAAATGTCCAGGGAGTAGTATGGAGAATATGCATACTGATCTTAGGAAGTAAAGGGTTAAGGAACTTCACGCTAACTGTTTATTTTGGTCCATACACTATACATATATACTGTAAATTCCAGAGATTTGTCAAGCTTCATCTTTCCTTTAGGGTTCTAATGGTTTTGAAGGAGACCAAGGGAAAAAAGGAGAAAAGGGTGATGCGCCTGTTGGTGAAAGAGAAGAGGTTTATCAGCCGCCAGGTCCGCAAGGTGACGAAGGAAGCCCTGGTTCAAAGGGTGTGCGTGGATCTGCTGGTAATAATGGGTCTTCTGGACTCCCTGGTCCGAGCGGAGAAAAAGGAGATGTGGGGGCACCCGGAATGTCGGTAAGATATTGATAGGTATTGTTTTAGAGACTTTCAGAGTCAGTGTGGAATGTTAAATACCTGACGGCGGGTTAAGATTCACTTCGCTTTGACGAAACTCTTTTTGGTGGCCAGTTTACATTGGCAACTCGGTTTTAAAAAACCATATTGTTATACGATACTAAACCATATTGTAAAAACCAGTTATTATACTCTCCCACCGACGCAGCATCACAGATTGTTTAGAAACTTACCCCCTTTATTTATAAGACTCACTGAGCTGGTTGTTTACACGAGATGTAACCCAGACTGCGGTTTTACTCAGTGGACCTTACGTGTTCTCTATAAGAGGGTTGTTTTCATTAAACATAAGTCAATCCACTGCTAGCTTTCGGCCCTCTTGACACTGTTTACAAAAATAAATGTTGGGATTAAAGATTCAGCTAAATTCAAGATAGTTTAGAAGGCAATTTCGTTAAACAACGGCTAAACCTTTTTAAATAACCGGTCCGCTGAATTTTTTTTTTTCGTTCATAATCCCTGGAAGTCTTGGTACATTATAATTGTTAATGTAACTCCCCAAGTAATACAAATCTAAAAAACTAATTCTTTGTACAAGTATTTGACAGGAAGAGTATTCACATGCTGGGAGCTGGACCGAAAGTTCCGGGGTCACGGTGATGTGTCCTTGGGTAGGAAACTTACTGACCTACCCTTCCTCAGGGTAAGCGTTGTGGCTCGTTAGCTGACATTTCTTTCACCTTTCAGGGTCTTGATGGTTTTCCAGGTACAAATGGTCTACCAGGAGACCGTGGTTCCAAAGGTGAGACTGGTGACAAAGGTGATCGTCCCATCGTACCCGTGCCCGATATGGGTAGAAAAGGAGAGAAAGGAGCCGAAGGAGATAAAGGAGCTAGGGGAGAAAGCACAAGTCCGAGTGATCTAGGTAAAACAGCCGTACATCGTTAATCGCCTTAGTTGCTTTAGGTCTTGCATTCTTGCAATGCGTTGATCAATTCGAAGCTTCAACATTCCACTCCCCCGGGCCACCCCGCGACGTCTGAACTTATTCAAATTCCCGCCTCCCAGGGGAAAATTGTGTTCAAATGCCCCACCCATTTTTTTTTTTGTTGAAAGGCAAAATCAACGACCTTGACTTTCTAGACGTTGGCCAAGCTTTAAAATCAAGAAATGCGGGCCTTTTCTTTTCTATTGTTTTTATGATTAACCTCTTAACTCTAAGTGACCAAGACAGAATTTCTCCATACAATTCCAGTACAATATCAAGCAGACAAGTGATGAGAATAAAGAAAAATATTAATTAGGGGATTACTAGTTGATCCAATACCAGATTCTTCAAACTAACATCACAAGAACTATATAACAGACAGTAAGGAGAATTACTAATGAGATCTTGGTAGTTAAAGGGTTAAGCGTTATGGCCCGTAGAGGTATCATGACTCTCGACAAACCTGCGGGCTTGCAGGAGCCACGTACATTTCTACGTTGCTAATTATAGAAACGGTTTATGTACCGCTGGTGTTTAAGCCTATAGATTAGGTCTTACTGTGTGAAAATTTTTCTTTAATCCTTTTTTACCCACTTTTCACCTCCCACTCTCACTTCACCTCTCATTTTGCACTTTCCATTTCCTACGTTTCACCTTTCACTTTTCACTTCATTTTTTGTTTACCACCTCTCATTCCCCACTTTTCACTTTTGTTCATTTTTCACTTCTCACTTCCCACTTTTCACTACATTTTCCGTTTTTCCTTGCTCATATCTACAGCGCAGCTTTTAAGCGGTGAAAGAGGTGACAACGGTACAGCAGGAGCGAAAGGAAATGCGGGAACGGTTGGAGTTCCAGGACCGAGAGGCGTAAACGGAAGTAGGGGAGCCGACGGGGACAAGGGAATGCCAGGAGAGAATACTCGAGGTCCCCCTGGACCCGCCGGTCCTCCAGGTACTGAAACCGAAAAAGAAGTCTTGATGACGATGCTCACTAGAGCATTATTTAGTCACAGCATGTACGCTCTGTCCAATAAAATTCGATCTTTCCTTTGTACAACGAATTCTTAGACCGCTTATGTCTCTAATGTCTTTCAAACTGAAACTCAAATACCCAAGAAACGGAATTGATGTTGTCTGTAAACCCTACAAGACGTTGTCAGGAAGAATTTCGCCTCATAGTTAAAGCTGTCTATCGATTTCCAGGCCAATGCACATTGAAATGTATAGATTCACTCAATCGACCCTGAGGGCAAGAAGCTTCCTTTTCTTTATTTTTAAGCTAGTTTGTAGGGAAATACGTTTTATCCTGAAGGCATTAAACATCATTACCTCCAGTGTCGTTTTCGCGCTGTAGTAGAAGTACAGTCACGAATGTTTGACATACATCTCAATGTGAGCTCTATCTTAGAGGAATGACCACGTAAAGGAGCTGTAGCGAATTTAAATTCGGACAAGTAAATAAAGGAGTTAAGTTTCTAAAGAAACTTATGGTGCTGCACCGGTGGAGATTGTCACGAGATTAACTCATTATCAACTCAACTGAGTTGGTAATGTAACTTGGCCACTGTAAAGAGTTTTTAAAGCTGACGTCTTGAACGTTTGCCGCTCTGACGAAGGACTAACGCTCAAACGTCAGCTTTCACGTTTGAAAAAAATCTTTACGGTGGCCAAGTTGCATTATTAACTCAAAATCAAATTATCTTTAAATGCAGACAGTCGTATTCACCAGGTACTGGTTCGGACAAGTCACAGAGGTGAACTGTGATTTGAATTCTTTTCAGGTGCAGACGGATCTATAGGTGGTAGAGGTGAAAGAGGAGCCAAAGGTGACTTAGGAATGGACGGATTGGAGGGACCACCAGGAAGAAATGGATCAAAGGGAATGCTAGGTGAACCTGGTGATCGTCAAGATGGACCCACGGGTAAAGACGGTGAAGACGGACAGAAAGGCGCGAGAGGTGAGTAATTAACTTGCAGTTATATTCAGGTTTGGATCGGTCTTCATATACTTGTGTATAGAAAATAGTTCGAGGCTGGTCTCACGCGGCAACTCGTCACTGGCAAATGAATCATTAGATAGCTTTCGGTGTTTTCAAATTAATGCATTGAGAAACATGCTCAAAATCCTGTTAGCAAAGTTCAAGGTGTTTTTAGTGCGGTCGCCTAACAGAGAACGATTCCCAGCCGGAAGTTTACAAGTTATATTTGTGTAACAAGCCACGAAATATTCTTTCACAAGTATTGACATTTTAACTCGTGGATATGCGAAGCATAGGTACGAGTAATATGGGGATTCGATATGAAAACTTCATGGTGTCAGCACGGCCTTGGAAGTCTGGAGAGAGCATGCTTGTTTTGATATTATTTTTTTGTGTTTCCTTTCCTTTGTTCTTTTGTTTAGGATTGTTCCTTTTCTCAACAAGATTGAAGTTTCAAACAGATAAAGTGGCCATTAACTTCCATTTGTTTCTTTGCTTGTTTTTTTAACGATCGTTTTCTGTCGCAATAGGGGTCACAGGTGAAGGCGGCGTGGTTGGATTTCCAGGTGACCCAGGTGCTAATGGAGAGGATGGTTCCGCTGGGCCGAAAGGACTGCCGGGACAGCCTGGAGCCCAGGGCCCTAAAGGAACTACGGGAACTAAGGGAGAGCTTGGTGACAGAATAAGCGGTCCTCCGGGTGACCCTGGAATTATGGGTCTACCAGGTGTCCCAACTAAAGGTTTGTTTTAGCCCACACGTAACGAAGTTTATTAATGTAGCGGTGATAGCCTCATATTCAGCATCGTATCTTGGCTCTATCATTTTGCTGACACATTGTTCAGTGTTTACAAGGGCAATATTTGTGATTTCTTTACGTTCGTTTTATCTTACATTTCATATATTGATATCTAAGAAGTTCAAAGATAATACACAAGACCACAATACTAAGTAACAAACAACAAAGCAAGGCAAGACAAATTCACAACAAATTCGAGTTTCTTACAAACAAAGTATAAAATTAAGTACGAGATTTGAGAGAAGGGTTTCTTTTTAACGTAACAAAATTTATTTAAGGATAAAATGCTTAATTAGACAATCCTCGAAAGTTCAAATCTTTCTTAGGCGAGAGAGGAGAAGCAGGCTCGAAAGGAGATGCAGGTTCGCCGGGAACGCCTGGACAAAACGGTCCTCCAGGTAATCCTGGTGACGATGGGCCTCCTGGTGACCCAGGTAACCCAGGTCCACAAGGAATGAAGGGAAGAACAGGAGTCATTTGTAAGTACAGCAGCTGAATCTTTCTTTTGTGACACTGTATTAACCCTTTAATTCCCAAGATCTTAATGTAAATTCTCTCCTCTAACTGCTACACATGTCCTTGCAAATTAGGTACAAGAATTTGTTGTTAGATCAGGATAATGACTTTTACCTTATAAGTTTGAATATTCTCATTACCCGTTTGCTGGATATATATATGGATATTTTAAGGAGAAGTTTCATGTTAATCTCTTCTTGGAGTTTAAGTGTTAATCTTTGAAATCAACCATTATCTGTGAGTGTGAAAGAGCAATAATGATCTGCAAAGCAAAGCGAAGCAAGCACAGCTTAATTATGCAATCACATGTAACTATCCCTGATGTGCAAGTTTCTGAGTGGGGAAATATATATTTTTTTCAACTTTTTTGCTCACTATTTTGCATCTTTTGAGGGAATTACGGGTGCAAAGCATCGGAAAACCTATCCTCGCTTCCTCGATATTCTACGAAAGATTCGTTTGGTAATTTTAATATTTGGGGATCGTGTCTCGGTTCAGTTTGGCGTTGTCTTGGCTTCCAGCTCTGAGTGAGAAATGACGTCAGGAAAGATGCATGTCAAAATATCAGTTAAGCTTTAATTAAGTTAATTTACTAAACCTTAAGCAAAGTTCGGATTCTAACGAAGAATGCATGTTAAACTCGGATCTTGTCAAACTAGTGCTTACCAAGAAGTTTCAGTTTGAGTTAAAATCTCGGTATTTTCTCAATTGCGTTTTCAATCTCTTTTAACTTCAGTGTGTGGCCAGGAAAACGCTGACTATGCCTTCCTCATGGATGCATCTCGTAGTATTCTCCCAGACGAATTTCAGTTGCTGAAAAATTATGTAAAGGACGTTATTGACTACCTCAGCATTGGCCCCGCTCTCACCCATGTCGGTGTCATTGAATACAGCAAGAGCGCCAAAATGGAGCTAGCTTTTGACAAATCGTATGATAAAGAAGAAATAAAAAGGATCGTAGACAAAGTACCACACACCAAGGGTATTACACGAATCGATCTGGCCCTGCAGGTTGCCTCACAGGAATTATTTACTGCAGCAATTGGAGGAATGAGGAATTCATCCAGAAAGGTAAAATGTCTCTTAACTTTAACCAGGGACTGTTTTTATCCACTTATCGCGGATTTGAGTACTTCAGCAGCGTGTGCTTTCTGTGTGCGGGGAGGCCTGGACTAGTTTTACTTGGGATTTCAGCTTGAGCCCAGGAGTGTAGGGGGTTCTTGCCTTTGACCCTCTGACTCATATCAGCATCTTATTTCTCCTTACAATATCACCCCTAAATAACACACTAAGGTCAAGAGAATAAAGAACATGATCACCAACTAGGGAAGCTCTTGATTGTTGAACAAATTCTCCTTGTCAGCGCCTAAGGTGATGTATTGAGCTGACTATGGAGAATATGCATACTAATGCTAGGGTGTAACGGGTTAACCTGTGGACTCTCAGGATCTTATTTGAAAAACTTCTTTGTATCCGATATTCATCTACTTGAACACCATTTTGGAGAACTTGGTGCTCTATCACGGTAACTATATCTGGCTGATTGGTTTGTATATTCTTATCTTTTTTTTTGGATGAAGTGTGGAATTGGTCGGGAGAATTATCAAATTGATCACTGGTGGAAGTTGAAGGGTTAACAGGAACGAAACACATGGCCAATCGTATCAAGAAATGGCCTATTGTTCCGGCTCAACTTCTCACATTAAGTATTAAAGAATAGTCCTTTTGTTCTTTGTAACGCTGAGGGACTTTTGCCGAAGCGACGCGAAAAACTTCGTGACTAATCGGACAGTTTGTTATTATACTCGTGATAAACAAATCGGACTTCCGCCGTACGGTCGTCCGATTTTGTTATCACACGTATGATTACAGACCGAATGGGACTCCACTCAGTTAGTTTTCTTTTCTTATTCTACATTTCACAGGTAATGGTTCTACTAACAGATGGTAACCAAACAGGAACAGATGCTGCTCCAGACCAAGTACCCCTTGTTGATGCCATACAACCCATTAAAGCTCTTGGGGTCAAGGTGATTGCTGTTGCCATTGGGAGTGTTGACCTTGATCAGCTGCGTTTGTTAGTGACCGACAATGATGACATTTTGAAGACACAAAGCTTTGCTGAACTTCGGAATCTCGTTAGAACCACTGTCGAGAGGAGTTGCAGAGGTATTCTTTAACCCTTACAATATCAATGCAATATCAAGCAGACAAGTGATGAGAATAAAGAAAAATATCAATTAGGGGATTATTAGTTGATCCAATACCAAATTCTCCAAACTTACCGTATTTATTCGACTAGAAGCCGAGCGATTTTTACACAAATTAAAACTGAAGTGAATTAAAATTTGGACTCTAGAGGAGGTCTCGGCTTATAGCCGAAGGATTTTGAAAAAAATTTTTTCCAGCGCATGGAAACTCTACTAAATCGGGACGTATTTACTCATAAGTAAAGAAACACAATATGCAATTGTTGTTTTGGTGCGAAGGCTAACGGAATGGCGGCGCTTCCATTTCTGGTACTAGCTGAGGGACGCTTTAATCTCAGGATTCTCGCTGTTTTGGATTACATTAATTCATCCGAGTTATGATTCGTTACTTTTTAATTGAATAGTTAGTTACGGGTAATATTTATTAATTCGCGTGTGTTTTCTGAGAGAGAGGCTTTTTTGTCCTTTGCATATTAAATCACCATTGTATCTGTTGTATACGCGCGTGTGTGTTATCGTCAAAGCCTCATTTACGACAGTCAATGTGATTTTTTTCAGAAAATGTTAGGTTTTCCCGTAGTTAACAATTCAGTCTTGTAATAATGAATGGGTTTCGGCTTATAGCCGAATAAATACAGTACTTCACAAGAACTATATGGCAGACAGTAAGGAAATTTCACACAAAAATTACATAGAGGATAATCAATGGCCGCTGGGGATACGAATTTTATCTTCGAGTGCTGAAAGTATCTCTCACGTGTGAGCGAAGAAGAGATACTTTCAGCACTCGAAGATAAAATCCGTATCCCCAAGCGGCCATGTTTATTTTGTAGATACTGATGAAATTCCTACACGCCTCGAAGCCATTCAGTGAATGAAATTTCAAAAGAACCGGCCGCGCGCCTGAGCGGGAAGCTCTCTTGTAATTGGCTAATCATGTTAGTAACCATGGCGACACCAATATCCTCACACGTGAAATATAATAATAGTATCTTTACTGCGCGCGATGAAGATATGATTTTTTAGTGAAAGGAAAAATCCTGGTATTTCATCAGTATCTATATAATAAAAATTGTTTAATCTTTGAGAAGCATGTGTTTCGGATGGGCCTTAGACTGCACTATGGCCAATATTATTATGAACTTAACGACACGTAATACGTAGGGTTACTGAGCAAAACCAGCGATCCCCCGTGGCTAACGTACCTTAAATTTTATGAAACCTCTTAAGAAAACTTTTAAACTTCGTAGAAAGTCAGTTCAAATTATTTTAACATCGGAATTAAAAATTCAGAAGAACGGAGAGTTTTAAATGTTGAGCAATTTTTCAAGGTTTCATAGAGATAGTATCATATAAAAGATCGTAACATGCAAGAGGAGTGATTGGCTTTCGTTTTTAGGTTCCATTTATCCATTATTGCTCTGTAGGTCCACTTGGCGATCCTGGTAAGAAGGGACCAAAAGGTTTTCCAGGTGCACCAGGAGGAGAAGGGCCGGAGGGTTTCCCAGGGATGCCAGGAAGTCAAGGACCTAAAGGAGATCAGGGTCCCACAGGGCCACCAGGTACTCCCGGCGAGGGTGGAGATAAAGGATTCACTGGAGATGAAGGACCCCCAGGTATGAAACTTAACCATTTAGCCCCTAAGAGTGACTAGCATTTAATATTCCTTATAATATCACCCCTGAATCAGGCATGAAGGGCATGAGAATGAAGGAAATGATTACCAACAAAAGAAGCTTTTGATCAGCAAACAAATTCTCCTTGTCAGCACCTTAGGAAATGTATGAACAAACAGTACGGAGAATATGCATAATGACATTGGGGTGTAAAGGGTTAAAGAAAAGATCCACCACTGGAACATGTTGCCGTTGAGCAGATGAAAATTCAGTGTAGGATTGACTGAGAACAAGACCCACAGATAACACTTAACGCCCTAACATCAGCATGGTTATTCTCCGCACTGTTCTCCGCACCTTTTCTAAGGTGCTGACAAGGAGAATTTGTTTTATAATCAACAACTTCTTTAGTTAGTGATCGTTCCCGTAATTCTTGTGTCCGTAATGTGTGATTTAGGGGTGATTTTGTAAGGAGAAAGTAAATGTTAATCACTCGTAAGAATCGAAGCCCCTCGAAACAAATACTGACCAAACTGATGTTTCAGTTTCCCACTAGGCGCCATTTTAAAAATTGTTACATTAACTGGCTGCTCTCAAATTTTCAAACAACAGCCCTTCGCAGCCAGTTGTCTCAAGGGGTTAGCACAAATAAGGCTAACCCATGGAAACGATTGGAAGGATCTTAACCGTTTTGGTCCATTTTGATCGTTTAGCGTGATTTCTACATCCTTATTTGGCGCGAACGAGTATGTGACACTCGACGAGGTGTGGTTTCCCGAGCTTTAAGTACTGATTTAAGCTGCGGAGACTACAGCAGATTATAAAACGCTCCATGGCTGAAGATGTTTTTAACCACAAGCCTGCAACTTACTAAACTGCAATATCCAACAGGTGAAATTAGCAAAAGGAGCTATAAATTCTGAAAAGCCTTTTTTATCATTTCGCCTAGGCTTAGTAACTCCAGGTTCGAAAGGACTTAGAGGAGATCCTGGAGATCCGGGATTTCCTGGTGATCCCGGTCTTAGTGGACGGGATGGTGAACAAGGATCGAAAGGTGTCCAAGGACAACCTGGATTTCGTGGCAATAATGGTGTTGTCGGACCTGATGGCCCACCTGGACCTCCAGGAGAAACAGGAGCTGTCGGTGAACAAGGTAAACAAATGAATGAATTCCTGTGAAGCAGTTATTTTTTTTGCTAAAGATAGTAATACTAATGGTCTCCTTTAAGTTATTTCATAAGTTGGATCTTGCTTATCCTTTATTCTGCGTCGAGAAGTAATGCACAGTCATTGATAACTGCCGCCACACCTACCATGGGTGCGTTCTTATTGAACATGTGGCCTTTTTCAGCAAAAAAAAAAAAACGAGAATTGTTTGAAATGAAAACACTGAACAGTTTTCACAAAAACGACTGTGCTTGACGTTTCCCATAACGCCACCGACAGTTTCAGTTATCGAAATTCAAGGTCCATTATTATAGGCAAACTGAGAAACAAACGTTCCGTATATGTGAACGTGATCTAAAACCCTAATAAGCAGGAGGTAGACAAATTGGCAGTTGATCGGGTCTTGTGACAACTAAATGATTGGCATCACTGAGGTGGGAACAATGGATTTCAAGTCCAATGCCCTAACTCCTCGTCAGCTCCATCGAGTGTGCGAAAATTAAAAAGATATATTTCCGTAGCGTACTGATTTAAATTTTCCATCTCTTAATGTGTTAAAGGTACAATTGGTGGTCCAGGGTTGACAGGATTTAATGGAATGGACGGAGATATGGGTCCTCGTGGAGACTCTGGAGCAAGTGGCAGTCCTGGTCTCCCCGGACCTGAAGGCGAGCCAGGTAAAGGAGTACTTTTACTGGACCGTTTTTAAGTGTCTCTTGATATCAATATATTTTTTTTAAGAAATAAATAGTTCTCTGTCTTCCTATTTGTTCTGACTAAAAAGTGGGAAGAAGTTGTTAAAGATTTGGTGTTTTTAGCCCGTGGAATATTTACAAGAAAATAAACTTAAGATTTCAAAATTTTTAACGTGCATAGTTTGTGTAGATGGGAGTCACTCGATAGATGATTTTACGAAGAATGAAGATCAATACCTGACTTACATGTAGACTTTTCCTCATTCGACTTAGACTGGTACATTTTACAGCGTTTTATTTTGCCGGATTTTTGTTTTCACTTTTATGCAGAAGCCACTTTTGCAGGTCGAGGATGATCTGCAAATCCGCAAATATTTAACCCTTTAACTCCCATGAGTGACCAAGAGAGAATTTCTCCTTACAATATCAATACAATATCAACTAGTTAAGTGATGAGAATTAAGAAAAATATCAATTTGGGGATAATTAGTTGATTCAATACTAAATTCTCTGAACTAATATGATAAGAATTGTATGGTCGACAGAAAGGATAATTACAAATTTGATCTGGGAGTTAAAGGGTTAAACAAATTTTCTAGCCACACGACAATATGGAATGTCACGTTTTACCGATAGAAAGGGTGCAATTCTACCTTAAGGTCCCCTCCCTGACCTCGCCCTGGACACTTGTATGGTAAGGGTAGTGCTGTTTAAAGTGTTGCTGCGAACAGTTAATTATTATTTACCGAAGTGGAGGTAAATATCAACCACTTTCAACGACACTGAGGTGAATAATTTTTTTTAGCATAAACCAAAAAATACCAAAAAATTATTTCTTTCAATATACCAAAAATTGGTCGAAAATTAAACTCTTAAAGCGCGGTTTTGTGTCATTATCTGCTCGGAGGTGAATATTACTTGCTATTTACTTCCGAACTAGCCAATTAGCGCGTGGGAAAAGCGGTATTCACTTTTGTGGTACATACTAGAAGAAAAGATTTTGGCTAGTAAGAAATTTTTTATCTCAAAAAGAGTCAATTAAGCCTGTAATCTTATCAAAGTTTTTTTTTTTATGTCCTTTCCACAGGTTTGTTTGGTGAACCTGGGCTAAACCTACCAGGAGTAAAAGGCTTTCCTGGACCCAAAGGACAAGCTGGATTGCCAGGTTTAAACGGATTCCGTGGTAAAGGAGGTGATGATGGATTGCCAGGCCCCCCAGGAAACTCCACACCTGGCGAACAAGGAGGAACCGGTAAGTTAAGACAGGGCATAACTATTACAAGTGACCTTTAACAAGATCTGATAGTAATTCTCCCCTCGAGCTGCTACACACGTCCTCAGTCGTAAATTAGATGAGATAAAAACTTCTACCTGATAGGTTTGAGTATTCTAATTACCTGTATGCTGAATAATTGAAAATCATTATAGGGAGAAGTTACATGTTAAACACTTCCGGGAGTTGAAGGGAAATTGAATAACAAATAAAATTGTACTTCACGTAGAGTTGTAGAGAGAGTTAGATGTTACTTGATGATCCTTTTCAGATCTAAGGGGACGGCTTCGTAAAAATTACAAATAGTCTGAAATAAACAAACTGGCCAAGTAAAAGACGACGTTCACTTCAAAATGACTTTAGTTTCTTCTTTTTCATGAGAGGTGCAATATCAGGGGAAAGACGCCAAAATCTTGCTATTACTCACAATTGGTTTTGGTTATTTATTAGGTCCTCCTGGAATCAAAGGGGCGAAGGGTGACCCAGGTCCCCTGCCGGGAGACGGCGTGTCCCTTCCGTCTGGTGACCCAGGAGATACTGGAGCGGATGGAAAAATGGGTATGCCTGGTTTAAATGGTGACCCAGGACAAGAGGGACGACAGGGAGAGAGTGGAGCCACTGGACCCCCTGGGCAGGGAGGTAGGAGCAAAAAGAATGTAGGGTTTTTCACCAGGCCGCGGTTGTTAGAGGGTTGGATAATGCTACCACTGGATAAATCTCTATCCGGTGGATAACGCCATGCGTTTTACCATCACTTATCAGCCGGATAGCGATTTATTCGTTGGATAGCGTCATCCGCCCTTTATACAATTGGGCTCTGAATTTAGAGTTTGAAGCTGCTAAGTTCCAAAGAGAAAAATTACACTTTTCTTCATTCAGCACAACAATTTCGGAATTTACGGATACGTTATTAGTGTATTTTTTTTCTAAGTTTTAATGGCTTTGTGATTGGTGATAGGTTGGCCTCTTGGCTGGGTTTGTTTCTAAAGAAAAGTAGGTTCATTGCGTCCGACAATTCGATTCCTTACATTGGATGTGCGGTGAAACGTTCAGAAAGGTTTGGTCATCGTGATACTTAATGCACAAATCGTAGTCTGATGGCGTAATTATTTATAGATAATTCTTAAAAGATTTGGGAATGTGTAAAAGTAAGAAAGTTTACAGAAAATAGCAAAAGGTATGCGAAGACCTACATAGGAAACCTTGCCTCTTCGTTTTGCGTTTTGAGTGTTTTTAACCTGTTGGAGTTAAGAAGGTGTCTCAATTGTTTAGTGTTTGTATCACAGGGGCTATCGGTGATCAGGGTGCCTCAGGCCCCCCAGGAGAAACTGGTGCACGGGGCATGCCAGGGATCTCTGGTGAACCGGGAGTAGAAGGAGATCCTGGACCCAACGGTGCCAGAGGCGATCAAGGAGACCAGGGAGAAGCTGGACCTGACGGTTTAAATGGGTTAAATGGTGTAGGAGGGCCGGAAGGTGAAGCAGGGCGAGATGGCGTGAGTGGACAAACTGGAGACGTTGGACCCCCAGGTACGAAGTCAGTTGTGTGCATCTTTTACTTCTGCAGGAATTTTTTGTCCAGAACAAGAACTTTTTTTTCCTTGATGAAAAGTAAAAAAGAGGGCCGCCATCAATTAGGGGGGTGGGAAGGGTTAAATGACGCGATTATCGATTTCAGATTTTGTAGCCAGATTGTTTCATGGGATGGGTCAACATCAAAGACTGAGTATAAACAAATTAGGGAGTAAGGAAATTGGAAACCGTTATCCAGAGGAAGCATCCATTTATGGGACAGCAACTCTGCTACAGGTTGTAGCAAGTACTACTATAACCCTTGACGATATGAAGTGAACCTTGTATTCTGATCGGCTACCTTGCTCGCTCAGGATGGCCTGCATTAGAGCCCGCATTCGTCGAGCGAATTCACAAAGTTCGTAAGTTTTGGACCATAGCGGCGATGGAGTCTGATAGACAGTTTGATGTACAGTCGAAAGAAAACGTGTACGACTCTCGTGGGTTTATTTTGCTACAAATAAAGTTGGCTTTCTTTCCCGACTCTCGAAATAAATAATTCGCTCTTGATTCATAGTAAAGCGAAGTCTTTTGGCTATACGGTATTATGAATCTTTTGTTAACCAAGTCTGACTTCGTCTCGGTCCACAAAGACGCAAAAAAAGATCTCGGCCAATATCCAGCCATCCTTATCTCGCACATGTTCAATAACGTATATTTAGTGGAACCTGCGTTGGAATGGCCTCTCCATTCGGAAACCGCGAACACGGACTGGGTTTCCTAAGTTTAACTTCCACGGTAATAATTGTTGATATTGTATCTTGCATCTGATAGGTGGGACTGGTTTAATTGGCCTTAGAGGACAAAAAGGCCTTCCTGGCATTACTGGTGTCAATGGATCTCCAGGCTCTTCAGGAACACCTGGTGATCAGGGCCCAACTGGGGAAGCAGGTGCTCGCGGAGAGAGGGGAGATATGGGACCACTAGGACCTAGAGGACCCAAAGGTTTAGTGGGACCTCCTGGTTTTAACGGAATTATTGGAGTAAAAGGCGAACAGGGTGAGTCGCAGACTTAAAAGATATGTGCAAAGCCATTGCTCTCCTCGTTACATTTTTTGTATTGTACAACATCGCTATGTGGCCGTCGCCGCCACAGATTTCAAAATTTTCCCAACAACGTGCGAATGATTCATCACAACATTCCATTGGACTGCGTTTTGGTGTCCCTTTTCCCGATGTTCCAAATGTGTAAGATCGAAGCACGTGTTTAGACCCTTTAACCCCTAAAAGCGATCGGCATCCAATTTCTCCTTTCGATATCAACTTTGAATCAAACATCGAGGTCAAGAGAACAGATGAAATGATCACTAACTAAAACAGCTCGTTATTGTTAAACAAATTCTCCTTTTCAGCTTCTGAGAAAATGTATAAAGGACAGTATGGAGAATGTGCATACTGATGTAAAGGGTTAACTTCCTTCTTTTTTCCTTAAGGGAGCAATGGCACCATTGGTAGCCAGGGCACAACAGGCGAGCCAGGCAACCCTGGGCCGAAAGGTGAACAAGGACCAACCACCATTACTCCAGGACCAAGGGGTGAGAAGGGACGCCCTGGACTGCCAGGAATCCCTGGCCTGGAAGGAGACCCGGGCGAGACAGGACCCCAAGGTAATTGGAAAGTAATTTTTTCCACGAGGCAGACAGATATGGCTGAGAGCCTGGACAGAAACGTTTTTGAGTCACGAAACGACGTGTAAATACAAATACAAGATATTTTTGTACTCCCCAGCCCTAACGAGCTGTCGAAGCAGTCTTGTTTTAGGGTTTAGGAATGTACGTTAGCTACCTCGTCCGGAAAGGGGATGCTACATTCATTTCCTTTTTAACTCAAAGCGATTTACTGTTTATTTTGCACATTTCCAAGCCATCACTTATCACCATAGTATTCATCAGTATCAAGCTCGTGAACTACGTAGGCACTTGTGACGTCTTTTGTTCCTTTGTCTTTTCAAGGCCCTCCTGGCAACCTTCAAGGCCCGAAGGGTAACAATGGTCTGCCCGGTCTACCATCAGAGAAAAAAGGACCAAGGGGCGAAACAGGACTTCCAGGAGAAGAGGGAATTCCAGGCTTCCCCGGAGACCAGGGGTTACCTGGTCAACCAGGCCCCACGGGTATCATAGGTAAGGCAGCAACAGGTGAAGGTTACCACTTGGTGGTCCACAGCCAATCTACTCAAATACCTGCCTGTCCGCTGAATCTGACTAGACTGTGGACTGGCTACAGTTTGCTGTACGTTCAAGGTCACGATACTTCTCATGGACAAGATCTCGGTGCGTCTGGATCGTGTATGAGACGTTTCACCACCATGCCATACCTTTTTTGTAACATAAACCAACAGTGCTACTACGCTTCGAGAAACGATTACAGTTATTGGCTGACCACAGATATACAGATTCCCATGATGCCAATCAGTGCTCCCGCTGTTGAGCCGTTTGTCAGTAGGTGTGCTGTGTGTGAGGCACCTGGGCCTGTTGTTGCCACTCATAGTCAATCCACACAAAACCCAGACTGTCCTGCCGGCTGGCAAGCCATTTGGAATGGATTCAGCTTCTTGATGGTAAGCCACTTTAAATACGTTAGTTAAAGCATCCTTTCAAGCACTTTACTTCTACAAGCGGCTGAAGTGGCTCATAGGACCAGACTAGTGTATTTTTTGGTGGAGGCCAATTTATACACCTCAAGGACTTTAATTTGTTCAACAACTGGTTGTTTCACGTATCTGTCGATAGAACCTCTTAGGGCCGGTTATTTACTCGAAATATAAGCCTAACCACGGTTTTACACAATTAGTGGGCCTTAGTCTTTCTCCACAAGAGGGTTGAACTAATGAAATAAATGTCCTTTCCACTGCTAGCCTTTGGTCCTCTTGACACTGTTCATAAAAAAAAAAAAATTCAGATAAATTGTTCATCTGATATGAAGATCGTTTGGGACGCAGTCTCGTTGAACATTGGCTGAACTTTGTTTAAATGTTCGGTCTTTTTAAGGAACTTTTAAAAGTTCCGATGTTTTTAGTGTATTGAACATGCCAGTACTGACCTTTGTTTCTTCAAGGAGCTTAAGCTCTTAGTATCTCCTAAATTTGATTTGGAGGTCTATCTCTCGCCGCACATGCAAAATCACAACGCGTGGTTCACCAACAGCTGCAGCTAAGATTGTCGTCTAAATTATTTATCTGAGTTTAGAATGCCTTTAAGCTTAACTCTTAATTGTTCAATATCGTTTGGAGATAGACGAAAGAGGAGTTCGACTTCGCCACGTCACAGATTGAGGCCAGGTTGCTAAACAACATTCAAAATGGCGGCGTCCTAACTTGACTCTTTTTTGTCACATTCGAAGACAAATTTCCAAAGAGGTGGTTTCTCTTTGGTCACATGCGTATATGTCCTTTTCGGTGGTGGAGATGATAAAGGACATGATTTCTGGGGCATATATCATCATTTATGCTTGTTTTTTTCCTGCTCCTTTTTTCAGCACACTGGTGCTGGTGGAAGTGGTAGTGGTCAATCGCTTTCCTCTCCGGGATCTTGTCTCAGAACTTTCCGCCACAATCCTTTCTTTGAATGCCATGGTCGTGGTACCTGTCACTATTTCGCTAACAAATACAGCTTCTGGCTCTCCACCGTTGGACAGATGTTCGTTGCACAGACGCCAGAGACCCTAAAACCTGGAAATCTCCTGAGTCGTGTCAGCCGTTGTACTGTTTGTTACCGGGTTGCCAGCAAAAAGAAGAAGCGTCGTCATGCCTTGTACCCCAGAGTGTTACCAGTACAGAAGAAACTTTCTTCAGCGTCACTGAAGCTTCAATCAGCGGCGCAGCGGCTGTCACGTCAGTCGTAGGTAATTATGACAACTTGGATTCGGACCTGACTATGACCAATATAAAACAAATTGAATTTTTAATAATCTTTTTCTTGCCTCGAAACAAATGCTCCTAGTCAAAATAAGCTGTTTGTGACAGTTTTGTACTTGTTAGAAGCCGTTTCATCAAATCTTAAACCCTTTCAGTTGAGTACTGCTGCTTCAATGCCAAGAATGTCCAGATTGGAATATAAAAAAGCTCACTAAATGCGAGCAAAAATAGTTATAGCCTATTTACTTTTTAACCACCTCGTAGTATAATGATTAGTTCTTGTGAAAGCACGTTTCATAGTCATTACAAAAATACTGCGTCACTAGGACATGGAACAATTGCCATGGTACGTATTTGCTGGGAAAAGTACCGTTGTTTGCTACCAATTTGCATTGCAGTTGTGTTTGAGGTTGTTAGTTTGTGATACGTGAAAGTTTGGAGTACTTTTCTCTCAGGAATTTAAGTTGAAAATGATAATATTTGCCTTTATCGTTAGTTTAGTCAAAACAATTTTTTGTTTTGTTTTGTCTGTTTGACCGTTTGTGAGGCTAATTTAAAAAAAAAAAAAGTGGTTCAAAACTTCGAATGGTTTAGTGTCCTTTTAGTAGCACCCGTTTCCACAATCTCTGTATTTTAATGAGATTATAAGCCTAACCGCTTGACTTCTCTAATTTTTTTCCTCTTATTTATGTTTAATTTTGATGCCATAGCTCAAGTTTCGTTTGTAATCTCAAATCAACGTTTGTTGTGTGGACAAAGCGTTACAAACTTGCGGTACGGATTACCTGTCCGGCGTTTATTAATACCTCTTTATCACAATTATAACTTTATTGAAAGACGTTTTTCGTTTTCTCCTAGTACTTTTGTACTATAAATAGCCCCGATATTCGGTCAAACTTAAGTTGGTCGGGCGATGGTTTACCGACTCTCCACCTATTGTCCGCCAATTCCGCGTTAGTCTAATGTCGGTCTAATGTACACCGAGCTGCCGATCGATTATCGATTACGTATCGAATGAGGCTACCTCAAGTATATTTCTTAGAACCGGACAGGTCATCTCAAAATCCGTAGTTTCTATACTTTTGAGCACAATGTCGTCTTCCTTTGACATTTTTTCGCATCACAGAAACATTTGAAACTGCAAATGCTCTGGTTAAAAAATTCATAGGAGACAAAAAATGACTGGCGGCAGTGAGGATCAGGGAGTTATTTACCCTGACTTTTTAAAAACTGGAAAATCTAATGGTATCAATGATTTTCTTCAAACGAAAGTATTTAGTTTCCACAAATATTTTTATAGTTTCCAACCCAAGCATTCGAGCACAAAAGTCGAAAGACTGTTTCAAATTTTGCTAACAGAACGATAACAAAAACATAAAAGACAACAGTTCGGAACGACTTCTCGTTTTCCCCAATTTTCATGTCGTATAGGTTCAGTTAAAATCTTAACATGTTCAGTTTGGGGAAGTAAAAGGGGAAAGTCGTTTGACAAGCACAGTTGTTTTTCAGTGTTAGAAATATATTTTAAAATTTTAATTTCCCTCTCGAGTAATAGTCTTTCATTGGAATGTCACGCAACAGAGTGTTGCGTGACATCCAAACATCGCCACACGATTAGGTTGTAATTCAGGGTCTTAAAACGCTAGTTTTGTCATATTTGTTAGATAAAATGAATCGGATCGAAATTCCTAATTAGACTAGTAGATCCTATAAGACATACTAATAGTAGATTTTTTTCTATAATAAGCTTAATAATCTTTTGAATGCATTTACGAACTGTATATTTTAAACTTGTGTTAGCTATTAGATTTTTTTTAATTGTAAAATTAAGGTCATAATGTTGATTGCAATTTGGGGTATCATTAATAAAATTGTTTTACTGTACTGCGTTAACTGGTTGTTCTTATTTCAAATTTTGTATGAGCTAAAAGACCTTCGTCGGTACGAAAGATTCATCTAAATCGTCATGTTTAAGTTCGTAAACGTAAACAAAGATTTCTCTCCACACGTTAACGATCTACCGCCCCAACTTATAATTTTTCGCCAAATCCACACGCAAATGATAGGAAAGTCGCAAATACATTACTGAAGAATAAAACGAGGCCGCCTGGGAGCCAAAATTGCCATGAAATCTTGGCTAAGGATGCGACCGCAGCAAACCTCTCCCTGACTCGTTTCAGATCTTCCTGCGGGCAGAGAAACGTGCGTCCTGCAGCGCTAATAAGGTCCATGAAAGCAAAAAAACACAGAAACTTGGTTAAAATCTTTTACTATCCAGCCATTATGCCATTATGACAAACAAGCTTAGTATAAAAGGATCTCTTTTTTATGGGAAAAATTGTGTCGTTTGTCTTGACTGTTTTCAAGATGTACATTTGGGCTGCGTTACGATTCAATTGCGATATTTTAAAAAATGCTACCAGGAATTTCCAAAGTTTACATACAAGCCATAGTAGAAGCAATTAAGTTTTTTGAGTAACAAAGGGGATGATCCCAAGTGGGAAAGAAAGTTCGGATCAATATCAGTATCTGGGCAACTGCCCACCTATCCCTCCCCTAACCCAACATTAACCTCAAATTGTTGTCAATTGACTGTGGTTGATTCAGGGGAGGGGTAGGTGGGCAGTTGCCGAGAGTTGCCTACTGATATTGATCCGAAAGTTCTATCTTTCCTACTGGCATAGCCAATCAGGACACAGATTTGTTTCTCTTTGCCTGCCAGTATTCCATTCACACATTTGGATTGGTTCTTACCTATGGTCTATTGGAGAAGAAATGCACAGATGATATATAAAACAAATACAATCCATTGTTGTCATGGTTATGTTTAGCAAAATATCACAGAGGACGTCCAATGTGGTAAGAACATCAGTGACACACTTGGCTGCACCTTGTGTATCATTTTTAGTTCTTACCACATTTTGACATCATTACTTTTTTGTTTCTGACTATATTTTGACATCATCTGTGGTCAATTACTGAACAGAAGCATGGCAACATGGAATCTATCTTTTAATTTCATTCAATCCACTGGAGAGAAAAATGGGTAAAATCACAGTAAACCAAAATAAAAGATGTCGGCTCAGTCCTAGTATTTGAGCAACTGCATTCTAGCCCCTCCTGTAACCCAACGACAATCAACTAATAATATTGTAGGGTTACTGTTGGATTGGGGGAGGGGTAGATGTGCAGTTGCTTAGATATGGACATTGATCCAAATTTTTAGGATGAATTTAACATTTAGCCAATGATAGTCAGTGCTTGTGTGCATGGACAAACAAAATAATGAATGTTTCAACGAGCTGGCTGATGTTGGTAAACTTTGTATTTCTAAGCAATGTTACAAGCTTACATACTATATTAGAATTTTGAAACCTACAACTGCACACTACTCCTACAATACTGTCATCAATGAATGCAATGAAGAAACAGCAACACTATGCAGGGCTTATTTTAGAGACAGAATATGATCCCCTACATTCTTCATATCAGAATTCAGTAGATACTTTAAAATGTGTCATTAAATTACCTAATAGCAAAATGCTTGATTTGCACAGCAAACCAAATTTCCAAGCTACAAATTCAGAGAGAAGCTTTTTTGTTTCAGAAATATGTATAATTTGGTATATATTATGTATAAAATATATTTTATTAACTGGTCAATTCTGGTACAATTACGTTGATTCAGCACTCTGCAATCCAAGAGTTCAATAACTTTTTCCATTAGCAACCACCAATGGAGAAAACAAAAAGAGGCTGTAAGGCAAAACCCATTCATGAGAACTGGCACATAGGCAGTGCTAGACTGCAGATGACAGGCTTCAGTTAAAGTGCCTGCTCCAGTCACAATAAAATCTTCTAAATAGTTCATTTTAGAGTTATATACTTAGTTGCCAAGCCTTTGATTTGGAGTGAAGCTGAAGGTGATCTTGTTGTGATAGAGGCCAGTATCCAGTTAGAACGATAACAAAGTAATTCACATTTCAAAAGCAACAACATTTGTATCATAACAAGGTCACCCTTAGCCTCACTCCTGTTCAAAGGCTTGGCAACCAAGCATGCAACTGTAAAATGGACTACTCTTCACCATGTAAGTGCTCTGGAAAGTCTTTAACTTAACCCCCTATAACTATTACACCAAATATTCAAGACTTATATATCATCTGTTTACAGTTCAGAATAATTATTTTATAATACATGAGTTAAAGAAATCAATTCAATTTGAATTAGTGAATTTCCATAAATGTTTTTCAAAGATAAGCGCAGAAAATGAAGTGGAATACCATTGAAATAATTTGCCTTAATGTTAATTTCTGTTAATTACTGTTTGCTTGTGTGAGATGAAATAAATAAATAAAATTTTAGATGATTGCAAATTCTTTGTTATAATAATATCAATGCTAAAAATCATTCTGTCACTTAATTTAAAAAATGGCACAAACTGTATGTTTCCATCTCCTTAAGCTCTTGCCAGATAAGTTGTTTCACCAATTTAGATGAAATTTCCCCCATATTTAATCCCATTTCATAGTGCCCCTTCATTTTAAAGTGAGTGAAGAATAATTCAAACAATTTTAACCCTTTAACTCCCACGATCTCATTAGTAATTCTCCTTACTGTCTGCCAAACAATTCTCATTATGTTAGTTTGGAGAATTTGGTATTGGATCAATTTGTAATCCCATAATTGACATTTTTCTTATTCTCATCACTTGTCTGTAGGATATTGTATAGATATACTAAAGAGAAATTCTATCTTGGTCACTCATGGAAGTGAAAGTGTTAATAGCAGTACTGTGTTGCAGAGCTCAAGGGTTCTAAGCATATGATTTGTATAAAGCCCAGAGGGTACATCCATATGGCATAAATAAAAACAAATCTTTTGAAAAACAAACTAAAATGACAAAAAATGTGGAAACCTAATGACATTTGTCCTTATAGATTAAAACGTTAACAAAGCTTGTTAACATGAATATTTACATCTCTTGTTTTAGTGGAACAGTGTACAAAGAAAATATTTCATCTTCTATACCTTCTAAACCTTTTAGCAGCTAAGATGAGATCTACCAAATTATTCTTGCCTGAAGGCTTGGTCACAGATCTTCCCTTTCATAAACATCAGAGCTATCTTTCAAAATATGTGTCTAAATATAAAAATATTGGTGCCGACATTGGGAGTCAGTCCCTAATATACATGTTCAGTAAAGAGTAGCATAAGCCAAGTTCAGAGCAGTTGTAACATTTTTTCAAGAGTAATTTTCTTCTTAGGATCAATACCTAATCTAGAGTCTCAATTTATGCAGTACTGTAATTGCCTCATATCATATATTTGAGGAAAATTTTTCTAACAGTGTTTTTGGCTACATAGTTATAGCACACAATGGTTACCAATCCCTGAATCTTAAAAAAATTTACATAACAAAAGTTTTCACAGAGGAAAGTATTGTAATCAGAGAATCTAAAGCCAATATTATCTACGATCATTACTTGTAGAGTTTGATATTGAGTTACTGGCTGATACTGTCCTTGGGGTTACTGTAGTAGCTATTGATTGAAGAAGTCTTGTGCTCTGCTTGCATTTTTCCATTGGATTGAAATAACTTAATTGGCAATCTTCATCATTCCCATTCCCTTCAATCAATTCTGTTAAAAAGGAAAAGAACAGTTGTTACTAACAGTAACAGCATATCATAAATATTTAATCCAAAAATACATTGGTGATAAAAGGGAAAAGCCACGTATGCTCGGTAGATTGCTTAGTGCTCTTCTATCTGGACTACATTCTGGATCACACCCTGGCCCAATCATTTTTTTTGGCCTTTAGTAACACAGTCTACTTTCATTTCAGACCTTAACAGGGTATGTTCAGGGATTAAACCATTTAAACTTCTCTGTCCAGATTTTGCCAAACATCCACACAGAGAATACTTAAACTAACTCCATAGACTGTGATCATTCTCCTTTATAAACACAGTGTGTAATACAAACCTTCAGCACTATAGCAGTTAAAAGCTGAATATCCTACTTGCACCAAGTCTTCATCACCTGGTGGGTTTGGTGGAAGATAAGGGCACTTCTGTAACACAGTCTCACAAAACTTCAAACATTGCTTTCTCTTGTGGGTCTTGTAATGATCTTCAATTTCATCAATAGCTTCAGATATTTTTGTGTAGCAAATCCAGTTCTTGTAGGCTTCCTGTGGGAATAATGATCAAATTAGTATTGTGCACTAACTCTCTAGTTTCTGACACTAATTTCTATCCAATGTTTCACAGTTTAGTAGAGCTTTTAATGGCTTTTGATCTCTCACACTGTCAATTCAATTTTCCAGAATACAACGATTTAGTCCTGCATCTTTCTGTGGTAATTAATGCCCTACACATATGCAAAGATCTTGCAAATCTTCCACTGCAACCCATAATTGTAACTGACACATCAATTTAGATGATTTTAAAAGACATTCTTTTCCAAGAGTAATTAAAATCCTGGCTCACATATTTCTAACTTTTAACCCTGACAGTGATAAGCATCTAACTTCTTCCAACAGCATCATCCCTGAATCAAACAGTAAGGTTATGAGAATATAGGAAATGATCGCAAACTCAAGATCCTCTAAATTTGTTAGAGAAATTCTACTTGTAATTACTATAAGAAATGTAAAGAGAACAGTATGGAAAACTTGCATACTGATGTGAGGGTGTTGATGGTTAATCAATGGACCAGTTATGATAAAAGCTGAAGACTGTGTTTAAAATCATACAGTGTGATGCTGAAAAAAGAAAATAATTCTTTTTCCATCTGTTGACTTAATAAACATATCTTTGACTAAATTGTCCAATAGAACCATTTTTCCAAAGGAAATATAATTTGAATCACTTGGAATAGCATGGGTGGACAATACAGAAAATTATTGTTAATCTCATTGTCATCATTATTATTATTATCACAAAATAAGAAAGTATAAAAAAATTATTCAATGTCTCTTCAATCTATATAATACCATATGAACTTTATGTATAACAGTGGAAATAATTTCTCCTTTCATTTTATCTGTGCAGTTAAAGCATACACTCTTCGTGATCAATCTCATTTACTGTATTAATTACTTTACAATTCATTTGGTTTGTTTACATTGTACATGAGTGTAATTCTCTCACCAACATCAGCTAAAAAATTCCAAGAGGCCTAACACAGAACTCAGATTTTTGTGATACTTTGTAAATCACTGAATAATTTCATCCTTCATTTTAAAATAAATTTCAAACATCCTTATAGTGATCATTTTCAAAATCTGCACCATCATCATGATAGTTATTACCATTATTAAATATTACTTCATGGTAAAAAAAAAATTACTTAGCATAGAAAGAACATGTACTGTAGCTTAAAAAAAAACAAATCTATGTACATCAATTTTTATGTCACGCAAAAATGAAATTCAGATTAAAATAACTCAAGTTGAATGGGAATTTTCTCTATTTAAGAATAACAACACTTTTTCTGGAACAAGGAAAAAATAAAGATTGAGGAAAGAGTAGTATTTTTACCTTGTACATTTTGAAATAATTTTCTGAACCTGTGTTTATAAATATTTCCCAATTTAAAGTAAAACCTTAGTACATGACAATTAACATAATGGAACAAGCAACCTGGGGGTTCAGTAATACAATATAGTTGGCCAAAAAAAATAAAAGGCTGAACATAACTTAAATCAAATCAAAACAGATGTTTAAATATTTGCCCTTAAACCTTTAGAAGCCATTAAAGCTGAACATAAACTCCTCACTGATAGACAAGTATGAAATTAAGTATACAGGCTCTATATCACAATAGCAATCACTATTATAAATATGGTTTTAAATTTTTAATTGTAAATAGCTTATCCTTACACCAGAATGGCAGCTTTTTGTTTTAAGAATTACAGGACGCTGCAATTTTTTTCTTGATGACATTGTTAGAACAATCTTTTCTCCATGGGCTCTTGTACATTGAAATTTAATGGCTAAAATGCATGTACTCTATACACGCATCTTACCTCTATTTATTTCACCCAAAGAGGAGTTTATTAGAATCCTCTGCAAAGCTTTGAGAGGAAACTATACAAACAAATAAAGCAACCATTGTACATGTACTTTTGGTACAGAAAGTTGAGACTATTGACACTATACACCATGAATTTTGAGAATATTTAAATTTTTGTTAAAGGGAAAGCCATAAAATTGGATCTTTGTTCAAGATAAGATTATCATCTCATAATCATTAGCATAACACAATGATTTTTTTTTCTGAAGCAGAAAAGGATTGTAAAATTGAAAGGTTTACTTGAGAAATAATATTTGTGTTTTAGTGCTCCTTAAACTAGCGAATTAAAATTACAATATTGTACTTTTTTTCTGATGGAGAAGGCAGGTGAAGACAAGAGTAATTTTGTATTTGAAATTAGGACTCCACTCATTTAAATGAGGTGGGTGGCTCTGAGTGGTTTAAGGTTTAAATCAAGTGAATTTAAAGAGGTTTCAATCTTAAAATGGATTTATCACTTCTGCACCCCATGGATGCCAAAATTTTCAATTTTCAAATGAAATAAAAAAAACTCATGTTACCGGGGTAATTAATGAAAGACTCTCCCTAGGTGGAAAGCAAAAGTGTGCTACACGAATTTGACAATCTCAAATCTCTCAAGTTACAAATATACTGAATAAAAAGTATATATTGTGACATACTAAACTCTGAATTAACTGTTACAAATGTGTTATCTTTTTTCGTTTTTTTTCCCTAAATAATCAGATTTCCTTTCATCTCACTTTAGGAGAATTTGGTGAAAGCTTAATGGAAGACAGCATAAACAAAGACACTTAAATTTCATTTACCTGATGTTAGGAGAAAATAGCACTTCGTCATAATATCCTATCAAAATTTTAATGTTTGACAGCTTGTCTCTAATAGTTTGACAAATACGGAAAATTTGCAAACCAGTGCTAAATCTAAGGTACAAATATTATCGAGGAAATCCGCAAAAAAAAAATATTTACAGTGTATAACCCCGTCAAGAAAAATCGATAACCTTTAAAGACACTGACGCGACTAAGCTGAAATTTCAAACATCGTAACTCTGATTGCTCCTCGAATCCAAACAATGATCTGAACGCCAGAAGATTAAATGCAAACACAACATTGTTGCTTCTTCAAATACAACCTGCACACGTTTGAGTTTCTACCCTGAATATCTGACGCACGCCAAACACTGTAAACATTGTACTTCACCTGATTGCTGGGGCGAAAATTAGGAAAAGAAAAGAGGAGAAGCGTTTTATGCTAAGTCTCCTAAAAATGGTTTAAGTTGATAAACATTTACCGAGGAAAATTTTTTTTGGCGAGGATATCAAACACAAGAGATAAAATATTTTGTTGTACAACAAAAGAGCGCTCTTCACAGCAGGGTGTACTATTAGTCCCGCGTATTTTGCATTCTCGAATAGCAATATTTTTTATGGAAATAACCTGTCTTTGAGAAATGCGCTGTGCATCTGTTTGCCGTTGAAGAGGAGCGAATTTATTGACACGGATATTTTTCCTTTGTGTGTGTAGACCTTGCGGTTCTTCAAAGACGGCAGACAATGTGAAGGTTAAAACAGTATTAGAAGCGATAGTACTTAGAGATTGTTGATGCAGTTAAACAGTCTTTAGGCCGCGATTGTGACATTTCTTTAATCCTATTCTATTCAAGAGTGATCATGGGGAATGTCTTTTTTTTGTTTGAGACGAGGAAGCCAATTCATGTCAGCTGCGCGGTTAAAACTGCGCGAACGCTTGAGTCACGAATGAAAATAAAAAAAGAGTTCATTGAAAAAACGTAAAATTATCGTTTCTAAATTGTGGTCGATTATTGGCCTTTTCAACATGAAATGCAATAAATGTGATTTCGTCGTTGTTTGGTTCAAATACATCGAGGAAAAACGATTTGCCGGAACAATTAAAAAATATATTTACTTTCCTCATTTTGTGGTACTTTACTCGACGTAAAAACAGCTTCAAACGTGAATACGACGTGATTTGTAGCAGCAGGGAGGTTCTGAATTTCCTTCCACCTGCTTGAGACTTTTTGAATAAAGGAGGTACAAACGTAAATGCACAAATAGCGCCTTGTCCGTTTTAATTCCTTTTGCCTCCATTCACAGACCTCAAACCTCAAACCTCTTTAAGGAGCGTGCCTAAATTATGGAACCGAAAGAAGACGTCACGAACGAAGGTCGCAGTGATTTTTCACGCTCTGTGTTCACCATCAAAACAACCGAATGATAATAAAACCTTATAAACAAAAGCAGTGCTCCGCTGTTCTTTCTAATTTCTTAACAGAGAATTTGATTAATTCAAGGAGTGAGAAAAAAAAAATCTTTTCAATCGTCGTAAACTAAGTGGCCCAGTGCGGCGAATAAGGGTTTGACAAAGTTATTTTCACATTATGGTGTTATAACCGGCGTGATCGGACACGGGGTAATGAAATAAAAACGATCGCTGAAGTCCTGAAGCAGGTTAACCTATAAAGCGTACAATGGACTGCGACAAATACACGAAGAACTGCAAACATTTAGCGTTTGCGTCCTTCATTAAAAGGACATAATGTAAATTTGTGCGTTTAAATTACTTACCAGACAGCCGCGGCATGTTGATGCTGTAGAGTATGTGTACGTTTCCCAGTTTTCCCCACAATCGATACGCTGTAAAATTCCTTCAAAATTTTTGTAGTTTCTTTCAGCCTCTTTGTCCTTCTTTTGTAGTAAGCTTATGCTTTGCCACTCTTGGCAAATAGTTCTGTTTTTCAAAATTCCATTCAAAGGAAAAGACGAACAAAATTCCATGCCGTATGAGGTATCTTCCGCGCGGTTCTCACAATCCACACAAATACAAGCTGCTTCAGTCCAGCATTTCGAAGAGGTATTTAGTGGCATTCCGCAACAACGGCGATACTTGCTATCGATCTCTCCGTCAACACCCGATATTGCAGTCCGAGTGAAAGGCATTAAGAAAACTAGGAGACACAACGAAACAGGGACCCGAATTACGAGTTCCTTGTAGTTAAACAACTGTCGACGGCTTCTACTCCATGCCAAGAGGACTCCCACTTCTGTTGCCCGCATAAGCGATCCGACGCATTGAGAATTGACCACGTAGATGAAGATTCAAACGGAGCCGCAAAACGTCTTGAAATCTTGCGAGAATCATACGAGGTCGAAATAAATATTCGTGTTCCTTGAACGTGGCACTATGCGTGTGAGAAAATTCGAACCGAGCGCGGCCTCAATTTGTGACAGAACAATCAATGAAATCTTTGTTATTTAGACACGGCTGTTACTTTCGTATTTAACATCCAAAGATTCTCCTAAAGATCTCCTCTGCTGACAACTGACTCCAATTCAGACATTTGTAAACAAGACTGTTAGTATGAGCGGAAATGAACAGCAAATTTTTCTCTCTGAGACCGAGACAACAACGCATGTGCCGTGACAGTTGTCACTATTTGTCCCTTGAGTATTGGGAAATATTTGGATATTTATAACTCACCTAGCGGGATTCGTCATAAGTCAAATAACCGGAAAGAAACGCCGATACTAACGACAATACACCATGACAAAGCAAAAGAAGTAAGGAAGATGTTCAATAGATGACAAAATGTTTTCCTTATCAATAAACGAGACCAAGAAAATTCAATTTTATAGGTATAAATTGGTTGCCCAGTCCGTAACCTTGGACATTTCGCACTGAATGGGCAATTGTTTCCAAGTACCAGAGCCTTGTTTCTTCGATATTTGAATGTTTCGCTCTTTTCTTTTCATGCTGCTATCGAACCTGCGGAGAATTATCTTTTCCCTTTTTTTTCCCCCTTTTTTTTTTTAATTCCCCTTTATCGAGGCCTGAGGTTGTTCGAAGAAAACGAATTCAACATTTGCTATCATTCGTCCAGGCAATATTTTTTCAACCTAGGACTGTTCTAGATCAAAATCTCATTTTTGGAATACCAACTTGAATTGCCCCGCTGTTTATCGTTACGATAAGGTGGTACCGTGGCAATAATAGATTCAAGAAGCTTTTAATATTTTGTTACGGCGTACGACTGATCCAATTTATTAATTTTTTTTAAGTGTATTATTTTCGAGTTCTTTCCTTTAGTTTCTAGGATCTGCAGGTAACTGATCATTTTCATAACAATTGTAGATTCACTCACAAAACCTCTCAGGAAACCTCTGCTGAATGTCTTTAGTTCAATCTGGCTTATTGTAACTTTTGTAAAATTTCACAAATGCTGTAATTGTATCATCCAATTTTGATGAAAGACTTCTTCAAATTGGAGGTCATTTGCAGTCGAATGATTTTTTTTTGTTCGCAGAAAAAGTGAATTGATCAAAATTCCATGACCATCATCAACGCCACTTAATGATAAATTTTGAATTCAATAATTATTTGGTCAGTAAATTTGCAGCTCCGAAAGTTAGCTCTGAAAACATTTAGCAAATTTGCATTCTATCGGCTGCCAATGCAAATGTTTTTCATGCACACTTTACATAAAACAAGTTGATATTCTCTTGGTAAGGAATATTCTTTTTTACGTTATCTAAATTTGATAATGCCATAAGACGTAGATACGACCGATCAAATATATAGCTACTTAAAAGTTACTCTCTTTTTAAAAGCATTCTTTTTTATCTTCGTTTTTGCCCAACATAGGTTTTTAAATTTCAGCTTAGGAGACTAGGCAACCACTCCTTGTACAATTAATTATCAGGAAGTGGATTATCTTATTATATCTTATCTTAATAAAATTATTAGCCGAGCGCTCTTCCAAACGCAAGTTGTTACGCTAAAATCTGATTATATTGAAACACCTAAACAGGACGTCACACCCAACTGCTGATTTTAAATAAATGAATGAACCTTTGTTTCAATTTACAGATACAAACATAGAATACACCTTGTATGTTGGATACGTTTCTTGAAAGATGTTGCATGAGGTCTGGGATTCACGGAAAAATTGTCCGTCGTCAAATTTTAAGGGAAAAACTCAATGGGATACTGCCTGAGCAAACCAAAACAAAAATTTGGTCTGCAAACTAAAAGGGTAAATAAAAAATTTACTCTAACCAGGGTTAGATACCGAGGAAATAACAGAAATGATAGAAGACAATCTCTCCTGTCACATACCCTTCATTGGAGCAAATGCATAGAAAAAAAAAAACTAATTTCAAGACGTAAGTAATTCTTGTTGACTTTTAAAAACGAAATAAAAACAATAAAATTCCCATCACATCCGTCAACAGAATGTTTCTCCTTAATATGACCCCCCAAAAATAAGAAAAGAAATGATGGATGACTCGTTCTTTTCCCCTTTTTTTGAAATCAATTGGAGAACGAGTGTAGCTTTTTCCCTCGTAAATGTTTCATGGTTTCGTAAATATTTAAACAATAGATCGCACTTTCGATCGGTTCACTGGCGTAACAACCCACGAGGGATGATGAGAGGAAGCAAGAAAAATTTGTTAATAACCAGCCGGAGGCGAGTGATTAACAAACTTTCCGAGCGGTCTCCAAACTGGGTTACTGCGCCGGTAAACCAATAGAAAGTGCGGTATATTTCTTTAAACTCTGGGTTACCGGCGCAATGGACGATAGATTTTTGACCAATCAGGACGCCATAGGTCTCCTTTGTTCCATAAAAATTTTTTTTATCAGTTTCACATCTGTTTAGCCGACCTGTACGACATTTGAGGTGTGTTATTGAAGCATATTCTAATATCTGTTTAGTGGTGTTGGACATTGCTGCCATTTTGCAACAGTGCAAGACCAAACCATCGTTGTTGACTGCATCGATGTTTTTTTGAAGCTTGGTCAGTCCATTATTAGTAAAGTGAACTAATTTCAGCGCTGTTAAACCGTTCTCTAATCTCGAGAAAAGCTCGCTTAAAATACCATTCAGATATTATAAAATTATTGTTCATGGAAAAGTGAGCACATCATTCCCTTGTTTGCTAATTTTGAGTAGCTGTGAATATTGCTGAACGAATCGGCTCACATCATGCAGATAGCATCTGCTTTAGCCTGTATTTATTTGCAATGAAGACCTATCTAATTCAGCGCATCCTGAACACTTTAAGAGTTTTGCTGGCATTTGTAATCATTCCAACAGCGGTTACTTTTTAAGTCATCGTTTATAGAGAAGTCCGCCGAAATCAGCAACAAGTCATTACTAATCAAGTTTGCTTAGAAGCGAAGAAGAAGCCGGTGAACAATGAGAAAGCCTTTCAAGTCACATGTCTGCTACGTATGACAGTTATTTTGTGCTATACTCCTGCCTACTTTTGGTTCTTCGTTTCTCTTTACTTTGGAAGTAACTTTTCCGTCTAGCATAGGAAATTAAACACTGTCTCGTCTTTCTTAACGAGTGAACGCGCGCCTAATTTGTTTAATCCTCTCATTTACACGGTCAGAATCAGATGTTTCCGAGTAGCTTTTATGCGGATGCTGTTTAAGAAAACTTTCGAGCAGGCTGAGGAACTGAAACATAGGATATTTGGATCACGTTATGAGAATATCAAGTGGTATTCTCTTGGATCACGTCGTATTGGAGTTGATACAAGTGCTGGGCAAACAAAACCGGCACAGAATTGATATAATGCAACAAGGTAATGAAAATATTGGAAAAGTAACAAATGCTTTGGTGAAATTTGATGAGATAAGACTAGGTAACATAAGATAAAATTGCATTAAATGAAAAGTTAACGGTTAAAATTTTATTCACGGCGAGGACAGAAGCGAGGAAGATATTACAGCAGTATCCCACCACTGTGAAGGGCTACTTTGATTAATTAAATACAGTATAAAGGACCACGATGGTCTCAATAGGGTGATGGTTTTTACGGCTAACGGTTAAAAATTTTGGCCATTTTACCCAAACGGTCCATATCATTCCATTGTTAGACTTTCACTCAACAAAACGAGCACTGTGATTGGTTGATTCTTGGTCACGTACCCCTGATCAAATTCAAATGTATCCTGACCGGGATACAATTGTGCAGTTGTTGCCAGCGCGCCGAATACAACAGCATATTTTTGCCACATGATTGTTGAAGGGAAAGTCTAGATATATGAAAAAGCACTTAATGCATGGACTACCTTGCGTGAAGTATTAGGAACTGCGCAGAGGGAGGGGCTGCTTTAGACTTATCCCACCCAATTTGCGTCACGATAAAATTTGTATTACCAAATCTCCCAGCAAGGGCTCTGTGATATTCATACGATCCCCCTCACAGACAGTTAATTGGCAGTCAATTTTCTATAATTTCCTGTTTATATTTAGAATTTAATGGAAAAAATCTGGTCTGGTGTCAACAATATACACTTAATGTATGGTCCTGAGGGAAACAAGACAGTTTTGTTTTCCCGAGGGTCCTGATGTTTCCCGAGACGAAGTCACTGGGACCCCTGGGAAAACAAAACTACCTAGTTTCCCTCGGGACCGTACATTAAGTGTATATTGTTGTCACTTGACAAGAATTTTTTTCCATTAACTTCTTTTTCCGCCTAAAGGCTAAGTTTTTTGGCCGTTTTACGTATATCGGTTAACCCCATTGAGACCCTCGACGATACTTCTCAGCCCTGAGCCGAAAATTTATGTTGCGTTGAATTCAACCGCAGCATTGATCACTCGGTAGCCACCAAGCTGGTCTCGTAGCAACGCGGGATCTGTTTCATCCTCGCACACCTGCCAATATTTAAAGATCGAAATGTACTGTGAGGCTTTCAACTTGCTGTGTTACTTTTAATTGGTCAGTATCAACATTTAGCCTAAGAAAAGTGTAAGGCGAATAAAGGCATTGATTATTTATTGTCGCTATCGTTTGATATTAAATGCTGCTAATGTAAGACTAAATGCATTCCAAATGGCGCCGGGGAGGAAATTGAAGCTTACGAATAGCCGTACCCTCCCCTCTTTCGTTTCACCTTGGGGGGGAGGGGGGGAAGGTACGGCTATAGTTGAAGCATGCATTCCCAAATGACTTGTATTTGGTTCGCATTTTCGTGAACTTTATGTTTTCTTTAACGGCTTTATTTCCCAGCAGTAGATAGATAAACGTCATGTAAAACATAATCTTTGCCTGTTGGAAGCCGCATGGGATAAATGTACGAGAGCAAAATTAGCATCAAAGGTAAAGCTGTTCCTAGGTGAATGGTTCAGAATTAAAAAGTGACATAAAATAATCGAGGAAGGACTACCTTGCGTGAAGTATTAGGAACCGCGCAGAAGAAGGGGCTGGGGAGGCATTAGCCCCCCCCCGCACATGCTCCCATCCTCCTTCCTTGTTAGTTGAAGCTTATACGTTTGTATTTGGCCTCTTCCCCCCCCCCCCACTCACAGCCCAAGCCCTGAGTAAGGCATTATTCATCACCTTGGGTGGGCTGGTGGGGGAGGGGGGGGAGGGGAGGGGAGGGGGAGGGGGGGGGGGAGGGGGAGGGGGAAGGGGGTGGGAAGACCTTTGTTGAGGCATGATAATATTTATCTAAAACCATAATAAGCCTATGTGATATTCATACAATTGCCTCTCATAGACAGTTGATTGGCAGTCAACTTTTTTTAGCTTCCCCTTTTTATTCTGTTGGCAACGACTGATCTCCTCCGTTCGCCCTGAAAACCACTCGATACTCCAAAATCCTCTGATCCCCACTCAAGTGATAAAGAATGAATACTCCCTTTATACAGGGAATTAGATTTTCAGCTTTATGTACTATTGCTACCTTCTCATAAAATGTCTACTTATATTGCTCATTATCAGTGCGCGTGCGTGAAAGCATATTTACCTTTCCTATTATCATTTTCATCTTACCTTTGGAAGTTTTTGTTCCTTAAACATCTTTTGAAAAAAGAACTTTGTGAAACTGGCACGGAACGCTGCATCAAGCAACAGAAGCAGGCTGTCCCAGTCATGCGCTCCTTCTACTCTCCCGCCCCTCAGCAGCGAGATGCTCATTGACACGAGGGCCGTGTCGTACAAAAACAAACCAAGATTTCTGAAGAAGTACGCACTGAGGACGAGTCGGAAGAGTGGCTTTAATACACGTTGCGTATTTGTCTGCCCCCAGAATCGAGATTCGATCCATGCCACGTACGTTTTGTGGGAAATGAAGTTGATTGCACTCGCCAGGAACGTTAGAAGAAGCATCTCGATGATCAGTGCTATTGCCGTGACATTCACATTTCCCATGCGGTCTTTTCCGTGAACGACATCCACGTATAGAATCGAAAGAGTGTTGGTAATGCAAAACAAGCACCAAACCCAGAAGTGTCCAACACGAATCACTGCGCCGAAATATCTCCTCACTTTGAATGTTTTCCAAAATACTATCATCAAGAGAAGCAAAAGCGAGTTTCCATCTTCCAGCAGCGCCCCCACCGTGTTTACAGTGTTGCTGATTTCTTGTTGACCGAGTATGATTTTCGTTTGATTTCTAACTTTACAGTTTTCTGTTGGCGTTGAATGATAAAGACACACGGCAGCCGTAGCGAAGTTTAAAAAGTTAAGGAGAAACCTTAAAACCACCAAGGATACTTGAAAATATCCCGCAGTCCGGAGCATGATAAAAATAATCAAAAGATACAGTCTCAGTATAGAATATCTCGATTGCTGCTTGTTTGCCGAAGAAGTTTGCGCTTTCTCAGTTCCCGGAATCGGTCCAAAGTCATTAGGGAAGGGAGGGGCTCCTGAGGCTGTGATATTCGTATAGCGGGGGAGGGGGTTAGGGGAGGATCCAGGCTTCCTACTCTGCCTAAAACAACAACAACAAAGAAACAAAGAGCACGACCACTTTTGAGTGACGACATGCTATCATGTGTTACAAAGGAAAAACGAGATAAAAGCGGGAGAGGGGATGAACACTATTAATACCTTACATGCGAAACCGAAATTGGAATAAGACAATTCCTGTCTGATGAATTTTGATGAGTCTGTCTAGAAAATCACGGTGATGTATTCATTTCATTTTCTTAGAAGCTTGGCCTCAAGGGATTTCAGGCTTTGAGGTAGAGCTGGTTGCTATTCCTCCAACGAGCGCGACCAGAAAAGCGTGACTGAATTATTATTAAGCTCCGCTGGATAACAGGAATGTAATATCTATTTACTCGAGCGGAAAAGGATTTCGATTCCAGTGTTCCGGTTTTTGATCACATCGGGATGGTTTTGTGGCCAATTGGCTTTGCTTTCGCTCTGCTCTGGTTAATAAGACTTACTTTCACCCTTCTTTTTGTTGTCCCCGCATTCGCCTGTCTTTCTAACGACACGAGTACAGAAGTATGCGGTAACAGCGTCTTCACTCAGAGAAAAAAAGACGACATCAACATAGCAGGTACATTCGTGGAAGCGGGAAACTCCATTCTTATCATATTGTTGATATTTTTGTGGGGAAACTTCAACGTCGCGAACTTTTTCCTAGCTACTCTTCGATTGGCCGTATTTTGGTATTGGATGGGTCTATTCTGCGTTCAGATTGTTTCGATCATCAATACGGATGTCCTACCCGGTGAAGGGAGCTGGATCGCAATTGGAGTGGGTCTATTTCTTGAATTCGCAACTTTAATGTTGTTGTGTCTTGCGCTCAAATTTGTTAAGAAATCGATCGTGAGTGCATGGATTTACAGATCAACCAGTCAACGGTGGGCGAAATTTTTCTATTGCATCTATGTGTCGACTCTTTGGATGTACTTACTGAGAAATCTGGCGTTGGTAACCTATGACATGGCGTTGTTTGCGATGAATATCAACAGTCACGCCAAAAGTAAACAGATAGACCATTTGACACGCATCATAAACATTGCAACCAGGAGTAGCTTTGTGCAGTTTTTTTATGCAGCCATATTTAGAAATATAAAACTGTCAAACGTGTGTGAGGAAGGTGGAAGAGTCGCACAAACTGGCCAAGGCCTTGTGGATAGTCTGGACACAGTGTTGAAATGGGAGCCATCAATAAAATGATTGTAATGAGAGCTTAAAATATACAGACTGCGTTGATGGACAGATGACAGATCATGAGTTCTTTTTTGTAGCCTCGTATATCGGTCGATAATCAATCGATACATCGAACGTCGGTCGGCCGACGTATAATCGAACTTACTCTCTCAACTGAACAGATACTTTCAATCTTAAGATGAGTCGAGAGGGATTTCCTTAGAAGGACTGGAGATCATACACCTCAGTTTTAATTCTTTCTTGTCAAGTAATAAGAAAAGGGGGTTTAAACTCACTTTTCTTAGCGTAACCACTATGGTAATTACTGAGAAATCCTTACTCTAACTCTATTCCTTAAGGCTATCCCCATTCCCCTCTCCAAATGCTGATTATAGTGTAGTTTGTAATAAAGTTCGGATATAACGCGGGCTGTCATTGTATTAGTTGAAAGAGCGCGCTCTATCAGAGTACATAACGTAGAGCTGAGCTAAAGCTGTCACGCCATCCGCCAAATTGTACCATGTCCGACCATTTCCCACTCTTCTCTCTGGCTTTTTTCGTTAACCCTTTAAGCCCTGAGAGTGACTGAAATCTAATTTCTCCTTACCATATCACCCGTGAATCAAAAAGTTATGGTCAAGAGAATAAAGGAGCTGATCACCCACTAAAGAAGCTCTTGACAAATTCTCCATATCGGCATCTTCGGAGATGTTGAGAGAACAGTATGGAGAATATGCATACTGATTTTAAGGTGTAAAGGAATCATTAAAAGTGAAATTTCGGAACAAGCGAGCCGGCAAACAGCAACAGAAAAACAGAAAAACCAAACAAAGGTTTGCAAACACGCCAAGCGCCTTAATTCACGTTATTGTAACGTGTGCAGGGACGAAAATCCTCGAATTGATAAATATAACACACACGCCTTAGCAGTTTGTTTTCCAATTGCACTCAGGAAGTGGGGAAAAAACACTCGACTACGTCTCGTGTTTCTCCCAACTCTCCTTTCGCGCCTCAGGCGTTTCTTGCGTGCTTTACAACAGAACAGAGCACAGTCAAGGCTTCTCTATTTGTTAAATCATGGATGCTTTGATTTAACCTTGGACATTTGGAACTAAATATTAAATCTATTGGGTAAATTGCCCAAGTGATACTGAGCAATTTAGTATTTTGAAGAGAAATTCTGTCTTGGTCGCTCATGAGAGTTTTATAGTCAATGAAAATCTGATCAAGTTTGATCAATTTACATTACTTTTAATCATGCTTTGTTTTTCTGTAAAATTGATTGCATGGTCTTCCCCACTGTGTTTTATTGTTTTGTCGACGCCCTTTCTTTTCCTCAACAAGAGACTTTTTTCTGGCGAAACTAAAATAAAATGAAGTCAGTCAGACAAAAAAACAAAAAAAAGAAAGAAAATAGCATGTGCCTGGAGGAAGCTGACCTTCAAAAACCTTAACTCTGATTTTATGATTTTTGAACATGATGTAGCTTTTATTTCGACCACAATTGTCATAAATAGCGTATTACAAAGTTCTTTTTTTATCGCTACTGCGAAATTGTTGAGCAATTATATTTGTGTGAAGTATTTGATAAACAGTTACATTTATTTAAGGTGATGCAATTTTAATCAAAGGGTTTGGCCTGAAATACCGCTCTCCGACCAACATTATCAGGCTGGCTTGGACAGAGCTCCGTCAAAATTTGAAGATTTTTGAAAATTTCTCTTAAATTCAGCAAAAGGTTGTCAGCACTTCATACTTATCTTCTTCATCTCTGTTTCTCTTTGGTTTTATTTTTTTGTCTTTTTCTGATTTACTCTGTGTTTTTTTTTTCTTCATCACAAGACAATTTTTCACTGCGTTTGAATTGTTTTTATAGCGCTTAAAGTTATTTAAAAGTAACAGTTAGAGATGCTGTTGGCTTCACTAACTCTGAGGGATAATTTTAAAACACGTGCTGCCTATGTAACGGTTTTAAAAGTTTAATGAAGAACCCACAGCTTGCTACACAAAAGAGACCATAAGTGCATTTCACAGTAAATGCACATAAACTTAATCCATCCCAGTTGGATTCAAACCGGTTGAAACAAACACGCGTCAAGTTCTTCCGTTAAAAACTGTTTGCACGCAAAAAGGATTTTCACAGCGTAGTACGTGCATCAACGGTAACGAGCTCTGCATCATGGCTTCATTGAAACCTAGAAGAAGGATGCCAAGTAGATGCTGCTCTTGTTGGTTGAAGATTTGGCGCGTCGTTCAGCAAGACATTCTACTTTTCCTCATAATAATCGGCGTGTTAGTCGGGTTTATTGTTGGGGCCGCCGCGAATCCTTCCGTCAATGACATCGTGGATCCCGAGAAGAAGGCGACGACCATAATGTTGATTGGTTTCCCAGGCGAACTCTTCATGAATATGTTGAAGTTATTGATTCTGCCTCTGATCGTGGCAAGTTTGATTTGCGCGCTTGCCACGTTGGATTCCAAGGCCACGGGAAAGATCGGAAGACGCACAGTTTTGTACTACCTTTCCACTACTCTTCTGGCTGTTATCCTTGGCATCGTTCTGGTAGTAAGCATTCGACCGGGTGAATCAGGGAACAAGCAGGCTAAGGAACAGAAAGAAATCACTGGCCCGCATCGAAACTTGGATTCATTCCTCGATTTGATAAGGTAGTTACTTTTTAATCTGAACTTTACATGAGACAAATTTGTCCTAGGTTATAATTTTTTTCTGAAAAGATTTATAAACAAACCGAAGATTGAACAAAAAAGAAACCGTGGAGTGGCAAGGATTGGATTTTGTTTTTTCAATCTTTGAAACTTCAAAGTCGTGTCACATTTTTAAAAGTATTCTCTACGATTGACTCACCAGCTATATGAGCCTAAAGCTGGTCAAAATAGAGAGTGAAAAGTAGAACACGGCGTTTCTCAAGTTGGTAAAGAGAAGTCTGATTTAAGATTTTGAAAGAAAGAAACAAGCCTTTGTTTTCTTTTTTCTTTTTCGTGATGGTGCAATGTTTAAATTTCTATATCATGAATAATTTAAAAACAAAATACATTCGTCATGACATACTCTTTGTTTTGAAGTCAGCAAGGTCTTTAATCTTTGAAATATAAAATGAACACGAATCAATTCAACCAAAAGCATTTAACGTAAGTTTTGACTATCATACAGTTTCGGTTATTTTTTAACTTTGAAGCATACTTTCAACATTGCTGTACCAATATTGCTGACCCAGGAGTTAACCATGATATAATAATTGAATTCATGTTTGCGTTTCTCGAAATTCTTTATTGAGGTCTCCCCCGGGAACCCTCGACATCATGCTGATTGACAGCTGTTATTTTCGTAGCTTTCCTACAGAGCGAAATGAAGAGACACACTGTTCATTACAAACAATCTCATAAAAGCTCTCTATCACCGAAACTTTTTTTAATCGAGAATTTTCATAATATTTTTCGTGAATGGAAATAAACTTTGCTTTTCAAATTTTTGATTGGCTTGATATGATAGGTAGCTCATAATTTTTCATGTTTTCCCTTTTTTCCCGCAGTATCTGTGTTATCCCAACAGGAGAAATTCAAATTTCCCCTCGTTGTAACTCATGATGTTCTTGTATTTTGTCTTTTGATCTTCTCTCTTTCCGAATGTTTTTCAACACAAACTTATAAACTGCATTTTAAATACGTTCATCTCATTGTAACGAGTTCGCTTTTTTGAAAGTTAAGGCAGCTGTGAAATAACAATAAAATAAGCCAAGCGAACAGACTTTTGACATTATAAAAGGAAACAAATAGTACCAATAGTACTTTTTCCATTCCTAGTTCTGTTAATATGCTACGTGCAACGAATGCTCCGAACGAAATGACATAATGTTTTCCCAAGGAAAAAATTTTTTTCCAAACGAAATATGTAAAGTTATGTAACCCTGAATTATTAATTTACCAGATTTCCGTTCACCGTTAGGAACACTTTGATGTGATAGCTGAGTTTAGGCGAAAATTTCCTCAGGATAATAGATTAATTCCTAAGTTGAAAGTTTGAATAGCTATCGTGTTAGGAGCAGGTAACTTTTTCATTAAAATTTCTTTGCGCGTGTTGGACACGTGTACATATTTCAGCCTATATGTCGAACGTGTGTTACATGAATTAACCCAGGTAAGAAATCTCTCCTGACATGCTGACCCTGTGTTATTTCCCGGCTTCAGTGATGAAATTCTAGTACTGTTCCTCTTTATTTCTCAAAATGTCAGCTCAGAGAATTTTGATACAGATCAGGACACCTATTGTTTGAATTGGACGACACAAAGTCCTGTTACCAATTAATCATAACTGTTGCAATTTCCGAAAACAATAATTACATTTAGGACAAATATGTACGGTAGAGACAATGTCGAAATAAAAAATTCCTCAAATTTGGAAACTCCACAATATTTTTTAGGATAAGTGGTTGTTGCTATGGTTATTGTGATCAATTCTGTGATTGGTGGATTGACTGAAAGGACTAAGTATGATTGGCTGCTTCAACCGTCCGATTACAGGTGTCCGATTACAGCTTTACAGAATGATTAGTGAAAAATAAAGCAGTTAATGCACCAACCACATTTGAGGACATTATAATGGTTATGATTAAAACAATTCTTAGACTTGTTGGTTCCAAGTGCCCTTATTGCGAATACGATGCTTTGTCTTTGCCCGTACGTTTAAAATTTGTCGGTCACAGCGTTTGCTGACTGCTATTTGAAAAAGAAGAAGAAAAAGTATAATAACAGAATGAATGTTACCTTTATCCACAGGAGCTGCTTCCCCAAGAACATAGTTGAGGCCACCTTCCGTCAGGTAAAAACTTGGGATTTCAACTATTTCATTCGCAGAGATTCACTCACAGTCAAAACAGATAGCCATCGATTAGACGGTCAATCGGTCTGTCAGTCATTTATTGCGTCAGGGTAATTTAATATTATCAACTGAGTTGATAACGTAAATTGGCCACTGCAAAGAGTTTCAAAGCTGACGTTCCGAGCGTTAGCCCTTTCGTCAGAGTGAATGGAAACGAAGGGCTAACGCTTGAAACGTCAGCTTTGAAACTCTTTACGAAGGCCAATTTATGTTATCAACTCAATTTATACTGCTAAATTACCCTGTTATAATCTCCCACCGACGCAGCACCACAGTTTCTTCAGAAACGTACCCTCAGTTAGTGCATCAGACAGGCAGACAATCACCAGTCAGTCGGTCAGCCGGTCAGTCTATCCATTTACCTTTCTGTCAGTGTGCCAATCTGCTACTCATTGATGCAGTCAGTCCGTCAGTCATTCAGCCAGTCCGTCTGACTTTCAGCCAATTAGCCAGAGTAAATTATTTGATTCGCCCACAATAACGTTGCGAGTTATCTTTCACCAGAAAAATACAAAGTACAAGTCTATTTCGGCAAAAATCGAGTCCTACAACGAGACGGTCGATGTGAGTACACTCGACCCTAGTGATAACATAACAGTGTACAACAACGGAACCCACAACTACACCACAATCACCAAAGTGATCTACCCAGCATCAGACACCATCCCGAATGGTCAGCGGATAGCTAACGAGGGAGGAATGAATGTTCTTGGTCTGGTGATGTTTTCAATTGTGTTTGGCATCGTTCTGGGAAGGATGGGTGAGAAAGGATTGCCTTTGAAAGCGTTCTTTGAGACTTTAAACGAAGTTGTGATGAAGATGGTGGCTCTGGTGATGTGGTATGTTGATCAATTCCAAACGAGACTCTTCGTGTAGCAATTTTAAAAATTTGTCAGACAATTTTCATCCATCCATTTTCTTCAAAGATGAGTTGATTTGAATGTCGCGTAGAGTTCTGAAATGCAAATAAAACTTGGCAAATTATTTCCAGCCTGAATAAAACCGATATTATATCATTATATCTAATGATATTTAGAATCGTTGAAGGAATTCATTTACCTAATCAGTGGCTCGTGGCCATCAGGACCAAGATTCGAAGATTCAGTATAATTTCGATCAAACCAGAAACCTTACTGTGCAATGTACAATAACAGTTACACTCCATCTGACCAATGAAATTTGTCTTAGCCCTTTAAATGAGTTAAAAAAAAGGTATTTTCCAGGTACTCGCCAATAGGGATTTGCAGCATGATCGCAGCTAAATTGGCGGCCATGGCTGACATATTAGACGAGCTGAAGCTCTTAGGAATGTTTATGGTGACAGTCATCATTGGATTGATGATCCACGCCCTGGTTGTGCTTCCAATTATTTTCTTCGCCATAACCCGTAAAAACCCATACAGGTTCATGAAGGGCCTGCGCGAGGCAATGGTGACAGCTTTCGGTACAGACTCGAGGTAAGTGATCAGCTCGTGAAACACAACGGTACTTGAGTGACTTATTTAATCTTTGGTGCGTGGCAAGTAGTGTAACTGTAGAAATTGACTTTTGATTATTTGATTGTCTGGCGGAGTGGCTTATCGACTGAGTATCTCACCCGTAGTTGACATATTGAAATTCACCGATTGAATGACTCTGACCTATGAGTTGTAACTCACTAAATGCTTAGATGCGGAGAAATTTACTAACTTCTTGTTAATCTTTTGACTACCTTCCTTGCAGCTCTGCTACTTTACCAATTACCATACGCTGCGTTGAAGAAAAGAACGCTGTTGATCGACGTATAAGTCGCTTCGTTTTACCCCTTGGTGCAACCGTCAACATGGACGGAACAGCATTGTACGAAGGTGTCAGTGCCATTTGGATAGCGCAGCTGAACCGCATTCCACTCGCGCCAGGACAGATTGTCACAACTGTGTAAGTTAATGACTACGCAAAGGTTACGCATGCAGAACCTAGTCAGGCTAAGGACATGTTAGCCATGAAGGGCGTTTTGTGGTTGACTGGGATCTCGCTGCGTTTGGGTTGATAACGTTTCTTCTCTCTTCGCGGCCAAAAGTGTACAGAGACCAAACTTAGTGGGTACAGAGCCTTGTATATGGGTGGGGAGAACTTACCTATAAATGAAATATATTATCACAATTTCCAATTTCTTTTTTCTATTCAGTCTACTTTTACAATTTCTATTCCACTTACACCGGGACAGATTGTCACAACTGCGCAAGTTAAAAACCACCAGAAGACTGCTCGTCACACAAAGCTTCCCCATACAAGACTTAGTCGACCAAGATCATGTTAGCCGTAGAGAACTTTTTAAGATCGTCTTGGATATTGCGAGTTTGGAGTAGTAACACTCTTCACGGTACCGAACTTGATCCACCACTTGTAACATGTGCATGGGCTTGGGAAGTTACTCGACCATAATTTTTCTTCAGTCTCACGATTTCCATTTATTTTTTAATTTACCAGTATGACAGCTACTGCAGCAGCTATCGGGGCGGCTGGAATTCCATCAGCTGGTCTGGTTACCATGATAATTGTTCTTCAAGCTGTCAATCTACCAACAGAAGACATTGGACTTATTCTTGCCATCGATTGGTTCTTGTAAGTTCTATTTCTCCAATTATATATCATACAGGTGCAAGAGACGCACGTTATTATCTCTTAACAGGTGCACATGTCTTTTAACCCTTTAACTCCCAGAAGTGATTCACATTTATCTTCTCTCTACAATATCCATCCACTATCCAGAAAACTGGTGTTGAGATTACTCAAATATATCAGGTAGAAGTTGTTATCTTGATTTAACACCAAATTCTAGCAACTAATTTACAAGGAAATGTGTAGCAGCTAGAGGGGAGATTAACAATCAGATCCTGGGAGTTAAAGAGTTAATTTTTCATAGCGTGGATGAACAATTTAAACCTCAATTTGGTGTGAAAATTAAGAGCCCGGTGATATAAACGGAAATTTTGCCCCGTGAATCATGATACCCCATAATCCTCAATACCTGTGTCGGGGCCAGCCGATATTTATCGCGGGAGGGGGGGGGGGTGAGTTTGAAGGATTTGCGTGTTGTGTCATGATAAAATTTCCCCCCCTCCGTTCTCCCTGAGAACCATGCGATCCCCCACCCCCCCAATACTTCAGCCATCCCCTTCCCCGGTGATAAAAGCGAGTGGTATCTTAGCGAGTTTAAAATCTACAATAGAGTAGGATCCATCTGCGCCAGCACAAATGACTTTTATACAAATTAGCTACAGAAAATTAAATTACTCTTAATTAAAAAAAAAACAATGTTGTAACAATATATCATCTTTATGTGCCATAAGGGATCGTTTCCGCACATGTGTCAACGTCATGGGAGATGCACTGGGCTCTGGAATTGTGGATCACTTGTCTCGTGACGACATCATGTTTTCAGATCAGCTGGACGCAGACGAGGATACACCGCTGAAACATAACGGCGGCGCGCTGGACGGAGACGTTGACGAAGAGGACGAAGAGGATGACGACCCCATGAAAATGACGAGTGTTTAAAACCAAAATGGTTACAGCACCTTAAAGTTTCATTACATCAAATATTACAAGTAGTTTAGTTTGGCTTTGTTTGGCATTAGGAAAACTCACAATGTAGCAGTAACCGTGGCTTCAGCGAGCAGTTGTCGTAATCCCACTCTACATTTCAAGTTGCAGAGTCAGCTCAGATAATCGAATTACTCCCCGTAACTCTGTTTATCCAGAAACCAGTTGCCCCGCTCAGAGCAAAGGGTGTACAGTCCCCATACCGCCCTAAAGATCGCAGTTCCTAATTATGTCCCCAGGAACCCTCTCATTTCACACGTATGAAGCCCTTTTGTAAATACAACTATTGCACGCTCTTAGACTTTATACTGGTAATCAGTACCAGAGGCAGCAATTATTAAAATGCAGTCCGTGAATCTATACACTGAAGTAAATGTAGCTTATGCCAGATGGTTCGAAGTGACCACATCAAAGTGCAGGTTGATAAGTATTAAGAAAAATTGGATGCTCAAAGCTAATATAAATGAGAGCACATATCTTTCAAAAGATAGCATCTTGATGCAACAATGAGCCTGCTTGACCGGTGGATTTGTCAACGCTTTGAGTCATAGGCGGAGCTAGTTTCAAAACTTTAAAGTGCAGTCGAAACCAACTGGAATTTCCACCACTTATTTCCTTGTTTTCTCTGCAATGTATGTTTATTTGCGCTTTAGAGAATAAAATTTAAGCTTTGAAGTAAACGAAGTCAGAATTCGTTCATCATTCTAATTACATTTTTCACAAATCTGTCAGGAAAGCGCTGAATAATCTCGATCCCGCTATTCAATTTCTTTCAGGCATCTTGAATTTGTTTAAGGGAACAAGAGGGGTAGTCGCTTAACCCTTTAACTCCCACGAGTGACCAAGACAGAATTTCTCCTTACAATACCAATACAATATCAACCAGATAAGTGATGAGAATAAAGAAAACCATCAATTGGGGGATAATTAGTTGATCCAATACTAAATTCTCTGAACTAACATTATAAAAATTGTATGGCTGACAGCGTCCGCTGATACATAACATCCTTTGTCCTTGGGTATGGTAACAGAAATGATATGCAATTTCTGTCAGATCCCAGAAAACATGACATCTCCAAAAATAGGCTGGACTGTTCCTTGCCATGCAAGGGTTGACCAGGCCTGCACAAGCTGCAGGGAGAGTCCTGGACTGTAGCGCTGGTATACGATTAGATAACATTTTTACACAGCAGCAGGCGAAAAACCATAAAGAAAGTTGTGGACAAAACATTGGAGACAGCTTGCAAGATAAAGCAGAACAAGAACAATGTACAATAAAACAGTATAACATTTTTGGAAAACATAAGCAATCAATCAAATTGTTTATAATTTTTTATGTTTCAGACCAAAATAATTTGTTATTCATCCCATTTATGATTTTCATGTTACAAATGTGTCTACTAGACCAAATGATAAAGCCAGTTGGGCAATCCATATGGCATCAAGTCTACTAGATATTTAGCTAGCCATAACAGTTACCCATCCAGTTGATGGAACAATGATCCTTTCCTAGGAAGAGTAAACGAGTGAAGTGATTCCTTCAATAAAAGTCTTATAGGGCATGATACAAGTGGTAACATCGTAGACAGCCACATTTGTCTTGAACAGTCCAAAAACCTGTCAGAAATACACATTTCTAGGATTTCAGAATTTTACAAGTCCCATGACTGAGTAATATGATAACTAGACATCTGGAATAGGCAACTATACCCTACCAAGTGTTCCACACGGAACAACCACTGTAAAGTTTTTAAAAGCTGACGTTTCTAGTGTTGCTTATTTATGGACAAAATTATATGTTTTTTTGCAGAATTTCTGTGCCACATTCATTTGAATTGCATTCTAGTAAGATTTTTGGCTTGTTTTTCTCAGAATATAATTAAGATACAATGTTTCTTCGTAAAGCATTACATGCTATTGACTCCAGGATAAAAAAGGGAAAAAAGCAACAGTCATTCTCATCTTTTCTGTTTCTGCATTTTGTTCCGATATGTGGACTGTGTTGTACACTTTTAGCGCTGTTTAAAGTACAGTTTGTTAATTTGTCGAAGTCAATGGCATGACTTATTTACTTAAATTTAAAGGTGTTTGATACCCAAGATTTATATACTGTTTTTTATTCATACAACACATTTTTTAGGTGAATTATGTGGCAATAGTTACTCGTGTTCTGGTCCATATGCGAGACAGATGTAAGTTTTTTTGCTTAGAATAAATATTTGTATGACTTACATTGCATCTAAATGTAAGAAAATTGATTTAGGATGTGAAAGGCTCACCCATCTTGATATCGCTGTTGGGCACCTTTGCTGTGTGAGGGGGGGCATTCGGATTTTCGGTTTTGCGGTTTTGGCTATTTTTTTGGATCGGTTTTTCGATTTTTTGCGCCAAAAAACTTCAGTTTCTCGGTTTTGGTGTTCATTGCGGTTTGCGGATTTTCCGTTTTCCCCAAGGTGGGAGGCAAGGGAGGGTACGGCTACACGTAGGGTACTGCTAAGCACGGAACATTGCCAGAATTTCTTCATCAACGCCACCTCGAAGTTGGTGACCAAGTCATAGGCCACACGTGACTGATTGATTCAACATTCCAATAGAATCTCCAAACTTTCAGGTCTTAGTTCGCAAATGGAAATGTTAGAGTACGGATTTTTGATGAAACTTTCCAGAGCTATAGCTTTTTGCGACTGCAAAATTGCAATCCTATAGAGGACTTTTATGTGAATTTCCTTAATCTAACTAGGCTCCATTATCAGCTGCTGAGTTCGCAGAGACCACGCTCGAGGTCCTCGAGAGAGCAGCTGTTAATTTGAGCAGATACTAGAAGATACGAATGCCAAGTCCATGGCATTCATAAAACCTGTAATGAAATTAGTGTAGTTTACTCTATATACTCCACTTGTCACCACTGTATCGGATCGATCAGGGTTTTAATAACTGGGATGTGAAAATGTATCGGTTTTGATAGTTTTACAAGCGGTTTTCAGTTTTGATCGAATTTTTTTTCGGTTTTGGATGATTTTTTCTACGGTTTTGCGGTTTCTAATAGGCCTCAATGCCCCCTCCTGTGTGGACCGTTATTCCTTCTGTTCAGTGCAACTCCATAAAAGGAGCTAACACAATATTAGTTTTGCATGCTCAATGCAGACACTAGTTTAATGTAGTATTTTAATTTGGGTAAATAATCATAGATATTTTCCAGGTTTCTTTTTTGGTTTTTTATTTTTATCATTTCCTTTTCAATTAAGGGAATCCCAGTGGAAGCCAGAAACCATCTGCAAAGCGGAAGGTATCATATTCCTCAGTTTCAGGAGCCAGAAGGTCCGGCCAAGGATATCATCAGGACGTTCAAAACTGCTAAAGGTAGTGTGTTTGGGGCCTTAACCCTTCAACCTGTGAGAGTGACTAGCATCTAATTTCTCCCTACAATATCACTGTTGACTCAAACATTAAGGTCATGAGAATAAAACAAATGGTCACCAGGGATGCAACCTTTTGATTGGCAGACAAATTCTCCTTTTCAGCAGCTGAGGAAATGTGTAACGAACAGTGTGGAGAATATGCATACTGATGTCAGGGTGAAAAGGGTTTACGAAAAAAAAAGTAATCGTTTGAGTCGAAAGGGAGAAAAGACCTTCAAAGCTGGAAACCAAATACTAGTCCTCCAAAAGGTATATATGTTTTTATTTCAGAGCAAAGTTTATGCTCGTACAGATGCGTGCAAGGCCTTGCATACGTGGAATTTCAGAGGCGTGAATCAAACTTTAAGTAAAGCGAAAGAGAGGTTTACTCAAGGTTGTTGAGTTGTAGAAAAGACAACGGTTCGGACGCAACTTAGGGCGCTCTTTATTTCGTGCTGTGCATTTTTGGGATGAAAGAGTTGGCTGAAAAATTCTGTTTGAGAGGTCACGATTCCTGTGCCAACTGAATGTACGTCCGTCATTTATTCGCGTTGTTAGCTCAGCTTTGCTCCTTTTTAATCCGATGATATAGAAGTTAGGACTAGTTCGGAATCTCCATTAAGCGACATAACAGATTAATTCAGATTGACTGGAAATGAAATAAAACTCTCATTTTTCAAGACGTTAGAATCACTGAAATTTGAAGAATTCATGTATTCGACTGTAATAACTGAGCCTACAGTTGTATAGGACTCTTTTGATTAAGCTTAATGAAATTGTAAACCAATAGGATGCCCGTGATTAAATACGCTTCGTGTTTGGAAAGTCCCAAATTTTTCTTTAGCCCATTTTTGTTTCTCTTACAGGTTTCTTTGAATGTTTTGAATTTTCTTCCTATACTTTGCATGACAGATGTTGTTTCATAAATTTACTCTTGAAATTTTGCGAAGGAAAATGGCGAAACTCAAGGACTCCCAGCTGCAGCAGTAGATTTCAGTACGGTTGCACTTGTCACGTTGGACACAATCACAAGGTCATTTCGGGAACACCGTAACCGGTCGGTAGTAGGGACCTTAAGCAAGTCACGACGGCGACGGCAACGAGGACATGGAAAACAAAAGTTCTAATTGGCAGAAAAATAGCTCAGCGCGTGCGTTTTAAAAGTTTGTACATTTCTTAGCCGTCCTATGCAAAACAACAACGGGAAATCACCACAATTTGCGTCGTCTGCGAAACGAAACCGCGACGGCAAATTATTTTAATTTCCATTCGGAACTCAACGCTTCTTTTATACGTTATGCTGAAGTTGAGGTGTGGCGCCGCATAAGACGGTAAACACGTGCAGCCATTTGTTTGTTTTAATCCGAAGTTAATGCGGGTGTCAACGTCATTGCGTGACCTAAAACGAAAATGCAGTGAAAACTGTAATAAACAAAATATTAATTTTTAATTACACGAAAGCCTCGCGTTAAAGATTGTAAATTTTGAATGAATGATTTACGACTTTAAGTTTGACATTTTTTGCGTCTGTTCATTTGGCTTCAAGTGGACTATATATTATTCAGCATGATGCGGCACTTCAGTCGTAAGGCGTGCCGCGATTGGGCGAACACATATGTCGTCCACTCAAGCTAACAAAGAAAAAAGGAAAATGAAAGAAAGGATTATGGCGCTGGCATTATGCCTGTGTTTAATAGGCGGATTGATTAGCATTTAAAGGATAAGCTTCATGCGCCGATTGTGACAACATCGAGACACTGTGAGGAATTGAACGGGAACTTTACCATAGAAGTTGGTTTCAACAGCAAATTATTATTCTAGCGACACTGAAATGTCTTCACTCGAGATCCCGAGGTAAGTACGTGTGTTTATTTTATCTTTGCTTGAATTGATACTGTCATCTACCAGAAAAGTGATCTTGGTACTTTGCAAAACTACCACAGACACAAGCATTGGTGCATTTAGAATGAGCGTCCGAACAAACAATTAAAACGTAACCTCGTGCGCGAATTTTAAGACCAGCTTTGGAAATATGTGTCAGGCTCTTTGTTGGATCTGGAGATGATGAGTTTCTATTAGGCTAGAAGTCTTTTCATTTTCGATACAAAGCTTGATGTGTCGGGAAAAACGCCTCTGAAATTATTCCGTGCGATGATAGCTTTGTACGTCTGACTGATTCATTAGTGATCACTAATTTAGATTCGCTGTCCTTTGTCTTAATTTTAGATAGTTGTTGTGACTGACTACTGTCGCCTCAAATTATCACGAGAAAATCTCTCTGTTTGAGGCGCTTGGAACCGAGATTTGCTACCGTAACTTAGCTTAAAAGCTGCCAATTGATAATGACTCGCATTTTTCCCTCAACTTTTTCTATGGACCGGTTGGCAAATATGCATTGACAGTTCTCAAAGGAGCGTTTAAAATCAGTAAACTTATCGGATTTGTGAACCATCTAATAAACACTCAGAAGTTTTCGGCAATGTGTACAAACTCGTCCTTTACCTTGGATACGCCCGTCAAGTTTGTCAATTAAGGTAGTTTTAAACATACCATGTTCAAAATAAAGGCACTTTCACACTCTTTACAGCGGCTTCGAAAGCATTTTCACTAAATCCGCGTGATTAAATGTTGAAAAGCCCTTGAGAGGGTGTCTTAATTTAGACGCCGCTACAAACTTAGGTAAAATTTCCGCACAGCCCCATACTATTGTAAAACAAATCTGTTTTCCCAATGGCAATGTATTGTTTTAGTCATTGTTTTCTCTATTCAAGAACTGAATGCATAATGAAGTATGGGGCTGTGCGGAAATTTTACCCAAACTTAATTTGGTTCGTTTTTTCAGGGCAAGGCTTAAACGTGTCTTTTTTTAATTTTTGCTCAACATCTCTCGAACTTTTCCTGGGGCAGTATTGTTATTTATAAAGAATATATTAATGTTTAATGTGACGATGTGCGTTTGTGCTTAAGTGCGTGTGATTTAGTTTACACGAATGCGCGACGCCACGGTTCATTGACGGACCAGTCATTTATTATCGTCCGGAGGGGGAGGGGGGGTGGAGGATTTTGGACGGATCATACGTCTTTCAGGGGGAACGGATTGAGATCAGTCGTCGCTAACAGAGTATTGGCTAGCCTAAAGAAAATTGACTGCCAATGAGGAGGGATCTTTAGAATGCTATGGAACCTTATGGGTATTAGACAAATTAAGAACTAGAAATAGTAATAAAAAAATTGTAAGCAAACAAAATTCTGATTTACCGATTATTTACGGAGCGTTGAACAAGACATTGAACAAGGTAATATCATAATGGGTGAAAGTGAGATGCTTATCTGAATCAGGATTAGATATCTATGGTGTGTTGAGAAAAGCTGGGGGTTCTGCTGAAATTAACTCATAAAGGTTCAGTTTTTGACCACACAGTGTGAGTGAGTAAGTTATTTGACCTTATTTGTTCACTGTAAATATTATAAACACGGCAGTCGTGAAGGTTCAGAAAACGCTGTAATCTTTTTAACTGAGAAAGTAGAACATTAGTTCGGCTTTTGCTTTTGAGAGGGGTCTTTGAGTTAGTACATGTTGTTCGTGTCCGCGAATCGAACAACGGCCCATCAGTTTATTTATAACGTTCATGGTAAAACAAAGGGAAAAAATGTTAGGATCGTTAAGATATTTATAAGCAAATACTTATGAATACACGAACTTGTTAATGTTAAGGCATGTTTGTTTAGAGTAGCTGACCCCTTCTTGAATCTTATGGTCCAAGTACCATGGCATAACATCACGTATAGTTTTTTTATTATCCAACTGCACAAAGTAGAGTACAAATAACGCGCGAATAGAGTACAAATATCCTGCGATATTGCACGGTTATATGGAAAGTTGATTATTTTGTATTGTAAAAAAAAAAAACCGGTTTAACCAGTTGGTTGCGCGCGCTACGCTTCTCTATCCGTTTTCTTTTCCCGCCTAATGAGTAATGAGCAGAAAGACTTAATATAAAAAAAAGCAGTTGAATAATATTTAACTTATTAGACATTTTGGTGTGTAGTATCGCTGAGTATTTTAACGTCTAGTAAGATATATATATATATATATACATATATATATATTGTAGTGATCGATAAGGTTTCGATTGTTCGATTGCTTGGGGTCAAGGTTACATGTGGTGACATAACTACTTACCATCTGATCTCCCTCTTCAAAAAAACAAAAAAAAAAAAAACGAAAACAAAAACAAAAAAAACTTGGAATACGCGAGGTTATCGAAATCCTCTGACACATTCAAGTTATCTAACCCATTCTTGCTTGCTAAAACGTAAAAGAAGAACTTCTGAAACAATTCGATCGGTATGAGCTCTGTCACTGCCTTACACTTTCGTGTTTGACGGAACGCGACGGGATGTCTGTAATCTCATTTTCGCGTACCATCGTTATTATTCTTTTCTTCCTTTTAAAGGCTCAGTTTCGTTTTCGCTCAGGCAACTAAGTGTTTCTACTGAACAGAAATTGAGGCATTTAAACTTTAATTTGTGTCTGAATGTTTATCTTTTTATCATGCAAATGCAATGTAAAATTTATTAATTCTTGCATAATAACTTCCGCTCACTCACGTGGAACGCGTCTCATCCACACAGCAAAACGCCAGAAGAGGGTAAAGAAATGGCAACGACTTTCGGAGGGTCAGGCAACGGCTGCTGCCGCTATTGCCAGTCATTTTGTGGGGTGATCAGGAGAAATCTGCTCGTCGTTTTGCTGGGCATCGGAGCTGCAATTGGCTTTTTGATTGGGGCGGTTATCAACCCGACTGTGCAAAATATCGAGAATCCAGAAACGAAGGCTACAACAACCATGCTGATCGGTTTCCCCGGGGAACTTCTCATGAATATGCTGCAAGTTATAATCCTTCCACTCATCGTGGCCAGTCTGATCACTGCTGTGTCACATCTCGATGCAAGAGCGACCGGTAAGATCGGGCGTCGTGCATTGCTGTTCTATCTGACCACAACGTTGTCCGCCGCCATCTTGGGCATGGTCCTTGTTTCCTCCATTAGGCCAGGGAAGACTGACAATCCAAGTGGCGATAAATCAAATCCGAATGCCTACACGACCAGAGACTCCTTTTTGGATTTAATCAGGTGCGTTAAATTGATTTAAAAACTCTTTTGAGATGTAGGAGTAAAGAAACTCACTGATTTTAATTTATGAATATATTATCGAACGCTCCCTAATTTTTCCCGCGCCAGGCCACGAGTTGACATGAAAATTGAAAAACAACGAACTCTCCCGGTCATTTTAGGCGGGAATGTAGTAAACATTTCGGTTGACCTTTCATTAAATTAACCATGTAGTTCTACTTTCTAAGCTGTAAGTGCATGAAAGAAGAATTGGACGCTCGTTTGTATATCGTTTCACTCATCACGTGTGAAAACTCATTGATTATATTTTGTTCCGAAATTGAGATATATCTCTAGTTTAGGGCTTAAAATGAGGCTGCGAAAAACCATTACTTTCCAAGGGCATTTGGAAGTGGAAAATAAATAGGATTTATTGCTAGAGGAAAATCGTGAATATAAAGCAAGGTTCACAAACAAGAACCAGCCTCGATAGTAAAACGTCATGTCACGCATGCAGATCAAAACCTGATATTTCCACTTTCAATTTACTATTCATCGCTGTATTCGAGTTTTTTGTAACTCAGTTCACTTGAGTGAAATTTACACTCGTAATCCGGCAGACTGTGAACGGTTCAAAAACCTTCCTATGGCTCAATTCAAACATCACTTGATTAAAAATCTTCGAGTACCACGTGAGTCAGCGGGGGTCAGGCGGCACAGAGTTGACAAACAAAGTCCCATTGAAGCACTCTGTAGACAAAAACATAAAGCCCCTGCTATGACTCTTTTCGGATTTCATTTCCGAGTCCCCTCTGATCGTTCACAAACTACAATGAGAGGCAGTTTTTCTCTGGCACAATTCAAATGTAAAGAGCTTTAATTCTTATTCTCTCCATTTCAACAAACATAGTTCTTGACTTCTTAATTTGTGGGTTTTCTTTTCATAGCTCTCCAGTTTTCCTTCTCTCATGACTAACTAACAACAGATTTGTATGCAGTTTTTCAGAGTAAATTCATGTTGAGACTACCGCCTGATTAAGTCCTGTCACCAAGTTTTTTTTTGTTTTTTTTTTAGTGAAAATTGGCAATTGCCAACAGTCAGCAATTTAATAAATATTCTCACTTCAAAGGATAGATTACAAAGCATTTTACTCAGTGAAAAGCAATGAAAAAATTCTAAACATGCAGTATCAAGATTTTGTTTTAAAGACTCATTGCTAGCAAGTTGAATTTCTTCTGCATGTGGTATAAAATCATAAACTGCTGCTTATAGATCCCCCCACACCCATATTGCCCACCCACCCTGCAGGTTATAGGTCCATCTACCTGAAAACAAAGAAATATAACTGATTGTAAGCCCCCTTCCCCTAGTCCCTGATAATTTTCCTTGTTTTGAGAGTTAAGAACTCTGCTTTGACTTATTCAGCAAAATTTTAACAATAGTAATAATGTATTTAATGAATTTGATTTATTTTGGTTTTTTGAAGCCTAATTTAAAGCCATTAAATGCCAAATCCATTTGATCAGCACTTCCACAGCTTGTTTCAAAGCACTTTTCCTATTCTGGTTATAACCGCCTTGGATTTAAGCCCCTCAGTGTATTAGCCCTCCTGGGACCCCATACGAAGTTGAACAAGGCCAGGGCTTATAAGCAGCAGTTTATGGTAATACATGTATTAATAAACTGTAAGCTATTTTTGCATTTCATTATTATCAAATGTTTCCAGGAGCTGTTTTCCCAGTAACCTTGTTGAGGCAACATTTCGTCAGGTTGGTTTAATGTGTAGTAGATCAGTCAAACAGGGTTAACACTAACTGAGACAGTGCATGATCTGGAAATCTTCCTATCATTAAATATAACATCTATGCCAAAGTTTCTGTTTTATCCAGTGGGGTTTCACCTGGGAACTCAATACTGTACTTCTACTGCCACTATATTGCTACTGTATTGTCTCTTTCATCAGTGGGGATATTGACTAATTTTGGAGCAGAGTATATGGGATGGAATAACTATGGTGTTCACCTTTAAAAGTTATTTATGTGCAGCTCTGTGTAGTTTTTCTTACATTACACTTTATCTCAAACATGAAGAAAACAATTGATACTTGAACTCAGACCAAAGCTTACTAAGTAGGTTACATCTGTAGACCCCCTGCTACTTGATTAACTATTTACAGTGCACAGCAGAGGAGTTGAGCTTGAGACTACCAAGAATAAAAATCTAATGAATCGGCAGATTGGAGTATTTGAACCTGGGTCCTCACAAGTTCAAATCCAGCTCCTTAAACTATTCAGCCTTGCTGCTTCTTGGACAAATTCAGATTGGCTGACACATTGCTAGTCATGCAACTCAAGATTTAAATGAAGGGCCAAACACCTTTGTCCATCACAGATGTGCAACCAAAACCACTCATCAACAGAGCACACATGCAATGAGCAATTCATCCAAAACTACATGTAACAATGCTTTACAAGCACATTTCAGTGTTGAATGACCTTGTAACAAGCAATTTTCAGTCATACAACAGTCTCTGCTGTATAATGAAATCACTTGAGTATACTTGTGGGTGCAGTAACACTTGCACTGGGAGGGTTTCTCTGAAACAGCTTTAAAAAGCAGCTTTATCATGGAACAAAAGAGGGGTGCTCACTTCCTAATTGGGCTTATAGGGGTATGTGTTGCCAAATAGGGTATAGCTTTTGGGGTCTCAAGTCTGTACAAAGTGTGTACAATTTTATTATTAGATTTCCTCAACAAGAAATGCTTCTGGACCAGATAACTTTAAAACATGCATCAGTAATTTATCTGAATATACTTCTTGTGACTGAATGAAGTTGCTGTGCCAAAATCAACAGCAAATTTTTAATTATAAAGGGAGGTGGAAGAGAAAGGATTTTGTTCTTGAACAGGGAAAGGCTTTTTAGGCCCAAATAGCACACCCCTACCCAAACTTTGTGTAATACCCCTCCCCCTGTACTTTGGGATGCCTTAGTCAATACAGTATACACAAAACAATGGGCATTAGGGGTTATCTTCACATGTGACTCTCAGTGAAAAGCTTCATGCAGTCAATTAATGTCTGATGTGCATTGGGGTTTTTATGTTCCATCTTATCCTTTTATTAATGCAAATATGTAAGTCACAGTAAGCACATATACATGGGCACTTGTATGAAGTTATTGTTGCTAATTAAGTTCTTTATTTTCATTATTTTCTTCAGAAAAAGACTTACTACAGAACAGATTCTGGCAAGTATGAATTCCGCAATGTGACTGGTAACTCTCCAAAACTTGAAGAGAATGAGAAAATCGTCCAGACCATTGTGTTGAATGCAAAACTGAACATAACCACTATATCCAAAGAGATATATCCACCCTCTAATACAATATTTGCCGGAGTTGCTACTAACCCCACAGGGGGCATGAACATTCTTGGTTTGGCTGTGTTCTCCATTGTGTTTGGTGTTGTACTTGGGAAGATGGGTGTGAGAGCCAAACCTTTGACTGCCTTCTTTTCCTCCCTTAATGATGCTGTTATGATCTTGGTGACACTTATCATGTGGTATGTTGAAATGAATTTTTGCATTTTGAGTTTAAACTCAGCTAGATGTACAATTTAAGTTGGTTACAAGTTTGCTTTCCAGGAGAATACTTCCATGGGTCAAATGTCATTCATCTCCTTAATCTCCTCTACAGCTTGTGGCATTTGCTAGCAATGCTCAATTTGTATCAGGCAGGTGCACCTTTAACTTTACCCTTGTGGCAGCATTAGGGTTTGGGTTTGGGTTTGGGTTAGGGTTAGGGTTTCCTATTATTGTTTCCCATGTTTTGAAGTGTGGTTTGAATTAAACTGCTTGACATGAAAACTCACGTGACCCTTTGGCATCTTTCCTTGACAGCATGTCTTTTGTTAATATCTTAATGAGTTCTTGAAATATTTTATTGGGTTAGAGTAAACGTTGAGTCAGGAGAGGGGTAGGTGTGCAGTTGCTCAGATACTAACAGTAATCTCATCTGATATAGGAAAAGAAGGCCTGTATACGTTTCACAGATATATCTCAACAGGAGATTACCCTAAACCGCTTCTGCCTTTTTTTTCGTAGGTATGCACCAGTCGGTATTTGCAGTTTGATCGCTCAGCGAGTGGCCAGCATGGAGGATATTGGAGAAGAACTCAAGCGCTTAGCCTTGTTCATCGTAACAGTTATGGTCGGTCTTACCATCCATGCTTTCATCATTCTCCCGCTTATTTTTTTTGCGGTGCGAAGGACCAATCCTTTTATTTTCATGTACAAAATGAGAGATGCTTTTATGACCGCATTTGGCATCAGCTCGAGGTAAGTTGGAAATATGACTTACGAGGAGCAGTTGATGATAGTGGTCCGCAATGGGTGCATTCATTTAAGTGCACAGGCAATGAAATAATTGGTAGTGGCATCTATCATGCCTGATTACGAATGCAATTTGAAGTCCCAACTTTCGATGTTAAAAGGTGTATGGTAAAAACAGAACAACCTTTTCAATCGAGAATTGACACTACACATGCAAAGTTGATTTTGAGTCCCAAATAAATGCATCTGTTTTTTTCTCAAAGGACCGCTGGCTCGACAGGTGCACGTTGATAACGATATCCAACTGACGAATGGCCATCAGTGTGAAAAATTATTTTGTTAAATACGTATAAATTAAATCTAAGGTTGGCATTGAATATTCATTGATTCGGTGGACTAGTGTTTTCAACTTTATCTTTCACGCCCCATGTACCTACATTTTCTTGGTCTCATTTCTGCGGTAGAGTGCGTTTCGTGTGAGTATCAGAACCAACGGCCAATCACAACAAAGGAAAATGTCACGTGGAGCCAACCAGAAAAATTGATTGATCATGTCGCGATTGGTTTTTTTTTTCCACTGTTTAGTACAAAAGGTGCGCCAGCTTTCTTTGAGATACATCATTGAGCGAAGCTAAATTAAGTCCCGTTATAAACTCCAAATTCCATCGTAAATAGCACCAGTATGAACCTTCACTGTTCATTCTTTTCCTTCAGTGCGGCAACTCTGCCTACCACCATACGCTGCCTTGAAGAAAACAACAAAGTAGACCCGCGCATAAGCAAGTTTGTTTTGCCGCTGGGTGCGACAGTGAATATGGACGGCGCAGCTCTGTATGAGGCTATTGCTGCCATCTTCATTGCTCAGCTGAACGACTATGATTTGTCAGGAGGCAAAATAGTCGCCATTTGGTAAGGGAAATTCCTGTTTTGCTTGAGTGAGCAATGTAAAGTTTTCCTGCAGACAGGTGGGCACATTGCGGCATGCGACAAAATCTTTTCCACTCTTATCTTTTACTTAGCCATCAAGATTGTTTAAAAAGGTGTATGGAACACATGGGAGAACAATCCCCGTACTACTTTGTCTTACGCCTCATGCTAGAAAGACAAGTTCCCTAACACGCCACCCTGTACTGTATATGTCAAGGCCGCTTAGAGTGTCAACTTATGCTAAAAATTCTGATTTTCATCTAGTCTTACAGCAACTGCGATCGCAATTGGTGCCGCTGGCATTCCTTCAGCGGGCTCAATTACCACCATCATTGTTTTGCAAGCTGTTGGACTACCGCTGGATGACATCGGGCTCATTATGGCTGTTGATTGGTTCCTGTGAGTAACAATTCTTCCTTTTTTTTTTTTTTGAAGGTTTTTCTTGCGTCCAGAATGCTTTTGCGAACCTACGTGTGACTTGACGCGATAAAAAACAAATGCACAAGTTCTTTATTTGCCTGTAATAAAGTAACAAGGAACGACTTAGAGCCAGTGTGTAATAGCCGAGGAAACATGGGCCATTACAAAGGCTTCTTGTTCGCAGGTTGCGGTTATGATTGACAACTAAATGAGGCAAAATTGAAAAGCTCAGAGTTCGTATGCTACTCAGTGAAATGGTTTGTAATTGAATTAAAAAAAGATAAGACAAATAATTGTGATTTAACAATGACGAAAGCTACGCTCTTTTTATTCCTCAGGGATCGATTCCGTACCACGGTTAATGTTTTGGGTGACTCTATCGGCGCTGGTGTAGTGGAACATCTGTCACGTGACGATCTGCTCAAGTATGATGTCAATGGCAAAGTGGATGACCGCGTCCCTCTCAGTAACGGGGGGAAACTGGATGACCCTGATCAACTCCTGGTCACCTCCTCTTTGTAACTCAGTCTGTTGTTAGACGATATTAGTTCACTTGTAGCTTAGATACATTTAATCGCACGTTCTGTATGATGGTTAGTTAGGTAGGACGGGGAAGCTCCTATGCACTGTGCAGAACGCTTGTCATATATTAACCGTTTAACATAAAAAGCAAATAGTATGGCTTCACCGGGATGTTTTGGGTAAATATAGGCCTTTGATATTTCAAAACAAAATAATTTTAGCTTTGGCATATGGCCAAGTATAAACATAGAACTAACTCATGTTAGCTTGAATATTTCGCCAACATAGGAAATTTGTAGCTGATTGTAGTGAATTTTTTAAAATAACAATCTACACGATACGAACTTAAGTAAAAACATTGGTACACCATTTTTCATTTTACACGTTGTTCCGTGACCCTGAGGGTAAACATTTTTCTTGAGGAATGCAATGATTTATCCAAAACCAAGAACATCGTGTTGTCGATTTATATTCTAAGGTCCACTGGAAATGTTGAAATCGTTCAAATTGATCATATCTACATCTTCCCATTAAAGGGGCAGCAATCCAAAAATAACTTGTTTGAGATTGATAAGATTGTCCAATGAGGACAGCCTATATTGATTCGTTAGTCTCTTTGGTTCATCATTTCTCTTATGGTTCATTTGGTTCTTAATTCCCTCGGGAAAGCTGAAACTCTTATCAATGTCCGTATCTGAGCACCTACACACCTGTCCCTCCCCTAACCCAACATTACCCTGAACTTGTTATCAACTGACTGTTGTTGGGACAGGGGAGGGGTAGGGTGCTCAGTTGCTCAGATACGGACATTGATACGAAAGTATTTTCAACTTGCGAAAAGATCCATGTCCTTATGTTTATTCGTATATAGATCTCATATTCTTACGGTAAATTTTGCGCAATGACGGTACGAAAGTTGCGTTTAGCTTATATCTTGTTTACATTAAGAGTTGAGTATGTTCAGTAGAAGAGGTGTTAAATGGTACTTAGAGTATAAAGGGTTCCTTATCAATCGTTACGGCCTGATTGGTTGTCTTATACTTTTTGCTTTGTAGCGCTTTGTCAGGCTTTCAATGAAGTCAATAAAAGTAAAACAGCTCTGCTGTTAGGTAGTTTCAATTGCTGCCCGTGTCATGTAGCCGTACACAAGTCATTGTAGCCTGCGTGGTTAATATCAAGTTAAAAATTGGAATTTTAGGTAGTAAAACTACCAGATCACGGTCACCTCCTCACTTGCCTTGTATTCAGTTTGTTCTATCGACTTTACCTTTTCGTTCCGAACCTACTCCTATACTGGAGGTATGTAGTATGTGCTCAAACAGTGGATAACATTGAAGGCTCGTTCTGATTGGCTACCCAACTCCGTCTACCATTTGCTATTCACCTCTGAGCAGCGCACGCTGGATTTGCGCCCAAACGTTTTGTAGTCGTCACAGGAATGAATGAGTTTAAATTCAATTTTTAGTGCTCTATTATCTTACTGTTTGATTATACATTAGAACAACTATTTACGTCAGTGTCGGTGGCTAGTGGTGGTTATTTACCTCGATACTTCGTGATTCGGTAAATATCCACCACTAGCCACCTCCAATTCGGTGACTATTGCTAAACTGCTATCAATAAGAATAATCAAAGATCACTGTTCATCATTAGCCCTTGCGAATCTCTCCTGTCCTTGTCGTTTTCTTTATCTAACTTCAAGTCGTCACGTGAGAGGTGTGCCACGATCCCAGTACCCATTGCGTCCCCAAGGACGTTGACAGTTGTGATGCAGCGATCCCTGAAAAACGTAAATAATAATCGGTGTAGACAAGAAGATAATTACACTAAAGACTATCCCTGCGTATTGCTCCGCGCATCTTTAACTGTAAACACAAGTCAATAGGCCATCTTACGGTTGTGTACTTAGTTGCCTGGCCGTTGAGTCATAGTGAGGCTGAAGGTGACCTTGTTATGATAGAGACCAGTATTTAGTTAGCATGATAACAAACTAATTAACATTTGAAAAGCTGCAACGTTTCTATCATATCAAAGTCACCCTTAGCCTTAATCATCTTCAAAGGCTTGGCAAGCAGGCGCGCAACTGTGAGATGGAATATTGGCTCACCTTAGTATTAGTAGCGTAATGCACTTAGTACTTAATGTACTCCTCTCGCGCATTAAATACCAGTCCTTTGTGGGTAAACCCCCAACATTAACCCTTTCACACGCTACATCGGCATGTATATTCTCCATACTGTTCTCTATACATTTCCTAAGGTGCTGACAAGGAGAATTTATTTAATCGTGTAGAGCTGCTTTAGCTGGCGACCATTCTCTTTATTCTCATGACCTTTACATGTGATTCAGGTGTGATATTGTCCAGAGAAATTGGATGGAAGTCACTCCTTGGTAGTTGTGAGCTCGCGATACATCTCACTAATTTAAATGAACACGTTATGAGTACTCACAGCATCCATTCAATAGCCATGATAATGCCAAAGTCGTGCAATGGAAGATTAACGGCTTGGAGAACAATGATGATCATGATTCCTGATCCTGGTATTCCTGCGGCGCCAATGGAAGCAGCAATAGCAATTAAGCTGCAAAAGAAAAATTAAAAAAAAATGCTATTAGCAAAGTTCCGGGTGTTATTACTAGTGTATTTTCCATAAGTCAGAATTAATATTACACAAACGATGTTAAGCAAATGGTGATCAATAATCTGGAAAAAAAATATGAGGAAGTATGCATCTGCATCGCAATTTCTTGCATAAATTCATGAAATTTTCAACAAACTTACCAGTAAAGAGAAAATAAAAGAAACAAACAAACAAACAAGCAAAAAAAAAAAAAAAAAAAAAAACGATGAGTGAAAGGCGCGAAGAAATAGGACGATAGAGCAACAGTTAACCCTTTAACTCTCAGAGTGATTCACATGTGACTTCTCCCAACAATATCCATCTACTAACAACAAAACAGGTATTGAGAATACTCAAATGTATCAGGTAGAAGTTTTTATCTTGTTTTAACATCAAATTCTTGCAACTAATTTACTAGGAAATGTGCAGCAGCTAGAGGGGAGAATTAACATTCAGATCTTGGGAGTGAAAGGGTTATCCGGTTTATAATTTACCGATTGGGCAATCATGTAAGTGATACCCAACGAGTTATTCAATAGGAAGATAAGACAAAAAAGAGCAAAAGTTCTGTCATCGTCTCTTACCAGACAACAACAACTCTTCCTGGGCTAAGGGAGATATCGTTTAGTTGAGCAACAAAGATAGTTACCACCACCCGTGAGAGAGCCAGGCCATCCATGTTGAGGGTGGCACCCAGAGGCAACATGAAGCGACTTATGCGTGAATCGATGCCGTTGTTTTCTTCCACACAGCGGATAGTTGTCGGGAGAGTGGCTGCACTGAAAACAAAGCAGAGTGACCAATTGTTAGGAGGTGTGTTGTTTTAAGTTTAGAGATGGTTGGTGAAGTGTCAGTTGTTGATAACGCGGCAAGTGTTGTAACTACGCAAATGGTATATAGGGTCGGCAAGCATTCATGGATCAGTGTCAGTATCCTAGCAACTGAGCACCTACCCATCCCCTAACCCAACATCAGTCAACTGATAACAGGTTAGGGTTAATATTGGGTCAGGGGAGGGGAAGGTATGCAGTTGTTCAGATACTGATATTGATCCACAATCGTCATGGTGTTTTCCACTGTTGATCCTGTGGCTATTGTGCTGTAGCCCGGATCGAGAGGTCTGGGTTGAAACCCCAGCCGAGACACCGGGGTTTATTTACGTGTAGCTCGAAATCCAAGATGGCGGATGATTCACTAATTTGTACATAGACTTATTTGCATATTTTAAGATTTCCACATTTCCAGATTACCAAGGTATGATAGATGCAAGTACGCTAAAAAATCATTTGCATGTTTCCAGATTTCCAGACTACCGAGTTAAAATACGTGCGAGTAAACTAATCACATAGATTTTTACTTTTCAAGGTTACTCTAGGGTAATTAATTTTATGTGCAGCACACTCCATTGTAATGACGTATTCTGTGCTCTTCTGCCCCAAGTAAAAGCCGCGTTAAGTCACCTACAGGTCTTCTTTATAAAGACTAAGAAGCAATACTAAAACAACACATATTGACCTATTGAGGTCTTAACTTGAACGAAAAACAGTAAGAGGTTATTTCCATTTCATTAGGATAGAAATCTCCTTTCAATGTTTCTGTAGACGAAAACAGTCACAAAGGTCCTTCGTACACACCTGGAAGCGATGCCGAATGCTGTCATCAAGGCATCTGTGAGACCTCTCATGAACACATAAGGATTCTTCCGAGTGAAAATGAAGAATACGAGTGGTAACACGATCAGGGAGTGAATGAGCTGGCCACAAATGACTGTCAACATGTAAAATACTAATTTTTGCATGGTACCCAAGATATTCTTCATTCCACCAACACGAGCCGCCACCAGGCTACACACGCCAATTGGAGCCAGCCTTTGATGCAAAGAAACGAAGAAGAAAAAATATAATTTCTCTCAAATATGTACAAAAATCTATCAACGGCCATGCGTTTTAACACACAAGTAGATCAGCCAGCTACTTGACCGGTCAAGTAAGCACTGTTACAGAACAGAACATATTTTCTTGTGTTGCATTTCCCTGGATCGAGCCCCTCGCGGCTCACGTTCTTAGCCCTCGATTATCGAGATAATGTTTTCTACGCCCCTGGGAGGAGTCCAAAAATGGAAATTTGGAGCAAACCAGCTTGTCTAACATGAAATAAAACGCATACCAAGGGGTAATCTGATTTGTATTATTACACTCCATGAGCCACGCCCTTGAGCACAGTTCTTTGAAACTCACCACATTTCAAAGAAAACAATCATCATTATAGCCTCGTTCAATGCCGAGAAGAATTCAACCAGCGGTCTTCCTTTGTCACGCAACCTCGCAAGGACAACACCAAACACTATGGAAAACACGATCAGACCAATGATGTTCATTCCTCCCGTGGTCGTCACTCCTGCAGGTACAGTGCTCGAACCTGCTTGGATCTCTCTTCTTATGGTGGTAATGTTTACGGTACCATTGTAATGGACGCCGATAATTTCCTCGCCAGTCTCGAGGTGAATATAATCGCTTGTGACATTGTAAGTCTTCGATCTTGCGGATACTGTATTGTAGTTTGTTTTTTTCTATTTACAAGGAAAAAGGACACTGAATGTCTCCTGATAATTGCACTGGAGGAGATTTATCCTAAAACTAGAATTCATAAGGATTCCTAGATATCTTAGTATGACCATTAAAGTCAGAAGTTGTTTTTCCACGATACTCATATGGTGTAAGAGGTAAGAGACCGGTCATTATTTAGCGTCGGTGGAGGGTGGGGGGGAGAAGGGAGAGTCGGAGGAATTCCATTATGTCGTGATAAAATTCGCCTGATCCCCTATAAGCCTCTGTGTTATTTTTCTAATCCTCCCTCGTTATTGGCGGTCAATCTTCTTTGATTTCCCCTTTATACCCTGTTGGCGACGACTGATTCTCCTTTCGTTCTCCCTAAAAACCTTGTGATCTTCCCCAAACCCCTCCCTCCCTCAGGCGACGAGTAATAGCTGGTTCCCAAATCCGGGAGGTCATAAAAAATATATCGAGTTAAAAAAAATATCGAGCGTGAGACGATCGAACTAAGAGACTGGATTGCAATACAGGTCCTGCCCCAGTTTGACAGTTTTTGTCTCGAGGTGGCTCGCCTCCCTGGTGTGTGTGTGTGTGTGTCACGTGTACGTACCTCGCGTGTTGGATGTTTTCGTGGAGAAGATGGGAAGAGCACATAAGCAAATTTCGGGACACAGGATAAGTTATTTTAAGGTCTTCCCCAGATCTTCGAAAATACTAAGGGAACACATTATATTATCACGAAATGAAGGCTTATGTGGGATACTAAACGCGAGGGCGATTTAAAGGGAAAAATCGCTTTACCTACCTTGCTTGTGGCTGCTTGGACTAAGTTACTGGGGAAACAGTTCCTAGAAATCAATCATAATCAGAACGAAGAGGTTTATTTTTTAATTAGTTTTCCTCCATTAATTTAAAGAAAAGAATATTACACTCCAAATTGGTTCTCATATCATGCAATGGCCGGCAGGACATGAGCAACAAAAGAATTTCAAATCGCGTGACTCTCCGCAGAGAATTTTACCTCAGGAGAGGTCAGTCTCGCACGATTGTCTCTGTAACTACTTTAAAATGCGTGGTATGTAAACTAAACAAATCTTATGCATAGAACTATGTGTATGATACGATTAAGATGAGCAAAAGAATCAATTATTGGACAATAAACTCTCTATATTACGCAATGAATACCCTACCTTATCATATCAAGAAGCGAATCCAAATTCCTGTACTTCACCGCCTTTACATCTTTTTGCTCGCTGGGTTTGTCGCTTAAACCGGGACGGATCGCCATCACGAGGGTCAAACCCAAAAGAGCGGCCAGTATCAGTGTTCCTAGGTAATATATGAGAGCACGTCGACCAATTCTTCCCGCCACGTCAGGATTCAGAGTCGATACGGCTGTTATCACACTGGCAACGATCAGAGGTAGAATAATCATCTTCAACATGCTCATGAACAGTTCCCCTGGAAATCCAATGAGCATTATAATAGTGGCTTTCTTCTCTGGGTCGATGATGCGATTCACGGGGCTATTGATTATTGCTCCGATTGAAAAGCCAATGATTGCTCCAACCACCAGTAAGACTAGAAGAAGATTCCGCTTCAGGTTTGTAAGGAAACCCGTACAGCGTCGCCCATTGCAAATACTGAAAAGCGACCTACACGCCATTTCACGCGAATATTCTGCAAGACGTCGCTAAAGATAAGCCCGATTGGTCATGCATCGAATCGTGACATACATATCATGAGGGGCAACCGTCTCGTTTGCATCGCTGAGCTGACATGCATGTAACGAATCACGATCGCTCAAGCCAATTATTCAGATTTGTTTACATTAAGCAATTACGTCGTCTTAAAGTTTTAACGACCACACTTACATCTAATCTGTTCTATTCCCATTCACGTTCCTATTTTGTTCATCACTGTCTATCTAGAGTGTATTTATCTCACAAAACGAACATTTCGGTTACTTCCAGCAGTCTCTATTTCCCTACATAATCTGCCCCGTAAAATGACCTAAAATATTCCTTGCGCCCCTGCAAAAACTGACAAGCCAGGAGCGCGTTTTAGAGTATCCCCAGCAAAATTTACGTATCGCCACGACATTTAACCACCATTTTCTGTACATGACCCGTTGAACTTTTTACGTTGAGCTGTTTGTATTATTTTGTGTTGTGACTTCTGCAAAGTTCTGGGTAGTTTTGAACAGCATAGCTAAGAACTCAAGATACTGCTTAGTGCCTGCTGTCAGATAGTCGTAACAAATTGCAATAGTTGTACTTTGTTAAATCAGCACTACCACATTAAAACAATGAACGTCCCGAAAGCCGGGGCAGTGTAAGATAAAGAACGGGTAACGGGAAACGAGGAAAACGAACTGGCAGGTAAAAAAACAAAAACTCTGTTTCCAGGATATTCGCAGAATGTTTTATTTTGAGTTTTCGTTCAAAAAGTATACATTTTTTTGTCAGGTTGTATCAATTATATGATATAATTGATACAACCTGACAAAACCGAAAAGAAAAAAAAAAAAAGGTGGTAAAGTTCTCTTGATCGTCAAATAATACTTTGTTTGAACTATGCGCCTCAAAAGCCACTCTTGACGCTTCTTTTGTTAAAGACGATAAGCTTTTAATTCAAGGAGGCGTGAGACAATGCAAAGCTCAGTGATGCATCCTGCTATTCTGTCATACTTGATCGAGACTGTTTGTTGCAAAATACATTCATTAGATCATTGTGGAAGGCGTCTGAACAGAGGTGCAGTTGTAAGTCGTAGTTTCAGTTCATTTCGCCAAGTGATTCTCCTAAAAGACATGGCAACTTTGGAAAGGCCTGATGGAGGAAAATTTGGCCGATGTGGAAAGTCCTGTGGAGCAGGAATCCGAAACAATTTGCTCTTAGTGCTACTTATCACTGCTGCAGTTGTTGGTCTTGTGATCGGAGTACTTGTCAATCCTCCAGTAAATCGAATAAAAGACCCCGAAAAGAAGGCTTCAACAATCATGCTCTTGTCCTTTCCGGGCGAACTGTTGCTAAATATGCTGCGAATGATCATCCTTCCACTGGTCATAGCCAGTCTCATTACAGCCGTAGCAGGACTGAACGCTGCAGAAGCGGGTAAAATTGGTCGCCGAACATTAATTTACTATTTGTCAACCATGGTCCTGGCAGCGCTTTTAGGTGTGTTATTGGCTTTGACCATTAAGCCTGGCAAAGAAGATAAGCCTGGAAAGGGTGGACCGTCTTTCAAGAAAATGGAATATAGAAACTTGGATTCTATTCTGGACGTGATAAGGTATGCTAAATCCATATTATAATAAAAGAGAGGAAATGAACCGTGAATTCAACATTTAAGCCTTGCGATAACTTGCAGGTTATTTTTTTTTCGGTGCCGTTGTTTCAGCGCTGCAGTATTTCGCTGCTACAAACTGCGTCACTTGAGCTGCATTTTAGCTAGTGATAGTTTATTAGGAGGATTATCTAAGGGACATTAGATAGTTTCGAGCGGGAAAGCAAACATCCGAGGCCTAATACATCAGAACTTTGCCTATCAGGGAATCAATAAATTTGCTGTTACTGAAGTTATTTGTACATTACTAGACTGTATTTAGATAATATTTTGCCCAGTGTCATGGGCAGTATATTTTATTTAGTGCAGCGCATCGTATCTTTTTTACATTAGTGATAATGGTGTTATATAAATAAAATTCAAGATCTTACCACATCTCTCTCTTTTTCTTTTAGAAACTGTTTTCCCAGTAATTTAATCGAGGCCACTGTAAAGCAGGTATGTACATGCATGTGTGTCCATAACGTATGCTAGACAAAGAAGATTGCAAACTCGATCGAGTTTTCCCCGACTCTTTGAGCTTAATTAAGAGAAAAATGTTCGAACAGTCTGCGTGTATAAGAAAATATACTGAACAGTACCTACACTGTATATCCGTAACAGAGTATCACAAAATCACGTGCTTTGAATTAGAAAAAGCCATTAAGGCCTGGGGTTGGATTTCTCTTGGGTCTTAACTCCCATAAAGATAATTATCTGTGAAGGCTTTTTAATTACCATTTCATTTCTTTCACTATCTTCAGAGAAAAACGAAGTATCTTGCTACACCGGCAAAGTATGAAATGTACAATGTTACAGGCTCCAACTTAACCCTTGCCTCAATGAGAAAATTACTTCAACATTTCATAATGGTTCAGAAATAATCTCAACAGTATCAAAGCAGATCTATCCTGGTTCAAACACAGTCCCGGCAGGAATGAAATCGGACGATGGAGTGAATCTTCTTGGCCTGACCGTGTTCTCCATTATCTTTGGGATTGTGAGGGAAACCACTTGTTGAATTTTTTCTCGACATTGAACGATGCTGTGTTGATGCTGGTCACTTTGATTATGTGGTGAGTTTTAGGTTGTCCATAAGTTTCTTGATGATGAAAATTTTTTTGAAGTATTTGTAGGTTTCTAAGGGTAAAATTATTTTTTTGGCGAGTGTCAAAAGTAACCCTGGATTCATGAGCTTTAATTTAATCCGTTCATCGGTTGGTCAAGAAAACTCACGTCACATTCTCCCCCATTGAGGTGCAAATCAAAACCAGACATGACTTATTTTACCTTTGTTCTGATTGGCTGTTGTTGTGACACTCAGTTAACCCTTTAACTCCCAAGATCTGATTGTTAATTCTCCTCTCTAGCTGCTACACATTTCCTTGTAAATCAGTTATGAGAATTTAGCGTTAGATCAAGATAACAACTTCTACCTGATAAGTTGGAGTTTTCTCAATACCTGTTCGTGATATTTTACTATTCACATTATGCTCTGATGTAACGCCTATTGGATGGGTCGATTTACAAAACAAGCAATTTCCTATAAAGAAGAGTGTTCTATGCATGTTCCAGGTATTCGCCAATTGGTGTTTGCAGTTTGATTGCCGCACGAGTGGCAAGAATGGATGATATCTTGGGGTCAATGTAGAAACTTGGCATGTTTATCGTCACAGACACTATTGGCTTAATTATCCACACCCTGGTTGTCCTACCGATCATTTATTTCGCTTTTACGAGGAAGAATCCATAAACCTTTATCAAAGGCCTGAGAGACGCACTAATGACTGCACTTGGTATTGCTTCCAGGCAAATATTAAACAACCAGAAATAAAGATAATTCGGGAGCTGGTACGTTTAGATTAAGAGGTATCTCCCTGTCATCGACGAAGGTATACCTTAATTGATTTCATACAAGGCGCTCTCTGAAGCAAAAAAATTAGTTCTTCATTTCAATAATAAAAGTCTCCGGTAAAATGAGCCACTTCTGCAGGTCTGGATAAACAATACTTGGACAGGCACATGCCGTGATCTTAATTTATGGGAGGGATAGGACCGTAGGAAATTGGAGCTGAGGTGTGTCAATCTTTCATGCAAATTTCCCTATTTAACTGGCAAAATATGGTCCTGAAGTTGAAGGCTGTAATGTAGGGTATTGCAATGTAAAGTATTGCAGCGGAGGGTATTGCAGTGCAGGATATTGCAATGAATGGTATTGCAGTGTAGGTTTTTGTAGTATGGCAAGATTTTCCCGTGGGAATTTCCAAACTTGCATCTCACTCATGTCAGGTTGTTCGATTTTTAACGTCATTACTTTCCTTTACCGCAAGATGGATTTGCTTTCACTCTACTCCCTCCATAGCTGCGCTTTTGAATGAGCTGTACAAAGCTCGTGTTCAGTAAGCTAATAACAACTTGTTAAACGATTGATCTGTGGAGCTTATATAGAGATGAAATTATCTTGATGCAAATCTTTCTATTTGGTTATCGTACTTTAATGGAATATTATCTTGTGCAGTAGATTCTTATTTTCCTCGATTTTTCTTCAGCGCTGCAACGCTCCCCACCACTATGCGATGTGTTGAAGAGAACAACGGAATAGATCCGCGCATAAGTCGATTTATGCTACCACTTGGGGCCACGATCAACATGGACGGTTCTGCTCTCAACCGACCAGTTTTACTGATATTTGTGGCCCAGTTAAACGACATAGATTTAAGTCCGGGAAAAATTGTTGCAATATGGTATGTACTGCATGTAGAATACATACCAATCTCGTTCCTGCCTTTTAGCGACTTCCTGTTACATGTGTTTGAGGTGTATCCTGTCACGTGATACTTAAAGAAGAAAAAGTTTGTTGGAAATGTCGCTGATGGAATTGACTTTATTCAGAGAAATCTACATACAGCATCAGTCGATGTAACGTTAGCAATGCATTGTGCATTCGTTTAATTTCCTGTAAATGATGTGAGGATTCAAGTTGTTCAGAAAAATCATTTCAGAAAAATCAGTAGATATGATGAAGGGCTAACGCTCGAAACGTCAGCTTTGAAACTCTTTACGGTGACTAATTCACGTTATCAACTCAGTTGATAAGACTAAATTACCCCGTTGGTCTCTACCGACGCAGCACCATATTTTCTTTAGAAACTTACCCCCTTTATTCCTAACCCTATATCAACTGACGAGGTCTCAGACGAGATTCAGAGTTTTTTAAATCACATGGGCAAAAACCAGTAAACAAATTGATGTGTAGTAATACGTTGTAATACTAGACGATGCACGAATTCCTAACAACTAAACCATTTTCATTTATTTTGTTCCTTCACGATGTAGTGTAATTTCTGTGTTGCTGGCGGTGGGAGCTGCTGGGATTCCAGCAACAGCTGTGACCACAATAATTGCCTTGTAAGCTGTGAATCTGCCTCTTCATGACCTAGGACTTATTCTTGCGGTTGAGTGGTTGCTGTAAGTGTACAACCTTCATTTTATTTTATTTTTTACTCCGCTGGAAAATCTAACATATGATATTTTCAATTCAAAATTTAAATACGAAAAATTAGAAGCATCTCATTCATGTGTCTTTATTGTAATAGAAGTTGCAGGCCCTTGAGGATTATAAAGCAAATCTGTGTTTTCTAAACAGAATAATTTTACTTTACGACTGTGACATGTTATTATTCTTTCTTCACTCGACAACTAAGATTCAAACTTCCGTCTGTTTCACTCCATTTTCGAACAGTTCGATGTCGACGATGCTAATCTCAGCAGCGTCCAGGACATCTGTTAAATACCAATTGCTGTATGCTGAGTTCGTCAAAGCGTTCTTTGTAGTTCAGTTGGCAGAGCATCCTAATGCAAAATCGAAATTGATTTAGGCTCGAATTTCCAATGGAAACTATGATTTTTTATTTGTTCTGCGCTCGTTGAATGTTTAAAATCTCTTTTAGGAGCAATTTTCAATTTACTGTGGAAGTAATCAGGGATTTTTTTTAACTTTGCTTTACTTCGCTGTGTGATTGGTTAAGAAAACTTGCGACACTTTCTCGACCAAACAGATTCAACACTACAACCAATGGCGAATTGGTAACTCTCTTTTCCCGCGCTTTAGGTATTTGCTTGTTTTTATTTTGAGTTCTCATGAGATGTTCTCGTTTCTTCTGATCGGCTGTTGTCAGTACTTTGGTTCTAGTTTCACAACACTCAATCGCAAAGTGCTCCAATACAGAGTGTTGAAAAATGCCCTCTTTTGGGAAAACATGCGTGCATAAAGAAAATTTAATTATTGTTAAAGAAAAATTACTGGCTATATTTTCTTCCTCGCTTTCCCATTTTAGCTCAAAAGCCTTATTAGAATGTATTTTCTTGTCTATTCTAAGGGACCGTTTCATCACTGTTGTCAACGTCATGGGGGATGCCATGGGAACGGGCATTGTACAACATTTATCCCGTGACGAGTTGGACGAAATTGACGAGAAAAATAACAATCCAACTGGAACAATTTTGAACGAGGGGTTTGCTAAAAGTGACGGTCCTGATTCTCATGTGGCGACATCTGGCGTTTGAATGACACACTTCATACACTTGATTTCAGCAGCAATTTTACCTGGACTACTAGAAGGGTGTCAATGGGGTTAAATGTCAGCCGAAAAAAGGACCTGAAAATTTAACTGTTACACGTAAAAATTGCGGAAAAATTTTAACCGTTATTTTTAATAGCAAAGAAGGAAGTTAACCGTTAGCCATAAAATGGCCAAAACTCGTACAAGTTACCTACAAAAACCATCACCCTAGTGAAACACTTTATTACGCGGTAACCTAATTGGCTTTTCTTCCATTGTGTTACGCTACCGACGTTCTTATATCTTATGGGGCTTATATCCAATTTGTGCTCTGTTAATGCTAGGAAAAGTGGAAATCACGTGCTGCTTTGTCACATATCTATCATGGCGAGTTTACTTAATTGTAATAAGACTTATCATGATGACTAGCATCTATGTTCTTCTTACAATATCGGCTACGAATCACACCTTAAGGTCATAGTAATAAAGGAAATTATCACCAACTAAACAAACTCTTGATTGTCAAATCAATTCTCTTTGTCAGCACCTTGGGAAATGTAAAGAGAACAGCACGGAGAATATGCACACTGATGTTAGGGCGTAAAGGGTTAAATGTAACAAAATCGGCTATCAAGAGGTATTTAAGTAAGGTAGAATGAATGAAATGAATGAATGAATTAAAACACGGTAAAAATATCAGTAAAACAAAGGAGAAATTTATCTTAAGTTAAATTTTCTATTAACTGGTTTACATATTTGCCGTGTGGGAGTCCGATACAGAGAGCCATTTACCAATTCTTCTCTTGAAGTTGCGTAAAGAGTTTGTAGTGCGGATATCCTCAGGAAGATCGTTCCAAAGAGAAGCTCCGCTATAACTGAAGCTACGCTTCAGGTAGTCAGTTCTTGGTTTCGGCAAGTACAATTTTTGACTTGCGTCACGAAGATCAAAGGGCAGAGTTCTCGGAGTGAACATGTTACAAAGATAATTTAGGGCGAGCTTATTAACGCATTTGTACATTAAATTTGCCTTTTGCTTCGTCCTTCTGACTGATAAGTTATCCCAGCTGAGAGAGTTGAGAAGATAGCTAGAATTCGTATTATAACTTGATTTAGTAATTACTCTAGCAGCGCGATT